TCCTGTAAATTTTGTCTCTCTCTCTCTCTTCAAACCGTGTCGGCAGGTGTGACGTTATCAACTTTTTCCTTTGTAATCAAACTGTTTGAATGATTTATAATAAATCAATATCAAATTATAAAAATAATAAATTTGTAAATTATTCATCTCTAACCAATTAATATTTGAAGTAAGAATCAATATCTGTTAATCGAGTGATAAAAATTTAATTTTTTTAAAGTAAAATCTCAATTTCAAATCTTATAAATAAAAAAATAAATTTAAAAAAATTTATTTTTTCATAAAATTCGATTCAATTTTAAATTAATCAAGACTTAAAGTAATTATTGAATATTAAAAATTTTCAAATAAAAAAAATATTTAAAGTAATATATACACCCACGTGTGTGTTTCTAAAGTTAAAATAGAAAAAATGTAAAATCATGAAAATTAAATAATTTGATTTTTAAAATAAAAATTTCATTGTAAAAGACAATATACGATAATCAATTAAATTTAATTAAGATTGATATTTTTATTTATATTTTTTATTTACTTTTATGTTTGATTTTTATTTTTATTCATTTCCTGAAAAAAAGTAGTAAATAATAAATGTATCAATTAATGAGTCTAAATATGATAACAGATCAAGTCAAGACATTCTGAATTTGATATAATTTTATATATTAAATGTTCAAACTCAATCTAATATAAAAACATTATTTTTATACTCAACTTGATCCGAATATATATAAAATTATAATTAATCTGACTCGAAATTAGTAAAATATTATTTTTAAATATAAATATATAAATATAAAATTAAATAAATAATTAAAAATATTATATATATTAGGTCGGGATGAATTTATCTAAAACTTAATTTTAACTTAAAAAAAAAGATTTGACCCAACTCAAAACTTAATTAAAAAAAAAGATACAGTTTTGGAGTAAATTACTAAACTTAAGTTTCGTTTGTTTCGTAAAAAATGACTTATGAAAAATAATTTTTAAAATATGTTTATATTTTTTAATTGAAAGATATTTTTATTGTTTGAATGAGTTAATAAAAAATATTTTTTATTGTTTGGTTGTTTTCAAGAAAATTTGTATTTTTTTCAAATAATAGTAATGTAACTATTAAAAAATTAAAATTATTTATTATTAAAATTATTAATATTAAAAGATAATTATATTTTAATAATATTATTTAATATTAAAATATTATGTTAATATAAAAATACTTAAAATAAAACTATTTATTATTTTTTATATTATTTATTAATATATTAATATATTATTATTAATAATATTTATTAATATAATATATTAATAGTATATTATTTATTAATAATATTACTTATTAATATATTACTATAATATTTATTAATTAAATTAATCATATTTATTATTATATTATATAAATATAATAATATTATTTATTATATATTATAATATAATTATTAATATATAATTTATTAATATAATATACTTTATTTGTTAATATAATATTATTTATTAAAATTAATATATTAATATAATATTTATTTATAATAATATTTATTAATATAATATTATTATATTATATTTATTTATGAATATATTATAATATTATTATTAATATATTATATTAATAGTATGTTATTTATATAATATTATTTATTAATATAATATTATTTTAAGTAAAATTATGATCAAAAGTATTGATGAATAGTTCTACTTATAAACAACTTTTTTTTTCAAAAAAATATCTTTTTTTTTCAAATTTGTAAAATAATTTTCAAAAAAATGATCTTATTTTTTATTCATTAATAAGTCATTTTCTATTAACTAATCAATTTTTCACTAAATAAATATCTAAAAATGTAAAAATTATTTTTCATGAAATAAGCAAAGTCCTAATTGAGTCCGAGATTATAAAAATAATAACATACACATAAATTTTACTTTATATTTTTAGTCACCAATAATTAATTAATTAGTTATACACGTAAAAAATAACATAGAGAAAATTGGTTCACACATAATCAATTGTAGGAAAGTTACAAAGTGATAATTTCCTATCCACTAATGATATTATTATTATTATATTATTATAGACCCTTAGTCAAAAATTTTTTGTAGTTAAATTCTGCGTAAATCGATCAAGAAAAAGAAAAATATTATAATGAATGTTGATAAAATTGATAAATGAATTCATTGGATCATATTTAGTTTAGGTGACTTCAAATTAAACATTTTAATATCAGATTATTCTAGATTTTGATTATCTTAAGTTTAAATAATTTTTATTTTAAGTTTTTCATATTTGATATTCGTATTATTAGATTTGAATAGTTGGATTCAAATTATTCAAGTTATTAACTTTTAAAATTAAATTAATATAATTTCATAACATTTCAAATTAATATTTTGAGTCATTTAAATTAAAATTATTTTATTCAAAATTCAGGTTTGAATTATTTCATATTCAAATTAAAATCATTTTGAATTTAAGTTAAACAAATTCAAATTGTCATATTTTTTAAAAAATCAAATTGGGTTTAATTCTATCGGAAATATTGAACAAATTGAGTACATATCAGCTTTGACAACTCTATATGCTGTTAAACCTTACTCTTAAAATTTAATCAAGTTAATTATCAACAATTTTGGATCTAATCTATTTCCAAAATGGAAGAAATAGATGCATGTGCTCTCACCCACTCATTGGAGACATATCTTACATTATTGTCTTGATTTATCAGGCAACTATGTTAACAAAGTACTAATAAAAAAAAGATCAACAGCTTAAGCCTACAACTAATGGCAATTAACAACTTTACATTTAAAATTTAAAATTCATTATTATTTATTATGAAGCAAGAGTTAACTAAATCATCTGAGGTCTTCATAAATTTAGCCTCACAATTCTTCGGCTTTGGCAGGGTATAAGAATGACTGAACTGAGACATGATTGCATTTTCTGGCATCATGATTGAGTTCTCTCTTTCAGCATTGCATCACAAACTTTCACAGCATCTACATTGTCTTTAACGTTGTGTACCCTGACAATGATTGCCCGTCCCAAAATCCCGGCAGCGACAGAAGCAATGGTTGCAGGATCTCTTTCAACTGCAGCAGGACGATTGCAAATTTCATCTAAAAATCTCTTTCTTGACGGTCCAATAAGTAGGGGAGCATGAGACACAGCCAAACTTCTCTTACCAATCTCTGTACGAATGGATGGTAAGCCGGCTAGGATGTCCAAATTATGTTCAGTCTTCTTAGAGAATCCAATTCCAGGGTCGATAATAATCCTCCATACCGGAACTCCTGATAATTCTACACCGTAACTCTTGAGAATAACTCGGAGGCAACCTGAGAACAAACATCATCATAATGTAGGTTGTCACTACTCTGCATTGTAGTAGGGTCTCCCCTCATGTGCATTGCAATGTAAGGAACATCAAGGCTAGCGACCATCTCGTGCATGTTTGGGTCTAACTGCCCGGCAGATACATCATTTATAATATATGAGCCCCTTTATTTACTGCCTCCGAGGCAACATCTGAATAGAAAGTATCCACGGATATGAGCTTCCCTCCATCTCAGGCATTTCTAGAACAGCTTCTAAGACAGGTATTAACCTATCCAATTCTTCTTCGGCAGAAATTCTAGAGGCCATTAGCTGTGTAGATTGTGCACCAATACCTACTATATCTGCTCCTGAAAACATCGAGCGAACTTGAGAAACTGCATTCTCCACATACAAGAACTTTCCACCATCACCGAAACTATCTGGGGTCAGATTAAGAATACCCATGACTGAGGTTTTCTCCGACCACTCCCATAAGTGATTCCTAATTGGTAAAACCCTTTTCATCCCTTCCTTTCCAATGAGCGATTCACCACCCAATTTCTCCCACGAACCAAATAGTCGATCAGAATCTGCGGAGAAAGAATGCCAGCAAGCAATGGTATCACTGTCAATAACTGATCCTAGTAAATCCATTAATGGGGCCATTACAAATGGTCGCTCCCATATTCTCTTCTGGGGGACAGTTAGTGTATCAGAACCAATCCGATACTTTCCATAAAACAAGATATCTAGATCAATTGGCCTCGGACCATACCTTATTCCACCAGTACGACCCATGTCTTTTTCAATTTTCTTAAGCACACCCAAAAGTTCATGTGGCCCTAGCTTTGTTAACAGCTCTAACTGCATAGTTGAGAAACCGGGACTGATCAGTGGCATAGGCAGGTGCTGTCTTATATAAACAAGTATGTCTTGTGATATTGGTACCCATTTTCCTCATTAAATTCAAGGCTTCATTGAAATTATTAAGTCTGTCACCCACATTGCTTCCTAAAGCAATCACCACTTCCTGGTCTGGAGTATGAACTTCCGCCGAGTAATCTGGGGCTGAATGCAGAAATATGCGGAAAGATGCTCCAGTAAATGTTACAAAAATGATTATCAAAAAGCTACAAATTGATTAATTTCGAGTGAAATAAAAGATACTAGTAACATACACCCATATACATGTTTTATTTCTTGTAATTACTATTAAGGAAACCGATGGAACCACAAAAACTAGTTTTCCATTTAAACCAGTGTAAAGCAGCAATCATAAGAAATTTACGGTGAACAAGTGCAAACAGTGCAATAGACACATGCAAGATATGAATTTGGCCATTGATGTATGAGCAGAAAATATAACCATTCATTTTAAAACCCATAAAAGGGAACAGAAAACAAGTCCACATTACATATATACCTCTATAATACTTTTGGGCACCAATAATCCCACGTTTGATGGGTAAAAGCTGCTTGAAAAGATTCATAAGAAATTTCTTCAACTGCTTCTCAATCTCAAGCAAAGTTTTAATTTTTATATGTCATTGACTGAGCTTTGCTCAATTTTCAGCATCACACTGCAGTTACAGGTTGCAGAAGAAAGAGCATGTTACATATTTCCAAGTTATGTAGCAAACAAAATCTTTCAATGCAGTTACAGGTTGCAGAAAAAAGAGTAATGCTTCTTGAATCACATTCCATCAAAGCACAATGTTGTCCTACTAATAGTACTAAAGAAGATAGCTACATGGTCATACTTAATCTACCTGATTGAATTTGGCCTCTTAATTGATCAATGTTCATCTAGCTTCGAGGGTTTATGTACTATTTTGTAACAGCTAGGAATTGCAGGATGCGACTTGACATCCTGTGTTGAGGCACCCATTAGTGTTTGAACATTACTGTGGATGTTTGTAACAATTCCAATGGTTTGGATCAATTCAATTGTATCTACACTAAATTATGGTTGCACGTGATGAATTCCACCTAACACTTTGTATGGACAATCATTTATGCTCTATTTTCCTTTCGGACAAGAAAACGTTATTCCACATATCCAAGTGAAATGAACTCCTTTCCCTTAATTTGTCTCTTGATTGAAATCAATGTATCTTTTTCCTTTTATAGGTATATGATGTTACTTCTTATTTGGACGAGCATCCAGGAGGTGATGATGTGGTGCTTGCAGCGACAGGTAATGATCTTATACTTCCTGACTAATAATTTTCTTATTAAATTTGCAGCTAAGAGTGTCCAGATTATGACATAAATGAATCCCCTAGGCCCTAAGTGACATGCTTTCAATAATTTCCTTGAAGGGAAAGATGCAACCGATGATTTTGAAGATGCTGGACACAGCAAAAGTGCGAAAGAGCTTCTGCGGACCTTTCGCGTTGAAGAGCTTGATGCATCCTCCACAATCATCCCTGAACTTGAGATTTCCTCCAAGAAGGAAGCAACCAATTACTCTCAGAAGCTCATGGACTTGACAAAGCAGTATTGGACCATTCCTATGGCAATTGTTGGCATCTCTGTGGTTGTTGGGTTCTTATACCTGCGCAAGAAGTAAAGCAATTGGGTTTTTCCCCTATTGGCTGCTTAAAGGGTATTTTTATCCCAAATTTTGGATAATTAGATGGATAATGATTAAGAACATTTACCCACTGTTATTTTTAAGATCTGAAGGTTGGATTTGATCATTGATTATCTTCATTAATAATACATGCATGATAGGATTGAAAAACATGGAAAATACTATGTATTAATACTTTGGATGAAATGAGTTGTAGCAATCCTGAAGGAGAATAGCTTTTCATTCAACAAATTCAAGTTATCATCTTCTGGGTCAATCTAATAAGGTGACCCCAACCCTGAATCCCCTTCTACCTATTCCTTGATAAATCAGAAGGCTAACGCACTGAAATCCTATGCAACTGATCATTCCCTTGCCCTCGGTTGTTCTGTTGGTCTCTTGCTTCTGTTTCTTCTACTTCCAAGAATGGTATTTCTTCTAGTTCTTCTTCTGGACTTCCAATGATATTATCATAAGAATGCCGAGTGGAGACAAAAGCATAGAGAAAACAGTTTAACAGGGCCAGAATGACATATGCGCGATAGATATAATCCAAACGACTTTGGTTTATACTATCACCAAGCCAGCTTTCTCTGTATCTGGATTCGGTGTAATAATTTAGAATAGCTACGAATCCTACGTTTAGTATTGTTCCAAATCCGGTAAGCGTGCTAGTAAATACAGGTCCATATCTCCTTGAATCTGGGGCATAATGACCAAAGAAATCCTGGATGCCATCGTCAGCTAATCCTTCCATTGCACCCAGGAAAAAGAATTGCAGAAGCAACCAAGATGCGGTAATGGGAGCAGGAGCTTCTGGATCATTTGACAGCCCCTCTTGTCTCAGAGCTTTTAACCGTTTGGCCTCTACTGATGATGCAACAGCGCAGCATATTATAGAGGCCAACATACCAATGCCAATCTTCACCCCATCAGAGTACCGTCTTTTTATTCTTGTTATTCGTTTTTCAAACACCATTTTATACCCCCTATTGACTGAAATTTTAGAAATCCATTGTATCATCTGCAAAACTACAACTGGGATACCACCGCTCATTGTGTTTGCCTGCTCAATGAAGAAGGTATTACCAAGAGATTCTACCATGCCATACGCGATGAAAGTCACAGACAATGGAATAATATTTGACAGAAGTTTTGCTTGCTCTACTTCTCTCACTGTGCAAAGTCTCCATCCCTTTTTAACAGAAGTTATTAATTCATCATCGGCAGCTGATGACTCTTTGACTGCTGCATTGTTGAGCCACCTGTATTTAGGGAAAACATCCATAGTTAAAATGTACATTTATTGAACAAATTAACACAATGAACGAATCATGAAAGTAAAAATGAAAAATATTATCCGAGGAAACAATCATAGGGGCTGTAAAAAACCTAGAAGGGAGAGATCAACTCACTCAAGATGGTCTGTAGGGAGTAGATTTTGATTGTCTCCATCACCACGATGAAGTTGGTTTAAATTTCCTCGGTATTTGAGACCCCACTTCCGCGCTGCGGCAATCAAGGCACGTAGCATAGTTGAAAGAGGACTTAGTTGCAGTCGACGAGGTCCATAGAAAGTGAAACCACAAACAAACCAAAGTAAACCAATTACGATCGCAATGGCTGATATCAAAAAACGCTGATGCCAATTGTCTTGGAAAGAGATAAAACCATAGAATGATGTTATGGTTCCCAGCATCATGTATACGAAGCAAAGCCATCCGATTACTCTCAGCTGCAATTTCCGCCAGCCTCCTATTTTAACCTTAAGCTGGCGGCATCCAACTTTAACCCTTGTTTCTGTACAGTGTTTTGGTACTCTTAAAACCTTGGTTTGGTCAAAAGAAAGGGAGTAAAGGGGAATGACTTGTGCAGCCCCACCAACAATCAGAAGAGCTAATCCTTCCCAGAATGGTGTATGTTTCAACTTTTTAAAACAATAAAATTTAACTTTCTCGACAGGAACACATACTTTTTCTTTGTTGAAAAAGTATTCAGGCACTGAGAATGCTAAAAGGCCAAGTCCCTGCATCGAAGTTGCAATATTTAGCAACAATCTTCATTTCTTCTCACCAAAAGGGAAATAACATCTATATATGTTCTACATCTTGAAATTTGACAATTGAATAAAATGTATAAGATACATTTTCAAGAAAATAGCCCACACTATCATATTATATGTAGTAGGGAGATATGAATGCTATGCTAATACCAAACAAGTGACATTTTAGGATACAAGTACAAGAAAAAAAATATAGGAGAGGGTTGTGTGGAAGAAGACAAACTTACAGCAGAATATAGAAGACTAGAAAGAAACAACATCCATCGATAACCAAGGAAAGCATCGATGCAGAAGGCAACATGAATCTGCAACATGTTCCTTAGACCCTCTTGAAGATTGACGATTGCTGCAGCTTCCTTTAGTTTCAACTTCCAGATATCCGTGAGGAATGTTACGAGGTTGTCCAGCACGTAAGTTATCAGGCCCTTACCGAAAAGCAGACCTATATATATAATATGACCAAATTAAGAAATATTATTGTTGAGTTAGCTGCCGAGAATTATTAATGAATTATTTTAGTATTATATATTCTCTCTTCTCCTTGTTGTATCTATATACATATCTATCAGTGCATCATTTTGAAGTGAAAATTGGTTTCTATAGGATTTCTTTTGTTTAAACACTTCACCGTTGGAAAGATTGCAAGAAGATTAGAATGTTCACCTTAATTAATGCCAAGCCATATCTATAGAACTAACCATACATTATTATACTGTCAGTTTCCCTATAGGTTAAAATGATCATTGCATCCAGGAAAATACGTTTTTTTTATTCATTCATTCTCACAAAAGACCGGACTAATTATATATATATATATATATATCATCTATTATCTATATATAAAAATGTGAATTTTAAAAGTATTAAATGTGATTGATCTAAATACCCATATAAACTTTTAAATTAACAAATTTATTGTTAAATATATAACTTTTATTAATTAATTTAAATTCAATTTAAATCAATTAAAATTGAAAATAGAGGTTATGTGAAACTAAATTACTTAAAATTTTAAAATTTTAATTTAAAAAATATTAAAAGTGATTGATTAAAATATCTTTAGTAAATTTTTTTTATAAATTTTAATTTAAGTAAAATTTCTTTTTACTATTATATATTTTTTATAATTAGAATAAAAAATTACTAAAAGCGATCGGTTAATATACTCTTAATAAAATTTTAATTTTGAAAATGTTAAAAGTAAGTGGTTAAAATATTATTAGCACTTTTTATAAATTATAATTTTTTTTTCATTTTTATACTTTTTTATACAACTAAGATGATTTTTCACATCAAATAAAAATACAAATAGAATGATATTAAAACTTAATGTGCATAGAATAAAACAATTATATGGATTTTGTTTTTTTAGTTATTGTAAGAACTATTATTTATATAGTTTATATTGATAAATAAATTCATTAAAGATAATCATAATTAAGTCATTGAAACATTTCTTTTTCTATTTTTTGCCCTTCAATTTTTGTTTTAATAGATTTGCTAATTATATATGTATGTTAATGATTTTATTATTTATATGTTTTATGAGTTAATCATTTGATTATTGATAATATAATTAAATCTTTTTAGTCTTTTAAAATAATTCTTTAACATATAATTTTCACAATTTAGTTTGACTTTTATAATTAATTTTTATTTTTAATTTTTTCCTTTAGAATTTTATAATTATTATTTTCATGAACAAAAATTAATAGTAAATCAAATTCAAATCAATTACACACTTTTTACTAATAATTAGCACTATGTGATTCATTGAACTCTTTAATATAACTTTTCACTTGTAGACTTAGTTGATTTAATGGAGCTATCAGTAGCTCAGGATTTAGTTTCATCAAATTATTTTAGACATCAAATTATTTAATTTAGTTTTGATATTTGCATTAGCATAAAAAGTTATTATTTTAACATATTATACATGTAAAACTACGGATAATAAATTAATAACATTTACTCATGTTTTTAAGTCATTTACACTTGAACTTTTTATTACATTTTTTTTTTTTACAAATTATATCATCTAGCATACATTGTGGTCATTTTCTTTTTGGATATATATAAATCAATGATAATATAATAGTAAATATTTAATAATTTAGTAATTAATCATTGAAAACTTAATGTAATTAGTATAACTTCGTAGTAATTATTGATGACTTAGTAATAAATTAGTAATAATTTAATAGTAAATAAATAATAATTTAGTAGTCAAGAAATTGATAACTTTTTGTAAATCAATAATAAGATAATAATAAATGCATAATACTTTAATGATAAAACAGTTATAATATAGTTGTAAATGCATAACAACATGTTACTAAATCAAGGATAACTTAACAAATAATTAATAACTTACTAGTTAATTATTGATAACTTAGTAATAAATAAATGATAACTTAATAGTAAATTCGTAATAATTTAATAGTAAATAAGTTTCACTTTAATAGTAATTAATTGATAGTAATAAATCATAAATAAATAAATAGCAAATCAATGATAACTACGTTAGTAAATAATTGATAATTTAGTAATTAGTTATTAAAAACTTGAAAGTAAATCATAAATAATTTAATAGTTAATTAGTGATAAATTAATAGTAAATTACGCATAATTTAAATAAATTAGTAATAATTTAATAGTGAATTACAGATAGTTTAGTGATAAATCGATGATAATTTTGTAAAAAATAATTGAAAAATTAAGTAGCAAATAAAAAATAACATAATAGTAAATATATAAAAACTTAATGGAAAATCATTGATAATTTACTAGTAAAATGATGACTTAGTAGTAAATCACTAATAACGTAATTGTAAATTTCTAATAACTTGATTATAAATCAGTAATAATTTAATAGTAAATTAGTTAATTATTAATAATTTTTTAGTAAATTATCCATAAATTAATAGTAAATTAGTTATAAATTTATAATAAATCATCAATAACTTAGTGATAAATTACCAACAATTTAATAAAAATCATTCATAACTTAATAACAAATCATTTATAAATTAGTACTAAGTCATTAATAATTTTGTAATAAATAACCGATAGCTTAAAAGTAAATTATTAATAACTTATTTGTCAATCATTGATAATCTTTTTTATAGTTGAAGTTTTCAAGGATTGACTGATTACTAGCAAAAACAAACTCAAAATTTTAATGTAAGGACTAGGATAAACCTACCATGAGAAAATCTAAATTTGAATAAAACAATAATATTATTATAGAAAAAGAAAATTATCTCACATATTATTAGTGAATTTTTTAAATTTCAAGTTTTATAGTTGTAAATGCATAATACCATATTAGTAAATCAGTGATAAATTAATAAAAAATAAGTGATAACTTAATAGTTAATCATTGATAACTTAATACTTAGTAATAAATTAATGATAACTTAATAATAAATCTATTTTTTAGTTTAATAATAATTAATTGATAAATTTAGAAGTAAATCATAAATAATTAAATATTAAACTAATGATAATTTAGTAGTTCATCATTAGAAACTTAAAAGTAGATCAATATAACTTAGTTGTAAAACTTAATAATAAATCATTCATAAATTAATAGTACATCAATGCTAATTTAGTAATAAATTTTGATAATTTAGTAATATATTTTTTATAGTTTAATAGTAAAATTAATGATAACTTAATTGTCAATCTTTGATAAATTTTTTTTATATTTGAAATTATCAAGAATTAAACATTGTTTACTAACAAAAATGAAGCTAAAAATTTCTTGTTAGGAGATTAGGATAAATCTACCATACACCTATTCAATAAAAAAAGTGAGTGAAAAAATTTTAAATTTGAATGAAATAATAACATTATTTAGTAAAAGAAAAATTATCTTATACTATAATTGAACCCGTGTTTTTTCATGATAATCCATTATTAAATATATGATTAAATAAATTTTATCAATAATTATCAAAAGTATATCATAAGTTATCAAAAGATTACTCAAATTACATTAAAAGGTTATCAAAATTAAATCAATAGTTATTAAAATTATATCATAAGTTACCTAACTAATATTGAAGGTTATCAAAATTGTATCAAAATTTACCAAAATTTTATTAAAAATTATCAAAATCAAAATTATATAAGAAGTTATCAAATTTTACTTATAATATAAAAATTCAAATTAAATTATTGGTATTTATCATTATTATCAAAAGTGAATAAAAAATTATCAAAATTTATTTATATTATACCAAAAATCAAAATTAAACTGCTAGTATTTATAGCTATTATTATAATATAAAAAAATTATTTATTAAAATAAATTTTTAGAGATTAAAACTATACGTAGATCACGTATCTAAAACTAATTTATATATAAAAGAATTAATGAGCAAATGGGTGAAATACCAAAAGTGAATGTGACCAGTAGTTCAGGCAATCTGAACCATCTTCGGAGTCCATCACATGTTCTCATCTTTGCTTTCGTAAGGCTAATTTGTGCTTATAACTTGGAATGTTGTTCTTTGACAGATATTTTCTGCATACATACCACACTCGTTCAGATGAAAGTTTACTATATAATATTACTTGTGCCGTGAAAGCAGAAATAATAAAATTTTAACTGAATTTTCACGTATTTTAGCCTGGGTTTTGAACTGATTCATGAAATTATTTTTATTTTTGCATTTGATTGTATTAAATGATGAAGAACAACCCAGCAAAGTGATTTGCACTCTCTAAGAAGCAAACAAGGACTATATATTGTTAAGTGTAGCCTCCCGGCCCTCCCCTCCCCCTCCCCCTCCACTTCCATCAAGATTTTTACCAACATTATTCGGTCGCTTTTTTAATTTTTTTTTTCGCAAGCTCGATCAACTAAAAACCCTTGCTAAGGCTAGCTATAGAGAGTTGTTTTGTGATAAATAATATAATATTTAGCAAAAAGAATTAAGAATTGAGACAGAGAATGTACCTGGTATAAGCTTGGAGTTGAAATTTTAAGTTCCAACACGGCAACCTGGAACTTGAATTCCGCCTTCTGTGTTTCTAGTGGGTTTTTTAACTTCCGAAAGGTTGGCATTTCTTTTATTTTGCCTAACGGTACCTTGAAAATCATTCTCCAGTAGAAGGCAGGGTTGGAGCCAGCTTGCGCTTACAGTACTATTGAAGACTTTAGCTTGACCCGCAGGAGTTTCCAGGTGTGCAATCCAACGGCTAAGATTTTATTTCATAAATATTGGAGATGATCTTTGATAGATGTAAATGAAGTTTTTCACGTTGAGTTCGTAGAGGTTTTTAATAAAAATAATTAAATAAAAATTAAAAATTAAAAAAATTTGTTTTATAAATTAAGCATATAAAATTTAATATATTTTTAAATAAATATTTTTAATAAAATATTAATAAAAATTTTCTCATTAAATAAATATTAATCAAATTTAAATTATAAATAATATTTTTAATATATTTTTATATATTAATAAATTTCACATTGAATTTTATTAATTAATTTAAATTTTTTATTAAAATTTTTGTTAAATTATTTTAAAAAATTTCACAAATTTATCTTAAAATACTTCTTGTAAATTTTGTGTCTCTCTCTCCATATATATGGTCGGTGGCTAATTTGTTAATTAGCCAGTTCAGCGTTTCGAGTCTCCCAACTCCAAACCGTGTCGGCAACCCGAGTCTCAACCGTGTCGGCAACCCGAGTCTCAACCGTGTCGGCAACCCGAGTCTCAACCGTGTCGGAAGGTGTGAGGTTATCAACTTTTTCCTTTGTAATCAAATTGTTAGAATGATTTATAATAAATCAATATCAAATTATAAAAATAATAAATTTGTAAATTATTCATCTCCAATTAATTAATATTTAGAGAAAGAATTTTGATCGAGTGATAAAAAACTCAATTTTTTTAAGTAATGTTTTAATTTTGAATTTTATAAATAAAAAATATAAATTTAAAAGAGCTTATTTTTTTTATGAAATTTGACCTGAATTAATCAAAATTTAAAACAATTATAAGATACTAAAAAATCTGAAATAAAAAAAAATATTTAAAGTAATATATATACCAACGTACATGTTTCTAAAGTTAAAATAAAAAAAATTGTAAAATCAATAAAATTAAATAATTTGATGTCTAAAATAAAAATTTTCTTATAAAAGACAATATACTAATATCGATTAAATTTAATTAATATTTATATTTTTATTTATATTTTTTATTTATTTTTATGTTTGATTTTTATTTTTATTCATTTCTTAAAAAAAAGTAACAAATAATAAATGTATCAATCTAATGAGTTTAAAGATGACAACAAGTTAAGCCAAGATATTTCAAATCTGATATAATTTTATATATTAAATGTTTAAACCTGATCCAATATGAAAATATTATTTTTATACTTGATTCGATTCGAATATATATAAAATCATAATTGATCTAACTTAAAATTAATAAAATATTATTTTTTAAATATAAATATATAAATATAAAATTAAATAATTAATTAAAGATATTATATATATACTAGGCCGGGAGAGGTTTATCTAAAACTCAACTCTAACTTAAAAAAAAAAAAAAGATTTGACCCAACTCAAAACCTAATTTAAAAAAAAAAAAGACAATTTTGGATGAAATTACCAAACCTAAGTTTCGTTTGTTTCGCAGAAAATGACTTTTAAAATTTAATTTTTAAAAAATATTTACATTTTTCTGAATTGAAAGATATTTTTTATTATTTGAATGAGTTAATAAAAATAATTTTCATTGTTTGGTTATTTTCAAGAAAATTTGTATTTTTTTTCAAATAATGGTAATATGACTACTAAAATATTAAAATTATTTATTATTAAAATTATTAATATTAAAAGATAATTATATTTTAATAATTATATTTAATATTAAAATATTATGTTAATATAAAAAATACTTAAAATAAAACTATTTATTATTCTTTATATTATTTATTAATATATTAATATATTATTTATTAATAATATTACTTATTAATATATTATTATAATATATTAATTAAATTAACAATATTTATTATTATATTATTTATTAATATAATTATATTATATATTAATATATAATTTATTAATATAATATACTTTATTTATTAATATAATATTATTTATTAAAATTAATATATTAGAATAATATTTCTTTATAATAATATTTATTAATATATTATATTAATAGTATATTATTTATTTATATAATATTATTTTAAATAAAATTATGCTCAAAAGTATTGATAATAGTTCTATTCATAAACAATTTTTTTTTTCAAAAAATATCTTTTTTTTTTTCAAATCTATAAAATAATTTTCAAAAAAATAATTTTATTTTCTATTAACTAATAAGTTATTTTTTGTTGACTAATTAATTTTTTGCTAAACAAATATTTAAAAATGTAAAAATTATTTTTCACGAAACAAATGAAATCTTCGATGAGCTCGAGATTATAAAAACAATAAAACACATATAAATTTTATCATATATTTTCAGTGATCAATAATTACTCAATTAGTTACACATGTAAAAAATAACATAGACAAAATTGGTTCACACATAATCAATTAATTATAGGAAAGTTACAAAGTGATAATTTCGTATCCACTAATTATATATATATATATATATTGTTATTATTATGTATATTACTATGTATATGGACCCTTAGTCAAATTTTTTTTTTAAGTTAAATTATAAGTAAATCGAATAAGAAAAAGATAAATATTATAATGAATGTTGATAAAATTGATAAATGAATTCATTGCATCATATTTAGTTTAGGTGACTTCAAATTGAACTTTTTAATTTCAGATCATTTTAGATTTTGATTATCTTAAGTTTAAATCATTTTTATTTCAAGTTTTTAGTATTTGATATTCGTGTTATTAGATTTGAATCGTTGAATTCAAATTATTCAAGTTATTAACTTTTAAAATTAAATTAATATAATTTCATAACATTTCAAATTAATATTTTGAGTCATTTAAATTAAAATTAGTTTATTCAAAGTTCAGATTTGAATTATTTTATATTCAAATTCAAATAATTTTGAATTTAGGTTAAACATATTCAAATTATCATATTTTTTAAAAATCAAATTGGGTTTAATCCTTTTCGGAAAGATTGACCAAATTTAGAGTGCATATCAGCTTTGACAACCCTATATGCTGTTAAACCTTACTCTTTAAATTTAATCAAGTTAATTATCAACAATTTTGTATCTAATCTATTTCCAAAATGGAAGAAATAGATGCATGTGCTCTCACCCGCTCATTGGAGACATTTCTTACATTATTGTCTTGATTTATCAGGCAACTATGTTAACAAACTATTAATAAAAAAAAGATCAACAGCTTAAGCCTATAACTAACGGCAATTGACAACTTTCCATTCATTATTATTTATTATGAAGCAAGAGTTAAGTAAATCATCTAAGGTCTTCATAAATTTAGCCTCACAATTCTTCGGCTTTGGCAGGGTATAAGAATGACAGAACCGAGACATGAATGCATTTTCTGGCATCATGATTGAGTTCTCCTCTCTTTCAGCATTGCATCACAAACTTTCACAGCATCTACATTGTCTTTAACATTGTGTACCCTGACAATGTTTGCCCCGCCCAAAGTCCCAGCAGTGACAGAAGCAATGGTTGCAGAATCTCTTTCAACTGCAGCAGGACGATTGCAAATTTCACCTAAAAATCTCTTTCTTGATGGTCCAATAAGTAGGGGAGCATGAGACACAGCGATGCTTCTCTTTGCAATCTCTGTACGAATGGCTGGTAAGCCGGCTAGGATTTCCAAATTATGTTCAGTCTTCTTAGAGAATCCAATTCCAGGGTCGATAATAATCCTCCATGCTGGAACTCCTGATAATTCTGCATCCTTAACTCTCGAGAACAACTCGGAGGCAACCTGAGAACAAACATCATCATATTGTAGGTTGTCACTACTCTGCATTGTAGTAGGGTCTCCCCTCATGTGCATTGCAATATAAGGAACATCAAGGCTAGCGACCATCTCATGCATGTTAGGGTCTAACTGCCCGGCAGATACATCATTTATAATATGAGCCCCTTTATTTACTGCCTCTGAGGCAACATCTGAATAGAAAGTATCCACGGATATGAGCTTCCCCTGCATCTCAGGCATTTCTAGAACAGCTTCTAAGACAGGTATTAACCTATCCAATTCTTCTTCGGCAGAAATTCTAGAGGCCATTGGCTGTGTAGATTGTGCACCAATATCTACTATATCTGCTCCTTCTGAAATCATCGAGTGAACATGAGAAACCGCATTCTCCACAGATAAGAACTTTCCACCATCACTAAAACTATCTGGGGTCAGATTAAGAATACCCATGACTGAGGTTTTCTCCGACCACTCCCATAAGTGATTCCTAATTGGTAAAACCCTTTTCATCCCTTCCTTTCCAATGAGGGATTCACCACCCAATTTCTCCCACGAACCAAATAGTCCATCAGAATCTGTTGAGAAAGAATGCCAGCAAGCAATGGTATCACTGTCAATAACTGATCCTAGTAAATCCATTAATGGGGCCATTACAAATGGTCGCTCCCATATTCTCACATGGGGGACAGTTAGTATATCAGAACCAATCTGATACTTTCCATAAAACAAGATATCTAGATCAATTGGCCTCGGACCATACCTTATTCCACCAGTACGACCCATGTCTTTTTCAATTTTCTTAAGCACACCCAAGAGTTCATGTGGCCCTAGCTTTGTAACGGCTCTAACTGCAGAGTTGAGAAACCGGGGCTGATCAGTGACATAGGCAGGTGCTGTCTCATATAAACAAGCATGTCTTGTGATATTGATACCCATTTTCCTCATTAAATTCAAGGCTTCATTGAAATTATTAAGTCTGTCACCCACATTGCTTCCTAAAGCAATCACCACTTCCTGGTCCGGAGAATGAACTTCCACCGAGTAATCTGGGGTTGTATGCAGAAACACGCAGAAAGATGCTGCAGTAAATGTTACAAAAATGATAATCAAAAAGCTATAAATTGATTAATTTCGAGTGAACTAAAAGATTCTAGTAACATACACCCATATACATGTTTTATTTCTTGTAATTACTATTAAGGAAACCGATGGAACCACAAAAGCTAGTTTTCCATTTAAACCAGTGTAAAGCAGCAGTCATAAGAAATTTACAGCGAACAAGTGCAAACTATGCAATAGACGCATGCAAGACATGAATTTGGCCATTGATGTATGAGCAGAAAATATAAACATTCATTTTAAAACCCATAAAGGGGAACAGAAAACAAGTCCACATTAGATATATACCTCTATAATACCTTTGGGCACCAATAATCCCACGTTGGGTGGGTAAAAGCTGCTTGAAAATATTCATAAGAAATTTCTTCAACAGCTTCTCAATCTAAGCAAAGTTTTAATTTTTATTTGTCATTGACTAAGCTTTGCTCAATTTTCAGCATCACACTGCAGTTACAGGTTGCAGAAGAAAGAGGACGTTACATATTTCCAAGTTATGTAGCATACAAAATCCTTCAATGGGTATCCAATTCTACTAACTAAAAACCAAACAAAACCAAGAAAAAAGGGTACCTTGCTTACATATTCAGCATAGAAGAATTAAAGGCAAAGTCTTCGATGAATCCAAGCGATGAGGCTGCAGTCTGGAGAGAGAGATTCCAAAGGGTCCTTGCTTTTAGCGAGAGATAAAGGAGAACATCAAAACTCAGCGTTTTATGGTTTGCTAATACTGTTTTTGTAATATTAATATATCTTGGGTACAGAGTCGTCAGACAGAGAGAGAGCGCGTGTAAAACTAAAACCCGAGTTCCCTCCGTCCTCTCTTTTATTTCCAAATCTTAAAACCCCACAACAAGGAGAAGTTTCTCAGTTCTCACTTCTTACAACTGCAAATTAGTAGAGACAGAATGGCATCCCTCTCTTTCACTCACTTTCTCTCGTTTCCCAGGTTCTTTCATTCTCTATTTATCTCAGTTTTAGCAGTGTTTCTTTTTCCCTTTTTAATGTTTCTTTGTAACTGGTACCCTTTTTTTGTATTTCATTTGATGGGATATAACCGTTGCTGTTTCTTTACCATGTTTAATGCAAAGTGGTGTCTGTCCATTACTTTTTATGTTATGAATTTGAATGTGTCTTTCCTTTGCGTGGATGCCCATTTTATAGTTCAGTTCAGCTGCTTCCATATTAGTTTGCTATTTTGCTCTAAAGACCCGTGCATTTACTTTTTTTTAATTGTACTGTTTATAAAACTGAATGTGAATCAACATTTATTTTTATCAAAATTTTGAAAGAAATTTAAAATTTTTTCTGGGTATGCTTCGATTTTCTTTTTTTGTTGTGTGTTACTTTGTGGCTGTGTGAAACTGTTAACATGCTCGAGCATGTGTATTGGCTTTTTTCTAATGGTTGTGGGGTAGGAAGTTGCTGTTTGTTGAATTTACCATGGGGCGTATGGTATAGACTGGACTTTACTATGTAAGAGTTCAGATTACCTATGCTTTAGCCTCAGCTTGCTTGTAAACCAAAGGTTGATTATTTTATACTTAGCTATGCTGATCTTTCTTTCTTTCTCTCTTTTTTTTTTATTTTTTATTTTGCTCTCTGATTATGCAGGTGGAGCTCAATTTCAATTTATTACCCGGCATTGAACTTAGTGCGACCTCAGGATTTTCGATTGCAGAATAAATGGTATCTCTCAGCCAAGAAAAATGCTGACATTCCAAATCAAGAGAAAGCTAGTGAAAATGGGGCAGTTGTCAAAAAGAAGACTTCTGGAACTACTAGACGAACTGCTACACGAACTAGGAAGAAAGCAATAGATGATGTGCCTGCTGAAAACTCTGAATTGGTGTTAAATTCTGATTCCAAAAATGAGGAAAGCACCACATCTGTATCAAGTGAAGATAATAAGAAAACCTCACAAGGGACGAGAAAGAAAGGTATGACCTTGCAATTTCATCAGTTTCTTGTGTCATCAAACATTTCTTTGTACATGTTGATTTAATTCAGTTAGTTTTTGCTAAATTGATACTCCTATCATTCATAGTGGCATCAGCTTCTACTAGTGTTGAGGAACAGAAAACTGAGAAAAAGTTAAGGAGGAGAAGGACTAAGAAGATGGACGATGATATGGAGGAGCAACAAAGTGAATCCGAAATTAGTGATGTAGAGGAGTCTACTTTAACGACAAATTTGGGTGATGAGAGCGAAGAAGACATCGAATTCAATATAGATGAAGGTGAAGATATTAGTTACACATATGGCTTGCCTCCACTTGTTTGTTGCTTTGGAGCTGCACAGCATGCTTTTGTTCCCTCAGGAAGACCAGCTAACAGACTTGTAGATTATGAAATCCATGAGAGAATGAAGGATGCTAGATGGGCCCCAGAAAAGTTTGTTAGGGCACCTGGGGGTTCTGCTGGCAGTGTTGCTCTTGCTCTTGCTAGCCTGGATGGTAAAGTTGCTTTTATGGGAAAACTTGGTGATGATGACTATGGACAGGCCATGCTATGCTATTTAAATGTGAACAATGTTCAAACACGATCAGTTCAAATTGATAGTAAAAGGGCAACAGCAGTATCAAAGATGAAAATTAGTAAGAGAGGTCGCTTGAGGATGACTGGTCTTAAATCATGTGCCGAGGATTCTCTTTCTACGTCTGAGATCAATGTCGATGTGCTGAAAGAGGTACTAGACTTCCATAACTGTGCAAAAAGTAATCCATGCTAATGTTTACATTTTAGTCCTTGTTTTTGATGATATATGGTTAGTGATTTTACACCACTATGCTTTTTGAATATTTATGTGCTTCACTTCTTATTCAAGAAAAATTTAGAATTGCAAGGATACTTTTTAGTAATTTGGTAGAAAAAAAAAGTTGTGTAGTATTAAAAAGACATTATATAAGTTATCTGTGAGAGTTTCAGCTTAAAGCAGAAGCTAAGGAGCCATTTGCTTAAGTGCCTACATATATTTGGGTTCTTCTGTCAATTATTCCAACTTAGGCCAATATTTGTCTAATTTTTTGACCCCAACAATTTTATTTTTGGTGCTTTTCTTTGTCAACCTCAAGATCAGAGTGTTTTCCAGTTGGATTCTTTGGGTTTGACTATTTATGGAATTTCAAGGTTTAAGAACATTCAATTGTGTGCTCTCATAAATTCTTGTCATCTGCTACTAGCTGCTTAAAAAATGCAAAATCACTTACCAACTTATAGATGTCCCTACAATAGAAGAAATTAAATTCAAAATGCTAAGGCAGGTCATACCTCTATAGTTAAATAATTTTTAATATTTTTATTATAAGAAAGATATAGTGCTCCTAGAAATTATTGATTTATTTAACAACCTCCTTGTAGGCAAAGATGTTCTACTTCAGCTCACATTCTCTGCTTGATCGAAACATGAGATCAACTACATTGAAAGCTATCAAGATGTCCAAGAAATTAGGAGGAGTTATTTTCTATGATGTAAACCTTCCACTGCCACTCTGGCGGTCTGATGAAGAGACCAAGATGTTCATACAAGAAGCATGGAACCTTGCTAATGTTATTGAGGTTACTAAGCAAGAGTTGGAGTTTCTTTGTGGAATAAAGCCCACGGAAGAATTTGACACCAAGAACAGTGCCAGTTCAAAATTTATCCATTATGATCATGAAGTGGTTGCACCACTTTGGCACAAAAATCTCAAGGTTTTGTTTGTAACAAATGGGACTTCCAAGATACATTATTACACTAAGGAGCAAAATGGTGCAGTGCATGGGATGGAGGATGCCCCCTTAACCCCCTTCTCTTGTGATATGTCAGCATCTGCAGATGGCATTGTTGCAGGTACAGACTTGCCAATCTGCCTATTTCTGCTCTCTGCTACATTGAAGTGCGTAGATTAGTTTGGAGCCTGGATACTTAGGGTAGGGCCTGTCGAGGTTTTACCATGCTGAGCCTTTCTTTTCCCATTGAAAGCATAATTTGGTTTTGAGGTAGAAGCCTGAGCAGTTGGTTTGGCCAACCACTCAGCGTAGGATATCTTTTTGCAGGAAATGCTGTTTGACGGTCCATTTCAACTGGGCTCATTTGTAATAGGTGATATAGTTAGATAATCTTGATATAGATTTTCCTCATTATTGACATATTCTTGATGCATGGATACAAAATCATGGTTATTTACTGTTGTTCAAACTTCAACTTATCCTTCTTTTTTTTTGGACAAAATTTCAGCTCTACTGAGAATGTTGACAGTTCAGTCAGATCTCATTACAGATAAAGGATACTTAGAACGCACAATCAGGTATGCAATTGACTGTGGGGTCATAGACCAATGGCTCGTTTCACGCAGGCGTGGCTTCCCTCCAAAGGAAGGCATAGAAGTGGAAGGGGAAGAAGAAGAAAAAGAACATGATGATGAAGAAGAAGCAGTCCCTGATCCAAATGGCATAAGATCAATAACTTTAAGAGAATACCGCACACTGGTGGAGTCTGTAAGTTTATCTTAGATGTCGTACTGATGCTTATAGTTTATTTAATCATATGCCTTAGGAAATTTCATACCGCTGTAAAGTAAGCTGAGTGTTTTGGTTCCACTCGATTGAATCTTGTTAACTTAGAAACCAATTTTGAAATGAATGAAGAGCATGTATAATTCCAAACCCAGAAGTTGGTCAGTATTTTCTCACAAAGCTTAAAAGTTGCTTGATCTTATCTTTGTAGAATATGCCATGGTTGCAAGCAGTACAACAGTACTTTGATTATGAACAGTTTATTGTACTACACACCTTGTAACCGAAGATGTTCAACTGAACATATACTCACTTTCCCTGAAGTGAGAGGCACGTAAAGCTAAAGCTACAGCTTTTGCTAGAACGACATCCTTAAAAATGTACAGTCGGAGGGCACTTTTCATTGAAAGTATTAATTTTTGCATATTTGCTTTCCTCATGGCGGTCCTAATAAAGTTCAGTTCTTCAGAAATATATATGGAGCTTAAATTTTGATAGCTTTGTTAGGGGGGTTTAGTCCAATCCTCTAGAATATGCTGCCCACATCATCAACTAGAGTCTCTTTTTTGAAAGTTGAAAGAGAATGGACATATTTAAAATCTTTCCATTATTTAATTTTGGATAATTAAGAGTGGGTGAAGAAGCTAATCTTTTATTTCAGCTGATGTCAAGAGGTAGATTAGGTATTTTAGTATTTTTTTTTCAATCATCATCCATGTAATTATTAGTTGAAGGCTTCAAGCTATCCAACTGATGTCAAGGGCATATGTTTCTTTATTCCTTTTTTTTTTTTTTTGGTTATTGGATCTTAGAGTTTTGCAATTCAGGAACCCTTTAACCATTTTTTTTTCTTTTGGGGAAAGGGTTATCCAAAACCTTTTTTGAGTAGAGGATATGTGTACTTACCATTGAATCAAAGGTTGGGATGCATGACCATGTGAGATGTTCTTCAAGCAGTGAATGAGAAAGGCTCTGATTTGGCATATTACAAAGACGCATCACACAATTTCTTAAGTAATTATTGATTATAATCCATCTTTACAACAGAGATTGATCTTTGATCCATGCAAATGTATATTGCCACAGTTTGATTTTACTTTGATTATCCAGGTCAGAAGATTGGGATTCCAGTGGGCCAAGGGTAGGAAAATTTCCCCTTTAAAATACGGAGCATGTGTCAACGTGGTAGGCATGCCGTTCCACATTTCACTCATCTGGCTTCCCAATGGACAGCACCCAAACTTCACATTCACATGTTAATGGAACCTGAACCACGAAAAGGCTTTGCATTAAGACCCCAACTTTTATTTTCCTCTCCTTACAAAAACGATACCACATTTCCCATCTCAAATAGAACAGAGAGGAAGGAAAACCAAAATGAAGAATTTAACCAAACTAAGAAAAAGAAGCAGGAGCTAATCGAAGACGAGGATCAACATGTTTCGAAATCCTCCAACTACATACAAACATACGGTATGGCAAGAAAAACTTGACCCTACTCAGAAAATTGAAGACCGCCCAGTTTTGATGCAGCTGGCTTGTCCAAAAACCATACCAACTTCCCTTTTGTTGGTTGGACTAACCGTGCAGGAAGTGATGGGCAGTCGGGTCCAACATTATCAATTGCCAAATGCACAGCCTCTGCTTTGCTCTCACCTGTCACGACCATTGCTACATTGGATGCTGAATTGATGACAGGCAAAGTGAATGTTATCCTCTCAGGTGGTGGTTTGGGGGAATCGGTGATAAAAGTTACCCATTCTTCTGTCTCATTGAGCGCTGAATGATTAGGAAACAGCGAGGCAATGTGACCATCAGGACCCATCCCAAGAAGGATAAGATCAAACTTGGGGCAGTCACTAATGTCAGAAACACTGACCATCCGTATTTTCACTAACTGCCGGATAACAAACATATACTCATCAGCAGCCTCCTCTGCTGAAACTGAATCATTGATAGAATGAACATGGCTGGGAACAATCGGCACCTGCAAATACAAGGCATAAGCCATAAGAGCATATACAATATGCCTAACTTATCAAAACAAACTGAAGCATAAATTTTCAATCAACCTAAATCAGAACTTTAAAATGGTGTCACCATGACACCAAATGTGGATGGAAACCCTCTACGCAAACCAAACATCTAGTTCAATTGAAAACAACACAGATGATACTTAATTCATTCATGCCAGTAAACACTTGCCCAAAGAGGACAGAACACTCAATTTCACACCTTCTAATGTCTAAGTTGACGCTGAATCAGACGGTAAAAAGTAAACAAAAAAAAAAAGGTAATAGATAATTCTAATATTTCATACTTGCTAAGCATATATTTAATTCAATATCAGAAGATAACCACAACACAGTGGAGATGAATTCAAAGAGAAAACATGGGAATCACTGAAAATAAGGAATCTATTAAGAAATAAAATAATCAGATGTTGGGATATCATAGGTAAACTAATAGTTAACGTTGATCTGTTCCAAACACAGAAAACAACATCATAGAATAAGGAAATTAAGCTTAGATACCGTCTAGCAAAGGCTAATATTTCAAGATCCAAAGTGTGGATCAGTCTAATCACTGAATAATGAAACAACTAATCTGTACATTGTGTATTAACTTAAGCAGGGAAACTAATAGTTAACTTAAGCAGGGAAAATAAGGAAATCTGTTAAGAAATAAAATAATCAGATGTTGGGATATCATAGGTAAACTAATAGTTAACGTTGATCTGTTCCAAACACAGAAAACAACATCATAGAATAAGGAAATTAAGCTTAGATACCGTCTAGCAAAGGCTAATATTTCAAGATCCAAAGTGTGGATCAGTCTAATCACTGAATAATGAAACAACTAATCTGTACATTGTGTATTAACTTAAGCAGGGAAACTCATGAAAAGAATGAGATAAGAAAGAAAACACAGTAATAAGATACCAATATCAGAACAGTAAACATCATCTTCTTATCCCAATTTCCCTTCATTTGGCTCTCGTAAAGCAAAAAGGAAACCCAAAAAAAAAAAAAAAGAGATCAAATAAAGGGTGAAACCAGGCACGAACCTTGGAAAGAAGACCATCCTTTGCAAGCTTATAATTGCTATCAGAATGGTTTTTTGCCACAACACGTTCATCCGCCCAAAATATATACCATTTAGCCCAGTCTACAGTCCTGTTATAAGGAGCTTCACAGAGTTTTCTGTTTCCCACCAAAAACTTTAAAAGCAAGAACACCAAAATCACAAGACCAACAAAAAGAAAAAGACCAAACATGGAAAAGGAATGCATTGATACCCCATTAAGCCAATGAGAGAACCTCCAGATAATGCAATAGCAAAGACGCCCCTCTCCTTCACCGCAGCCTCTGATAACTCAGCAATATAGTCAGCCAAATCTGTCCTTAGCTCATCCAAATTTTCATGAATTCTCAATTCTCCTCTATCATTATTAGCCCCGGAAAGAGCCATGCTTCTGACAATTTTACCAACTCTAATGTCAAAAAAAAATAATAATAAAATAAAAAATTTTTAAACAATCAAAGTTAAGAATGAAACAAAGCCAATAACACAGAAATCTCCAATTACAAGAGTAAAACTAATTAAAAGCAGTTTCTCCAGCAAAAACTCCATCAAGAACAATGAAAAAAAAATCTCACTATTAAAAAGAAAATGTAGCAGCAGCCAATAAAGCCATTAACTTTTGCTCACAGGTATTAAGTTAAAATTAATGAAACATCAAAATTCTAGATTATGCTAAACAGTTAAATGAATCTATGACTCAAAAGTAAGAAACACTCAATAACACAGTTTAAGATTAATTAAACAAAAACAAAAAACAATCAACCAGGTGATAATAGCCAAAGGCCCATCACTTTAAGCATAGATTTTAAAACTTTAGATTGAACACAAGAAGGCCAATCCAAAAAAAAGGTATGATCAATTGATCATAGCCAGAGATCAAGAAAAATCAAAACTTTAACCAATTTTCATATGTCTCAAACAGATTAATTCACAGCAAAAACAGTTACATCCAGAACATGAAAAAGAAAGCTCTGATCAAAGAAAAATCTAAAATTTATTACTTACAACAAATTAGTGCAAAAACAGAAATAAAATGGGAAATGCTTTCAAAGAAAGAAGAAAAGAAAGAATGAAGATGGGTAGTTACAGAGAAGCAAGAAATAGATGAAGATGGAAGATGGGTAATCAACAACAAATGAAATAATAATTATTATTTATATAATAGAACATAAAAACAGACAAATTAAAAATAAAATAAAATAAGTAAAAAACTTTGTTTCAGAAGCTGATGAGAATTTACCTTCTGGGTTTCCACGTGCAACCAATGATATCGAGAAATCACACACAAAAAAAAAAAGAAAAAATAAATAAAATAATTCTTAGAAAAATAAACAAACCCAAAGCAAAAACTTTTCTTTTTCTCTTTATCTCTATCTTTTTACTTATCTCTTTGTTTTTTAAGAGACGAAGAAGCAGAGAAAATCTTTGTTTCCTAAATACTCTGCTATAACATCTTCCTTTTATAAATCAACACCTGGGTTTTAGTTAATGTTACCAAATAAAGAATTAAATTAATTAAAAATATAGATTTTTATTTTAATTATTAATAAGATGCTGTTTTTGGAAAGAAAGAAAAAACAGGGGAGGGTTGAGAAGAAACAGAGTTCTAAAAGACTAACCAAACACCTGTCCAAATCAGCTGCTGACAAATGCACCAATGGTACTTTTCGTCTTTTAAGACTAAAACAATGGTTTTTTTTAATATAAAAAAACTATTTTTACAATTTTTTTGCTATTCTATTTTATTAAATCTTTCCCTTTCTATCTCTGTCACTTTGCTTTTTTGATTGTTTTTTATTAGTACTATTAATATCTTTGGATTATTATAAAATATTTTTTATTTAATACTTTATTGCCAAATGATATAATTGTTAATAAACACAAACCAAAAATCAAATTATGAAAATCTCAAATAAAAAAAATCCGCCTTCTTTTTCTCCTTTAGCATTTTCTGACTCTTCTTTTCTTAGCTTCGTTATAAAATTTCTTTTTGATTGTCTCCCCCAAAACCGGCTACTTTACACCATTTTTATACGTGTTTTGTATGATATTGGTGTATTCTTTTTTTTTTTTTAAGAAAAAATTTAAAGTTAGATAAATTGTTCGATCTTTCATATCAAAATAAGATGTGTCGTATTTGATAACTTAAAACAAGTAATTACAGGTCGTATATTCGAGATGATTTCAACAAATGATAATTGATAAGACTCGAATTTAAAATTTTTTCATAAAAAAAAATGAACTTAACCGATTGAATCAATTACTTATTAATAATATTTATGCATTTTTACACACTATAATCATCTTCTTTGATCCCTATATATTCCTACATTACCAGTATTGAAAGTACAATAGTAAATGAACCCCTTTCTTAGGAATCATTCATCAATTATATATCTAGACATTAAATTAGATAGTAATTTGTTTTAATCATATGGTAAGAAAAAATATATATATTTGGTTGTAAAATGATAGTATCTTAGAAAAATGAAAATATAATTTTATTTTTATTTTTGGATAAAATTAGTATCTTAGAATTAGTGTTGCATTTTTTTTTCCTTTTTCCCACTTTAAATATTTCTTGAGTTCATTGTTTGAAAGTGTTTTTTTTAATGCCATTTCAATCTTTTGGAGCTATTCTTGATAATGTCGGGTTTCATGGTGTTTGTATTGAAGAAATCATGTCAGCCATCATTTTCTCTGGTTTCTGCAACCTCCACTCCACCACCATAAAAATATACTCTATCATTTAAATAATTAGTGAATTGATGATGACGATGAATGTAACAAGGGGAAGTGTGGAATCTCTTGCTCTCAAACATCAATATCAAGGCAAAAGAAAGGTAGGAGGGTGTTCAAAACCCCTCCTATCCCAACAAATTCAAAGCCCCACTTGATGACAAATCAAGATCTGGTGCCCCAGTTTCAGAAATATTAGCATTATCCAAGCCTGACAGATTTTGTTGCTCCTTTGAGGAAGAAGCAGATAGGCCAATAAAGCCATCTCCCCCTCTAGGCTAACGTCAATTCATCTTTGGATTCTAACTTATGACAAAAATATAAATGCCCCTTGTGTTCTCAAATCCCATTTTTTTTTAACTATATAATTAGTGTATTTTCGAGTTCTATTTGAATTTATTTTTTTTAAATGATTTTAAAAACGTATTTTCATATTGATTTGGTGCATTCAGCATCACCATTAGTTTCTTATTTGACCAGCATCCTAGAAGTCATGTTGAAATATAGATTTTTTCACCAGGATTTTGTGCCGAAAACAATGAATAAAAGATATCTATCAAAAAGTGGTTGGGTTAATTAATAAAAAATCATTCTTATCGACATAAATATTTTAAATTCGAGTCTAATGATAATTATTTATTATGATTATTTTAAATATACGATCTTCAATAATTTATCTTAAATTAATAAATACGATATATATTATTATTATTTAGACATTAAATATAAAATTTAAAGGAAAAAAAAAAAAAACTCTCTTAAACAGATTGAATCATAGGCCAAATCTCTTGGAGTTGAGAACCTAAAAAACCCAAACTATAGCCAAGTTTAGAGCAAGATTTGAGTGCCTCCCAACACCCCAACATTGATCTTTAATTGGACTGATAACTGCTAAATTCTTTCCCTTTCTCTCTCTTTTATTGCTAAATTATTGTATCAATTTAGCTGCTGACAGTCATACATGCAAATGCAATCATCTCTCATAAAACATAGATCTAGACATGATCAAAATTGATTTTTTTTTTATTATGATTTTCAAACCATGATTTACGCCATTAACCTTTCTAAATTATTGTTGTTTGCTAAAGCAGTAACATTAATAGACTTCAAATAATATATACTTTCACCCTATTAATTATTGGAATGGTTGAAATTGACTGTTCAGTCTAATATGGTGTAATATTCTTTTCACACACAACAACAGCAACCAAAATTTTTTTCTAATTTCCTTTTTTTTCCCTAAAAAATAGTATTTTTTATGCAAATATTGGACAAAAACTGTTTTTCTCAAATGATTCACAGCTTATTTTAGATGATAGATTTTTATAAGATTGAGATTTAATCTCCAAACATTCACAATTTTTTTTTAATTCGTATCTTTAGATTTTGATTTTTTTTGTTCAATAATCCAAAATTTGTTCTTCAAAATGTGTTACAAATCAAAATTTAGGTAAAGTAGTAGTGTCTAGTATTGAAACCAAAACTACTTAAAACGATGAGAGTAACCCATAACCCATTTTTGAGTAGCTGTTAGCTGCAAAAATTGCAAATCAATTCTTTTTGGTGCCTTGTCTTTGTCTTAGTTGATTAGTGTTCAATCCTTTTATTGAAAAATTTTATGTTCAAATCTGTTTTGAATTGCTTTTTTTTTTTTTTTTTTTTTTTTTACGTATGATTCAGCAGTCTAAAAAATACAACTAAAAATAAAAAGTTGAAATTGTCAAATTCATCGTCTTCATGGTGAAGTTGAGTGGTTGCTTGCCTACTCTATTGTAAAATAATAATAATAATTAATTTGAAAAATCGAAAACCAAGAAAAATTACGGCTGAAAAAGAAAAAAAAATGTAAAATTAATGCAAAGAATTACATGCGTGTAGGGATCAAACTTCGAAAAATTCTTCCTATTCAAACCACCCGACGTAAATAATCTATTTTATATATAAACATTAATGTAAAATTTTCACATGCTGTCTTAAATCTTGATTGCTTGTTATAAAATTTAGACAGAGCTCTTTCCTTAATTTCAAACATTAAAAACATAAAAGATTCTAAAAAATAATCAGAGATTCCTCCATTGGAATTGCTCCCCATTATTATACTTGAAATTTGTAGTCACCGGATTTACACGTATCTTAGTTTCTCGAAGGAAACTTGATAAGCCCAAAAACTTGCTGGCAGAACACTTGGTTCTTCTTTGAAAATAGAATAAATTAGGAAAAAAAATTCCATGTTTTGATAAAATGGAATCAAGTTATACATAATTCCCATGATCCCATTTTGCCCAAATTGGATTGGCTTCAGTTTTATTTCCCCATCTTACTTTTTGCCAGGTGGTAATTATCATATTGTTCGATGAAATAATTAATGCGATGATATTTTAAGATATGAAGATATATATATATATATATATATATATATATATTATTGTCAAGTAATTATTTTTAATTTTTTTTATAAATTTAATAATTCATATATTTATATAATATAAAATATTAATAATTTATGTATTAATATCGTATTTTATATAAAAATTATGTGAACATAAAAATATAAAATATATATTTTTTAATTTGTTAAATTTATTTATAATTTTTATTAAAATTTTAAATGGTGTCTTTTATTCATATTTTGTTATTGTATCACATTTAAAATTATTAGATTAAATTTTTTGTTTGATTAAAATAAGGAAAGTTTTATGCAAAAATTTCAAAAATATTTTGACTGCATATTTATAAAGTTTTTTAGTCCTAATTGGAAATAATTATATACATATATATATATAGCAAAATGCAATTTAAAAGTAAAAAAAAAAATTATAAATGTTAAGATTTAAATGTTATATTTATTAAATATCCATTTTTCCGTCTATTGATCTAATGGCCAAAAAGAGCTTAGAGGGAACACGAGGGCCCGATTTAGAGCCACCCCCTCCCCCACCCAAAAAAAAAAAAAATCTAACTTTTAAAATAAATTAATTAAACTAAAATTTACGTTCAAATCGAAAATAATTACAAGGTAACCCGACATACTCCACTGAAAATGGTGATTCCTTTTCTGTCAATAAATAAAAGAATAAGGATTCACAATGGAGACGTGCAGGTTGAAACAATTTGCAGAACTCCAAGAATGAAGGAAAAAAATAGTAACGATTTTAAATGCTTGGCAAATCCTCAAATAAGACTATGGGTGACAACCTTGTTTGCAATTTGACTTTGTTCTTGTTAAGATAAGATGTTTACATTAATGAGAAAGAAAAATGTGATAATTCACATCAATTAAGCTGGAAACCAAACCCATATCTACCAAGAGTGAAAAAAGAAAATCTAAAATTTAATCAATCATATGCTAAACCAAACACCATTGTCTGGTGTAATAGTAAAAATCAATTGATAAAAATTTTGAATTAAATTTAACAAAAATGAATTATTTATCTCTCTTAAGAAATAGATTTTCCTAAGATTAAAATTTGATTCTCGACAAAACTGAACTTTATTAAATAAAAATCATACCATCCATGATCTTTATATATCCAAAAACTTTTTTTACATAAGTTTAAGATTTGATTCTCCGTAAGACTGAACTTTATTACATTAAAATTATACCATCCAATGATCTTTATATATCCAAAACTTTTTTTACATATATATATATATATATATTTTTTTTGAGGTAGTGCAGTTATAATTGAATGGTATTGCACTGTAAAAAAATTGAATGTAAAAGGGTAATCTCATAGACAGATAGTTGAATCGGAATGAACAATTTTTCCATTAATGTATGTTTCTCTTCTGAATCTCAATCATAGGTTAAAACAAACTCAATAATAATAGTGGGGACAATGATCTCAGCAAAGCAAGCTGAGATGATTAATGTAGTCTTATCAAATATTATTCTGTCTAATGGGTCATTACTTCACACTCCTAATACAGGACTTTGGGTAGCTTTAGCAGTATTTAATCTGTTCTTCTGCCGTTTTAGATAATGCAAATTTCTATTGAATGCCTGTTGGATGGCAACTTTCTTAGGCTATCCTAATATTTTTGTCCTATCAGTCGCAATCATGGGCCTTCCATGTTTTTTTTTTTTTTATCAACTTCTAAAATTGGAATTTATCTGGTTTTTATTGGTTCTCATGGTTGATTTGTCGAATTGAAAATCCACTACCTCATTCTTTTCTTCATCATCAACAATGTTGAATCAGAAAAAATTGGAGGAAACTATAACCAGGAAATAGATTCATATGTCAGCTTGAAGATTTTCCTGGTGAGTATTATTATGTAGTATAAAATTTGGGAGATATTCTCTTAGAATTGTGCAATTGGATAAACTTTTATCTTTTCATGGGTTCTTTCATTATTGTAATAAGATTCTCAAAGTCATTATCTTTGAGAGGGCTAAAATTGTATAATCTATTGATAGAATGCTAAACTTTTAATTTCAATAATTAAAATTTAAATTCTGACATAATCAAATATTGAAATCTCAGTGCATAAAAACCTTTTCAGCCAATAAGGTGGATAACCAAAACTTGCATTTGACAATTACTGAGAAAAGAAACGTCTTACTCACATGATAGTATGAGAAAAAATCCACTCCATTGCTAGTGGTCCACTTGCTTAGTGGATGGTGGTAGCTTAAGGGCCTGTCTAGATGGGTGTTTCCCCCCTCAAATTGACATACTACCCTTCTCTTCTTGCCTAATCTTAAGGGCATGCACGATATTGTAATTATTGCCTAATCTTAAGAACGGGTTAGTCGGGCCTAGCCATGTCTAAAGTTCGATCTTTTTACTTTGGGCTTCAAAATTAAAACCTTCACAAACAGATAGATACCAACTAGACAAGCATCTCTCGGATGATAGGACTCAAATAAAAGACCTGGCCAGTAAGCCAGATGCTTCTGAAGTTCCATACGGTTAAAAGGAGGAAAAGAAAAAAATGGGTGATATGAATTACCCTAATAATGATTTTGGTAAGAGGTAAGAAGTTGGTAGACCACAATATTTCATGCGGTTGAAATGCAGGACAGTGATCAATTGTCAGTTTTTTGAGTAGCAAACAGCTGCAGAAACTGCGAATCAACCAGTCAGCACTAAACTGAGCCAAGAGTGTGCTTAAATTAAGTCTAGTTTTGATAAAATATAAAATACGCACTGTTATAGCTCGAGAACTAGGGAACTACTCATATTTTATCAGTGGCTATGGTTACAAGCTCTAAAAGAGACAAAGAGGCAATAGTCCATGGGAGTTCTGTGAATGCAAGAAGAGTGATAAAATAACCAAGTTTGAAGCTTTACTAATATATCTAATGCGGCTAAGAACATAGATGGCTTCATGCCAATTGCTCCAATTAAACAACCATAGATAGAAGTAGGTAATAAAGTGAAAAGCTACCTAATGATGATCTTCAAAAGAAACTAACCACCTACACCAAGAAACTATTCTAAAATGGGGAACAACTGATCCAATGTGTTATTCATGTTAGTAATTTGTAAGAAATATTTTAAGCTCATATAGGTTGTAACAATACCTGAAATTTTGGTTTTCATATCGAAGCTTTATTGATAAAATTAAAATGAAACTTTTATCATCTTGCCCTGTATACCTTGCCACCCGTTGTTTTTCAGTATTCAAGGCACAGCATTATCATCCTATGCCGGTCAAAAGACAGTTTTAATCTCCAATCCCTCTGTTTATGACTAAAAGGTCTACCCTTGCTGTTGGGGTCCCTGTTCTCCTTCACATCCGCCAACTCACAGACACAATTATCTTGCTCAATGGAATCTAGTAAGAAGATTGCACTCTTTTCAGCACAATTAGACTCTGCATCTTCCAATATAACAAACTCTCACAGCAATAACATTGAACTGATCTAAATCATCTGGCACCTTTAGTATTCTCTCTGCACCAGGAGATGATATCTTCAAAAGAAAAATATCATTTTTAGGTGACAAACATATATGGAGGATCGTGGCAAACTTCAGTGCCAAGTGTAGAGAGCCAAATCAGAGCCTCAGCATGTAAGAACTAGCCACATATTACCTCAAGAGCCAAATCATCAGGTATTTCTCTCCATTCTCCAGCTTCATCTAAATCTTTTCTCGTATTCTTGATTATAGCTCTCCAGCTCCTCCATACTGGGACCAATCATATCAGTGAAAGGCAGATTGGTCCTTTAATATTATCAATCCTCAAGATTGAAGTTCCAAGCTACATAAATTTATGCTCACACCCACACCAAAATATTATTCATCATAAGATGAATATATAAGTCCACTGAAAACTTTATCTTTTTAAAGAGAAAATTGCTTCTTTCTTGATCAGATATTAATGACTTGGGTCAAGCACAAGAAATTAGACAACTTGGTTATTGCTTTTGCTACTTTCATTTACTTCCTAAAAATTTGCTAAAAAGAAAAAAAATGAGAGAAAAAAGTTATAATTACTCAATATGAACAAATGAATAAAAAAGGTAACATAACCGTTCTATAAAATCATGTATTTCGTATTTTCATTCTCAAAAAAACATATATATTTTTTAATTTTAAATTCTTCAAAACCATTATCTGTTTTTGGATTCAAAAGTGTTGTTTGCTTTATATTTCCATAAGCAAAATAGTAGTGATAAAAGCAACAATCAGATGACAGCTAGGTTCTTGTAAAAGAAACTTTAGTTGCTCTCACATTTCTAGTCCTTGAGGAAGAAAAGAATTAGCACTACTTACTCGTTTGACAATTTGTCTAGTCTGACATAGAGGTATCCACAAGGTGTAGTCTTGAAAGCATAATGTTTAATGTCATCATTAAACAGTTTTAGGACACCATGGGCAATATAGAGGGCAGATTCACCCCAAGGAACACCATGCAATACAACTCCACCACCATCCCCTGCCATCACCAATCTATATTAATTAAAACAACTTATTACCAAAAGCAAAATAAAGTGTATAACTTCAAACAAAATCTAAGAACCCAGAAATAATGAACCTTGCATTTGATGATGAAGGTTTGATGACTTCATCCTCTTCTTCCCACCCATCAGTGGTTCCCTCATCATCTTCAGCTGTTTCATCTGCAAAAACCAAGAAATTCAAAGTAATCAGTTTTTTGACACAGAACTTTGATCAAACACTTTGAATCTAAAGCAGAAACAAGGAAATAGAGATATACAGAGAAGAAAATAGGAATAACTTCGGAGCCATCCAATGTGGAGTGCCAATAATCAGAAAAGAACATAAGAATAATATCATAAAACACACATACACACACACACACACACACACGCACACACTTTCATTAATTGAGAACAAACAAATCATCAACTTAATTGTAAGATACCAATGATGCAAGTCAAGATATCCATCAATGTCATTTACTATGAAAGAGTCAAAATATAGATATTACTACGTGAGCTGCATCACACACACACACACACGCACGCACGCACACACACACTTTCATTAATTGAGAATAAACCAATCATCAACTTAATTGTAAGAAACCAATGATGCAAGTCAAGATATCCATCAATGTCATTTACTATGAAAGAGTTAAAAGATAGATATTACTACATGAGCTGCATCACTCATCTGCTGGACAGTTACTGCACTTCCAGAAAAGTGCCACAAACCATAGATTCTATAACAAAGATAAGGGAATTTCTAGTATGCTTGTTATGTATAATCTATTACACACGAAACACTGGTGGATGAGTAAACTAGATGCAAAGTTGCCCTAGTTGTTATATTTAACATATATCTAAACAGCCGGTTCAGCTCAACACTTTGACATTGGTAAGTGTAGGATTAAATTAATTTCCATTAAGTCATTCCTAAATCCTACTGGAGATATTCTGGCCTGGATACACCAAATAACTGAGATGCAACCCAGAACATTCATCAAAATATCTATCTTAAGCTCAAAAGAAGTGAAAACAGTTGCACAGATTGCAAAGTAGTTAGAATACTACATACTGTATTGAGCTTTGACATGGTCCTTGTAAGCTGCATTGCTACCCCAAAATCACCTGTTCAATAATCAAAATAACAACAGATTTACAGATCAGCAAGGTGTCAAGGAGTGAAAAAAAAAAAAGCAAAACATTAAGCCCAGATGGAAACGACATTCACATAAATCCTCCCCCCTCCAATTTGTCTCAGACCTTCTTCAATATCTTCAAGGTATCTCTATGTCATTACTTATGTCTGCTTAGGACTGTCACTCAAATTCAAATAAAAAGCTCAATGTTTTCAAGGAGTCTGTATGTTCATCACATTTGCCTACTTAAGACTATCATCAATTTTCAATTTAAAAAAAAAAAAAAGGCATATCATTCAAATCTTTCCTTAAATTAAAAAAGCATCATCCAATTAAATAAAAGCAACATCATAGGCAGATTAATCATGGATCTTTAGTAAAAGGAAAATTTATACAAAGACATGCATAATTTTGGAGTATGCAAATAAAGAGAGGCAGAATGGTCCCATATGCCCAGTGGAATAGAACAACTTTTGGGTCAAATAGTACATGGGCAGATCAAGCCGTAAGACAAGTCACTTCATTCAAAAATTTTAGGCTTAATACCCAAATATACCCTCACATGTTAGTAAAAAATGAATTAAGTCCCTAGCCTTTTATTGCATGTAAATAAGGCTATAACGTAATTATAACCATAAACTTTTAAAATCAATTAAAAAAGTCCAAATGGAAACTTTTAATTTGTTCTATAAAAAGTCTAATTGAAATAACAGAAAACTAATCATGACTTCTCAAGTGTTTGCCGGCAATGTCAGATAACAAATTTTAGTCTTCATTTATTCCAATTGGAATTTTTTCATTTATTTTAAAAGTTTATGGTTATAGTTACAGAAAAATAAAAGACAATAGCTTTGTTTACACACAATAAAAATTTCAAGAGCTTAATTCCATTTTTTACCAAAGTTCTAGGGTATATTTGGGTATTAAGCCAAAACTTTAAGGATAGCACCACTTGCCTATAACTGCTCAAAGGAACTAACTTGGGGTGGGATAATAAATGAGTAATAGTGTCCTTTTATTTAATATAGAAAGCTAGGCTAAATTAGGATTCTGCTCAAGCATTTTGCCCAGTACAAGAGAAGACTAATCCACGGCAGGTGGTTAGGCAGGATAGATGCACATAACCATACCTCAACTTCACAAAGAAGCAAAGAAGTATAAGATTTCTGAAAAACATATTTGACTTGAACATTTCAAATGCAAATTAACAAGAACTAGAAAACACTAATGAATATCAGCTTCAAATTTAACAATCAAAACCAATATAACAAGAGACAACAACTACCTAAGAATGCTCATCTTCTGTCAATGATAACCTATGGAGCATTAGCTTTAAAAGATTTGATGCAAACCTTCTTTCAACGAATAAGGATACAAGATGCTTTAAGAAATCTCAAAATACATTCCTAATGCGAAACACTAATGTTTCTACACATTATCTCGTATACAAAGTAAGGTGTTGACATGTAAAATGTGCTTCTAGGGCACTTTCTTTAGTTAACACTAAGGAAACAAGTGGACCAGATAGAAACTTCATTATGATGGAAATATCTGTCAAGTGCAACATAGTGGTTACAGTTCCTATCAAATGGCAACAAATATTAGGATGGATGCACCGAATTCAAGAATTTTAACTTCCTAAGTAACAACTGACTCCAATTAGATAAATTTATGCAAAGCGTACTCACCCAACTTCACCTCTCCCTGTTCAGTTAACAAGATATTACCACCCGTAGTATCTCCATGAACATTGAAAATTGAGTGCAAATAGTCAAGGCCCTGCATAAGAAGAAATCAAAAGAGAAAATATGTAAATAAGAAAGTGGATACAAATTGGCAATGCATGAACATCATTATGGGATAGTTTGCTACATTTTAATTGTTATTTTCTGTGGTCCCAGACCTAACAAGCATGTCTGAAAACAAATATGCACATACGAACACGTATTTATTCAGCATGTAAGTGCTGTTAATATCCTATGACTATTGAAGATCAAGTATGATATAGTGATTGATATGAAGAATGTCACTTAGGTTATCCACATGCTTTAAAAGAAATCTCTACAACCATCTGATACGGAGGTTCCTTGTAAGTTGTAACCAGTATTATTTATTTCCAAACTGAATGGACTCAATAATACCTTTAAAGCTTCCCGACAGATATATGCTATCCGATCCTCCTCTAAAGGCTCCTCTGTGACATTCATCAAATCAGGTAACACTTCCACTTCTGCAGTATTCCATTACTGTCTGCCCAAACATGGAAATAAGTTACCCAAAATACCAAATATCAGGAAAAAAAAAAATGCTTCAAGCACAACTAAACTTACAAACCAATGCAACCTAGAAACTGAAATCAACTCAAACTATCCTGAAACAAAAGTTTGGAGAAAATTGCTTATTGCACCAACCCACACATATTCTTCCCCTTGGTAGTTCCCGAAACACCGAACACTATTTGGATGACTGCAGCAACATCTCCATCTCACCACAAATTTCTTCATACCCCCCTTCCTACAAATAAACAAACTTAATAGACCTAATAGACCATTCCCAGTATTCATCCAGCCTACGCAATCGACTATATCAAATACAAACAAGAAAATCATACACACTCCTTCGCATAAAGATATAACTTTATTCGCTTATTCGCAGCAAGCTCTGAAGTTCTTAGATCTCTAGCCTTGTAAACAGCCCCGTTAAGATCCTTCCCCTGACACCTAAAAGTCCAATATCAGTTAAAACTTTTCTTTTGGTTTCAATCTCATTAAAATCAGCTGAATTCAGATTCAGAGTGTTTAGACGATTGAGTAGAGCTCGGATTTGGCCGGAGCTTTACAGGTCCGACGCGATATCGGCCGGTAATCCCTTCTATTTCCTTTCCCCGCTCGGAGTGTGTGGGCGCGTGAAACGTTAGAGAGCTCAGAGTCAACGTAAAATCGCAGATAGCCACTGCACGCTGAATGAAAAAGAAATATGTAATTTATTAAATCGGAAAATTAGTGGGCCCCGCCAATTCAATGACGAGATTTTTATGGGCCTTTCTGTTTAAGGCCCACATAATAAACTAGACTGAATATTGAAGAACAGAGAAATTTGAGTAACAGAATTCCCTTAATTGGGCCAATCTTATAAATTGGCCCAATAAAAGAAAATAAAATTCCAATTATTAGTTTTTATATATGCCAAGGCCCAAGGCGAAATTGGAGAATGTGGAAAAAAAAAAAAAAAGGAAAGGGAAAATTGTATGCAGTGGGAATCAAATCTCAATTTAATAGAATCTAACTCTTATGAGAAGTGTGTGAATCAGTTGGACTAAATTCAAATTTTAAAAAAAAAAAATGCAATTATTATATTTAGAGAGAAAAAAGTTTTAAGGACATGTAAAATTGAAAGGTCATTTAAAGAAAGAAAAAATAAAAAGAAACAAAGTTTAAATCAAAACAAAACATTGAATCAATTTAAAATTTTAATCTATTTAGTTAATATGACACTAATTTAAATGGTTGTTTTATCTATTAATTTAAATTATTTTTTATTTTTAAAAAAAGTTTAAATAACATAAAAAAACAAAATTTACATTGAATTTACATATCATCCATAAAAAAAAAGACTATTGACTTTTAAAATTAAATTTAATAAACTTTACAAGCGAAGTATTCCATCATTACTTTTAGATTCTGCTGCTTCTATGATCATTCATCAAAATATCATTTTATGTCCAAATGCATGCTAGCCCACTATGTATTATGTGCATGCATGTGTAATGTGTATCTTTGACAGACATGTATCATGTATGAAAGCTAAGTCCACTATGAGCCATCTGTACTATGTATTATGTGTATGTATTAATTTGTCTTAATAAAGTAATCTGTACTATGTACTATATGTATGTGTCACAAATTTAAGAAAGAGTCCTGAATCTCACATCGAACATAATAGGATGGTTCATGGGATATAAAATGGTTCACACTACCTCCGTCTTGTGAGACGCCTTTTGAAGGACAAAACCGTGAGGTCAGAGGGATCAGAACGGACAATAACTCACAAGGGTGTAAACCGTGGCGGTCAGGCTGATTTGGGACGCCGGAAGGGTGAATGCCCGGGTCCCGGAGCAGCGCGGATTCGGAGCTTGAGTCTCGACCAGTGACAAATGGTATCAGAGTCAGCCCTAAACCGTTCGATCCACGCCAAGCACCTCAAGGGAGGCAAGCAGGGTGGTCAACCACCATAACGAGGACGTCACGAGGTTGGGTGCGAGAGAATGTCACGCACCTAAGGAAGAGTCATGAATCCCACATCGAACATAATAAGAGGGTCCCTGAGGTATAAAAGGGTTCACACCACTTTCGTCTTGTGAGACGCTTTTTGTAGGATAAAACCGTGAGGCTAGAGGGCTAGAACGGATAATACCTCACAAGAGTATAAACCGTGACAGAAAGATTAATCTGAGACGCCGAAAGAATAAATGTTCGAATCTCGAAACTATACGAATTCGAAACTTAAGTCTCGATCCGTGACATATGCACTATATATTATTCATCGAAAGGATCTTTGAGAAATATGCTTCAAATTCTAACTTGTAATAGTGATTCAAAGATAGGTCAAGGAAACTTTGAAAACCTTTTGACTGAAAGAAAAAATATTCTCTCATTATGCAAATTGCTTCACTTTGTGGAAGATTTTGTTTGAACAACGTTCTACTTCTATTCTTAAAGGATAAAGAAAAGAAAAGTTACAAACAAATGATATTGGAAGAATCCACATGTATATATATTTATATACACAATGTTTTTCCATGTCAGTGATCTTTTGATCACTTCATCAATAAGATTAACCAAAGGACTTCAAGAAGGCTATTTGTTGATTCTTGTCCACAAAATTTTACAAGACAAAGCCAAAAGAATATGAGAACACAAATGGTGGACTGTTTCTTGCCTAATTAAACACATTTTAGACCACAAAAATGGGAAAAAAAAAAAAACTTTTGCCCCATTGCCACCTAAAGATAATGGAATCACTCAATGTAGAATGATCATTGGTGATCAAGGAATTCATATAATCTTTTAACTACTTTTCTAACGCTTTCTTTTATTAATTAGTTCATTGATACTTGACTCAGAATCGATTTCAAAAATTAAAGTTTTCAATTCGAATTCCAATCATAATTTTAAAGAAAAAAAATTAGCTTAATTACATTTGAACCAACCAGAATCAACTTTGCAGATCAAAAAACAACCTAGCCAATTATATTGATATATGCCCTTAGATTAGGTTTGTTAAAGTTTCTTAATGGTCTCTCATACATGCAGCAGTGACATCTATATATATATATATATATATATATATATAGATATTTTCATTGATGCTAAACTCAGAATCGATTTTAAAAATTAAAATTTTTTATTCCAATTCCAATAATTATTTTAGAGAAAAAAATTAGCTTAATTACGTTTGATCCAACCTGAATCAACTTTGCAGATCAAAAAACAACCTAACCAATTATATTGATATGCCCTCAGATTAGGTTTGTTAAAGTTCCTCAATGATCTCTCCTGCTGTCCTGCATGCAGCAGTGATATATATATATATATATATATATATGTATGTAACAGCCGAATTCTTCTGGTTTCATCATGTTAGCTAAAGGATTTAGGTAAGGTGCTAGCTATAGCTGGTGATTATCATCAGCAGTAGCATTCGTAAGTTCTAATGATATTTTTTTTGATCTAGTTCACGGAAATCTTCTATTACAACAATATATATAGTTCAGTCTTTTTCTTGTATGATTTAGAAAAGAGTCATGAAATGATCTAGCACAGGATGCGAAAGAAACTTTCGGCACAACCAGTTCCTTGATTAGGGGCCCACTTTGAATACGGATGCTGCCTTGATTTATCATCCCATTCCCATTGCTCAATCCCATGATGCTAGTGGTTTTGGTCGAAATTATTGCTATAGAAAGTAGAAACACAGGTTGGTATGATGATCAACCGATGATGCATTTTCTTGGACAAATGATTGATATGATCAGATGCATCCATTTATGAAAGAATTTTCTTCTTACATAGTTTCATGTCATGGTCTAATCATAATCTATGGGATAATTAATTAATTATTTATTTGTAAAATCAAGGAGGAAAGATTATACCATAGCTAGCTATAGCTAGTGGTAATCAATTAAAAACTAGTGTGAAACAAAAGATGATCGGTGAATGACTGAATGTTTTGGAGATGGCCTGGGGTGGGGGGAATATAATAGAGATGAGAATCAATAAAAATGTTTAAAGGAACGCAACTTGTACTGCAGCTTTGGTAATGGAAAGTGTAAGCTTAGATATCCAAATCCCAATTGCATCTCCTTTAAAAAAAAAGGGTAGAAAGCTTTTTACAAGCATAAACGCTGTTGGAGATTATATTCTTTGTAAAGCATATGAATCCCTTGAAAAAAGCTTAGCCATGTACATGGCCCCCATTTTACTGCTATAGGGCTTTCGGTTCTGATTCTTCAATCATTTGAAAGCGTTGTAGTACTGTAAAGTGAGCTATATACTTGACATTCATGTTCTAAATTAGGAGAAAAAATCTTAGCCAACACAAATTATGGCCACTTGCAAAGGAATCTAATTGTTGTTTCTTTGATATTACATCTTAAAGGAAATTGAGGAAGGAACTAATGAACTGTAAAAATCTTCCAATAGCTACTAAAAGATTTGTTTAACCAGGTAGATTAGGGAAACAGGTTTTATTAGTGAATTAATTCTTGGTTAATGGTCTATGTGTCATTCAAATGGATCTGTCACTATGCTTTTGAGCATCTAAAGGGACAAAAGATGCACAAAAACAATACAAAAAGAGGAATAAAGGTGGAGGGGCATGATGGAATGGAATAGATATGATGGTTTTTTTCTTTTTTCTTTTTTGATGATAGCCAATGAAGAAGAAGGTTGCTGTTGATATGTGGTTAAAATGTGAGGGAAAGAAAAAAAAAACAAAAAAGGAAATGAAATCTATTGAAGCAAATACCCAAATGTGGGAATATATAAGTTATCCATATTTCAATTGTAAAATCTTAAAAGAAATTGTTTAAAGTATAGAAAAAAAAAAAAACAAAAAAGGAAAGGCATATATCCTAATCCTTTGTATCATAAGAATATAAGATATATAGGGAGAGATCATATTACCCCTTTGCTTGATTTCATCCAGCTTTCTCTCATTAAAAGACACAGGAAAAAAGAAAAAAAAAAATGTGTTGGATGTTAGATGAAGGACTATCTCAGTCATGGCCATAGCTTTGGTTATTTATTAGTACCGCAGATGTAATTTTTTTATATTAAAAATTTAAAATAAAATTGTAAATGCTGAGAATTAAATTTAATTTTACTAAAAATCATCTCTTAAAAGCCTTTGGCTAAATTCCAGATTATAAAAATCATGATTGCCTAAACAATAATTTAAATACTATATAATTAATTTATAAACAATTTTAGAAGCAGTCCATTTCTTATCTTCACAATCAATTACTGAATAACAAAAACTACCATTTTCCTTGATTTATAGTTTTGTAAAAAGTAAATAATGCTTTTGGATGGATAACTTTGTGATAAGGAAAAACAAAAAAAAAAAAAGAAAATGATGAATTACTAACTCTAACTTCGATCTCCACAATAAAAATAAACATCACTTATACTTTTTTATGAATCATTATATATAAATAATGTACTTACTTCATTTGGTCAGGATTTAGATACTGATTTTTTTTTTTTAACTAATTTAAATTCTTTTTTACGCACCAAAATGTGACTATAGTGACAAAATTACATATATTTGCATTTTTTTTTTTGGTTGAAAAAAGTCGATAGAAACTTTTAAGCAAATTGTAGAAAGAGAAACTTGTATTTCAAGCCATGCAAAACCAAGTTACAAATTCCATGGGAACTTGGTTTTCATGCAAGTAGAAGCATCCAGCACCAAGCAATGGGATCTTATCAAGTAAACTTATATATATAAATTAGCACTGCAAGGCAATCAAACCTCAAACAAGATATGACCTGATGCTTTATTCAGATTGAAGTATATAATCTTGCTGATTTAAAAAAAAAGTGATATATATTCCATGCCTAGCTATCATCATAGTACAACTTTATGGAGACATGATGAAATATTAGTAGTAGCAACATAGAGAAGTCTACAAATAAGCTGAGAATAAGATCAAATATATATCAGAAAGCTTTGTACAATGCAAAAGATGTTTATCACTTGGTTTTTCAGTACATAGAAGCCAACCCAACCTGGACAACATCTCCCAAAAGATAAATATATGATGGCTACTACGGATGCTTCCACATTACTTATATTCTGCAATCGAGAACCACATTACTTATAGTTCACTTCATCAAAGCTAAACGAAAAAAAAAGAAAACCCTAAATTTCCAAATGCAACGAACATGGTCATGAAAACTGAAACATAAAAGTCGGACAAAGGTAATATCCAACCAGCCACTAAAAGAGAGTTCAAGTAAACCTAGGAACTGCCTTACAAACCAGAGGATTTTTCATCTCCATAGAAAGTTTTAAATGTTCAGTCAAGTCCACATCTCCATTCTCATAAGGGATCCATTTGAAATATTGAAGTAACTGAGCCAACCAGAGATGAACAGTGGCCAGACCCATGGCTTTCCCAGGGCAAACCCTCCTACCAGAACCAAAAGGAGCCAACCTAAGATCAGAACCCATAATGCTCACATCTTCTTCCATGAAACGCTCTGGTTTGAACTTTGTTGGTTCCACCCAAACTTTTTCATCATGAGTGATTGCCCACATGTTAACCATTGCTGTTGTGCCTGCTGGAATAAAATTATCACCAATGTGAACATCATGGGTGGCAAGACGAGCCCATGAGAGAAGAGGACCTGGTGGATGCATCCTAAGAGTCTCCTTGATAATGGCTAAAACATAAGGCAGATTTGCAATGTCAGAATCAGACACCTGTTTTGAGTTTCTAACAACAGCATCAATCTCAGCTTGAGCCTTTGATTGGATTTCTGGGTGCAAAACCATTCTGGCTATAATCCATTCTAGCAATATTGCCACAGTATCAGTACCCCTAAATATCATCTCCTGCAAAACAAGTGTCAGTTAAAAGCTTGCAACAAAATAAAAAAATAAAATAAAATGTGTCGTACCCATAAAACAGCAATCATATCGGACTCGTTGAGTTTCTCATATTTCTCCAAATCAAGCAACACATCAACAAAGTCCCCAACTTCACTATCATCATCTTTCAAACCCCCATCAAGCCTTTTCAGCCTATGATCTTTTATGATTTTTCCGACAAACACATTAACCTTTGAAACCAAATTCCTACATTTTTTCCTTACTCCTTGCAAATCAAGCCAGCCTAAAAGAGGAAAATGATCACTCCAATTGAATATCCCCAACAACTCGTACCCTTCACTCACAAGCTCTTCAAGTTCGAACCCTTCTCCACTCTTCCCAAAGTCATAACTTCTACCAAATACAGTCACCATCACATTGTTCAACGAACCGAAATGAAAAACCTTTCTGATCAAAACCTTGCCTTCTGAATCCATCAAATCCTTTATCTGGTCCACCATCTTCACACCAATCTCACGCCTTAATCCTTCAAAGCCAGAAATTCTCTTAGGACTAAATAAATGGGTAGCTGAGATTCGCCTCAAATTCCTCCAATACTCACCATAAGGAGCAAAACCCATTGCCCTGTGAAACAAAAGCTCATAGGCTGACTCCTTCACTGGCCTATCAGCAAAAGCTGAGTTGTTGAGAATATCTCTTGCAGTTTCAGGGTCACTGGAAATGATAAACCGAGTGAATCCCACCGAGAAAGCCATCAACTTTACTGCGTTAAGTGTTTTAGCAAGTTTAGCGAGGACTCGGTGAGGAGTAGAGCCAGTGAACACAGTAAGTAACCCGATGAATGGTAATCCAAGTGGACCGGGGATTGCAAAACTCACCTTGGACCTGAAACGAGCCCATGCAAGCCCCCCTGGAGAAAGCCACAAGGCAATGATTCCAACCAACAGAACATCCCAAACAAATGCCTCAAAGCTCAACAAAGGTGATCGAAACAACGGAAAACCATGTTCCAGAGACATTTTTGGCACTTCCTCAGAGATGGGTATTCAACAAAAACTAACCTTTGGCAAATTGATAAGCACTGGAAATGGAACAGAACAGAAAGGAGGAAAACGAAGAGTTTACTAGGTAAGCGCACGAGATAGACTGGAGCAGAAGCGATTAAATAGAGAACCGGGATAGGCAGTTAACAAGAGAAACGTAATTTTACCATGGTCAAAACAAAAGAAACCCTGGTTAATTCAGTGCTTTTTATAATGATTGCGGTCCAAAAATATATTTTGGCCTCTCGGGTTACCATGGGAACTGAGAAGTGAAAACAACAAGTCCCAGCATTGAATCTTTTTGAAAAATACTGTTATATTTCTGTAAGTAGTTTAAATTTAATATTAATTTTTAATTAACACGATTTTATAATTATAAATTTATAATCATATTTTATATTTTGTAGAGTTAAAGAATCTTTAGTAAAAAATTTGTAAAAAAAAATTAATAACTCAAAATATATAATTTTGAAAATAATATGACAAGAAAAAAATAATGAAATTAAAACTAAAATTTTTTAGTTCATTTATTTTTTTATCATGATATTTTTTTAAATATAATGTTACGGAATCCAATTCTTTTATTTTTTTATCATAATATTTTTTATTAAATATAATATTACATCATTTTTAGTTAGTTTTGATTTTTTTCAATATAATGTCATTTTCATAATTTTTTAAATTATAAAACAGTTTTTATAGAAAATATTCTATAAAATCTTTTCAATTACTATCACATTAAAATTAGAAATATAATAATAATTTAATAATAAAAAATTTAGTGATAAATTTATCTTTTATCATAATATTCTAAAAAAGAGGAATCCATTTGGGAATCGTATCAGTCTTTTTCCCATTCTGATTATGATCTCTCTCTCTCTCTCTCTCTCTCTCTCCTTAAAATCTGAAGCGACGTGTCTCATGGATGAATCTTAGCCGTGTGATTTTGTAGAAAGTTGATGATGGGGACGTATCCAGGACTGTAGTCTGTAGGAAGCGAGAGGAGACTAGGCATTAGGCTAAAGAGTAATTAACTACGAAACTAATATAATCAAATTCATTTTAGTTCAATGGCTGCATCATATATGGCATGGAGATGGCAACAAAGAAAAATGTTTACTAAAGATTTGGATAGACAGTTGATTAGCTAATGCTTCATTTAAATGGTTAATGAAAAAAAATTTATATCATATTATTTTGATATCTTATTATTAGATTTTTAAAATTTTAATTTAAAATGATATGATGATGAGATAAAATTTTTTTTTATTTATCGTTTCAATGAATCTTAAATGGATTAAGAATTTGGAACGCATTTGGTCTCTCATCGGAGAAAACCAATGCTAGAATCAAGATTCATAGTGATTAGGAAGTTATCTAGTGGAAATTTTATTATCATTAATTAACAACTCAAATTTGAATACAAAATTCAAATGACCGAAGTTGAAGAGACGTTTGCATTCCCAATTTTCCCATCCCAGCCATTTCTCCTAAAACATAGAGATTATGATTGAATAAATGAGCATTTTCTTCTATGCAATACAGTGTATGGTGCTCCTTAAATGGCTCCTTTTTTTTTTTTGACCAAAATTAACTTTTAATAACCCATTTTGATTGCCCTTTTGGAATTTGGAACAAATAAATGAGAAAATTGTTATCCTAAAAGGGCTTTTAATTTTTCAAGTTTCCTTAAATCTGGAAGTGCCTCGATCCTGAAATTTGGTGGAATATTTCAAGTTTGAAAGGCACCAACAAAGCTAGTTTTTGGAATTGATTTTCTATTGAATAGCTGTTTTCACTCAAAAGCTAGGATGTTAGGTAAGTAGCCTCAAGTAACATTTTTTGATGAATCGCAATTCTGGTGAGCCAATGCTACCTGGCTTAGAGAGTTTTGAACTCAGTTTATATATTGTTCTATATCGTGAAAGAAAAAATGGATTTGGATGATCTTATTAACTGTGTTGCAGAAAGTTAACCAAATTGTCACATCAGCCCTTTTGTTCCATTGGATACAATAAAGCGCAAAAAATAAAAAAGAAACTACTTTTTTCGTTTAGGGCCTTGCCTTTTGAATGGTTTATGAAAAAGAAGTACAGTAATCACGTGAATAACAGTACGAAACAAAAGTGTCCAGAAATAGTAAAAATCTTTTACTTGGAACAGTCCCATTGAAGAGTAGTACGTAAATGAGCTCGTTGACAAGGGAAAATCTGCATGCAAATGGATAATTATGGGGGTGTTGGAGGTGGAGCAATGGGGTGTAGCCATTATTAGGGCACTAGAAACGGGCCTCGAGCATGCAATTGCAGGCAGAGAAAACCGAATCCCCCCACAACAGTAATAATCTCTCGTACACAGCTACAGGCGCCGCTCTATGTTTCTTTATCACCTGTCATCAGCAGATTAATTTTTTTGCTCATTGCTTTACTCTCTTCCCCAAACTGTTATTTTCTTTTTCTTTCCTTCAGTTGTCTCTGTTTGCTCCGACCCCTTCTCTTCAATCACTCTCACTTTTGCTGCAGAGCCGTTCCTCAGCTTCCAGCTGTAGAGTTTCAGGCCATCCCACGCTGTCCTTGTCTTCCAAAAAAGGACATTGATATTTCCGGGTTCTGATCTGAGGTCTGAACTGAAGCAGTTCATCTTTTTTGGGGTTTTAGATTCTCTTCTCTGCGCTTGCATGCTCCCAAATCCGCCTCGATCCTGCCATTTGGAGAAGATGGATGAGCAAACCAATCAGCACCACTTTAAAGGAGGGCGAAAAAGGAGTGGAGATTCAGAGTATCATCATATGTATTATTAGGCACATCCTTATTTCCAAGAACAAATGAATAGGTTACTGTTTTGACCAACCTGTTACCATGCTAACTAGGTTAATGGCTTGGAAGCTGGAACTGGAACTGCCCAATTGGTGGTTTCCTGTAATGATTTTTTTGGTGTCCTTCACCGGCTGGTTGATTATGTTGAAATCGTTTCCCTTATCTCCAAGTAAATAGTAAAGCACTGTATTTCTATAGCAAAGATTTGAAATAAACTTATTCGTTAGTGAATTAATAGCACCTTTTAAATGTTAATGGTAAAAGGCCCCTTTTCTGATCTAAAGCACTTGCAGAAATCCCCCAATCAGGGGAAGTTTTCCCAACTCCCAAACCCTATCCCTCAATTCTCAGGGCAAAAAACATTTTCAACCTCTTTTATCATGACACTGGCATAAGTTTAATTGTAACCTAGTCCCTTTGTCTACCTAATTACAGGCCAAAATTAAATGAAAACGACCCACGTTACTATTCAAAGCTATTCAAAGTTAATCCGATTGTATATGCATCTATATATTGCAAGAGCATCTAAATTATTATAGCAAAGCTGTTTTATTCTTGAGAGCAGTCCATCCACAGTTAACATTAGCCCCCAAAAAATTTTTCTACAGATGAAAGCAAAGTTTTGGATAGCCACAAAATTCATCTTCTGCTTCCTTAGACACCAGCAGCCCCAAATTGTATTGCCAATCACAAAGGGAAAATTGTAATAGTAGACAAGGTTTTTGTTTGATGCCATTCATTGCTAAAATTATCTGGAAAAATTGCAGTCATCGCATCTATTCTGGCAAGGAACCAGGAGTGGGGGGGGGGGGGGGGATTTAGGGTTCTTGGCTAATAATTTATTTAGGGGCAGTAGGAGCTGGTATTATCCCCCATCTCCTTCGAACATCCTCCAAATCTTCATGAAAGTGCTTCTCGTAATATATACACATGAGATCTGTGCATTGCAAACCAGCCTTGACAGCCCATGGGAAGTAATGTTGGAAGAACAATGTTCTTTGTTTTTCATTAAACCTTGCTGTTCCACCTACAACTGAAAGCAGGCACATTGGGAGATACATTTGCTCAAACTCAATAACCTTCAATGCAGATTCACCAATCAAGTTGGTAGGAAGGCCAAAAAGGGTATGCCAGAAGTCGTGCACCTCACGAGCCCGCATAGCCACATATGCTAGCTCATCTGTGTCCATGAACCGCACAGGTGGTCTGTCATCCGGGGAAAAATTCCTGGATCCCATGAACCTTGCATATGCAGCACCAAAAGTATTTTCTGGTAGGTCCCATGCATGACCCACCTTTTTCAGATATAACACGAGGCCGCTCAAGCAGCACTGCCTGTTAAAGAAAACACCATGGTTATGGATGAAAGCTAAAAGATGTTAACAATGCCAGTTATGAATTTATTAGTCAAGCATGGAAAGAACAACATTGATGACCAATGAAAACAAGATGCTGATGCTTGAACCATCAAGCTGCTTATCAACCAAAAGAGAATGCATGGGATTAATATCACAGGCAGGCTCCAATTTTCCAAATAATGATATTGAATTTTCAAATTGGGCACCGTTTTGCAAAACAGAGAAATGCACCAAAGACATATAATTAAAGGAGGCTCTCATTTACAAGACAACAATTAGAGCCAGAAGAAGTAAAGGGAACAACCACGCACATTTAACATCAAATTGGTATAGATAAGAATGAAAACACGCTTCAGCTCCTTTTTTCATGATGCTATTGCAATCTTTAATCGCCAAAAATGATGTTAATACATGGATACTACTTAATTAAGTCAGTAAGGTTGACTCTATTTGCAGTTCATTCCTCCAAGACAACCAAGAAAAAGGCACAATGCATGTAGCATTTCAACAAATTTCAAGGACACTAACTTCAACAAATAACATTGCGCCCATTTATTTGTTTAAAAGTTAAAATCACAGGATTAAACCTTAGCAACACTGATTCAAATTAACATTCCAATAAGCAGATAGCATGTTTATTATGATAACTGTCTTAAAATCATCTCTGGAAGGATAATTTCGGATAATCCAATGCAAAGAACATAAAATTCCAGTATTGATGACATCTCTCATAACCTAACTAAAAATTTTTTTCATTCACCCATTTGAGTTTCTAACTCAACATTATGAATTCTCAAACAAAATCCCCTTGCTCAATCTGGAAGAAAAAAAAATCCATTTCTAACAGCAAAAATCACTCAAAGCAAATATTTATATAACCATAAAACCTGCTTTGTTCAATCATTTAATTCATTTATTTTAAAGCATAAAAGACATAGGATAGGAGTGATAGGAAGAGATACTGACTCTGCCTTCTGGATTCCTTTTCATTCTCTGAAGAACCCTTTCAAAAGCAGGCTTTCCAGTTGTCTCTCCAAGAGCTGCTATTAAATCTGCCCTTCGTGGATTGAGCAACGCACCCACAGCTGATCCTACAGCAACCGCCGCCTGCTGCCACGGGTTAAGCTTCATTCGAGCCCTTTCTATCATTTCTAATACTAAAAATTAAGGCAAAGAAACTTAATCAAAGAAGTGTGGGAGTTGTCGAGTTTGAATTCAATGCCTTGATGAGCTTAGGGCTTCGAAATTGGGACAAAAGGGGAAGAGAAAACGACCCGGTAAATTAGGGGGGGGAAAGAAAGAGCAATTGGGCAGGGAGAAAAGAAAAGACGTGGTTATTGTTGCCGGTCAGGTTACAAAAAGGCCAAAAAGAAAGGCCTGGAGAAGGCTAAAAGGATTAAGGTTGATTAAAAGTAGTTGCCCAGATGTAACAGGTTCAAAAGGAGCCCAAAAAATAAGGTCACCAACTTGTCCAAACATAGGAGGACTAAACTTATTAATTTATATATTCGTATAAAATATTAATAAATATATTTATATTATATAAAATATTAATAATTTATGTATTTAGATAATATTTTATATAAAAATTATATATTACAATTTATATTAATTTAATACGAAAATATAAAATATATATTTTATTTTATTAATCTTATATATAATTTTTTAAAAATTTTAAATCATATCAAATTTTTGTCTTCTATTCTAATCAATGGAGTAAAGATGACTTCCAGACTTCCAAGTAGATTTATATTCATACATATAAATATAAAATTGTCATATTATGATTTATGCTAACATGCTAAATACAAAATATATTATATAAACTTTATCAAACTAATAATTTTAAACCGTTAATTTCATTTTTTAATCATATCTAAAATTATCATGTCGCTTTCAAGCAAAATGCAAAATCTAAACATGTATCTTTCGGACTCGATTCCGAAGGAATCACCTTGAAATTTGACATGAAAAAATTATTATTTGCTCGAGTGGGCTCTCAAACTCACCAGCTCCTAATAAGAAAACCACAATTTTACTATTATTATTATTATTTTTTAAAAAAGGCATACATATGATAACTAGAAGAAGAAGAAAGAGATGCATTTAGTAATACACAGCGCAAGGAAAATTCTGTCAAAATTGTAGACTGCATAAAGTAGGATAAAGAGAGAAGGCAAAATGACGGATCTATGCATAAGAAACATAACATTGTTTTATCACATTAACTGAGCTCTGCAATAGATGTTTGTGCATCAAATATGGAGAACTCCAGATTGAATAAACCAAACAACAACCACAAGACCTGTATATTACACCACATGGGACGGCGGGTTTTTACGTCACTTATGTTAAAAGATCGAAAAGGTGTCATCCAGAATCCATGCCTTCTCCAACAATAAACAAACAATACTCTCATTATCAAGAGATGATAAGGAACAATCTCATTTACTATCCCCAGGTTTCCCACCAAAAAGGTAACCCAGAGAAGATCCACCTCCAGGGGCAGCATGAACCTTGGTAGAAGGTCGATCCTGCATCAAGGAAGAAAGAGAAAAACAGGGTTATTATAGGAGTTTAACAATCAATAACCATCACCTAAACTTAATATTTCAGATACACCATCAAAATCCTTTGGTAGGTGAATACAGACAGTGCTCCATAAAAAGGAGGTAACTGCTTTTGATTTAAACAGCAACAATCAATTATAAACACCACCAAAGCAAGTTTTACAAGCATAATATTATGGTGCTTTGAAGAAGCTTCCAAGACACAGTGGAACAACATCCTCCCTGTATATTTGATTATATGTTTTCAAAGCCAATTCCCTTGGAAAACAATTAATACTAAAAACTTATTCAGAATGAGAGATGGACATTAGGATAAAACATTTTACATTTCAGCTGTCTTCTAAAAGTAATTAATGAAAAATGTACAAATAAAAAAATTTACAATTTTCCTAGATGTGTTAATTCCAAAGAACAATTAACCTATAAAAAGATTGACAGCTTCCAACCTAATTCCCAGAACTTTGATACACATTAATTAAGATGCATCCAAGCTCACTAATAGTTTCTCCTCAATGAGGTTCAAGTTTCTAAAAAGTATAAATCATATCTTCAAGGCATTTATCAAAAGCACACAATTAGCTCTTTCTGAACTAACCAGACACCTATTCAGCCACCATGTCTTTGTAATGTTCCTACCGTTAATTGAAAGACTGGTGGAAAGAAATAGAAAATGTCAGTAACTTAAAACAAAGTATGACTACTTAAAACACCAAAAGGGTAAGTCTTCAAGTATCATACAATTTTAAGGAGTCATAAAGCAATCATAAACAAGGTTATACCGTAATGAAATTGCCAGTGTTCTGACCATCAGCACGCATATAATTGTTCACGGAAGTACTGTTAATGCCAGCAGGAATTTGCTTGGTAATATCTACTGGTTGAGGAGCGGGAGCAGGTTTGGAGACAGCTGGTTCTTCGGTTGGAGAAGCTTGGGAATTGTTTGTGGCAGGTTTTGGAGCTTCTCCATTCCCAAATAGATAACCCAATGAGCTCTGCCCACCACCACTGCTAACTCCACGACCCATCTTTTCCAACTTACTAGGAAATGGAGCTAAAAACCTATCACGCAGGCAAGGAGGAAACAAATAGCACAAAGTAAGAATCTATAATCCCATTTTAAGAAGTAGGAAGGGATGGTAGCAAGGGTAGATGGAATGAATATAAATCGACATTATACCACTAAAGGATATATTAAACTACACCATTCGGTACAAGCAAGAAGCAAAACAAGCACATTGAGAGAACTTCCATTACAATTCTTAATTAAGAACATTGATGGCAATGTTATTCCTAGACTTCATGCCCCCCTATCACTTCTGTAATGCAATGCCAGGCTTGAACAACACTTCTAAACAAGATTTTTTCTATCCAAATCTTTTGAGCTCGGCCTCAAGCTTAACTCCCCAAGTAATACTCAGAGAAATGCGCCAATGCTTAGCCATAAAGGATAACACTACACACCATGAGGTCCTATGAACATTTGTTCCGTTATTGCACGCTGGTTCTTACTTGTTTTTAAATCGTCTCCTTTTCCTTTCATAGTTTGATTTCGAGTTAGCACATTTCTTCACTCAAAATCAGGAAGATTCAGTACTCCATAGCAAAAATTACATCATAGCTACTGTAAAAGTATTTCAATAAACCCCAATATTCTACAAAAGTAAAATCCTAAACAACATTAGCTTTTCAAAGGCAAGCAGGTAGAACCAAAAGAGTTACCTTTCTGCACAAGTCACTAGGAAAACGAGATGCTGCGCAATGAAACTAAAGGACTATCAAATACTTAAACAAATCAAATAAAACCCCTTTAAAGAAAAACAAAAAGAAAAGAGCTCCTCCATAACTCATGCCTTTCCCATTTTTGTTCCAAAATTTCCTCATTAACTTCACTATTGAATGTCATTTACATTCAACTAGAGCAATGAAGATAAAACACCACCCACGGAAAAAATAACTCATAATTTCACCGAATAAACCATATAAAAACCATGAAAAAAAAAAAGAAAAAGAAAAGGAAAAAAACCCAAATAATTTCGAACTCATTAAAACAAATCAAATAACATGATTACAAGATCGATACAGTAAACCAAATCAGAACAAGAAAAAACGTCACAATCAAAAAACTTTGAATCCGTACTTCACATCCAAACAAAGGGCATTAAATTTAAACAAATCAATTAAAACATCAAAACGTTAAATCAGAAACAGTAAAAAAAGGTTAGAATTAAGAAGTTGATGGCTGAACTCAGTGAATAAAACACTATAACCTTCGAAACGCGAAGAATTGACGATCTAGGGTTAGGTGGTTTTGAAATTACCTGAAAATTTTTTTAGATCAGATCTGGAGAGCAGAGAGAAAGTGGAGGAGTAGTGAGAGAGTAATAACAGCTGCATACTTAAAAAGAAAGTGAAATGTGATAAGTTCACTACCAATTTTTGCTTATTCCACGCTTTCGGCTTTGGCATAAAGCGTGAAGTGTGTTAGAAGTGGAATTAGCCAAAAACGTGGGCAGATTATCTGTCATGACATGTGCAATAGGCAATCTAATGATGGAAAACGCTGTCGTTTCATCTCCTTCAAATTGTGTTTTTGTCGCCATTTTGTCCCAACTCGAGTGGTGAAACCATTTTTTGATTTTTTTTTTTTGGCATTTTTGGAACAACAAGCTGATTTTAACATTTTCAAGGGATATTAAATTATTTAAGTTTCATCTTTGCGAAAAATATTTTAAAAGTAAAATTTTAAATTTATTAAGTTAATATGAGACGATTACTTTAAAAAAATCAATTAAATTCAAATGAAATTTTAAAATATTTGATTCGTTGTGTTATAAAATAAACAATGATAATAATAAGTATTGTTTCATAGTTGCTTCAAATTCAAAAAATTAAAGGTGGCACAAACCTTTTAATAGCATAAATATATGCAAACAAGGATAAACTGTGTTGGAAAAATTTGACAATGAAATTTCAACAAATTTATAATAAAAGATTTTTAAATTATTCACAAATCCAATTGCCTCTTGGAAATGATGTTTGCTAAATTAGATATAAATATATATATTACTCGAAAATTTTAATTTTTAAACCAATTTCAGTATCGTTGAGTGATGATAATAATATCTAAATTGATTTATTTATGTTGCTTATAAAAATGGTTTCCAATATGGGAACCATTAGTTTTGTCTTGTCTTGTCCACACTTGTAATGAAATAAAGAAAAAAAATGTAGTAAGTGATTTACTTGCCCATTCAGCTATGACTAACCATGTTACATGGACTTGGGATGCGGTGTCGGATAGATAAGGAATGTTATGCTTTTGACAAATGTTTACATTGGTTTTGAGGATCAAAGTGTGTAATACACTGCTAAAAACAATACAGAGGTACAAGTAAACATCCTGGATGACAGAATTTGTATATTACAAAATAGGAATACAACAGCATATGCATGCCCATGATTATGAATAATTTAATGGTTGGTTAATTTTAATCTCACATGCACATTTTTGCTACCAACATCACAAAATGCAGCAGATGCAGTTCAGGATGTGCCATTTTCCAAAAGATGCCTCAGTTCAGGTGTACTGCTACAGGTTTGCTTTGGTGGAATCTGTGCTATTTCTGTAAGTAACTTGTGCAACCCTTGAGGCCTTGAGAAAAAAGGGGCATGATCAGAACCCTTAAGCTGGAAAACTTGTTCTGGTGGATTGGATTTTATCATGGCTTCCTGTAAAGGGATTGTAATGGCACAATCTTCCTGAGTTTTTATATAGAAGCGTCGGATGGATCCATAGTTCATATCAGAAAGAGAAAGCTTCTCTAAAACCGGCACGAATGGGATTGGTCTCATTAATACTGACGCCAGGGCAACATCCTGGGAAGAAAATTGTTTAACATCCTTAGCAATTACGTTACAATCACAATGTAACACTGAGAATTTTAGGAAACAAATACCTTAGCTGAACTTTGATTGAAGAACAAGTCTCTCAACAATGTTTTGTCAAGATCAACAGCAGTTGGAGGGTTATTATTACCATTAGCGTACAAAAATATCTGAGCCTGTCGCATTTGATCATTTGAACCCATCTGGTATAGAGTGAAGTATCAGTTTACATTGCAAAGCATAGTTCAATGTACTTTTTTATATCAGGATCTGGAATTTAGCCTTGGAATCCTAGCACATTTTAAGATAGTTAATCTCAGGCAGTTTCGATCTTTCGATTGCTAGCTGATAGCTACAGATGGATCAATGCAGTAACAGATTTTAAGGTTGTCTGATAACTTAATCTCATTATCTTTTGAATTCAATGTGGTAAAGAGCCACTAATCAAACCTGCTGTGAGAACATATCCAGGGTACTCTGGCCACTAGTCAACATTGCTGCAGCAACAAAAACAGCTTTTGAAATTTTAGGTGGATATAACTCCATCACAAAGGAGATACAAGCACCACCAAAATCATGTCCCACCAAAATGACCTGCATTTTCAAATCAAGGAACCCGATGCTGGTAACCATATATATAGCTACTGCATATATTTCTTTATAATTTACTTCGAAATATGAAGTTACCAACCTTCTCTCCATCTTTTAGCTTATCAAAGATATCAGTGAGTGGCTTTACATATTGTGCCAGAGAAGTAATGCTGTTGGTTTCAAAAGAATTAACTCCAGAACCAGTTAAGTCAACAGCATCAACTTTAAATCCAGCTTCTTCCAAAAGTGTCATTGTTTTATACCAACACCACGCACCAAAACCACCTCCATGGACAAGCACAAAATGGTTGGTTTCAAGGCCATCGATCTTCACTTCCTGGAGGAAGAATTTTGATTAACTTGCTCGCTAAGTTCCAAACCATATCTTATATACCATAGAAATAAGATTCAATGAATTCGTTATATGCTTAAGGAGACTTTATTTTGGAAGCCAATGTGTCTTAGATAAGACCACCACTATCAGGTTACTGCTAGGACAGGTTGATATCAAAGAATCAACAATTTGACCAACTTGGTCCAGTGCTATAGCTAAGATGAATGAATGGAACCAAGAGGCAAAATTCAAGTTAAGCAGAGTAATTCACCAACTAAATTCCTATACATCCTCTATTATTGTAACCACTAAAGTGTTGTTATCTCACATATGTTAAATATTGAATTTTTGTGTTCTTATATTCAAATTGATTTTTCTACTTATTATTAATTAATTTTAAATTAAATGTTTAACATGATATCAGAGCATAGAATTTTTTTTTAACCTGTTACCTCTTTTAAGTTTGTAACATAATAAATTTATGTGTTCGTCTACACATGATAAGGATATGTTAAAATGATATTATTTCACATCTTTTAAGTATCGAGTCATATGATCTTATAATTTTTAATTATATGATCATATTGAGTTATATGATATTATTATTTGTGTTTTTCATTTGATTTTAGGTTGGATGTTTAATAATTTTTTAGCGATATTATAATAATTTTGCAAATGCTTCTTTTTGCCAAGAGAGCTAAAATTTTGGAAATTTATAAAATAAAATGTGAAGGATAAAAAAACAAGACCGACTCAACTGAATTTTGTCCAAGTCAAACCTGCTGGCTATTAACAAGTTGTTGAGGCCTTATCATTGGATCGGATAGTGAACGTTGCCTAGTGCTTGAACTCCTTGGAAAACCACCTTGTTTCTTCGAACCCGGCGACGGACAAACGACTGAGTTTGATCGGATAAAATTAGGAAGAGAACCGTTTCTCTGATGATGACGGAAAAGCAAAGCAGCGGCAATAGCTTGTTCTTGGATAACAGAAGAAGACTCATGGTCATCAAAGCCATCAAGGCCATCAAGGCTCCCTGATAATCCCCTCTTGTTCTTCTTCTTCCTTGAAGAGGAAAACAAGCTCGGCCTCCCATTGAAGAAAGGAGTGAAGGAGGCAGAGGAGGAAGAGGAGGAGGGTAAAGTTAGATGGCGTGAGGTAGGATACCATGAACTTGAAGCTTTCTTTGAGCTCGCCTTTTCATCAGGAGAGATGCAATCCAACGCATTTCCCATATTAAAATTTCTTCTGAGTACAAGAGAGAGAGATTTACAGAACGATTGAACGTTGTTTTCTTTTCTTTGCATGAAATTTTTTGTTAGTGGACAACTATGCGAGAAAGGGCAAAGACTACAATTTATAAATGAATGTGACAAATATTGGCCGGAGTTATATTATTGGTTTAATTTTTTGCAGATAAATATTTTTTACTAAAAGATTAAGTTAAAGAGTCTCATAAATCGACACTAAAAATCAAACTTAAAGAATTTGATTCTTATTAATTCAATTAATTTTGTTAATATTTTTATTATAAATATTACTCGTGTATTAAAATAAACTCATATTATAAATACTTCAAAACAGAGCGAAGATTTACTCAGTTCAGGACAGCAAAGTTTCATGTTACAAGATTAATAGAGGAGGTTTGAGTAGGAACTACAAAAATTGAGAAAAATTTACTTGATAGGGTGTTGTTCTTAATGATATTTTATTATAAATAGTGATACCGACAGTTTAATATACAGAATTAAATCAAAAGTTTGGTGCGTCATTTATTAACCTCTTTCATGTGAGTTGGTGGAGAAGATGAATATTTACGGCAGAGAAAAAGCTGATCGAACAAAACGTAGTATTAAGTTAAGTTTGATCGGTTTTTTCTTGTTATTTAATTTGGTTTTCATTTGGATACTGAAAATATCCATTCGGTTTGGCTTGGTTTCCCTGGGGTACCTGGCTCAATGTAATGGAGCCGGAGGGCTTTGTTTCTTAAAAAATATATATCAGAAGACATGTGAGTATTTTTTCTTTGGAGAAGCTGCACATTTGTCCCTCATGCCTCTAACATAATCATAACATATGTCAAAGGGTTAGATGACATAAAAGCAATATCAACATGCATAATTAGAGATTCATTACTTTAAATATTGCAATCTGTTAAAAATAATACTAAGAATAATTATGATTCAAGCAAACTGGGTTTCAACAATATTATTCTAAGCCTTTGGCTTTGTAACTTTACAGATAACACTAATTGTTACGAACAATTGTTATAAAGAACAATGCAAATGAGTTACATAAGACATGTCAGCATACGATTAATGTTTTATGTGACCACTAATTCACATGGAGTTTGTCCAGTATGCATGAATATATACCTACCAGCAACAAGCAACATTACACTCAGAACACCAATTTTAATTGGAAATGCTATACCTTGACCCCATGAGTTACTAGTTTTTTGCCTTATGGCATGTTGGGTACTAGGTTTGAACTCGGTGGCAGAGGCAGGGGACATTGAAGCTTGGTCCTTCATAAATGATGAATATGATTCAATTTCTTCTCTTGTTAATGCTGGTTTTAGTGACTCCTTCACTGTTTGGAAATGTCGATTGCTGACGATGGTTGCAGATATGTTTTCCCTCAGAGCTACTATTCCAGCTTCCCGGCACAAGCCCTCCAATTCGGCTCCTGTGAAGAGCTTGGTATCTTCTGCTATCCTTCTCAAATCAACATCATCCCCGATTTTCATGTTTCGTGTATGTACGCGGAGGATCTCATACCGAGCTTCTAAATCAGGTGGCGGTACATAGAGCACCTATATTTTCATGAAGATAAATGTTAGAAAAGATATATGGTCTCAAAGCTTTTATGAAATCAATGTCTCAAGGTTTCAATTGAACACCATTCAAACAACAGTTCAAGCTTTCATTTCTAGCTATTATATGTTATATTAGTTTAATAAGCTCAGGTATTTTCTAATGCATAACGCACAACTAGAAACTTCAGAATATCTAAATTGGAATTAGATGAAGAAATAGCAGATTTAGTAATGTGTTCCGATTGCTTCACCTTTCAAATGCTAGCAAGAACTGAGAAACCATATGATTGCAATAGAAATGGGAAACAGCATAATCACAAGGCAGACAAATGATAGAACAGAGTTCTTTACCAGATCAAATCGTCCAGGGCGCATGAGTGCAGCATCAATTGCATGAGGACGGTTGGTAGCAGCTAAAACAAGAATCCCCTAAAAAAGAATAAACTCGATTAAATTCCTTTTCTATTTTCATATTTATTAAAAGGATTCTAATCATACAAAGAAGACTAGATAACATCACAAATTTCTCAGATGGATACTTGTTAAACAAACAGAAAATAAAGTTTATGGTAGTCTTACTTTTGCTTGTTCTAAACCATCCATTTCAGTCAGTAAAGTGGATAGAAGCCTCTCTCCAACGGCAATACTGTTCCTTGAACTGCTGCCCCTGCCATTTAAGGGAGAAAAATAAGAAATCAGTTTGAACATTTGTGCCCATTCAAACTGTTGTATCCAAAAGGAGGCTTGTTGTGCAGAATCTTTAGTGAATCAGGTTATTCACAAACCACATGAATGTTGAAATTAACACTCCTCATTATTTGAATGAGCAGACTACACCGTCGAAATAATAGACATGGTCAATTGTAAAATACATAAAAAAATTTCCAAAAACATACACCAAAAATGATCATTGAAAATTCCTCCACTTTCAAGACATCTCCAAAAATATTAGCTAAGTCCAATATGATTTTCAACTACAGCAGTCCAAAAACAAAATGATGAGAAGCATATCCATATAAACAGCCACAAAATCATCAGAAAGATAACCAATCTTAAGTATATGCATGCCCACAATCTCAAGTCCACTTTATATATTATCTTGCCAAAAATATTACCAAATAACAGCATCAAGTCAATCATGTGAATTTTAATTCTAAGAAAAAAATAACACATTAAAAACATGCTATACTTTTGAGTGAGGATGTGCACATATAAGACCTATTGTAAAAGAAAATTGCATTTCAGGGAGAGACCCTTGGTCTTTCAATGACAATACAAAAGAACTCTATGCAAGTAAAATGCAAAATACTAACCGTTTGGCTGCAACAACATCAGCTTCGTCAAAGAATATTATGCTTGGTGCTGCCAGACATGCTCTACGAAATGTATTCCGCAGCAAAGCTTCACCCTCTCCAACATACATTGAATATAGCTCTGCACCACTGATTCATAAATTATGAATAGACCAGTACTCTATCAAATCTTTAAACAGGCACAAGCCTGCAGACAATGGGCTCAATGTCAAAATAATAAATATGTTAAAATCCTAGCTCTACAGACTGGTAGGTCATTTATGGAAGTTTCCATTATCTGCTAAGTTCTTTCCCCAGATAAATATGTCTAACTCTGAAGCATAGTTAATTGCTACCACAGTACTGTATGGAAATCATTTGGAATAGTTTGTACTTACAGAGGTCTGCTAGGGCTAATGAATATATACAAAGTCAGTTTTATTAGCATTGTTAGCCTGCCTTTCTATTAGTACCATTCATTTCTTGCAATGATTACACTGTTTCTTCTTCTTCTCTATAGGGCCTCCAGCATGTCAATAGCTTAAATCAAATAAAGGCAATGCCCTTAACCTAGCCTAGTCTGAATATCTTATTATATCACATTTTTACCTCTTTCTACTGATCGATTTGCAAACTAAAGTCTTACACCCTAAAGCCTAGAACCATCATATTGCAACCATATGATGGCTAGTACCAAAGTCTTACACCCTAAAGCACCTCTAGGAACAGGTGACCTGTGAAAGGTGGGCAGTCTACATGATTAACAACCAAAAAGATCTAGTCTGTGAGCATCCCTCTAAGATCTTCCATACAAGTTTTAGGAATTATAAATAGCTAGACAATAAAAGATTATCTAACCTTAAAGAGAAAAAAGAAGCTTGGGCGGCATGAGCAGCAGCTTTAGCAAGAGTTGTTTTTGAGCATCCCGGTGGTCCATGTAGAAGAATTCCACGAATTGGTGATATCCCAAGCCTCGCAAATGCAGCTGAATGTTTGATAGGCCACTCAACAGCTTGCTGCAGCTTTTTCTGTACATGAATCAAGTAAAATGAAATTCAAGATTATCAATGCTAAATAAACACGCAATGCTCACCTTCAAATCTTTGAGTCCTCCAATATCTTCCCAAGACACCTTCGGAATTTCCACAGTAACACCTCTTGTTATGCTTGGGCCAACAACAGACTTAGCATGCTTCCAGTCTTCTGATGTTAACCTAAGTGCACCTGGATTTTCACCTATATTAGTAGACCTTTTAACTGCAAACATGGTTGCTTCACGACATAAAGCTTCCAAATCAGCCCCAACATATCCGTTGCAAGACGCAGCTACTGCTTGCAAGTCAACACTGGGATCCAAAGGAACCTTCTTTGTGTAAACCTGAAATCAATGATTACAAATGCTTTAAGAAATAATCTCAGCCAGTCTAGCAATCAAGCAACTAGTACAGTGACAATGCAAGCTTCAAAATGTTAAACATTTATAATGTCTGATTGATGAAAGTAGGCAAAGCAACCCATGTATGGTACATAAATGCAATGGAATTTAGTCTTACTTTGAGGATTTGAAATCTCTCTTCTTCATTAGGTGTGGTAACTTCAACTTCAGCATCAAAACGTCCTGCCCTTCTTAAGGCTGGGTCAATTGCATCCACTCTTGATGCACATCAATACAGGTTAGTAACGCTTCGTACAAAGTTCAACCTAAAAATTTACAACCAAATGGAACTAGCCCTTAGACTGCTCCATCAGACCATCAGTTCAGACATTATAGCCTGAGCTTTTTAGCAAAAATTAGGAAATGAAACCCGATGCATTTAAAATGAAAAGGATAACATCATAGTGCACAAAGATGAAGAATACTAGTCAATAATAAAAATAATAGCCAGAAACCCTTGGTAAGTCACTTGGAGAAATACTTGCCAAAAGGGTACTTGAGGGCAGAAAGTACATAATAAAGCATAACTAGGCCTTAATATAAAATAGGCACATCAATAGCCTTATAATCATTAAAAAAATATATCCAGAAGCCTAGTACTAAAAGTTCCACATAACAAGGATGAGAATTGCATAATCCATACAATAGAACAGAGCTTCATAACTTGAGTTGCAGAAACAACCTGTTAGTTGATGCAACCACAACAACTCGTGGTACAGAAGTTGGCGAGGGTTTATTGGAGTCCATTAGAGTAAAGAGTTGAGATGCTAGACGAACATCGTGCTCTCGTCTGCATTTGAAGCATAGTAAAATAAGAAAGTGCGCTTTAGGATAGCTTCAATTGGTTACATGCAAAATGCAGATGTGCACATGTCTTCACAAACATTACTATGTGTGATTGTTTTGCTCCTTTTTGGTAATTACTAAAATTATAAATTATAAATGTTTAAGCCAAGGAAGCCATCATCAGCAAAGGCCAAAGGGCACAATAGATATAGAAATGGCACATATAAATTTAGTTATACATTTTGCTCCCCGCATTAACCAAGTCCTAGAGATCAAGCTATTATAAATTTGTTACATCTTCAATTCCATAAATTCTCAACTTACTTCTCAATCACATTCTAATATAAACCTAGTTACAAAAAAAAAAAAAAAAAAAAACAGAAATGCAAAGATGAGCAAATTTATCCAGAAAACATTCCAAGTGTTATGACAATACCTCGAATCACGACGAGGGCAGAGTGCATCTATTTCATCAATAAAAATAACAGATGGTTTGCCCGAATTTGCATGGGATGATGCCTCCGAAAAAGCTTCCCGCAAAATTCTCTCACTTTCTCCAGCATGTGCTCTGTGAACAGAATGTGGACTGCAAGACAACCAACAATCATAAAACGCACAGAAAGTAAAAAATGAGAAAACAACGATTCAAACGCATTTGTATCATAATACAGACGCAATTCCATATCTAATACCATTACAAAGATCAAAGCAAATAACGCAGTACCTGAGAAATATTAAATGTGCACCGGATTCCTGAACAACTGCACGCACCAAGCTTGTCTACCATTGCAAACAAAACCAAATTACATTAAAAAAAGAGATTAATACTCCTACTATATCTTAGCTTTCTGGGTATTCAAAGAAGATGATGAAATTGTAGAAGAAAGAAAGATAGAGACAATGGAAGTTACCTTCCCGGTGCCTGGTGGACCATATAAGAGCAAACCACGAGGCCACTGAAAGAAAACCCAGAAACCAATAACTCAAAACCAAAGCTATAAATGGAGAAAATGAAAAGTTTAACACGGAAAAAGCTGGATACTTTAAGGCCAAGCTTTCGGGCTTCACGAGAGTAGAGTAGAGGGAAAACGATGAGTTCTCTCAAGGCTTGGAGAGCCTGCGCGTTCCCACCAATAGCTTCTTCTGCTTTCCACTGCTCCTCGCCTACGCTACTTCTCTCGCCGTTAATGATGCTGTTGCTGCTATTGCTGCTGCTAAGAGTAGCCATGTAAGCCCAGCAGGCAGGAGATATGAAGAAAGAGAGAGAAGACAAAGTAGGGGTTTTTTGAGGTTTTGATCGATGAGAGGGACTGTCCCCCGTTTGGATTGCTATAAAAAACATTTTAAAGTTTACATTAGTTTTTATAATTGATAAAAGTATGAATATTTTTTTAAATATATATTTACAAAATTTAATTAATTATAAGAAATATTTTTTAAACATATAAAAAATATGTGATTTGAGCTAACGGATTTTGAAATTTAAACATCATGAAAAACTTTAAATTACATTTGAATAACGTAATAATCGTCCCTATCATGATTAATTTTAAATTAACATATAACAAATAAATAATTTTTTAAATAACATATTAATTAATAAATTTATAATTAAAATATCATATTAAAAATTTTAAAATTCAAATAATACATTCATTACCATAATTTAAGATCATTCATAACATTAATATAAAGTACAAAAACGTCGAGAAAACATAATATACGAGACTGTCTAAACACCATTAAGCCTGAGAATCAACAAAATGAGAAAGATGTTGCCATGGAATCAAGCATGGTACATTATACGATAGTACTATAATAAGCTGTCTAAAAATGGACCAAACATGCATCATGGCATCCACTGCACTGCCTGAATTTGTCTGCCGGTTAAACTCATTCTCAAACAGCTGCAGCTTCCAAGTTTTGAGAAGAAATGTGAATAACATGGATCCTGCATTCTGATGCCATTGGAATTGGCCAAAACCCTTGAATCCAGGCATCATTGCACAATATCAACTAAAGTAAGATGGTACATTAATTACTACACTTCCTGCAGATGCCTGGTTGGCAGCTCGATTACTTCCAAAATTCTTGCGATTCGACTCCCTTGCAATTCTTGATCCAAACTAACCGACCAAACAGAAAGAACTTGATCAATTTAACTTCAAATTAGATGAAACATATAATCAGACAACTCGTTCCATCAAAACTAAAAAGAAAGAACATGGACCTGAATTGCTCTCTTGGGAAGAATTGCAGCATCATGCAAACCAAGCATTTGAGCAACCTTTCATAAAACAAGATGAAAGAAACAAACCTCGAAACTAAAACTGGGCGGTACAAAACAATCAAGCATGAATGGAAGCACGAATATCAACAAAAGAAGAAAAACCGGTTGACTTAGAACATATTGAATTAGAAACAGTAAATAGAAAAGAACAAAACTAAAGCCTTACAATAAAACAAGAAATTAAAAAAAAAATGTAGAACAAAAGAAACTCTTCTGGTGAATCAAATGTGAAAAAAAAAATGCTGACCTCTCTCAGAATCTTCTTATCACCTTTTCCACTTGGTTGATCAAGATCAGCAACCTCCCAAAGGGGAATATCCAAAAGAGTCCTAATGACGTCTTCATCCAAGAAAGGAAATCTAGCCTAGTAAAGAACATAATAAAGGGCTCAGATGAAATGCAATAGCTAGCAGCAAGACCAAGAGAAAAAGCCATTAGCACTACCTCCTTTCCGTGATCAGCAATACATCTATCATCTCTTCCTAGATTTCTTTTCCAAATTCTCTGCATGTCCAATTTCATTTCCTCATGTAGCCCGAGCCAACTATTGACAATGAATCAAGTAATTTACCTTAATATGTAAAGACAGACCATCAAATGATCTGTTTAGAGATTAATATAATGGCATCATTATAATTTTCCATCCACGGCAGACACACACCTTTCATGCTTATACTTTGTTCTGTGCCTACCATATCCAGCACATTGCTCATCAGCACCAGAACCAACAAGAAGAATTCTGGCCCTGGATGTGTAATTAACATGTTTATCTTCATCAATCCGATTACTACTTTCTTCACAAATCCAACCTTCTCCACGAGCAGCAAGCCACAAAGCTATTCCTATATTCAGGTCCTGAAAGTTAAATGCAAAATGAGGTTCCATCAGTTAGGAAAATTGTTCCAAGAGATCTTTATAGCTGATATAAGAAGGTGGATCAGAAAGTTTAAAAGCATTATATTCCATTTTCACTGGAAATTCTACATTAGGTTTTTATATCGAACAACAGAAAAATTCTGGATAGTTAAGCGCTTCTGTGGAAGCTAGCAGTCAATAGGATTATGGAATAAAATGGGTACCATGTAGGTATCTGCAGGATTAATGAGTGACAAGACATGCTTTGTTTCCCAGGTCAACTTCGACAAATCAGCGTCAATATGAACAAGTCTCCACCTGCATTCCCAACAGAATTGCATTTTCATATGGAACAAATTGAAATTTTGATGCCTAGATAAACATCTTTTATCAAGACAGATATCAGTTTCAAGGGAAGCCAAGCATTGAACCTTCTTAAAGGTGCAACCCTTCTAAGTTCCTTTATTCCAGCTTTTGCGCTGATTCTATCAGGAGCAGACTCACCATCAAAGCTCACATTAAGAAGATCAATCTCATCTGCCAAGAGACATCAGAATAGACAATTCAACTCAGGTAAAGGATTGGTTGATATATTTCAGTTTATTTAAAGAAAATAATGGCGTTTCAGCTCCACGAGAGACAGGTAGTTTGCATCCCATATTTCACTATTAAACTTCTTTCAAACGGTTTTTCGTGTTTAACAAAAGTGAAGGGGTAAAAGAGTGGCTTAGACCAGAGTTGTGAAAACCCCACCTTGAGTGTCACACTCAAATGTCCATGTCAACAAGAACCAACATTGAACAAGTTTGTTTTTAGTAAATGAAAAACCACTAAATTTTATTGCATCATGAAAATTTCCTCATAAGAAAGATGGTTTAATTAGTACTAAATGAAAAATAGGTTCTATCCCTTGAATAACAGATCATATATTTGCTGGCTAGATTTCCCATTCAAGATGGGGCATGTGGATGAGTTGCAAATTGACAATTTTATACTGCGTCTTACTGGGTTAACTTTCATTTTGTCGATTCTTATGCCATTTAAGGAGTCAAAAAAGATAAGGACAATATGCAAAATTAAGGTGTTAAAGAGCTGTTCTATCACATTTTCTTTGTTAAGTATGACAAAAGGGCAAAAAAAAAAAAAAATGGTGGGTGTTTAACTCTTTTCAATTTTCGAAAGTGAAGTTTTGACGACACAATACTAAAGTGCAAAATGTGAATGGGATAGATATAGTAATAAATAAATAAATTGCTAGAGATATAGTTTCCGGCAAGTTAAATTAGAAGAAATAAATATATACATAGATAAATAGATAGAGAGCAATACTTACAATCAGGATCCAGGCATTCATCCAATAATGCAGCAAGAATCATAGAATCTAATCCGCCAGAAAAGAGAACAGCCACAGGCACAGTTTCTTTTTGCCTAGCACCAAATTTAACAGCCTATGCATCCATTTATGCAAACAATTTAACAAGTTTGAAATGGAATTACAGTTCTAACCACTAATATAAAGTCTATTCAAGATTAATGAGTCAAATTACGTTCCTAATAAATCATAATCATACAGAAGGATTGCCCTTGTAAAAGTTAGCATGATAAGACCAGAGAAGCAGATTCATTTGAAATTACATGATAAGAAATCTGATATTTCATTGACCAATAAAGAAAAAAAGAATTTGAACCAACATATCTTTCCCTAACATATAATAACAGCCAATGAATTCAGTTCAATCAATTAGACCTGATAAATACTATGCAGTGATACGCGTCGCATCATCGATTCCCTCAAAGCTGTCAGCACATTCTGCGCCAACACTGAAACTGAAGCATGAGTAGGGCCTAATCAATCAAAGTATAAGATCAACAATGACAAATCATCATGAAATTTAAATCAATAAACCAAATCAGAACATGCTTTTAGCAATAAAAAAAGGAACAAGACCACATAATTATACTACCTAAAATTTGCAATATCTTACATGCATAACTCGCTCTTTTTCCAAGACTATTCAATAATAGGACCCAGGCTTAAGCATAATAGTAACAATTGTAGTTCAACAGCAACATACCTAAAGAAGCTGAAGTCATGTCAAGTTCAGCACTAAGAGTCTTAGAACGTGAAAAATTCAACTCTTCAGGTTTGGGTTCAATGGAAACTCGTTCCCATTCAATCAGTTCTTTCAGCATAACATTTGTCCACTCATGTTTCTGCATTTCACCAAGAAATTTCCCATCTGATTTTGTAGCATCCAGTGACATAGTGTATATCCCACATGAAAGCTCTTCCCAAAATTTGATGCCACTAGTCCCGTTTTCAACTTCAAAGTCTGCAACAGAGTGACATTATTTCGTACAATAGAAAGTGAAAAAACGTTCATAGATGCATAGTCTACAATACATAAAAGGTTAGGCATCAAAGTGTCATAGATAGAAGAGCACAATAGGATAAATTAAAACATTCAATTAAATGCCGGAACCTTGTAGACTAGAAGAAGTGGGTGACACGGATGAAAGAAGAAAACGAGGATCCTCCATAGTTGGCCAGTGAACAAGTAGGCTTCGCCTACCAAATGCATCTCGACCAAACCACAGGGTTTTTGAACTTTCCTGTCCATGATAAATGAGTAAAACTTCAGTAACAGAATGCCTGGAGAAAATATCATTTCTCTACCAAATTAAATAATGACAGACAGTGACTTACCACTGGGGTTTACCTGCCAGTAGATGATAGCCCATGGTCCTTTTATGACTGAAAGAACATCAGGAACAGAGCCTTTCCCATGTCCATTAAAATTGTATGTTGTTCTATGTTCCTGGGAACAGCACTTTCCCAGAGATTGCATAAGAATTTCAGTGTCATTGTTGTCGCTACCAACCTCAATTCCTCCAAACAATTCGCCTTTATCCATACAACAAGAAAAGAAGATTAAGCAATGGGATAATTCACTACCTTATAAAACAAAGAAGCATAGACTCAACTATTCTGACAGCAAAAGAGACAAAACCCAACAATCTAAACAGCATAAAAGAGCCAACTTTACCATTATAAACAAGAATGTTCCCCGAAGAATCTACTAAAGGCTGAATAACAGGAGTTACTCCCCTTAACTGCAACGTAGCACCGAGAAAAACAAGTTCTGCAAAAGATTCAGACAGGTTCGAACCATTTTCTAGCACATGAGCTTCCTCATTAACAGAAGAAACCCAAGAGTTTCCAGAATTTGAATTGTTTGAATGAAGGAGAAGAAGCTTCTTGGTGCCCAAACTGTCAGGGCCTCGTCTTTGTAAAGCGGCTTTAAGATCATTAAAAGAAAAACCCAGATGGGTTTTAGAGGATGGAGATATGGAATCGATATGTAGAGACGATAAGTCGATGCGAATGCCGGAGGCAAGTAAAGCGATTCCACACATCTGTCGCTGGCCCCTTCTCTCTCTCGCTCTCGGGTTTTCTCGGTGTTTTGACTGTTTATTTAAGGGCTCAGAAGCAGCTGACTGGTTGAATAATGTTTGTTAAGAGAACGAACCGTTCGGCCTCCGTAGCATAGTGGTAGTGCGTTCGCTTCGTAAGCGAAAGGTCGCGAGTTCGATCCTCGCCGGGGGCTTTTGGATCGAGGGCTTTTGTTCAGTTTTGCCTCTTAACAGTTCAGCCCTAACGAAAACCCAAACGACAATCAAGGTTGAGGAATTTCTGACAAAAATCGACCACGTTTGACGAGTGGGCGAACCCACATTGGATTGGGATAGATACAGTCAACTTTCCAGAAAAGTCAAACTGAAGTCAAAGATTCTTATTGTTTTCAAAAGTAACCGATTGTCCTTGATTAAAATCGTTGAATTGATCTTATTTGGAGATAATGATGATTACAGTGGCAAAGAAGTCAATCATCCATTGAACAATGGCAACTGGCAAGGTTTCTGTTTCAGAGAATGGGATTGTTGCTGAGCAGCCCATGCATGCATGCCTCGCATCCTGTCAACCACACTGCTTCCCAAAGAATTCAGTATGTTGCTCCAAACAAGTCGTATCTACCAATATCTAACTAAAAAATTCAGGACTTTCAATTTTGTTCACGTAATTCCTAGTCTGATGATCGAAGAGCTTGTTAAAAGTTGAGATAAAGAACGTGTCAGATCTGTAGGAGAGAATGTCTATATTAACACGCTTTTCTTATGTTAATTTGCTGCTCCAACTCCTTCAATGCATAAATTTTCCCATTGAAGTTGCTCATGGTTAAGGCCAAGAGCCATACCAAAGAAAAAGCTCCATTTTCATAAGCTACTTTCAAGCAGAGTTTACAGTTCCTTGACAAGTTATTTCAATGACATTCTGGTGCGCTGATCCTTTTGTTTGTCCCCTGACAGTTGAGTTGGGAAGGCCATAACTTATTAAGTTTGATCATATGTATTCATATTTCCCTTTGTTTTTTGGCTGATTGGGTTATGACCAAATTATTTATGAAGGTAAAGGCAAAATGAATGTGAAAGCTTGGAGAAGATAGTGAAAAAAAATCTAATGAAACTAATGCGTAAATAATTAAACTAGAGACAAATTCACAAAGCTACAGATGCAAAATAGGAGAAAATTACATGTAGGGGCAGATGATTTCCCCTTCCCAGCCATTGCCTCCCTAGGCATTTCCCTTTCTTCTCACTGGCAAACGACCCGATTCTGACATAGTTATGCATATGAGAAGAAAAGATATGTGAACTTGAGATTCCTTTGAAGTATTTCAATGGACACATAAAGGGCAAGTTCAAGATGAGAGCCTTTGCATTTAAGCAGAAGTCATGGTGATTGCTTTTTTGGCAGGGAGAGTTCGGCTTGAGAGTTCTTCAACAGCAGTTTCTTCGACAACAATTACAACAACAACAGCAGCAACAACAACGATGCCAATGCCATTGCCATCGACAGGAAGGAAAACATGACCTACAGTTACAGCAAGCTGATTTTGAGGGTACTGCAGAGGCCAAGGGCTGTTCTTGTTGTTGCTGCTGCTCTGCTTTGTCTTTCTTAGAAACATTTCTTCCATCTTCCGAACTGCAATAATTCAATATAAATTAAGCTAAGAAGTTCCAGCAAGGTCTAGATCAATTCATTGTACATTGTATATAACAGCCAAAATATATGCATCATGAGCAAATAGGGGTACATTAAGTACAATATGCAGCGATAAAATGCACAGAAGTAGGGAGAACGAGAGAAGCATACGTGGTAAAAAGGTGACAGCACCATCTTTTTATGCTACAGTTCCAACAGTAGTTAGAACAGTAGCAGCTTGGCCTTGTACGTTGGCAGAATGCCCAGCTACAATCAGAACAGTAGCATGATGACCATGCACATTTCTTCTGCTTTTTCTTCTTCTTCTTGTTCTTTTTCTTTCTTCTGCAATAGAAAAGGCGTATATTCCTCATTGAGCAAGCATTAGCTTTGAAATTTCTATATGATTATGCATATATAAATGCCTAACCTAATTTTTGCATGCGGAATAAATGAATAATTAAATGATCGTATCAGGTTCACATTATAGACAACAGAGAAAAAGTTATATTTAGCACAAATTACGGTTTCATTCCAAAAGCATGTATAACAAGTGAGCACATGCTTGTCAATGGTAGTATTTGCAGATAGAGTATGTTGTTAACTCACACTGGAAAGGCAAAGGAGCGTCCACTGGTTCCACTATCATCAGAATGATTAGAAATGGTGGATGAATTCCAGGATACCACAGGGTGTGTTGGTTTCTCCTCAATTGGTTCTTCAGTAGTCGTACCTGTTTTATCCTTGACTGCATCATCTGATACCACAGTTGCCTCTCTCTTGTCTATATTAACAAACTTTTTGTTAGCGTCCACAGCCAGAGCAACAGGGGATGGACTTAACCCCATAAACTCGCCTGACTTGAAAAGTTCTCCAGATTTTAGTTTTGGAAAATGATCTCTTGAGAAACTATTGTTCCCTACTTGAATGCTGAATAATGACTCATTAGAAGCAATACTCCAATCCATCGGTGTTGTTACTTTACTTCTTGCAAAGACAGCGGAGGGAATCCTATAAGGATCGAATTCTCCTAGTCGGTCCATTACTTGGATTGGAGGGGATTGTGTCGATGTTGATTCATGCGTGACACTAGAAACTTGGGATTTAGATGTTGAACCTGCAAAACCATTTTGACATTCTTCTAATGTGGAAGAGTTGTTGTTACAGGAAACTTGATGTTTATCTTTAAAAGATTGTTGAGTACCCTCATCAGGTTTAGAGGAGGAAGTGGAAGTTATAACTGATCTGGACTTTGATGGTTTTATATCCTCTTGAAACTGATCATCTGCAGATGAACCAGATGAAGATGAGGATGACATTGACAACCTCATCTTTTCACCCTCAATCCCATCCATTTCCTCTTGAATTACTTCTGATCGTTTACTACTTTCACTTTCATCAAATACCACTGGGTGTATTTCAAAATTATTATTGTTTCCCCATCCCTTATGAATCTCAGGATTATAAGTAACAGAATATTTACTGCCTCCACTCTCCCCACTTGAATGCCTACTGCTTCCAGTTTCAGCATCAAGTTCTTGATGTCTGCTTGAATACTTACTGCTGTCACTCCCATAACTTTCCTCCATGTTTGTTCTTGATTACTTACTGCTTCCATTGCCATGATCAAAGTCCATAACTTAAAATATTTGAAAGAAACAGGGTTGGATGCCTGCGTTTATATTTTCAATTGGAAAATGACAAGAGCAAGAAATAAATAACAAAGGAAATCCCATATTATGTAGCCATATTTATGAATGATTAAGAGGTTTAAAGTTCAAAGAATCTCATGTGACATATCAACTGCTTCAAACATTCATCCATACATGAATAAAGGAGGGATAACTGGTAAGCTTTAAAAATTGATGAAAAACATATATGCAGCAGCAGCCTAAGATATGCAATTCATGATAGTTTAACTTCTCACCATACACCATATCCTGTAAGATTAATTCAGGAAAACTTATGATTCCATTCTTCACGTTATTTTTTTTTTAAAATCTTTCTTGAGGAAGAACATTGCATGTCCACAAATAAACTATGACCATTAAAATCATATACAAACATGAGAAGAATAAGACATTAAAGAATTTTTGCAGTTGAGTTCGAATTCCTAAACTCTGCATTTAGTGGTAATTTCTTCACTAATTCATCCCAAATCAAAGAGTTTCATTCCATTAAAAACTTCAATTCTGAGGTAACCCATTATCAAATTGCTGAATCAATATTTCTAAAAAATATATTTTAACAATAAAAAAATTATTAATTCTTTTCATTTCCCTGAAACAATATTTATTATGTTTACTCTTGCGTAAGAAAAATAAATATCATAAAGAAATTCATTGCAAAATGAAAAAAAAAAACCTTACTTTGTAGCATTAAACATCTGTAACCACCGAAATCAAACTCGCCGAAAACATTTCCAGTAATCTTTAGCTATGCTTTGAACAAGTACTTAAAACTCACATTTAACACTATTAAATTAAAAAATAATAAAAGGAAAATTGGGGATTAAAAAAGAAAATTGTAATATTTTAGCCCGAATTCTCACTGAAGATAGAGATGGAATTTACCAGAAATTTGAAACATAATTTTGAATCAAATTACCAATTGATTTTTCTTTTTTTTTTTTAAATTAAAGAAATCAAAATTAAAAAAAAAATCTAGGAGTTATGATTTGATGTATGGATGGAGTAGCGTTAATTTCTGAATTTCTGGTTCTGTCTTGTAAACTGAACTAACGAACTTCATTGTATCAACTTTCGCGTCACCTTTTAACTTCTTCGTTTTCCGTTTGCAAAGTAGGGGATGGTTATGGTGCGGTTTTGCTTATTCATCAATTTTCTTCCATTAGCGTATCATGTCGTGCCACGTTTGTTACATGAGAGTTTTTGGGTTGCGTTGGTTGATGTGGCATGTTGTGATTAGTTCTCCTTGCTTTAAAAATGAACAACTCCGTTGTTTTTGGAAACATTGTTACCTTAGCTCTCCAACTGCCCGTCATGTTCGCAGGCCTAATTTAATTTCGTGACTCGGATTGTCTTCGACAAAGATTTAGAACTCAAATCCAACATGAATTATTAATTTATTAATAAAAAATTTATTTAAATTTATTTTTAAAATATTTTTTAAAATATTATAAATAAATACTCATACACATACACACTATTTTTCTAATTTTTTCTCAACTCCTTAAAATTAGCTCTATATATATTATTTATATGCTCTTTATGACTTCATTCGTAGCTTGTTAGATTGATTAATACTTACCGATCTCTTTAAATCTTTCCTTCCTTTTTTTTTTTTTAATTTTAAATTACAAATTTTTAGATTCAAATTTTTTGCCAAAGATTCAATATTTTATTATGTTAAAAAGGTGTATAAATTATTTATTTAACTTTGAATTTGGATTTAATTTGTTTTTAGAGTTCAAATATTGAAATTTCTTAATTTGAATTTTGAAATCTTTTCTTGCTTATTTATATCTTTAGGTATTACTTAGTAGTTGTTATGATTAGGATTTATTTATTATTTATTTAATATAATTAATGTTTTTAATTATTTATTTATAATTTTATCTAAATATTTATTTATGATTTGTTTGTATAATAATTTGTTGGATAAATTTTTAGTAGATTTAATAAATTTAAACATGATACATAATATAAGATGGAAAATGATATTTAAAAAAATATTAAAATGATATAATTTGAAATTTTAATAAAAATTAATTTTGAAAAAAATAAAAAAATGTTTTGTATTGTTAAGCTTACAAGAATAATAATATCATCCAATTACAAAAATGATAAAATTCAACCTAAAATCTAGGGCTTGGCCTTTGTTATCAGTACCTGTTTTAGAACAATATAATCTCGTTGTTTGCTTCTCAATGTCCGGATCTTGCCCCTGCCCTCTCTCTCTTTTTTTACGGTCCCTTACTTTGTTTTTTCTGATCTAATCTCTTAACTTTTTTTTATTATTTATTTCATCACAAATTTTTTTTATTTTATATGTATTTAATACAAAATAAATACAAATATAATTTTGAGATTTGACATTTATTATTTTTAATAATATTAAATTTATTCAACAAAATATACAAAATTTTAAATTTTTAAACATATAAAATATCCAAACTCCTTAAAAAAAAAAAAAAAAAAACCGTTGTAAGTTAATAGTTATATTGTTACTGAATTAACTGCAAAATTCGACAGCCGAGAGAGGCTAGAAACGCGTGGGGAAATTGTTGATGGTGGCACTTGTTCACCTTACATCCCTTGTCCCACTGTCTCTATTCTCTTCCATTAAATGCAAAAACACAATCCCAGATTCCCTCCACCAGTTTGCTGATTTTGAACCTTTCTTTTTAAGTGGTATAATCATTGTTCTTCCATTTTTCTTAACCATCTTTTATTTGTTTTTATTTCATATTCGTAAATTTGCTTGCTTTCATGTTTAATCTTCTAAACAGAATTGGCTTGTTTTTGTCATTTGGGTCTTCAGATAAGTTGCTATATTTAGTGTTGGAGTGCTATTTGAGGGTTTTTGAGTGCTGGGGTTCGTGTTTTTTGATAGAGAATTATACCTGTTTGAGTTAATCTCATACTGGGATTTAATCGTTGAACCAATTTATACATTTTTCAATTGTTGGTGTTTAGTTTAGTTATTGGTCTTCAACTAAAAATGGGCAATTGGTGGTTTTTGTCCCTTGTTGGATGATGAAACATAAGATTCAAGGTGGATTCCTCGTTCTTTGTTCTGCTTCTAAATTATCAGCTACCAAAGTGAGCAGAGTTTTGGTTTTTGTTAGATTGGTTTGTTAATTGAGGCTTCCTATTAAGTTTGTACTTTCTCCATTGAAAGCAGTTCTTTTTTAAAGTGATTCCTTGCCTGCTTTCTTATATATCTACCTAAAGTTTTCAGGATTGTTGCTTCATGCCCGACAAGATAACATGGATAATAGAAATGTCAATAACCCTGAGTTCAAATGCATCTGATTACCAGCTCAAATGAGGGAGGCTGCTGTTGTTGCGACGTCTTCTGATACATGATACATCACTTATTTGCAAAACTGTTGCCCGGAATCAGAGAAGGAATAACTAAAGATCAATGGAAGAATCACGGGGGCATTTTCTTCCCTCTGATGTTCCTGAATCTACATCTTCCAATAACAGTGAAAGGCTTAATTCAGGTGCGCATGCGATTCGTGGGTCTGGCTTCCCAGGTGTGAAGAAGAGAGGGCACAACAGTCGTTCATGGATAAAGATTGATCAAGATGGGAATGCAAAGATTTTGGAGCTTGATAAGGCTAGAATAATGAGACAATGTTCTTTGCCATCCAGGGACCTAAGGCTTTTGGACCCTTTGTTTATTTATCCTTCAACAATACTAGGAAGGGAGAAGGCTATCGTGGTCAGTCTTGAGCAAATAAGATGTATAATCACAGCTGAGGAGGTTATCTTGATGAATTCTTTGGATAAAAATGTTGTTCAATACAAGTCAGAATTATGCAAGCGTCTTCAGACAAATAAAGACCAAGCTGGTAAAGATGCATACTTGTATGATATTGATAGCCTGTAGTTTAATTTGGTTTAAAGTGGATGACTGAAAGAGTCATAACTAAACAATTTTTACTGCTACTGGCGGTTGAAATCATTTTTAGAAAAATTTCTGATATATTCTCCAGCTCCACAATATCTTTTGACCTGTTATCTTGTGTAAAGAAGCATATGAGAAAAACTGTAATGTCACTGAATTTGACTGCTACGCTGCTCCTGAAAAATAGAGACATCTTTCTCTGCTCAGGAAGATGAAAAATTACAAATTTAGCCCAAATAATGCTTCCAAAATTAGTTGGTTACCAAAGAGTTTTTATGGCATTTCTTATTTGTGTTTCTTTCTGTCTTAATTTATTTGGCAGTTTGGAACTACTACTTTTTATAAAGGTCACATAAGTTGCTTACTTTAGGTGCCTGTTTGATTCAGATGACCTGCCATTTGAATTTAGGGCTCTGGAACTGGCATTGGAACTGACCTGCACGTCTTTGGATGGACAGGTATGCCATAACCTCTATCACTAGCTAATTGTTGGAACTGCTTGAAATGCTTTTTCCAGTTTCATAATCAATTTAATTTCTTTTACTCAACACTGAGGGTATTCTGTAGAGGTACAGCCTGTATAATCTTCAGGCTCCTAATTTTACTAATATTCACCAGAAATAATGATGCTTTTTTATTTTCCTAGCTGACTCTTTCAACTGAGGTGGCAATTTCAAACTTGCATGGATACACAGGCTAGAATATTATGTTAATGTTAATATAGATAGTCACCTTGCAACAAGGTTGGGTTCGTGCAACTTGCACAGCATCCTTGACGGAGGATAGTGCTGAGTAGTCAGAGACTCTATGTAGTTTCTCTCTTCTCCCTTCATCTCAATTTTCTCTCTCTACAGAGTGAGAGAGAATTTTGTCTCATTTGACTATATATGAATCAAGTGTTGTCCTTGTCCAGCTTAGAAGCTTGAATGATGTAGGGCTGATGTCAGTCTCAGTTCTGCTCATTTTGTCTGGCTGGTTCTGACTCCCCAATCCAATGAAATCATAGGATATAGGCAAAACATGTCCTAATGGAAAATGGGTTGAAAGTTTCTATAGGCAAATCATAGGATATATGCTTTCAAGCTATGCTAATGTGTGCGAAGGCACAGCTAGAAAAACAATGCTGATTCCATTAATGGCATAAAATTCCGTTTTTCAATTTTCTATTGCATATAAACAGTGTTATTCATATACTTCTCAATAAATTTGTGTCGAATCTATGTTCTGACATTTGCACAATTGGAGTGCATTTGCTGCCTATTGGCATCATGTTGATTGAGTCCTTGTAGTCTATCTATTATCATATTCCCTTCCACTGGTTGTTTTCAAACAAGCTGTGTGAAATTCTGGCCAATTACTATGCTTAGATTTAATATTGTTATCCCTTTTCAAGAATTAGTGGGTCCCTTTATCATGAACCAAAATTTACTACTATTTAGTTGGGATTTTTAGGTTGGATGGGCTTTGCTCCCAAAGTCTAAATCTTTGTATTAAGCATGCATGGCAATTTCATGAAGCCAAATGTGTCAGTCTGATGAATATAGGTTATAGTCTTCTAGAAAACGTTAGGTAATTAGCCTGGTTAAAACCAAAGTAAACAAATATTGTAAAATTAGTGTTCATATTAATACAGATATCATTATAAGCTAAAATCCCTCACATTAGGAAATTTTCCTTTTATAGGTGAAGGAACTGGAAATGGAGATATATCCGGTGCTAGATGAACTAGCATCATCCATTAATACTCTTAACCTGGAACGTGTTCGTAGATTAAAAGGCCACCTCCTTGCATTAACTCAACGAGTTCAGAAGGTACGATACTTATATACAGTACTTTTGGAATATGTGTAGCTGCTGTAAGTTTGTTTCCTATAATTGATTTAGATTGAAATTTCAGGTCCGAGATGAGTTAGAGCATCTTATGGATGATGATGGTGACATGGCTGAGATGTACCTCACGGAGAAAAAACTAAGGTCAGAGGGTAACACCCCCAGTGAACTAAATGCTCCAACAAGTTTTTCTGATGGGACCAGACCAGTTTCAAAATCTGCTCCTGTTTCACCAGTGGCATCAGCCAATGGAGCCCAGAGATTGCAAAGGGCATTTAGCAGTATTGTGACTTCAAGTAAACAAGGAAGCTTAATTAGTTCATCAAGTGGTGGGGAAAATATTGAACAACTTGAAATGTTACTTGAAGCATACTTTGTTGTTATTGATCATACTCTCAGCAAGTTGTTCTCGGTAAGAAACCTTTGACTTCCTACCATAGATATGTTAGAATCTTTTTATGATGGATTATAAATATAGTAGAAAATTATTAAGATGCTTTGGTTATATAAATTCTTGGCTTGGGATGCATGTCACATCCTACAGGTCTACAACTAATTAGCCAAGCTAGAAGTATGATATCTTTTTGCCATCTCTAATTTTAACATATAGATATTGCATTGACTTTAAGTGAAGCTGAGTAGTTTTTTCTTCCAATATTTGAGGAACCTAAAATTAAAATATACTCTTCAGAAGATTGTTTAGAATAACATCCCTCGTGTAAACCACTGACGCCGAATCTTATTGGTAATGCAGCTCAAAGAATACATTGATGATACTGAAGATCTGATCAACATTAAATTGGTGAGGATTGATTAACTGATTCAATGATGCCTTCTCTTTATCTTACACTGGGGAAGGCGTTAAGTAAATACTAATTAAAAGATCATTTTTCTTCCTCTTTACTTTAACAGGGTAATGTTCAAAACCATCTGATTCAATTCGAGTTACTTCTCACCGCTGCAACTTTTGTAGCCACGGTATTTGCTGCTGTAGCGGGAGTCTTTGGAATGAACTTTGCAGCTTCAATTTTTGATTACCCATCTGCATTTAGTTGGGTTCTCGTTATAACAGGTGCTGGATGTGGATTATTATACTTTTCTTTCTTGTTATATTTCAGGTACAAGAGAGTATTCCCATTATAAATTGTTGAGCTTATAGACGAAAAATATTATTCTTCTATCGCCATTGTTAGCATATGTCTTGCAATTGCAGTGGGCCTTGACAACTTTTTCACCTTTCATCTTTCTTCTTCAAAATTTTTGGGTACTTGGTACACAGCCACTTGCTTTGGAACTTTATCAATGAGAAGTCTGATACTCAAGTTTTTCAAACCATATTTCACCTTGTCCTTGTTATAACTCTCATATTCTGATGCTGTGAATTCAGCAAGGCCTGCTCCCTCACCGCAAGCAATCACATGTATTGATCCGTTCAAGGTGCCTTCGTAATGTTGTTTCTCCTTGTTGGTGCATATATTCTGCAGCAGTGGTCAGCTCAATAGTGAGTAATGGAAGAATTAAATTTAATATCAAATTAGGTCACTGCTTTTATTTGGAACACGAGGCTTATCAGGCAGCTTCATGCCAGATTTCAACTAAGTACATTTGCTAAGACGAGCTGCCAAGCTAAACATTGCCGAAGTTCTTTCAGTGGCTGCAGTGGTGAAAGAAGGATGAACCTTTTTTTGAGCAATTTCTTTCTTCAATAAGGATGATTTTAATTCATATTTGTTATGCAATTCTGGACAACGGCAAGTGCCTGGGGTATTACAAAGACATTACTTGCATATTGAAGTACTTATTGACAATAGATTTTCCCTTGTTCACAAAATCAGGAAGCAAGTGTTGTACTTGGGCAACTATCCACAGTGCAGGCCAAGATGTCTCTATAATCCCTGGATATTCTGAAAGAGTCGTAAACCTTTCCATCACTGCTCTTCTTGTATTCGAAAAGCAGGTTCGAATGGTCGAATGCAGTAAGTTTTACAAATCCATAATCATAGTCTTTATATATACTCCAATCGGTCTTGAGGGTGGTGAATGTTCAAAGGCTTGCTCCTCCGCCACCCGCAACAACATGTATGGTGCCCTTCAGTGTGCCCTTATAGTACCGTTTCTCATAGTCCGTGCATATATTCTGTACCATGGACCATTTCCAAAATCAATGTTGTTAGCTAAAAGTTGTTGAAGAAAAATTACTAAAAGGCAATGCCAAAAGTTTTAGGAATACCTGGTATATGGGACATGTCCTTTCATAATTATGCACATGGCCATAGATGCCAATGTCAACCTTGTACTTCTGCCAGAGTTTTTGAAGGCTCTCCCTAGCCATTGGTTCTGCAAATGATCCTTCTATGGCATAACCGATGCCAGAAGAATAGCCAAGTACCCGATGTGCAAGAAAGATCAGCCACGGTTGCTTTTGTCTATCAACTGATGCAAGGCAGTGCTCAATGAACTTGTACTGATCTGTTCCCTCTCTCCAATCATGCTCTGTGTCAGCTACGCAGAACCGGAACATGCCATAGTCAGTGGAGTACCTGGCAAAATCAAATCCAATGCAAACAGTTCCATGACTTACTGAATTTGTAAGTGACAATGGTAGTGACAACAAGCTGTTTTTATTCAAAGCTGTTTACAAGAAAGACTAGTACCAAAACTTAGCCCTATTATCAGCAGGGACAAAAAACATAGTTTCAGCCAACACACCACATTCTCCTCCAGAATCCATGTTCTGATAGAAGGATCCTGTTCCCGGCCAGTCACGCTCATGGTTACCACTAAACAACAAAAATCAACACCGAGTTCCACATAAGGTAAAAATCAGAGGAGGAATATAAACTCAAGCAAGGACATGCTAGTTAACTTGTGGCGAACCTTGCAATCATATAAGGCACAGATGATGCAACGGGCTCAATCTGTGCAGTAAATTGGTCCCACTGCGAAAGGTATCCATTAGCATAACATATATCTCCAATGTGGAACACTATGTCAATATCTTTCAAATCTTTAATAAGCTGTTTGGTAGTGTTAAGAGAGCCACGCTGGTAATTATTGTATTCATTAGAGCCATCAACTTCATCCTGCAAGATGAAAGTTTCAACTTCAAGAAACTGCAAGTAAAGATGTGATTGAACATCATACTCAGAAAACAATGACTTCAACAAGTACGCCACTTCATTCTCATAAAGTAATGAATGCTGGGACATAATTGTTCATGAATGTATGCCTAGAGAAAGAATAGATGGTAGAGCAAAACATCATGACAATTCATACAATGATGTAGGATAGATCGAGTAATGACAGGAACAAAGTGGTAGGAAGCTAGCAAAGATTACAGTAAGACTGAGGGAAATGCAGCTTAGGTATATAGAAATTGAAATCCAATTCAAACCTTTCCCATGTCCCCGAAAATGACTACACGTTGCAAAGAATTTTGACCAGGAAATGGAGATGCTCTAAACTGGTATTCTTTGCTCCAAATATATGTACTGTTGAACAATCTATGCCCCAGTTTGTAGGTATACCTACACAGTAAATGGAAAACTTGTTGAATCATAAGTTGCATAAAATTTGGGAAAGCTAAAAAGCTATTTATGTCATCTAGATAATCTAACATCTCAAATCAAATATGTTAAACGAGATTGATCCTATCCGAATTTACTAAGCACATAAAGGAGGAAAATGTACAGAATTTGTAGCTGCGTGCATCATTATTTATAGACATTACCAACAAACAGCACAAAACCACATTTCTATGATTCTCCTGCTAGGTCTTTGCTTGTAAGATATATGAATCCCTGTTACCTTCGTCATTCAACATTTCTAACTTAAATTTGAGTAACAAAAATTTTTGCTATTATCAAGGATGAAGTAAGTAGAGTGAAGAAAATATAGTATTGCAAGGACAACTGGAAGTTATTTTATCAAAGCAATCAGTTTGCAACATAAACCTTAATCTAGCTAACTCCTTAAGCAAATTTGCGTAAGTTATAATAACTATGTACTAAAAGATACTCCTTCGAAAGAAACTTGAGGAGCAATTGTGAACTTAATTAGAGTTCCATATATAACATACACTCTGTTTGGCCACAACTCTTTCAAAAAACTGGTATGAATATATCCTGGATCACGCCATCCAACTGTCCTTGCTGGTGCACCTGAACGTACAGTAAGATGATGCATATATACAAGGAAAGGGAAAATTAAAAGAAGAAAATTTTAACTGTAAGGAAAGGAAAGGAAAGTTTAAACCAACAAATGAATCACTTTGATTTAGTCTGTAAAAGAACTTGAGTACCTTTTCTTTACCTTTTTTAGGTACAGAAAAAAACACTACAAATTGAGTCTAAGTCAGAGAACAACTGAATTGATTGACATTAAAGAAAATTAACAATCCAAACAATTTTAAAGCAGTATGTAACCGATTTACTCTATTTAGACATTTTTTCTCCTTTTCTTATGCTATTATTAAATGTTCCAGTACCCTAAGGTGTCTTTGTTCTATTTAATACCATGTTTTGATGGTTATGTAGGATTCTATTACAAAGATATTTGCATCCTAAAGTTGCAAACTCTCATCAATTTTGCTATAAATCTCATGGAAATAGAATTCTTGTCCAAAGAGATACGTACCACACATGCTGTTACGTTCAAAAGTCAGAGTAACAGCTGGGGAATGTTTTTGATGTTCTCCTTTTGGACCCCATTGAACAAAGGGTTCTGCTTCATCAATCCCATATCCACTAGTCCATGTTACTGTCATCTGAGTAATCAGGTCAAGACTATATTATCTGTTGAATGTCAGCTCAAAAACAGAATAATAACTAAAGATCATCCCGGAAGCAATAGAGAATGTCCAACAAGCCTAATGCTGCACAAGCCTAATGCTGCACAAGCCTAATATGAGGGGAAAAACTGCAACATGACAAAAACCTGCTCAACCAATATCTCTACAAGCCAAAAAGAACATCCATGCTCTCGTTACATAGGAGAAATTTTACTTACTTCATTCCATTCCTTTCCCTGTGCTAACCGTGGGTAAACGGGGGCATTTGGATTTATGAAAGATACTGTGTTTGACACTGCTACCAGCTTTGGCTGTTATAACACACACAAAAAAAAATAATGAAGTAATAAATAACTGCAGAAAGGATTAACCAACATTGAATTGCAGAAAACAGTCATAATTTTCATATGATAAGTTTTAAACACAAGCCAGAAGCATATAAGATCGAAAAGAAAATACAAGCAAGAAACATAATCATAGAAAAATATATTTTCCAAGTCCCGGGTGGAAAAAGGTTTAATATTGGAAGATATCAAGATGAATCCAAAATCAGGATCATATGTACAATGACAACAAACAAGTATGTAGCTGACATAGATAGAATAGGTTTTGTTGCCTGCAGATAATATAATCCTAACTAGTTTTGAGAATCATTACCACATGATAGTTTCTTCATGGATGACTCTCTATCAAGAGAAAAAATGGAGCAAAGATGTAGTTTTAATGTAAGATAATTGTATAAGCCCAACTAGTTATCATAGAGATGTATAATACAAGGCAAGAAGTGCTGTGAACATACATTTAACAAACCACTCGAAAATAGTGCAAAAGAGAAGTCTGATCTCTGGTTAATCAACTGAAGCTTCAAGGACCCTTTTCCCGTATCTTGGTAGTCAGGACTAGTGTAGTTTGCATACTGATACTGTTGAAAGAAGATGGTTAATCTTACTAATTGTAACTTATATTCCATTAATAATTGAAAGCAGGCTAAGGAACAACCCTTGAAAATATCATGTGTCAAAGAAGTGTCACATCAACCTTAATAGGTGCAGAGCACAATAATGGAGGAGTAACCCTTGGATTTTCCGCAAGGCAGGTTGAAGCACTGAAAATTTTCAAATAGCAAGGTTTACTGTCAGATAAATACTAGTAAGCTCGTATAAAGCAAAATAGCATATATAAGTGTAACAGATAATGTCTTTTTTAGCCAATTCAACATAAGTATATTCAGAGGGAAGGTTTTGAAATGCTATTATACCTGAAATTTGCAGGAGAAAAAACCCCAATCCAGTCATCAATTGATGGGTTCGGTGAACTATACTCCACCGTAACCCATTCTGTATTTTGACCCTTACATGGTAAAGATTTTTGCATCAGTCCCAACCCATTTGATTCAATGACCCAATAAAGAGTTGAAGAATGCAAAAATAGCATATAACCCAGAAAAGATGAACTTTAAAAAACCATGAGAATAAATATATAGAAAGAGTAATTGCAAAGGAGCGGCAAATTAAGCTTACATTCAGTCCCAGAACAGTAGGTGAGGCTTTAACATAAGAACGGTTGTCAAGAGCCAATGTTGCTTTATGAATAGCAATTCTTGAAAGAGGTTGGACTCCATGTGAACTTGCCTCTTGAAGTATTGCAAGAACCAATAGAATGGTCCTGAAGATCAATCTCGACCTTCTTATCCCCACAAACATCTGAAATCAATGATAGAACTTCATCAAACCGTGATAAAAAATCAAACTTCTAGAGAGAATTATACAAGAACAAAAGCCTTTTTCCAGATACCAAAACAAAGGTGAAAAGCAGTTTAAGCTAAGCTACTACTATCAGTTCAAAACGTAGAGTAAATTCGGAGATAACATATACAGGAAACACTTATCTACCACAGTGAACACAGAACAGAGTCAAAAACCAAGATTCCAATGAAGATAGTCATACAAGTGAAAATTTAAACCTACCCCAAAAAGAAAATGCATGAAGAATTGAAGATAACAATGTTGGCACTGAGTAATAGAAATAGGATCGAGCAACCAAACTAGAGAATGTAACTCTGACCAGTAGAAACTTCAAAGGGTTAAGCGAGTTTTTGGTTGCAAAGTGTAAACCAAGTAGTGGAATGTGCTGAGGGAAGATTCCTTTTGGATCATTATACAGAGTCCATACTCCGATTTTAAAGGGAAAAGTCAAATTACCAAATGTTAAAGTCGCTGCCATGGCATCATCGACAGGCAAGTTATTGTAACTGGGAACGGGGAAGCGCCAGTTTAAATTGGATAAGCTAGAAAACTCCCATGTTTTTACATTGAAAAATCAGAGAGTTTTGGCCGTGGTGCCATGCATTAGAAGAAAATGCTAAATGGTGTGGATAATTCAGAGTGAATTTCCTCCCATTCTCTTTGAATAACATCACCACATTAAACAGAACAAGTTGTTTATGTCATTTTCGGATCAATAAGTTGAAACAAGAAAATTGTCATATTGAAAGTACTCTTTTTGTCGACAAAAAACGAAAGGAACAAGTAAAATGTCCATCAAAACATCACTGTATAATATATATAATCCGAAAATCCGATAATACATTCATGGAGCAAAGTAGATATTACAGCTGTCATCCAGAAACTGAATATCAATTATGTCCACGACAAATATCTCTCTCTTACATTGATGGAAAGAATATTCATGAATTTTTTCCTGCTAACAGCTTGATCTTCATAGACAGGCTTTTGAGCAACACCCCCAGAACACTCGCGTACCCATTTTCGATTTCAACATTATTGAGCTGATGCCGTCTTCTTTAAACAAGATGTAAAACCCACAACAGCAAAAAGGCTACAAAGAAAAAGATGAAATAAATAAAGCAAAAGTAAGCTAATGTTCAAAAATGTTTTTGACTTTTAATAATAGGATAAAAAAAAATACAGAAAGTTCATAAGAATGGGGCAGTGACCATGTGATAATGTCCACTGCCTGATTTGGAAGAATATGTCACATATTCATGCAATAATTAACTAAATTAAAGACTGATTCCCTATTTTAACCAAAAAAAAAAAAAAGACGAGATAAAGGAAGTTGGTAAACAAACATATTTGAAAGCAAAAAATGAAATTTTTGGAGAAAGTGAAGAGAGGCATTGGAAAGCATTGTGCTACTGCAAAAAGTCCTACAAAAGGAAGACTTTTGGGGTAAAAAGTTAAAGAAAATAAGTGACAAGATAAGGCAGCGTCATTTACATACCTCCAATAATAGTCTTGGTTTGAATTTTGGGTTCCCATGCCCCACTCCAGGTATACGCTTTTACATATAAAAAACACATAAAACAGATAAATCCAGCAATAATAATAAAAAAAATAGACAGAATGACCGTGCAAGTGGAATTTGTAGGTCTGTTGAACTAACCATGCCCAAAGCAATTTGTGGTAGCGTTCACACCATCTCGGCAAATGCAAGAAAATGACCCATCCAGCCCAGCAAAGCCACACAAACCTCCACTGGTTTCACAGTCCTTACATGCAGGTGTGTAGTATGAATCGTTATACTGCAAAGAAATTCCAAATTTCCACTTCATGGGATCCCCTTCATCTCCAAACTCGTATATTGATGTATATGATGAGCACTGAAGTTTTGGAAGATCCAAAGAATAACCTGATCCTACTCCCATCAGTGAGTCATAAACACAGCAGGTGGACGTGGGTGCATTTTGTGGCAACCCAATTCCTGTTATTCCTTTGCAAGAATACAAACCACTACAAACACGAGTACCTGACCCAGTATCACACAAATCCTCACTTGGATCAAACACAGGAGATGTAGTTGAGCAACCAAGCAGGACAAAGATATTGGCACCCGTTAGAGTGAATGGGCTCGCTCGATCCAAGCTAAAGCTTCCAGAATTCTGCATTGAAGAGCAAGTTGACATAAGCGGGTCTGCAACAACAATAGTGCTGGTTTGGTAGTCAATGGAAGAAACAGTGTAAATGCCAGTGCCAGTGGAGAATTGTAGAGCACCAGCACTGCATTTTACATATCTAGCAAAGTAAGGGTGTCCACATCCAAATCCAGTCCCAAAGGGAAACTTAACCGGGATTGTACCACAAGTGTCATTACATGTGCCATGGGTTGGGATGGCACGGCCAGCAGCATGGCTAGCAGCAGACACATTGTGGAGTAGGGGAAACAAGAACAGAATGTTGATGAAGAGAAATGCACCTAGGAGAGGTGCCATGGTAAACGGTTTTGGATGGGGAGAGAATTGCCGGTCCAGTCGATAGTTGAAGAGAAATAAAAAGGAGTGAGTGATGGCATTCTTTTCGGTGGCAGTAATCAACTTTCAACGTTCTTCCCCTTTTCCTTCCTAAAAAGAAGAGCCTATCAAATCATGTGCATTCTAGCTATAAAGCACCATGAATACTGTTTTGGTCACAGCACTTTGTCCAAGTTACTGTGAGAATGTACAGATGCCCTCTTCCAAACACCTAAGAATGACAAGGAAGGTTAGACGGATGCCAGTTAACACGTAAATTTTTACAACTTCCTTTTGACCCTGTAAGCACCTTAGCTTTTAGGGTCAAAGCATCCATACAAGCATTCATACAGTATTCCAGCCTGCAAAAGATGGAAAAGAAATCTATGGAGGAGAAAAATAGAAAACGTGAAAACGAAAGAAGTAAAAAAAGGTCGTTCATGTGAATAGGGAAGAGAAAACTGTCATTCCATTCATGGACGCAGCATGTATTAATTTATTTTAGTTGCATTTACAATATCCAAAAAGAAAATGTATACTCTTTCAAACTGCTTAAACTCAGAATTAGAGTTCCCAAATCCTCTGTCAGTATTGGGTAAAGAATTGGCCTTTCATATCCTATAAGAAATATTTCCTCTCAAGTGTACTTTAGCACCAAGCAGCAGAGAAACCTGACTAACACCGTCAGATCAACTATTGAACTTGCACCAGATTCAAACTCTTCTCAATCAAAACAATCACGGCACATCTACCAGCATTGCAGTGGGCCTGTACAACTGCAGAAGCGAAAGGCAAGTAGGAATTACCAATGAAATGATGAATTCACATAATCGAACAAAACACCAGAGGCTTTCAATTTCCTAGACATATTCATATTTAAAGTGAGCTTTCAATTTCGTAGGAATCTCCACATTTGAACTGAACAAATGTAGCACAAAAAATTCATGGTACTGATGCCTCAAGACAAGTTGAATTCTCTGAGAATTGAATTTCGTCTCTGTTTCGGGAGTACTGCCGACATTTATGCATTCAGACCAGCCCAATTCTTGAAAGCAATAAGTGCCTCCATTTTCCTGAAGCTCCTTCTCCTCAACTTTGACACTTTAAGCTTCTTATGCTTCTCCATGAATGCTTGCTTGTACCTCCACTTATCCACAAAAATTTTCATCTCTTGAGACTTCTCCACAACTTGCATCACTGCATCAAAGAAACCCCCTTTAACAAGAGCATATAAGAATGCATCAACTAAGTTGTGATCAAACTTGATGCCTTTCTCTCCATCCCCTGAAATTTTCCGTTTAACTTCATTCCATAGCATCAAAACACTGAAATATTTCTCTGCAGTCACATAACCATTAATCAGGGACAAAAATGTTTGATCATTAGGCTCAAACCGCAGGAAGGTCATTCTTCTGAAAGTCCTCCTAGCATCTTCCAATCGCCCAGCTTTACAAAAAGCATGAATAATTGAGTTCCAGTCATGAGTTTTTACTTCAATGCGAGGGTCCTCAACAACTTCATCTACAAATGCAGCCATCAACTCAGGTCTTTGATTCTCCATCAGACCTGTCATTATAGTAAGGTAACTCCCTTTCAAATCAGGTAGTCTTGCATCTCTCATATCCCTAAACAATGTAAAAGCAGACTGAAAATCCTGACTCGTCATGGATGCTTCTATCAGTGCATCATACATACCTGCATCCAACTGAAGCCCTGAACCACTAATATCCATAACTAATTGAGTAGCTTCAGCAGTTCTATGATCCTTGCAGTAAGCCTTTAATATAGGCACATAAACTCCAAGCCCCACAGAACCTCCCTGAGCATTCATTTCATCAAGAATGCTGTGCGCCTTATCTGATAATCCAAGATTAATACAAGCGCTAATGATGCCACATCCAATAGACTTGTCAACCTCAACCATGGAAGACTCTAAGTTTTGAGCTTCAATGATCAAACTAGCTAAACTCTTGATAACCCCATTTTCAAGATACCCTTTAACCACTTCACAATAAGTTTCATCACTGAAATCCAAATCTTTCCCATTACCTTCTCTCAAACTACGCAAAACTGTTGCTGAAACTAAGTCTATTTTGCCTGACTTAACATACCCGCCAATCAAACTACTGTAAAACACCTTTTTATTCAAAAAACCGAACTCAACCATCAAATTTTCTAACTCATCTATCTTTTCTTCAAGCCCTTTCAATGCATACAAATAAGAAAGAAACCCAAAACTGGATTCATCAGGCCGAACCCCTAAAACTGACATAGTTTCTACAACTTTTTCAGCATCCGAAACGGATTTAAGTTCATAACAACAACACTCTAGAGCAGCATTACAAGCAGCCAAATCAGGTTTCATACAATTTAATTTCTCATCAATTGCAATCCTACAACATTCCTGAAAAACCCTCAAAAATGCAACAAAGCTACCATTTTTCCTACTAATATAAACAAGTGTATCGCCCCACAAGCCAAAAGGGATAAAATACCTGTTTTTGAACATACATTTTATAAGAGCAAAAGCAGGGGCAGCAGTGTTGGCAAAATTCATTGAACTCAAAAGGGTAGTCACAGTTTCAAAAGATAGCAACTTTGGGTCCTTTTCAATGACAAAAACTACAGAGGCAAATGCCCTTTTGAGATTATGGGTGTCTTTCAAGGAAGACAAGTGGGTAATAAGGGAGTTAGTGAGGGGCTTATTGGGAAAAGTGGAGCTGTTGGTAAGAGCCTTGAAGGATTTCCAGGCTTCATCAGTGTTTTGAGTGATAAGGGATTTCTCAAGGGTGGTTTCGAGAGAGATTTTTTGGTCTTCAGTTAGGGCTTTGGTTTGAGAATTGGAGTCTTGGGGTTGTTTTGGTTGTTGGTTCGGTTTTAAGGCGAAAACTGAAGGTTGGAGGAAAGAGTAAAGAGTTGGGATTTCAGTTGTGGAGGAAGAGGAGAAAAGTCTATGGGGGATTGAAGACACTGCTTTTCTCCACATTTCTGCGTAAAACTGCAAAGAATGCAGTGTTCTGCTGCTGTTGATAGATGGAACATGGATCCGATCCGTCGGTATGGTTCTTTGTTATATTTTTTAGGATATAAGTTATTTTTTACCCCATTTCTCAAGTAGCTGGAATAGCTCAGTTGGTTAGAGCGTGTGGCTGTTAACCACAAGGTTGGAGGTTCAAACCCTCCTTCTAGCGTTTTTCGATTTTCCTTTTTTTGTTGTTTCCCATCTCTGAAATTCACGATGCAAAATAAAAGATATATATAGTAAATAAATAAAGCAACGACCATGTTTCATCGACAAAAGACAGAAGCAGACCCAAATCACAACTTCACAACTACTTATGTTTGAGAAGTAAATAAATGAAAACCCATCAACATAAACTAGAGGAGTTGGGAATGGTCGATGGAAGCCTCAAAAAGACACAGGAGCAACTCATAATCGAAGAATGGAACGGGTCTTCTTTGACCAAGCTTTGCAAAACTGCCACTATCACTCTCTCTCCTTCTCTGCAAGTCCACACGTCTTTCTTTCACCTTTCAACTCTTTTCATTGATTTTCTCTTTCTCTTTCTCTTTTTTGTTTGCTGAGTCTTTCAGTTTCATGCAAAATTGATAAAACAATCTGTTTTCTTTTACATCTTCTTTTTGGATGCCCAAACATGAAAAAGAGTTATTAATTTCTAAGTAGTAATGTTTTTTCTTTTTCGGTTTCGTTTGAAGTCTTAATGTCAGCTTCAATGCAGGGTTTCTCAGGCAGTGTGATACCAGATTATGTCCCTTTTCAAGTATGGGACTTTTTGCAGATAAGAAGAAAAAACTTTGCTGAGCAGTTGGGCACTACTTAACTTTGTAATCGTTACTGACTAAAATTTCAATCTTTTTTGTTACATTACATTTGTAAGGACTTTCAACGTACATAAGAACAATGCTTTCTACCCAAGTAAGGGTCAAATTCAATTGATATCGCTCTTTTTCTGAATGCAGTGTTCTGCTGCTGTTGATAGATGTATCATGGATCCGATCCATTACTCTGGTTTGGTTCTTTGTTATATTATTTAGTATATAACCTCTTTCCTAGACCATTTCCCAAGCAGCTGGAATAGCTCAGTTGGCTAGAGCGTGTGGCTGTTAACCACAAGGTCGGAGGTTCAAGCCCTCCTTCTAGCGTTTCTCGTTTTTCCATTTTCTTTTGTTTCCCATCTCTGAAATTCACGATGCAAAATAAAAAAATAGTAAATAAATAAAACAACGACCATGTTTCATTGACAGAAGACAGAAGAAGCTGACCCAGATCACTTCACAACGACTTATGTTTTGGGAAGTAAAAAAATAAAAACCCATAAACATAAACTAGAAAGAGTCTGGCATGGTCGATGGAAGCCTCAAAAAAGACAGAGGAGCAACTCATAATCGAAGAATGGAAGGGGTCTTTCTTCGACCAAGCTTTTCAAAACTGCCACTATCACTCCCTCTCCTTCTCTACAAATTCACAGGTCTTTCTTTCACCTTTCAACTCTTTTCATTGACTTTCTCTTTCTCTTTTTTTTTTAACCTTTTTTTTGTTTTTATTTGGTTGAAACAGATCAGTTAATCGTTTCAACCCTGTTTGTAGACGATTACTCGATGCATTTGTCCCCGAGGCAAGTTTTCTTTTTTCTATTTGTTTCCACCATTTGGTGTAATTAGAAAAAGTAAAAATCAAATTTTTTTTGTTTGTTCAGTCTTTCAGTTTGATGAAAAATTGATAAAACAATCTGTTTTCTTTTACATCTTCTTTCTTTTTTGGATACCCAAACATGAAAAGAGTTATTAATTTCAAGTAGTGATGTTCTTTTTGTTTGGTTTCGTTTGAAGTCTTAATGTCAGCTTCAAGTCAGGGTTTCCCTGGCAGTGTGACTCCAGATTATGTCCCTTTTATGAAACTCTTTGCCGGTAAAAAGAAAAAACATTGATGGCAAGTTGGGCACTACTTAACTTAGTAATCCTTAATGATTAAAGTTTCAATCTTTTTTGGTTACATTACATTTGTAGGGACTTTCAACATACATAAGAACAATGCTTTCTACCCAAGTAAGGGTCAAATTCAATTGATATTGGTCTTCTTCTGAATTGTGTATAGACTATAGACTCTTTGTTGCTCATTTCTGTATTTGTTTGTTGTTTACTTCAACTTCTTTCGCAGGCTCTTTTGAGTGCTATTGGAGTTGGCCAGAAATCAGCGACTATTATCGGTGCAACTTTTCAGGTAGAATTGGCATCCCATATACATTTCTATATCAATCTTTCCCTTATTACTATACCGGATTTGTGATAGTTGGGACTTTTATGGAATCCTATATGAGTGGAATCCTATATGGTTAATGGCTCTTATATTCCATATTTGAGCTAGAAATCCTGTATTAAGATGAATCATATTAAACTTTCCCTCTGTGTGATTGATGCCTTGACTTGCCTTATTCTAAACTCTTGAAAGAACAACCTACAAGTTAGAATTCGGTTTTGAGATTATTAGTGGTTTTATTATCTCCTGAATTTTTTAACTTCAAATAACAACTAAGGCTTCCGTGCTCATTGCCGGAATGTTGATGGATCTTCTTTCTCCTTTGTTTCCTTCAGCTTTTATTTTCATTGTTTGCTTAGGGAGCTTGTCAAGATCATTCAGTAAGTTTTCAAATTCCTTGCATCTAAGGAACCACTAAGTATGCTTAGACATGTTACTTATCAGTTTTTATGCGGCACATTTGGTTTTTGCAATAGTCAGTTTACTACCTATGAAGTTTCATGTTATTGTGTAAAAAGTAAAACAATTTCTGTTATGGAGGAGGCTAAATTTTAACTTCTAATTCTGTGTTTTCCTACATTGTTTCTCTATCTAGCTGGTGTTGCCAGTGGAGCAACCAGAGCTGCTTTGACACAGCATTTTGCCCTCCAAAATAATGCAGCAGATATATCTGCCAAGGTGCCTCTAAATTGATTTCTCAAGGGTAGTTCTAGAGAGATTTTTTGGTCTACAGTTAGGGCTTTGGTTTGAGAATTGGAGTCTTGGGGTTGTTTTGGTTGTTGGCTTGGTTTTAAGGCGAAAACTGAAGGTTGGAGGAAAGAGTAAAGAGTTGGGATTTCAGTTGTGGAGGAAGAGGAGAAAAGTCTATGGGGGATTGAAGACACTGCTTTTCTCCACATTTCTGCGTAAAACTGCAAAGAACGCAGTGTTCTGCTGCTGTTGAGGGATGGATCATGGATCCGATCCATAAGTAAGGTTTTGTTCTTTGTTATATTATTTAGCATATAAGCATTTTCTTACCCTAATTCTCAGGCAGCTGGAATAGCTCAGTTGGTTAGAGCGTGTGGCTGTTAACCACAAGGTCGGAGGTTCAAGCCCTCCTTCTAGCGTTTCTCGTTTTTCTTTTTCATTTTGTTTCCCATCTCTGAAATTCACGATGCAAAATAAAAAAATAGTAAATAATATAAAACAACGACCATGTTTCATTGACAGAAGACAGAAGAAGCTGACACAGATCACTTCAAAACTACTTATGTTTGAGAAGTAAAAAAATTAAAACCCATAAACATAAACTAGAAGACACAGGAGCAACTCATAATCGAAGAATGGAACGGGTCTTCTTCAACCAGGCTTTTCAAAACTGCCACTATCACTCTCTCTCCTTCTCTACAATTCAACAGGTCTTTCTGTCACCTTTCAACTCTTTTCATTGATTTTCTCTTTCTCTTTTTTTTTTACCAATTTTTTTGTTTTTATTTGGTTGAAACAGATCAGTTAATCGTTTCAGCCATGTCTGTTGACGCTTCCTCGATGCATTTGTCCCCGAGGCAAGTTTTCTTCTTTCTATTTGTTTCCACCATTTGGTATAATTAGAAAAAGTAAAAATCAAAATTTTTTTGTTTGTTGAGTCTTTCTGTTTCATAAAACAATCTGTTTTCTTTTAAATCTTCTTTCTTTTTTGGATAACCAAACATGAAAAAGAGTTACTAATTTCAAGAAGTAATGTTCTTTTTGTTTGGTTTCGTTTGAAGTCTTAATGTCAGCTTGAGTGGAGGGTTTCCCAGGAATTGTGACTCCAGATTATGTCCCTTTTCAAGTATGGGACTCTTTGCAGGCAAAAAAAAAAAAATGGATGCGCAGTTGGGCGCTACTTAACTTACTAATCCTTACAGATTAAAGTTTCAATCCTTTTTTGGTTTACATTACATTTGTAGGGACTTTCAACGTACATAATAACAATGCTTTCTACCCAAGTAAGGGTCAAATTCAATTGATATTGGTCTTCTTCTGAATTGTGTATAGGGTATAGACTCTATGTTGATCATTTCTACATTTGTTTGTTGTTTACTTTAACTTCTTTCGTAGGATCTTTTGAATGCTATTGGAGTTGAGGAGAAATCAGCGACTATTATTGGTGTGACTTTTCAGGTAGAATTGGCATCCCATATACATTTCTATATCAATCTTTCCCCTAGTATTATACCTGATTTGTGATAGTTGGGACATTTATGGAATCCTATATGAGTTGAAGTGAGTTTTAGGCCTTTTGATAATAAGTTTTGATTATTGTAATTCTTGCAGTGGTTCTTGAGAGATCTAACAGGAATGCTTGGAGGCATATTGTTCACATTTTATCAAGTTTGCTCTCTTAGACTTCCTTGATTTTATTTTTCTTCTTTACCAAAACAGTCTTTTCAAGTTCACATTAAGACCCTGACACCTTAATGCTTTTCTTTAGGGCTCAAATCTTGATAGCAATGCTAAAATGTGGCATTTGGTTGCAGATCTCATGAATGATTTAGGTATGTCAGTGTTTCTTCTATAGAAATTTCATTACAGCATAATAGAATTACTGCAGATCTATGACCTTTCTCTCTCCCCCTACATGTATGCATTTACATGGGTGAAAATATATGCACATGGAATGAGGATAGTACACACATAAGTGTGGAGGCTGCTCTGATTCTTGTGCTCTGGATATAGCTTGTTGCTATAAGTTTCGTTGGGTACTGGCTCTTATATTCCATATTCGAGCAAGAAATCCTGTATTAAGGTGAATCATATTAAACTTTCCCTCTGTGTGATTGATGCTTTGACTTGCCTTATTCTAAACTCTTGAAAGAACAACCTACAAGTTAGAATTCGGTTTTGAGATTATTAGTGGTTTTATTATCTCCTGAATTTTTTAACTTCAAATAACAACTAAGGCTTCCGTGTTCATTGCCGGAATGTTGATGAATCTTCTTTCTCCTTTGTTTCCTTCAGCTTTTATTTTCATTGTTTGCTTAGGGAGCTTGTCAAGATCATTCAGTAAGTTCCAAATTCCTTGCATCTAAGGAACCACTAAGTCTGCTTAGACATGTTACTTATCAGTTTTTATGCGGCACATTTGGTTTTTGCAATAGTCAGTTTACTACCTATGAAGTTTCTTGTTATTGTGTAAAAGGAAAAACAATTTCTGTTATGGAGGCTAAGTTTTAACTTCTAATTCTGTGTTTTCCTACATTGTTTCTCTATCTAGCTGGTGTCGCCAGTGGAGCAACCAGAGCTGCTTTGACACAGCATTTTGCCCCTCCAAAATAATGCAGCAGATATATCTGCAAAGGTGCCTCTAAATTGATTTCTCAAGGGTGGTTTCTAGAGAGATTTTTGGTCTTCAGTTACGGCTTTAGTTTGAGAATTGGAGTCTTGAGGTTGTTTTGGTTGTTGGCTTGGTTTTAAGGCGAAAACTGAAGGTTGGAGGAAAGAGTAAAGAGTTGGGATTTCAGTTGTAGAGGAAGAGAAGAAAAGTCTATGGGGGATTGAAGACACTGCTTTTCTCCACATTTCTGCGTAAAACTGCAAAGAATGCAGTGTTCTGCTGCTGTTGATGGATGGATCATGGATAGGATCCATCGCACTGTTATATTATTTAGCATATAAGCTCTTTCTTACCCCATTCACAACGTAGCTGGAATAGCTCAGTTGGCTAGAGCGTGTGGCTGTTAACCACAAGGTCGGAGGTTCAAGCCCTCCTTCTAGCGTTTCTCGTTTTTCCTTTTTCTTTTGTTTCCCATCTCTGAAATTCACGATGCAAAATAAAAAAATAGTAAATAATATAAAACAACGACCATGTTTCATTGACAAGACAGAAGACAGAAGACAGAAGAAGCTGACCCAGATCACTTCACAACTACTTATGTTTGAGAAGTAAAAAAATAAAAACCCATAAACATAAACCAGAAGAGTTGGGCGTGGTCGATGGAAGCCTCAAAAAAGACACAGAAGCAACTCATAATTGAAGAATGGAACAGGTCTTCTTCTACCAAGATTTTCAAAACAGCCACTTTCAACTCTTTTCATTGATTTTCTATTTCTCTTTCTCATTTTTTTTACCTTTTTTTTTGTTTTTATTTGGTTGAAATGGATCAGTTAATCGTTTCAACCATGTTTGGAGACGATTCCTCGATGCATTTGTCCCCGCGGCAAGTTTTCTTCTTTCTATTTGTTTCCACCATTTGCTGTTATTAGAAAAAGTAAAAATCAAATTTTTTTGTTTGTTGGGTCTTTCAGTTTCATGAAAATTTGATAATACAATCTGTTTTCTTTTACATCTTCTTTCTTTTTTGGATATCCAAACATGAAAAAGAGTTATTAATTTCAAGAAGTAATTTTCTTTTTGTTTGGTTTCGTTTGAAGTCTTAATGTCAGCTTCAAGTCAGGTTTCCCTGGCAGTGTGACTCCAGATTATGTCCCTTTTCAAGTATGAAACTCTTTGCCGGTAAAAAGGAAAAACATTGATGGCAAGTTGGGCACTACTTAACTTAGTAATCCTTACTGATTAAAGTTTCAATCTTTTTCGGTTACATTACATTTGTTGGGACTTTCAACATACATGAGAACAATGCTTTCTACCCAAGTAAAGGTCAAATTCAATTGATATTAGTCTTCTTCTGAATTGCATATAGCGTATAGACTCTATGTTGATCATTTCTGTATTTGTTTGTTGTTTACTTTAACTTCTTTCGCAGGCTCTTTTGAGTGCTATTGGAGTTGGTGAGAAATCATTGACTATTATTGGTGCAACTTTTCAGGTAGAATTGGCACCCCATATACATTTCTATATCAATCTTTCCCCTATTACTATTCCTGATTTATGATAGTTGGGACTTTTATGGAATCCTATATGAGTTGAAGTGAGTTTTCAGCCTTCTGATAATAAATTTTGATTATTGTAATTCTTGCAGTGGTTCTTGAGAGATTTAACAGGAATGCTTGGAGGCATATTATTCACATTTTATCAGGTTTGCTCATTTAGACTTCCTTGATTTTATTTTTCTTCTTTACCAAAACTGTCTTTTCAAGTTCACATTGAGACTCTGACACCTTAATGCTTTTCTTTAGGGCTCAAATCTTGATAGCAATGCTAAAATGTGGCGTTTGGTTGCAGATCTCATGAATGATTTAGGTATGTCAGTGTTTCTTCTAGAGAAATGTCTTGCAGCATAATAGAATGGCTGCAGATCTTCGACTGACCTTTCTCTCTCCCCCTACATGTAGGCATTTACATGGGTGAAATCTATGCACATGGAAAGAGGATAGTACACATGTAAGTGTGGAGGCTGCTCTGATTATTGTGCTCTGGTTAAAGCTTGTTGCTATAAGTTTTGTTCGTTAATGGCTCTTATATTCCATATTCGAGCTAGAAATCCTGTATTAAGGTAGGAGGCCACGACCAATTGTGGAACCTTGCCTGGAATTTGACTATAATAACCTCTACTAACTGGGAAATCAATTAAGATGAAACTTGGTGGGCTTGCAAATGCAGGAGAACTAGAGATACTTACTCAATTGGGCTTGAATTATAGAACTAGACATCTCATGCCGTTCAGTTGCTGCCAGTGAGACTTAAAGTCAAAGCATCTTGCCAACATTACACCACATAGAAACTAGCTCTCCTTTCTCAAGATTATATTTATGTAATATTATTATGTAAAATCTATTTGATGGTCAGACATCAAAAACCAATTTTCTTTGAATTCCATTGTATATTGAAACAAGGGCAGTAGTGACCAAACTTTTATGCTGTTATGACTTACCTTTTATTTTCTTTCTCTAACTGCAAAACTAATTTGATGATTTTCGCATTTGATTGTTAAGCTTTCATGCAGTTCTTGTTTTCTTTTTCCTTGTGCATAGCAAATTACAAAGCTGTCCAGTGCCTTGCTTTAGATTCACTTAACTTTGAGAGGAGCTCAATTCTTCTACAACATTTCATGGAAACTGGCCAAGGTAATAACCAGAACCCATCACTATTATTCTCTTTAGGCCGATTTTTAGTGAATTATGGTCCTGAATTTAACTGTCATGGAAAACTGTTTATCATTTTTAGCCAGCAATACACAATCAAGATGATGCTACTCTATACATTTACAAAGGCAAAGTCAAGGTGTTTTGAGTGAATTCTATGTATTTTTCTTTCTGACAAAACTAATTTACTCTGTAGAAGCACCACAATCTTGAAAACTTTTTAATAATATCATCCAAAGTAATGTTGGACAAGCTTGATTGTTAACAATGTCAGGTGGGCTATTTAGCAAGAATACAACATCTAGTGTATTGCTTCTATAAGCTCAATATGAATTATGTTTTTCTCTTTTCAGCATATTTCGAAATTCTTAATGATTTCAAGTGCCATCGTATTTTTATAAGTGGATATTAATGCGTATTCCTGAATACATTTTCAGTTCTCCCTCCTAAACAGGTCTCTACATGTTTTGCCCTTATGGACTACTTTAAGGTTGTCAAAGAGTGCTAAGCTCCTGCACATGGATGTAAAATTAGGGTTAAGGGTTTCCTCTCTTGATCACTTAGAAATGTGAATATTTAAGTTTATTTAATGGTAGACAACAAGGGTTGCCTAACATCCACATTGTCTTGATAGCAGCAATGTTTTGATAGTGCTTCAGCAGTAACTGCCAGAGGCACATGAAAAAAAATTAAATTGCTGCTTTGCATATCTTTTGAGTTCATGAGTTATCGTGATAACTTGATCTTGATGCATCTTGATAAAAATCAGCTTTCAACCAGCTCCTTCAAGATTTCTGCTCATAATCATTTTTATAATTCTGTATGCTACTGACAAGTGTAATGATAATCTCAAACAGGGCCAACCTTCTGAATTCAGCTGGATCGTTTTACATGAAAGGTTGAACTTTTACTCATTGTTTGTAATTACTTCCCTTTTATTTATATTAACATTCTCACTCATTCTAGCCATATTATTACTATTGGTCTATCTAGCAACGTATTTACTGGTGGAGAGGAAGGGAATCATCAGTGCAATCGTGCACAAAGATTCAACAGCTGCAGATATCTTGAAGTCGTATATTCATGCACTTGTTATGGCCAACCTTATGGATGAAAACAGATCTCTACATTTGGAGAGCCAATCATGGATGAATAAGCAGTATGAAATTTTTGTTCAGAAGGTATGGCTATGAAGTTTGTCCTTAAATTCAAATAGTTTTTCAAGGAACACTTACATGGATCTGACTGTAGGAAATGTTTTTTCTTTTCTTTTCTTTTCTTTTTTTTTTCATTTGCATTAGCTGGTAAGTTAGATGCCCCAAACGTTTTTTCAACCTCCATTGGCCTTTGTTAGCCATAATATAGAAACAGAAAGTTGGTTGACTTTGCAAAGATGAAATGATATTGAAAAGCAATGAGCAAAGTTTATGGGGAACCAAACTTTATGAAATATCAGCACTTTGTGCATTGTTTGAAAAGCATCTTCAGTACTTGGGACAATCAACACACCTTGTTGTGTATATTGGGCTCTGTCTCAGATGCATCAGCGTCTATATCTGGCAGGCCATATCCCCCTGCCATTTTAGATGAATAGGTTTTTTTCACTAAATGGAAAAATGAAATGCTTATCTATGTGTATTATGACCATTAATAATTAGTTGATGGATAAATAAAGGAGTTAACTCGTGTATAGACTAGTTTTTTCCTTGTGATACTAAGGTTGTGTTGTTTCTTCCATTTCTGGTGGACTCTTTTTCTCAGTCAAGATACATCAACTCTCTTTGTAATTTCTTTTCCTTTTGCAGCTAAAGTCATCAGGTTGGAAAACTGAAAGGCTTCTCTCTCCCTCAATCATGTGCAAGGCACACTGGCACTGTGAGTCATGGGATGAAAAATCTGACTAGGTATCGTCAGTCTAACTCATGAGAATGGTTAGAAGACATGTCATTGATGTTTTTCCTATTGGAGAAAAATGAAATTCACGGATGGTACCTAAAATCTAATAGACAGAACTCAGTTTGAGATATCTGCATCACCTTCTCATCCACTGCTTCCATGGTGTAAACAAGATAAGCTGGTTTAAACTGAGATAAGGTCTGAGATGTAATCCAGCAAAGAAAGTTTCAGATCCAATCACAGGAAGTTGAGGGTATGAGTTGGACACTCAAAAATCACATAATTATTTTGCTTTGTGTATTTTATATTACCAAAGTCCAACCATTTATTGGAACTTATTTTGGGTTTTGCTTATGATCGAACATATATATTATCAATTTTGAATCACTTAGTCAAGTTGAGCTGCCTGCAAAACTACAGACGAGGATTCCATGGATGAGCTTTTCTGAATGCTACATAAACCAGAAATACTCATCAGGTATTTCTTTTGTTTTTCTTTCTATCAAGTCATTAGGTATTTCTTAAATATTATCCTTTTGTTATGTGGAAACTGGAAACTGAATATAGGAAGTATATGATAAGAGTGAAAAAAGTGCATTATGAGCATAATATTTTCCTTTTTAGCTTGTAATAATCTTTGAAACATGTAGCTGCATGGTAGCTTATAAACATAAAAACAAACATTATACGGATCCCCTCTTCACTCGAAGGGGTTTTTCTTCAAATTGATCCCCAATAAAAAATTCTATGAATTTCTTCACAAGGGTGAAGGCAGCCGCATGGTAGCTTAATACCGCCGCCGGCCACCCTTCTCATAAAGCTTGCTTCTTGCTTTTGTAAAAATCCAGAAGATGTATATGGAGAAGGGCATCCTTGTGACTTGAAAAGAATCCTGTGTTTTCCTTGAGTGGCTGAATGGTTCACACTTCACACCATTCAAGTCTCTTGAAAGAGGATCAGGTAGATGAGTAATTTCTTGTTGTCGGGGAACCATTAATAGATTTTTCATTCCAAAAGTAAGGTCTATCACTTTGAAATGATGGTTGTCGAAAAGGTTGATGTCCTTGTCATGAATCTTGAAAGAGAGAGTTTTTGTTGGGATCAAACTCTGTTATGTCGTCTTGCTCTTGCACATTTGATTGGTTTGATTCTTACCAAGTCAAAATGTTGACAGAAATTGATGCAATTTAGAGCGAGACATGACAGAAACTACTTCACTGCTGTATAAACCTCCAGATTTCTGATCTCTGCCCCCACATCATTGTGGCACTAGTATTACTAAGCACTGATTCATGGCCATCCATCACCCAAGCATGGTTACTGTATTTGTAAAATTTTTTACTATGGAACAGAGAATTTATGAGGTCATTTTTCACTGATTGAAATAAAACGAGAGGTGGAGCACCACCGAAAGATTTTTCCCTTGTTTAAGAAATATCAGACTGAAGAGTACAAGCAACTTTTCTTGATGGCTATAAGAATTGACTGATTAACCTACATTAGAAGTGTAAGGATAAGCTCAGCACTTGATACAAAAGCCTAAACTGAAATTCACCTGTGAAAGTTGAGTAAAAATGGGTCTTTCAGATGTGTGCTCCCCTATCTGATGATTAAGGCAGCCAAGAGATTTATTATTATATAACCAAGGTATAATCAAGGTAAGAGTGTTAAGGTGTGGCACCTCCTTTGCTCTCGACCAGATACATCTTCAATAAACTAGAGACGTAATCCTCTATGTTGAAAGGGTAATCAAAGAAGGAATGCCTGAACATCCTGCAAACGTAAAATCATTTTGGACTTTCAAATTCTAGCATCTGGTATTGTCCGTGACCAAGTTGCTGATCAATAGTATGAAATCTATAGTATAGTTGCAGGAAAGAAGGCTTACGGCAAAGAATTAAAGAGAGCTGACATTCTAGACATGAGTAACCCTTTTACAGACCCAGATTTAGATAATTCAAAGCCATATGTTAAGAATCTTTGAAAGATAACCTTAGATCCAAAGTCAAACACTTTTAGTCTTAGGTATTTTTCAAGGTTACATGACATCACACTGAAGCTAGCATACAAGAATATTAGAGCTGTATCAGGTGGCTGCATTAAAGAAGGAGTGGAAATATTTCTGCATAACTATATATGCTGGCTTCAACTTCCAACTATCAGTTTTATAAAAAAGGATGTATTTACGAGATGAAAGCAGATTCATTTGAACGCATTCTGTTCTAAAATTTTGCAAGTTTTCTTTTTACTTGTCCCCGTCCAAGTGTCGGAAAAATATTTTAAAAAAAAAGTAACTCAGTAGGTCCCCACTCCGCAGAAATCAATGCCCTTTATTTGAAAACTGGTCACATCTGAGCTAAAATGGTTTGCTGAGATGTAAATAATAACGTACCGGACAACAACTTCATATCATTAGCATCATGTGGCATGATTGAAAGAACATGTCAATTTTACAGTGGCAAACATAATCATGGAGTTGGATTCAGCTGGGGTGACCAAGGCACTGAGAAACCAGCTTGTTACATGATATTTTCAGATAAATCTTGCTTTCTTACACGAAGAAGAAAAATCAACTGAGGAAAATTTCAATTTTCATTGCTTTAACAGACAATCAGCATTAACTTCTACATCCCAACCCAAAATATGTGTAAATATTCATATATTTATAATAATTATGCATCAAATTCGAATAATCTAAAAAAAAGCAGCCTTTTCTACATTGAAAATTACAACAAAACTACCTATAAACTTTTTCTCTTTTTTTTTCTTTAATATAGCTTATGCTAAGAATTTAGTGGATCAGATTTCCACACAGCAGCCTGATTGGACAAACCCAGAAAACTCATCAGGCACGCTGATTTTCTCCAATTTACCATTTTGGCCTTCCTTCATTTTCACCATGTAAAACCCATGCGATGTACCTTGATACTTCGACCCGGTAAGCAAGACCCGCCCTCCAAGGGTTATCCCGCATGCTCCGACCCCAACGGCCGCGTCTAGCTCTGCCCAATCGAACAATTTCCCGTCCTTCCCAATCCCGACACTTGATCTCGGGCATCGACCGTGTTCCCAAACCCCTTCGACCCTCCTCCATTGACCCGACTTTAACCCGTATACATCAGCACTCCCATCAAATTGACCTTGACTCTCCGTCCGGTATCCACTCACAACCCAGAACTCGTCTTCCCCAATCACCACACCTTCACACTCGTCTCGCTCTTGACTCATCTCCCCCAACTGAGTCCACTCGTCCTTTCTCATATCATAAACCCACGCGGTTTTTGATGCGTTCTTGTTCTCGTCATGCCCGCCAGCAATATAGACCCGACCCGAATATGCTCCGATTGCAAAGAACGATCTTTTTGACGGCATGTCCTTTCCTTGTCTCCATTGCTGAGTCATGAAATCGTAGATAAAAACGTCAGTAACAGGGTCGTAACTCACCGGGTCCCACCCGCCCATCACCACAAGCTTCCTCTCGCAACTTGCTAATTGACAGAACAAAGGCAACCCATTTGGGTACCTGGGAACTGGTGGGAGTCCATCCCAACTCCGACTCACCGAGTCAAAAACAGCAATTCCATAACTCGGCGACTCACTCGGTTTTTTAGGTCCATTCACGATTCCACTTCTAAAGGCTTGAACCAAGCAAGCGACTTTTTGGCTGTACCCTAATTTTTTGCGGAGGATATAGAAGTCTTGGCTTTGGAGCAAATCTCGCCATCGGTGACAAACTCGGGAGGCGAGTCTGTGAACTGTGTAAGGTAACCGAGTTAAGCACTCAAGACCGAGTTCATCGGGCAAACCCGGAACCAACTCAGTTGAAAACTCGAAACTTCCCATATCTCAAGTTTCTAGAAGGTTTTGTTTTTGTTAAAAGCCATGGAAGCATTGGAAACAAAGCTTCCACCCATCGCTTACTTATAAACAGACGTTGGATAACGGAAATGACCATGGTTATTTGTTCGAATGACACGTGTACGTTTCACAGACTTCAATCCAACTTAAGCCTATATTTGACTGGTTGTTATGACAAAGCGGATAAAAGCAGAGCAAAAGATGACACGTGGCATACTGTTACGGTAACTAATGCTAGTGGGGCCCACTAATCATCCGATTCCTTTTGCCTGATTGATAAAGTGCATGAGATAGTGACACGTGGTGATAACGGGATAAACGTCCCTTGTGTTTGCTGACGTGACTCGAGACGAATTTATCTGTCCTTATCATTTTGCTACTTGTTTTAAGATATTATTAAGTCATTGATCATGTCAAAATTTTTAGACAAATATAATTATTAATTAAAATTAAATTTAAGATCTATCAATTCATAAAAATTTCAATTAAATCATGGGACAAAAAATAAATGTTAAACATTTAATATTTTTCAAAATATTTTTTTTTTCACAAACATTTTAATAAATTGTCTTGTCTGCTTTTATTTTATTTTCCTTTTTGGTAAAGGCCTTGACAAAAACGATAATCGACAAAATACCGACCAGATGTGAACTCTAGCCCTTTCAATAGACTAGCTAACGATGGCAAAGACATGCCAAATTTCCAGACTTTTAAGATAAAACTTAGAGGGCGGACTTATCTTTGGATCATACCTTTATATTTAGTGATTTATATATTTATATTATATAAAATATTAAAATTTATGTATTTATATTGTATGTTATATAAAAATTATTTTTTTATTTTTATTTTTTTGTTTTATATTGAGTTTTATGAAATTTAAAAATTTTTGGTTTTAATATATTTAATATTAAAATTAATTTTTTTACAAAATTAAATTTTCATGATTTTAAATATTAAAAAATAAAATAATTTTAAAATATAACAGAGTAAGAGTTTTAGATGTTTAAAAAAAACAAAATATAATTTTGAAATATCCAAAAAATAAAAGATAAATAAAAAAAGGATAGAATAAATACATTATATAATTTATATCGATACGAATATATAAAATATATTTTTTTGTTAAATATATATAATTATTATTAAAATTTTAAATCGTATCATATATATATTTTCATATCATATTCACATCGTATTATTATATTATATTTTAGATTATTAAATTTAGATTAAGTGATATATTATTATAATTAACCATCAACTAACATAATCCATATTTAAAAATTATAAATTTTAAAAAAATTATATACATAATATTTTTTACTTAAAATAAATATTATTAAAATAAAAAATTTAGAGTCAAATTAAAATTTTCAAACTTAATACTGTATCAACTCAAATTTAATTGATTATATTTTTAATAACATATAGTAAAATAAATATAAAATAATTTACATTATGCTATGGAATGTTTGAAATAGATAGGGAATTGGAGATATAGACAACCCCATTCATATGATGACTAAAAAATCAATGCCAAGTGGTGTAGTGACACCAACTTGCTGGAATCTATTTGTTTCTTTTTCTATCTTTTCCTTATCTCAACATGTGATGTGAAGGTCTTTTGTTGTTTTCTTTTGCAACAACTAGTCTTCACATTATTGTTGTCGTGTTAGTGACTTTTCATTGTGTCTGAATAATCCATGAAATAATACAATTGTGAATAGGAAAAAAAAAAAAAGGGTTTAATTTTATAGATCGTTGCAAAATTACCCATAAAAGAATCTCATAAAAAATAATTGGATGGCAGTTAAAGGTGTGTCAAAAAGTAATTGTTAAAGAATTTAATAAAATTATGATACAGTAAATCTCATTGCACCATAATAAACATAATATTTTTTGTCTCCCATTTTGTTTTTAAATGTATTAAAATTTCTTATTTTTTGTATTTTAAAATTATTTTTTATGATTTTTTTTACTTTTTAACATTAAAAATCATAAAATTTTAATTTTATAAAAAAAATTTAATTTTAAAATTTAAACTTTGTAAAAATCAATACATCTTAAATATTTAAATCGAAGGGAGCATGTGCCTTTTTAATTATTATCATTAATTTGATTTAAATATAACAATAACCTTTTTATTTATTATCATTGATTTTAAATTGAACATTTCATTTTAAAATTTAATAAAATTTACTCCGGTGACCTAAACGTCACCCCAAAGTCAACTTTTGCCATATGTTTTTTTAATAAATCTAATAATTTGGGTCATTATATCATATAAAATATTATATTTATATTATATTTTACATAAAAATTATATATTTTAATTTATATTAATATAAAAATATAAAATATAATTTTTTAATTTTATTAAATTTATTTATAATTTTTTAAAAAATTAAATTATATATATTTTTTATTTTATTATGTTTTAAATTATCAAATTTATTTTTAAGTGTCGTAATTTTGCAAGCCAACCATTTGATCTTGACTAAAAGCAAATGTCATTGACACAAGAAAAAAAAGAAAATCCCTAAAGCCACCGCCTTTTTTCTCCATTTGGGGCCAATGTCCCACTTTGCTTTTAAAAGGTGTTGGAGTCCTTTTATTAATGAAAATGACAAAAGATGCACAATCCACCATATGATCCTTAGTCAATTGGGTTGCTTTTCAATTGTTCTTCTAGAAGCATTGTACTGGTGAGGTGGTGGGGGGCATGACTGGCTGAAAAGCCTGAAACAATCTTCTTTTTTTTTGGCTTTCAATTTCAGCACACTCCATTCTACAATTACAACCAAAGACAAACATCCATTCCCACATAGTTGAAGGGATTTCTTTTGCATGCCATATAAAGTTAAATAGTTTATATAGATTGGGTTCTGACCATTACTTTTATTGACTAATTAATTACTAATTAATCAATTTTAATCCAATTTAACATTAATTACTTGGGTTTAATTTGGATTTTGTCACTAGTTTCTTATTCCAAAATTCTTATAGAGCATACTGGATATTAACCGTTTCATATAATCATTACTAAAAAGTTCAAATCTTATCGATTATAATTTTTTTTTTATCTTAAAATGTGATATTTTTATATAAAAAATTTTAATGAGACGAAAAAATCATCTTATATCTTTATACATATAAAAATTCATAGGCTTCCATACTATTTTAAGATTTGAATTCTAGATTTTCGTATTAGAATCCCAAAATCTAATTGCTAGAGTCAGAATGTCATATTGGAAATGGCAGTAGTTTCTAAAATGACATGATAAATTTTACAGACATTTTTTCATCCCATCCCTCTTTTCACCAGCTCTTCAATCTTCATTACCAATGCCCCTTGTCTGCTTTTGGTTTTGTTTTATTTTATTTTATTTTCCTACCACCAGCCACAAGGAAGACTCTACTTGAAAGATTTGGAAGCATCTGCTAAGCAATTTCTTGACGTGCATAAGCATCAGAGCCAATCAAATGCTGCATTGGTTAACATTTTTGACTTGTTCATCAATTATTTCATCAAGCCATGAATTATGCAATCTCCATAGGAGAACTTTATTTCATCAATCAGATGCTGCAAACTCATTTTCGATGCCCTGATGATGCCATAAGAACTGCAACAGCTACAATGAACATAAACAACATGCTAACAAGCAATATATATGTTCTTCGAGACGATCTTCTGTATTCTCCGAACAAAAGTATGCCCCAAAACGTGCTCACAAGTGGAAGTGCCTGATATCACCAGCAAATCTAGATGAATTAAGCAATTTAAGATAAAGTAAACATACCATGAGCACATCTGTTAATCAATAACCTCATAAAAGTAGTAAGGTAGCAACAATGGCCATGATCGTAGATTTTCTTATGCTATGAATGAAGAATTGAAGATCAATGTCACGTATTTTTTTGGTCTTAAAGATGGACTAAAAGTACCTGAACTGCATCTGCTGCTGCATATCCTGCTGCTTGACCTCCCATGAACTGGAGACCATTCCCAAACCCACACAGAAACCCAGCCAAAAAGGCCCAGCCTCTGCCATTCCAATCACTGAGATAAGCCTTAAATGATGATCTAGGCAAGTTTAATACAGGACGGTAGAGGAAAGTGATATTTAGGATGAGGGCAATTACAAAGCAAGAGATTGAAAAGTAAAAAAATGCAGTATAGACAACCAACTTAGGAACCCCTTCCTTCAAAGTGTGCCATTGATCATTTGTAGCCAAGTTGAATGCTGGTGAGAAGAGGGAAAAGCAAACACCAGCAAAGAAAGTTATCACCAACCCAATAAAAGTGCTCTTCCCAAACACCTGTGAAGAGAATCAAACCAATTGTTAGAGACAGATTGATATCTGATGTAAAATATCCAAGGCATAATGCTCTGTGCACTTTAGCTTCCCTAGAGTTCTCTTGAATAGCTGTCGAATCGTTAGCTTTCCAGATTACTAAATAAAACAGCTAGAAGAGAGGATCACATATTTCGCAGTTCTAGACCCCTGAAGGATCCAAGAAAGTAAAACCTCCAACCTTAATCGCTCTCCTGTTCTCTAGCTCTATAAGGAAGTTAGCAGTTCCTGCCTTTGCCTTCTCTGTAATGCCATTCCCCTTCTCCAGATTCATTAATTCTGTTCACTAATAGAAAGAGTCTTAGAAAAAGAAGTGAGCAGTAAGTAACAAGGTAAGATAATAGAGCTTTGTACCCTCATTTGTAATTGCCTCTTCTGATGTGGAGGTATATCCAGCCCTGGAAAAAAGAACAATTTTGTGGAGCAACAAGAATATAATTAGCAGCTTATACATAGAACTAAAGATTTTAAACATGACAAAGTATCGTATATGGTTTTTTGACGTTAGCACTTACAGGAGTAGGAAAGGGCAATTGAATTCTACTTCTGGTGAGAGTCAAGTAATAGGATTAAATGAAGTATCTAATATTTGGAGATGACACAGTAAAAGGCTAGCATTTGAGTGAAACAACCTACAGAATTAACATATTCTACTTTGAGCACACTTCAGTGGCGTACATCTTCTAGACTACAAAATCTCTAGCAGAGCATAACAATGGTGCACCCTAAGATGCATATCATCAATGCCGGTCCTTTATTCTAGTGCCATGACAGAAAACCTCAGCTTATCTCGTAATCAAAATATCATTATGATCCTGCTGCAGCCGTTTCTGCGGGGTGAGCTTTTTTAACGCAGGAACTTTGCAGTCTTTAATTAATGAATCATAGGGGACAGAAGTTCGTTGCTGTAAGTTTAAGCATACAAGCAAATGACATGGGTTAAAAAGCATCTGATACTTGCAAAAGCAAACCCAAGTGCCGGTTTTATAGATACAGAAAAGCTATCGAACTGGCTTTGCAAGCCGGGACTAGTTCTTATGATTAATCTTCATTAATCACATTAAGATATTTATTGAGAAGAAGAGGCATACTCTATTTTAAGTTTGTTAAGCTTTGCTTTATTATCTGCAGCATTGGACGAGTGGACGGCTGATCCAAGACAAACAGCTATCAAGAAGCAACCGACACCAGGGAAAAGAATTTCAGCTCTATTGATTTTGTCATCTAAGAAGTAATTCAAGGTTGTGCCTGTTCAATCAAAACAAAGTAACTAAAATTAAGAAATAAAAATCAAGTTTTGTTACAATACAATAACAACTTATGCATGCATAGAACACTCAAACCTATAACAACAGTAATGCTTGCAGTGATCACTTCTGTCACTGACAAACCAACGAAAGCCCAAGCATACTGTGTAGATAAATTTCCAAGGCTGAGAACCACTCCACCAGCCATTGCGAACAAAACAGAAGGCCAATTATCCTGCATTATCACCACTGAAGATTCATATCCATATCTAGGTAATATATCTATTTTGAAAGTACTTTTTTATTTTATTGCCACATTTATAATCTCAATTCCACCCTGAATATGGAGAAAACCCACCTGAGATAGTTGAGCAATAAAGTTTGGTTGTTCAGCAGTGCTCTTGCCAATCTCACCGAATGTTAAAGCTATAATTATAGCAGCCAAGAGGTTTGTCAAAGTATAATCAAGATAAGTATGTTGAGGAAGACGACCTCGTCTTTCTAGTAGTGTCATAATAGCAGGCCATGTGCCCAAAAAGAACAGAGCCAGCAGCATGCAGGCTATGGCACCTCCTTTGCTTTCCACCAGATACATTTTCAAACCAGCATAAATAAGTCTCTCAGTTGGGACAGAGATCAAGGATGCACTGCTGGGACAATCCTGCTATAAGAAGAAGTCTTAGCGTCTAATCTATCTTTCATTTGATCAAATTTAGTAAATTTTCTGGCCTGTTGAGCCCTTTATGGACATTCCACAAAATTAAGGAAACACGCTTTCATCTCTTAAAAACACATCGGTTTCCAAAATTCCATTACACACCATAGTGAGGCTCCAAGCAGCAGGCAATGGGCGTCCAATCAAGCTAACAATTATTGGAAAACAAGAAGACTTCAATCTAGGCAGAAACACAGAACAGATGTAGAGAGAGGACAGTCCATGCACTATTGAGTAGATTGGCCACCTCGAAAATGACTGGCTGGGAGCTCATATTTCAGAAAGGTAAGGCAACAAAATTCCCAGAAAACCAGACAAGAAAACCCAATGTAAGGAAGGAAATGATATAGAGAATAAGCAAGAAACATACAGCAAAGCAAGCATAGCCTGAGGCAAAAACAGATCCAGAACAAGAATTCAAGTCAACGGAACCAAAAAAAAAAAAAAACCCCATAGCAAAATCAAATTGCCAACAGTATGAACATCATATTTCTTCTAAACTACTCACTCTCCATATGCAAGTCACCATATGCAAATAGTAGAGCAAAGCAAAGAAAAAAAAATCCAAAACATAGGCAACCTAAAAGCTAAAGCGTACAAAAAGAAGTAATCAAAAGGAAGAAAAACGGTTGTTACTTGGCATACTCGGTTACCCACCACCAAAAGCAAACGTAAATACATGAAATAAACTAAAGTAATAAAGAAAGCCAGTAGGCCACACATATGACATAACCACACATCACAATCAGAAAAACAATGATCCAAAAGTTTTGGAAAGTATGAACTGCGAAGCTTTTACCTTTGCCAGATTAATGTTCAGAAGCTTTCAGAGAACTGATAAAAACAAAGCTGCAACCATTCCAGATTGAGGGAGGACTTGGAAAAGAAACAAACAATTTAGAAAGGGGAAAGGCCTTTTAGTCAAAAAAGGGGGTGATGTCTTAACCTAGAATCTTGGGAAGAGATTCTTTTGGATTCAAACTCAGTTAGCAAAACCTTGGATTATTGCACGTTGGTTTTGATTGCTTGCTTGATCGGCTTAGTTATAGGTACTTCAAGTCCATATATGCCGTGAGATATTAATGTTATTGTTTGAAATGTTGCATAAAATATGATCATGCGTTGAATAATTGGCAGGTTGTCCTGGCCCATGCATGGTTGAATTAGAATATGGAGTAATAAAATATACTCCATCTAACAATAATTATGACATTTAAACACTTAATTGTTTTTTATATATAGACTACTAATAAAAATGATTGTGAACATGAAATAATTTCTATTAGCATGTGAGTGCCAGCTCTAACAAAGTATAGATGCCAAAATTGCATACAATAAAATAAGTATAATTTAATTAATTCGAACCAAGTTAAAGCTTAACATTATTTTTTTTCTTTCTCTTGAAGAAAAAAAGGAAAAATTTAAGTCCAACCCAGAATTAGCAGGAAAATGGATAATGCAATTCAGGGTAATTTCCCTTCTTTTTTTTTACTCAAAATTTTTATTTTTTGAATGAAATATACGATTCAGGGCGATTTCCCATTTTTTCCCTAAAAAAATCTTTTTTTTTTTGTTGAAATATAGGTTGTCTGATCATTTGAACTTGCCCCATTTTTGCGCGGGATGTTCCTGAGTTTGACGAGCATTGACCAATAGTAGTAAAAGGAAAAGCGTTACGCCACGCGCCATCCACTCGCGTGAGGCGATAGTTCCATTAGATTGCGCGGTTGTCAGTTATCTGTTAGAAACTTAGCATCAGTTATAAGCATGCTCGACCATTCACTTCATCGAGGAAGCGGGTGACCAACAATGCTCACCCTCACCGCCACCACCTCCGCACCAACCTTGTTCCCTAAATGCAAAACCCAACGGCGGCGATTCACCGTTCTGGCAGCGGATGATAAGTTCCCTTCGTTTCTACCAAAACAAATGGAACAAATCAAAGACCCGTTTGCTCGAAAACTTGCCAATCGAATCGAGAGACTGCCCGTTAATGTAAACTTTTTTTTTCTTAATTCTCATTTTATAATTTTTCAGACATTATTTTAGTTAAAATGGGTTATTAATTTTTAGGAATATTATTAACACTGCAGGTTAGCTTCTCTGAAAATAGCATTATGAGTAGTTGTGTGAAGCCATTGGTTCAGAGCAAGCAAAATCCAGTGGTTCTCCTTCATGGCTTTGACAGGTTTTTTGTTTTGTGCTTTATTATATAGACAGCAATTAGCAAAAGTAAGAACAAAAATGGACTTCACCAATTTTCATTTTATTGGTTCAGTTCTTGTTTAGAATGGAGATACACGTTTCCATTGCTTGAAGAGGCTGGTTTAGAAACTTGGGTTGTTGACATTCTTGGTTGGGGTTTCTCTAATTTAGGTTTGCTTTACCATTTTTTGTGTTGTTGCAATCCCAAACACTCAGTTATTCTCTCATTTTAGTTTCTCTTTTTGCCTTTATTTATTTGCTTTTATTTTTATTGCTAGAAAGACTTCCATCATGTGATGTGGAATCTAAGCGCCAGCATTTCTACCAGGTACAGCTTGAATGATATAGGATTAAACAGTCAGATAATTAACATGGGTAACCTTATATAAAAGTGTTAGTTTAGTTTAACTATAATTGCAATCGGAGTTAAAGGATCAGACACGAGTGGTTGAGTTTATTGATACTAATGCAAGTGTTAGCAGAAAAGTCCGTTGTTCAATTACTTCAGTAATCGAATTAATGCTGTGTCCAACTTCAGCTTGTATTCCAATATGTTGAGACTAAACTGGATGTCTCTGATATACAGCTTTGGAAGTCGTACATCAAAAGGCCCATGACATTGGTTGGACCAAGTCTGGGTGCTGCTGTTGCAGTTGATTTTGCAGTCAACCACCCCGAAGCCGTGAGCATCTTAGACAACTGGTCTTACGATTTTTTCTGCATCTAATATTTGGACAGTAGAGTTATAGCTTGATAAAAGATGCTAATAAATGCCTCTGATTCTCCATGCTATTGATGACCTTTAGTTACTCTTTTTTAGGTTGAAAATCTTGTTTTGATCGATGCAAGTGTATATGCAGAAGGCACGGGAAACCTAGCAAAGTTACCCCGAGCAGCTGCCTATGCTGGGGTTAGTCTTCTTTGCTATTCATAACAGACTTGAATCTCAATTATTTTGGCAATCCTAGCTGTTTATAATTGTCTTTGTCATTTACTTTTCTCTACTTGTTATCTTTCTAGGACCATCTTGTGTATTATGAACAAGCTCTTTTCTTGTTCCTCCACTAAAGTTTTCTGGAATTTTTATTTGATCATTCTGGCTCCTTTTTAACTTAATCTTTCACCTTTGTGGTAAAGACAACAGAAGGTTTTATTAACTACTTATCTCTGTTGTGCCGAAGATAACAATCAAATGTGTTAAAGGACTTCATATCGCTCTCATTAACTGGTTTCACCTTAATTTTCGTTAACTTTTGCTATTTTCATTCAATGATCACTGATGCATCTAGACATCTAGAAATTTAAGTCTAGGTTTACTCGTGCTTTTTCTTACTTTTTTTTTTCTTTATTGGTTAAGTGCTTGGTTTTGATACTCGCATTGTACTCTAATGCTTTTCGATACAAGCATATAAATTACAACAATTCTTTTTCTAACAGATTGCTTGTGCCGTTTTTTCCTTTGGGAGAATATGGAGGGCATGCTAAATAGTTTTTTTCTCATATATTAGAGCTATAACTGTAAATTTTTGTGAATCAGGTATCTCTATTGAAGAGCTTCCCACTACGCTTATATACAATATTTTTGGCATTCAAGGGAGTATCATTCAGCACCAGCTTAGATTGGACTAATGTAAGTTTTCCCTGCAAAAATGAAGCTAAGAAAAGTAATGCAATATGGATCACATTAATTATTGTTTATTCCCGAAAGCTAGTACATTTTAGGATTTTTGAAGGTTGAAGGGGAATCTAACAGCGATTATATTCTTGTAATCCTGTCCAGATTGGTAGATTACATTGCCTATATCCTTGGTGGGAGGATGCAACTGTGAATTTTATGATTAGTGGTGGTTACAATGTCAGCAGACAGATCGATCAGGTTTGTCTACAACTGTCTTATCGTCTGCCCCACAGAAGGGTGTATGTTAACAGATTAATAATTTCAGTTTTTTTTTTTTTTAATTTCATTTTGGTAAAATTTTCAAATCATCTCCAAGACGGAATGTTGAGTGACAGATATGACATAAAATTAAAGGATTTTTTTCTTCATTTTGATTCTTGTAAGAAGAGGTTAGCTATGCCTTATATAAAAAATAAATGCATTAAAATCTGCAGTTTTTCATGCAACTTGAAACCTTCTTTTACAGGTGAAGCAGAAGACACTTATAATATGGGGTGAGGATGACCAGATTGTTAGCAACAAGCTAGCAGTGGTTAGTAACTCAAATTGTTTCAAAATTTTTCTCCATATAGGCATGATCATACTACAAAGAAGTGGCCAACTTTAATTACTTTAGGACATGATTGATAAATAATATAAAAATCAGAGAAATATCTTTCTGGTGATAATTTTCTGATTTATTTATCCTGTGGGGTGAAACTTATTCATGTGGGTTTTTCAATTGCGTAATGCAGAGATTGCATTGTGAACTGCCAAACGCAATTATTCGCCAGATACCCAATTGTGGCCACCTTCCTCACGTGGAAAAGCCTGATTCTGTTGCCAGATTAATCTTGGAATTTATGCAGGATTACTGCCAGAAAAAGGCTCAGTTTGTCCCTATGAAATGAAGGTGTATATTCTATCCCTGCTCTAACCATATTTAGCTTGGATTTCACTGCATGCTTGATCTGATAATACTTACCTGCAACATAGTGGTCCGAATGCCAACAGAGGTTGGTTGAATTGGTAAGGCTCGAATACTTCGCTTGTAAGGCCTAGGTTTGAGTGTTACTACTGGCCGTCCTCTTTGGTGGATGATCTGTAAATTTAATGTAGATCAATGTAGATCTCTGAGGTCTGCTGTTTGTCTTGACATTGGAATGCAGAAGCCTCCTCTTACCCCAAACTTTCTTCCATAGGAAAAAAATTATTATGGTCAGAATATTTATTTAATAAGAGAAATTTTTTATCCTGTAAAGGGATATAGTACTGATTTCATTGATTGTAATTCATAGCAGCAAGTGACCCATCCAACATTTGTCACTTTGTCATATGAAAACAAAGATGCAACATATCTAGATTTCAACTGGCTATGAGAAGGCATATCTCGAAACGCTTGATATGTTAATCACAATGATCATCTTCGTTTCTACTTGTTGTGTTTGGCGAAATTTAGTGCGATTCCATTAATGTTAGGAGCTATCCATAGACAATGTACAATGCTAAGTCAAAGTACATTAAATCCAAGCTCCCAATCAAAAACTGAAAAAGAAGGAACACCACAGACACATTGCAAGCTCATGGATGGTGACTGCACATTTCCATCCTTCGGTTGAATTTATGACCGTTTGAGAAAAAGCATATATATTATGCAATAATGTGAACGTACACACACATAGAAAAACTGAAAAATCAGTCAAATACATGACAAAAACCTTTTTTTTTAAGGGTTTTGCTAAGATTCCCCTACCACTTAGACATAGTCTTACATTGCTGTAATAACAAGACCTTTATATATCAGATACAGATACCCAGTACTTTCTTTCTTGTTTTTCCTAGTTTCTTATTGTTTGTCTAGAAATAAGAAATCCCCATTTTCTCACTCTTTTTCCCTTTTCTCTTTGATTCAAGTTCAACCACCTGTCTTTAAAAGTCAGTTGATTTCCGTTATGCTTGTGGAGCTGCTTCTTATTCTACTAAAATCCTTCAAAAATGGCGTCAACACTTGTTTCCAAAGGAAGCTGTGATTTTGCTAACGTTAGTCCCATTGTATCGTAACAAAAGTTTGTCCGAAAACCATGCCCGTTGATATATGATGGTGGCCCCACCTGGTCAGCGGAGGTCTGGAGTAATTGCAGATAACAACATAAACTTAAGGAAATTATACATTTCCACCAAAATCGACCCTTCAAACTTTTTTTCTCTATTCCATCCTCGGGTAAAACACACTTCCCCCAATGGCCCGATCTCTACCTACTTTTTTTTTTTTTAATTTCAAATTTTATTTTCATTTCTCTCTCTACGTGAATTATCCCTTTTCAAAATTTTCACCCTTACCCTAAAAATGGATCCTTCTCTCTCTTCCATTCCCATTACCCCTCCTCCTCCGATCCCTCCCTCACCCATCATTCCCGTCGTCTCATCCGTCGTGGCTAACCCGACGACAACGACGACGTCAGTCGCCGGTGGTGTGCCTCCGAGTTTCAACCACCCTCCTTACTCGGACATGATTTGCGAGGCTATTGGGGCTTTGAAAGACAAGAACGGGTCAAGCAAAAGGGCAATAGCTAAGTACATAGAGTCAGCTCACAAAGACTTGCCACCGACACACTCGGCCTTGTTGACTCACCACTTGAAGCGCTTGAAAAACAACGGTCTTTTGGTTATGGTCAAGAAATCTTACAAGCTTGCTTCCAACGCTAGATCTGATGCTTCTCTTCCGGATTCTACTCCTCCAAACCCTCCCGATGTTTCTCCTGGATCCAAACGAGGCCGGGGTCGTCCCCCTAAGCCCAAACCCACACTTACCACTACTGCCGACCCTAACTCTCAGCAGCAGTCTCTTCCGCTTGCCGATGGGCCTAAAAAATCCCCCGGTAGGCCTAGAAAAAATGGGCCCGTTGGTCAACTTGGGGTAAGGAAGGGCCGGGGTCGACCAGCCAAAAGTGGGCCCAAGAAGAGTCCCGGTCGACCGAGGAAACCGAAGACGGTAAAGTCAGTGGCGGGGGCTAATGCGATGAAAAGGGGTCGTGGACGGCCGCCTAAGGCCTTGAACCAGTTACCTCCACAGGCTGTTATGCAGATCCCGGTTCAACTCATGGCTGTTCCTTATGCTGATACTGCTGCTGCTACCGCCACTGTTCCTGTCCCAAGGCCCAGAGGAAGGCCGAAGGGCACAGCTGGAGATGCTTCTGGCGTTGTGGTCGCTGGAAAGCGGAGAGGTCGACCACCCAAGATTGGCGGGGTCACCGCCGAGACTGTCAAGCTTAAGAAAACCGCTGGGAAGCCCGTCGGCCGCCCTAAGAAGGTAAAACCACTTAAACTTGTATGGTTTTTCAGGTCAATCATATGAGTAATATGATGTTGATGATATAAATATGACATTTCGTTTTTTATGTTATTTCTGCTGGATATCTTTGTGTGAAATCTAATGTCATTGTCCTTGGACATTTGTTTTTCTTTCTTTTGATAACAAGACAACGGATGGAGCTGAATCAAAGGCGTTAGCTTCAGCATGTGGAGATCTTAAGAGAAAACTTGCATTCTTTGTAAGTCAGATGTTTTCTTTATGACGTCTAGTTCGTTACAAGCAAATACGCCTGCCCCTTGCTGTGGGATATGATTTTTTTTTTTTTTATCATTATGTGTTAATAATAGAGAAGACATAGGTGAATAGTTTTAATGGCCTAATTTGTAGATAAGGTAGGCGAAATTGATTCACGGCTAAAAATGTCATGACAAACCTAAAGTCTTTAATAATCTAAGACGTGTTGCGAGGGAGGCAACTAAGTCAAAGGGAGGAAAAAAAATCAGACATCATTGAAAGTATGGTAAATTATGTGTAGGTGACAGTGATTTAAGATTAAGTTTTTTTTTTTTTTGATATATTCAAAGAGGTCCTAGTCTAGGAATATCAGAAGGGGTCTCATATGTTGGGATTTAAATCTCAGACCTGATAGATGAATCAGTTGAGTTAAGTTCGATGTACGATTTAGTTTTAGTATATAGTATATACACAAAATAGTAGTTTTTGCACTGTAGTTCTATGAAGGGATAATGTCATGAACGGTTTTTAAGTTATAGTGTAATGTTTAATGTGATATTTGAATTTTAAAAATTTCTAATGTGTTACTTGAACACTATGAATATTATTAACTAATATGGTGCTTGGAGGATTGTTTGTCAGTCACATATTATAATTTGGAGTTAATCACGTTAGAGGTGAGTTCTGCATTAGTTGACATCACCCCTTCTATTAATTATGAATCCTTAAAATGAAAAAGAAAAAAAGGGAAATTCATTGATTTATGACTGAATAACATTGATTGCAGCAATCAAAGGTGAAGCAAGCAGTTGGAGTACTAAAGCCTCAGTTCACCAGTGAAAGCAACATCAGTGCAATTGGCGCAATCCAAGAGTTGGAAGGACTTGCAGCAATGGACATTAGCGCACCATTTAAAGAGGATGCTCAACTGCCAACGCCAACGCCAACGCCAGCACCAACACAACCACCGGTATCACACCATGAAGGACAAGTGCATTAATCCTTTCTTCCTGTATGTTTAGCAAGAGCTGTAGAAAATGTTCTGACCTTAGACACAACTATGATATTTATGTAAAGGGAAATAGGAAGTTGCAGATCTAATTGTTATTTGTTGTTGAGCTTTGTTGTTTGTGAAACTTTTTCATGACTTTAATTCTCTCATTCCCTGTACTGATTCCAAATTTTCAATGCGAATTTGAGTACAATTTCATCGGCATTTCTAATGACCTGTACCTGGCAATTATTCACATCATGATTCAAACATCCTTCTATACACTTTGCTTCTTTGCTTGGATTTATGTAATTCACTAGACCTGTGCTTGGAATTTATAGCATTTTCTTAATTGATTTGTTGTGACTTAGATCAGTAAGTTGGACTTTTCACCTGAGCCAATAAGCTGAGGTGAAAATATTAATTATAGTCTGAGGTTGAGGAAATAGATATATCTTTCAGCTGCATTCAATTTCTTTGGTCAGCTTATGAGCTTTAATTTCTTCAATTTCACCAAGAAATCCATCTATTATTGGTCTCCATGTATATAATTATAAAGCTAATCAACAGTCTCCTGCGTGTCCCCTTATTACTCTGTTCACGATAGAGACTGTATGTGTAGATAAACAGTGTTCATAGGCTGACCCGATCTTATTACTTCAAAAATCTAGGCTCGAAATGGTTATTATTTGATGTTTATTGTTAAAAAGTGTAAAGTATTAATATGGTAAATATATTTTAAATTAAGTAGAAACATGTTATTATTTAATATAATAATGTTATTGACTCGGGTTTTCGGGTTTAAACAAGTAACTTAATCTTTGAACATTTTACATGTATTAGTTGACTCTCAATATTATACTTTGAGGAAATTTTTTACGAAATGATTATGGATCAAAATATTATGCATGTCAAACTTTAAAAATCATGGATAAAAATAGGTTGAAGATGAATCTAATACACACCCATTCTACTATTGTAATCCTGTCCAGATTGGTAGATTGCATTGCCTATGTAATGAAGGTCAATAATTCTGCCTCTGCTCTAACGATATTTAGCTGGGATTTGCACTGTGCTCTTGATCTGATAATGCTTACCTGCAACAGTTTTGATGGTCAAAATATTTATGTAATGTGAGAAAATTTTGATCCTATAAAGGATATAGCACTGGTTTTACTGATTGTACTTCATAGCAGCAATTGCTTTTAAGTCCTATGGCTTTGTTAGAACAACAGGCATAAATCAGAATGGAAATATTTAACAATTCCTTCTGTTTAATCCGAAAACCATCCGATGGTTTTCAAGAATCCATCAGCCGAAAACAAAGATGCAACATATCTAGATTTCCACATGGCTATGAGGAGCCTCTTGATTGTTACTCACAATGGTTATCTTCGTTTCTACTTGTTTTAGAAATTGCTCTTTTTTAGGCGAAATTTGCTGTGATTCCATTGCTTGCTTCTATCAAAAGAACAGAAACTCGGGATGGTTTTATTAGATTTATTATATATTATCCTCTAGGAGGCGGCCCCAATGGAGAATGCCATTGCCCATTAGATTGTGTCAAGCCCCAGCTCACTCTCTTAAATGATGTGATTGGCGTGTCTTGAATCCTGACTTGACCTCATCTTTCTAGAGGTTGCTTCACTTTTTCCTTGAAATTATTGCGAGAAAGCGATGAGCAATGTTTTTGCCATTTTAGGTTCCATACGGTTATTATTTCTGTTAACAGTTATTTTTATGTTAAAAGGGTTGATTGCATGCTTTATATCTGAAATTTTAAGCCAATTCATAGATAGTAAACGAGAAACAAAAAGAACTTCCACCAAACCATACAGCAAAACAACTGGCAAAAAGCAAAAACAGGGGATGCAATCACACGCTTGAACAAAATTCCCTGGGAATCAGATACTCTTTATTTTTGGTTTCAAAAAATTGATAGATAAATTGTTTTAAGATCAATGACTGAAAATTATACATTTAAGATAATTCGAATAAAAAATTATCAATCAAATTCAAACTTAAAATTTTTATATTAAATAAACAATATTCGTCAATTGAACCAATCCTGGCATAATAAGATACTCTATCTAGTGCAAAAAGATCACTTAAAAACAAAACCAAAGGCCTTTTATCATTTCTCAATTCGTTCAGTGCGCTTGTGATAAGGTTGGTGGGTAGGTGGTTCACAAGTCACAATCTGAAGCTCCAGGAGCCTCCACCCAGAAACAATAATGCATTAATGGAGTAATAATCTACAAGATTAGGCCATGCATTTGACTATAGATCCATCACTATCCACCAATTCAACAAAAAACACCAGTCCACTTATTAAAGCTTGAAATGAAGAAATTACAGTGGTAACAAATTTCACTAACCAAATTTTCATTAAATTAAAAAAAATAGTGCCCTCTCTCTAGATATACAGAGAAAAATCTAAAAAATAGTGAACAGGCTTCTACTACCACTCAAAAGGGAATCAAATTCCAAAGCTTTTTTCACAGAGGCAAAAAGGGGGGGGGGGGGTTGCCTCTAATAGATAATCCCTACATATATATCAATGGTATATTACTGTTGTGGCAAAATCACATCCGTACATCAAACCCAAGCCCCTTCAACTTTTTCTTCCTCTAGTTTGTACTACACCTTCAAATCCAAAGGGTCACGAAAAAGGTGAAGAAAATGTTAGGGCTTCTGAAGAGAGACACAGCATCATTTGGATCATTGATGCCTGTGGTCGTTGTTCCTGTTGGGCCAAGAGTGCTGCCACTACCAAACACTGTAGGAGTTCCTGTGGTTGTGCCATTAGTTGTCCCTGTAGTTGGAGTTGTGGAGGGGGTTCCAGCTGTTGTGCTTGTGCTTGTGCTACTGCAAAATTTAGCAGAAAAAAAAATAGAGAATGTTAAAACTGTAAAAAAGAAAAGTAGCCATGGTAATGGATTAGAAAATTTTACAGATCCACTAGACCTAAAAGCAATCATGCTATGAAAGCAAAAGGGAAACATGATAACATAGGGATATAACAGATGTCCAACTGAGATTTGTGAATCAAAAATATTTTGACAAAGAAAGAAGACAAACAATTTCTCAAATATCAACATCTCGACAGCTCACAGTTGCAAAACAAAGATGATGCAGCCAGCCTCCTAAAGAAATCAAAGAAAAGATGATTTAGCTATTTAGGTTGGGGGGGGGGGGGCGATAGATCTAATCTTTACGTTATTAACAAAAATAAAATTATTTTAATGAATATTGACACAGTGGCTATATTCTGCAAATTGCTTCTGAAAACAAAATATCTACTCTGTCGGTTGTACCTAACAGAAGAATCCCAAAGCTAAGACAAAAGAGAAAACATAAAGGGTAGTTGGAAACTTGAGAAAAAATTTCATCAAAGTGGCATATTCTAGTTTTGAGAAGCACAAGTGTTTCTATGAAAAAAGAGTTCACTGGATTACATTAGAAACCTCACTGCAGAATCAACAAGCTGAGAGTTTTAATCTAATAAGCGTACCTTGAGGGAAAATTACAAGTAGAAGCAACATCTGCAAATAACAAAGAAATTTGTGCAAAAGAAATTAGCAAAAATCCAAAAGGAAAAGAAAAGAAAAGAAAAGAAGAAAGAAAAACTTAATTAGTAACAGAAAGGATTGGTTTAAGGTACTTACTGCTAGGAGGAGTGGCACTAATGGAAGCAGTGCCAGAAAAATCACAGCTTCCATTAACTTCACCTTTCCTTTGGAAATAACTATTGACAGCATAGTTGCAGTGATCTCTCACAGTGTTAGGACTATAGCAACCACCGTTTTGAAGGATTGCAGTACAATCAGCTCCAGCTCCACAGGCATAATCTAGGGTCTTTTGGAGTGCTTGGTCACCCACTCCATCTTTACACAAGCAATAGCTAGCACCTGTAAAATGAAAAAGAACACCCCAAAACCCAAAAAATTAAAAAAAAAAAAGTTATCTTCTAACAGCACAATGAAAAACACTCAAAACATCTATTCAAAAAACATCCAATAGTACAAATAAGTAAACATAAAGATTTTTTATGAAAGTTTTCATATGAAGACTAAAAGATTCTCTATGAAAAATGGTTTTTTTTTTCCTTTGCATTCAAACAAGAAAAATAATCAAAAAGTTTCTCTATCAAAATTCCTTACAATGAAAGATGAAAAGAATTAATCTTTAAGAAAATATCAGTATATTTCTCAAGCAAAGAAGAGAACCCATCTCAAAAATCTTGAGTTATGATAACTCAAAAATCTCTACATCCAATCTGAAGTTCAAAAAGAAGAGAAAAAGGGTCTTATAATAAAAAAGAAAGAAAGAAAATCACAAAAACCAAGGAACTTACTTGAATGGCCAGTCATGGCTAAGAAAAGCACTAGACAAAATAAAAGAGCCATGATTGATGCAAGATTTGAAGGGGAAATTTTGAGAAATTAATTGACTTTTAAAGATATTTGCTTGAAAAAAAAAAAGAAGCAAAGAGAGAAGGGAGATTTCTAAATAAACAAAGAGAAGGGAAGAAAGAAAGAAAGTATAACACTGGACAGTTGAGGGGTTAGAACTGAGAGTAGGTGTCTGCTTCTGATATGTAAGCCTCTTTTTATTACACAGCAACTATATATAAGACTGTCTTAAAAACACCCTAGTTCTATTAAAGTGTGTATTTTATTGGATATTTTTAAGTGTTCCGGCAAACCGAGCAAAATCCTTAAAAAGAAAATGGTTTTTGTCATGTTTTTGACTGGTTTTTTCAGTTTTTCTCTGTATGTATGTTCATATTACTTGTATATATATGCTTTTTTTTTTCTCGAACGGTCATAAACCCAAGGGAAGGATCAAAACTTAACCCAACCCAACCTGGTTTAGGTTGGTATTGTGGAAGTGAAGGCGAGGACTAAGGGTCCTACCGTTGGGGACCTTTTTGAGATCTTTTATCAAAGTACTGTCACCCCGAGGTTTGCACGATGTCTATGGTGTTCCCTTCTTTTTCAGCTTTTTGTTGGGTGTATGAATTAATGAACCTTGATTCTATGTTGTACATTGTTTATGGATAGCCTTGGGTTTTGCTTCCTGGTTTCTCATCTCCTTAAATGTAACTGTAAATATGATAGCATCTTTCTACATTTAGGGAAATTTGAGTCAATATTTTTTAAAACTGGAAAGCTAAAAAGAAAACTGATGAAATTAATCTAATGAAGATTTTCAAAGCAAACTTTGCTATACAATTCATTGTATCATATGAAGCCTATGTTGCAAGTTGCACAAAAACAGCGTATGATTTGGCTTTTATCCTTTTGAAATATTAGTCTGTAGGCAGCAACAGCGGTGGTGCATTCGCCACCTTAAAGGTTGGGTGAAAGAAAGAAGAATTGTTTGAAATTCTGTGGTTGCCTTGAGATTACTTTATTTCGATCAGTCTATTAAGGTGTTGATTGGGGTATTGAAATTCCTCACTGGCTCTCAAGAGAGAATAATTGGACCACCTTACCACACTTTTAGGACATAGCCAAGATGCTTTCAACATCTATCTCAGTGCCCTTAGGCTTTCTTTGTCTCTTTGTTTTTTTTGTTTCGTATCAGCATCTCCCTGGCCAGGTGGTTTAGCATCGTTGGTGCATTGCTAGTTTAGCACTACCATTGCGTTTTGAAAAAAAACTTGAATGGAAAAAAATGTATTTTAAAAAATACGATAAAAATGTGATTAAACTTAAATATTTAACATTGTTATGAAAAAGTGCTACGAAATATTAAAATATCTAAAAAACTATTTTCAACAAAATTATTTAACGAGGCCTTAATGATGTTTATCAACAAGATTTGCTCTTTTTGAGAGAGGAGACAACCGAGGCCCATTTCCAACCTAGTCTAGGTGTTTGGGTCATGAGAATTTGGATAAAAATACTAAAATTATAAGGCAAATATATTCATAGGTTTATGCACTATAGATCAAAAATATGATCTATGGCGAAAGAATAACATGTTTTTTAAACTAGTATTATGACTGAACCTTTAAGAGTTCAATTATAAAATGACATGCATAGTACGATAAAATTCTCTCACTGCACATTTAAATAAAGTTTTAATCTTTGTAAATGAAAAGTTAAATCATGAAGGGAGCCACCACTAATGTTAGGTAATGTTTAAACGTCAATTGTCAATTTCAGGATCAATTATACGAGAGATTAGGACATAGTTATTTTAACTGCATATTGGTCAATAGACAATCAAATATGAAATGACCTCTAATTAAAAATCCTAACTACAGAATGTATGGTAGTGTAAAGAGAGAACAAAATTTTAACAGACATCAAATCATGTGATGATATTCTAATGACCTGTGAGTGTAAATTATTTCCAGCTTTTTTGCCAAAGACTTGGATTTAGCCAAGATTCTAGTTGGCCTGTTAGGCAAAATAAGATGTACCAACCTACCATACAGCTGCTAAATGCCACTTGTATGGTCTCCCTAACCAATTTATAACTCCAAGTGACACAATTATATGGTCTGCTTGGTTGATTATGTGTTAATAAATACATAATGGCAAAGTAAAAAAAAAAAAAAAAAACCCTAAACTAAAATTAAATTATCATATAAATACGATCTGGGAGGGAAAGTGGTAGAGAATAGCAATAGATGTTAATCATTAAACACAAAATTCCTTCAACTCTTTCATAAGATCAATGCAGAAAGGTTTGGCTTCAGTGTTTTCACTGACACACGGCATTATTCACAAAAGAAAAATAAGATCATAGGTACACATTCTTTGGGACAAGTACCATCTATAAATGGTAGAGTCTAAAATTTAAAACATTTAATTTGGGTCCAAAAATAACAATGACATAATGCTTGGTATTTATGATCTTAATGTGACCTAACTTGGACAGTTGGATGTCATAATCATGGGCAAGTTCTAAGCACTCTTCTCTTAGTTTGGGAGCTTGCCCACATTTGCATAAAAACTATTAAAGAACCAACACACATGCATATCTCAAATCAAACCAAAGAAAAAAAAAAGGACAGATGGAAACAAAAATATATCGATAAGAAAAAAGATTTTCTGGAAAAATATTTTACACAAGACCTTCCTCACAGTAAAGAAATATTTTTGTAAAATTAATCATAATATCTTGCAACACCTAAATCCAATTTCACTCTAATTTTACTAGAATTCACTTTGCAAAATCATAAACATTCTTCAATAAATGAAGGTTTCACCAAGTTCATTGTAGCAAGAGATGCATTCTTCAAAGTTTAATTTCACTCTAATTTACTTAAGTTTAATGATGTTTTAAGTACCACTCAATGGGGGGGGGGGGGGGCATACAAGGTTTTTCTTCTGATAAACAAAATCAAACCAAACTATATACCAAACATTCAGCTTTTAACCAGAGATCAGATAACAAATAACTTATAGAAGTTTTTGCTGTGAAATATAGCATATAAAGAACACGTTAATTGAGAGTGACTTTACAATATCATATGTTCGTTTGATTGCAAAACAATAACCTTTCTCCAATTCGTTTCTCCAACAATCACTCCATAAGGGCTTAAATTTAGCTGTTTAAAAACATGAAAAAAAAAAAAAAAAGAAGTGAGATTGCATTAAAAATGAAAAAAAGAAAATTTATGTGACATTAATTAATCAATCCTTTTAGCCCCAAAGCCTCATCTTATATATATATATATATATATATATATATATATATTTATATATTTGGTTGATTGCAGGAATTCATCAAAACAATGACATAAAAGGAGTCATACAATACATCAAAGACTATAGTTATTTCCTTACATATATCATCAGTGGGGCCAGAGTAAAGAAGTTAAGAAATTCATACTATAGGACCTGCCAATTAGTACTTAGGACAATAATAACTTGGCAAACAGAAATAAATTATATTAAAAAATATTCTTGACATCCATCACTTACTTAGGTTCACTGATAATTATTATTTGATTTAACAAAACATAAGGAAATTCTATGAAACCTTACATATCATACAGGCCTTTAAATTAATAACAATCTTCAAGAAGGAATCCGTGGGAAGTAGGACGCATAAGAAATTAAATAACATACCACAGTCTTTTTCAAGATCTTATAGGAAAGATTGGCAAAATGGATTTTCTTTCCCTCCTTCTTCCTTATAACCTCTTGCACACTGCTTTGTATACCAAAAAAAAGTCAGCTCAATGAACAAAGAAATTTTGGCAAACTTTTGTTACACTTCAAAGCAAACAATAGCCAAAAAACCACTCCATGGCTACAAAACACCAATTCATCTAAAGAAAATACAGAGAACCTATAAATATTTCTGATTTCATGGACCATTAATTCTCCTTCATAGCAATAGACCTTTGATCATAAAGTAAATTTAGTATCCTCAAGATTAAAAACTTGATCATTATACACCCCCAAGGCCCCGAATTTAATTTGTCTTAGAAAAAGAAAGCAAGGAACAACTTCACTGTTTTCTTTCTTTCTTATAAGCCAAATCAAACCAAACTGCATAACAATATTTTAGCTTTTGACAAGAGATCAGCTAACAAAAACTCCTAGATGTTCTTGGTGGGTAATAGCCTAATGACCATATTTTACATGAGGAGCAACATTACCATTTCAAACCACGAGACAAGTCTCTTGCAATGCTTCAAATCATCTGTCAAATCTGCTAACCACAATGACTTCGATGAATTGGCGGTGACTGCAGCATTCCTTACTAGGTCATCAGCTATTGCAGGAAATGCACAAAATAAGGAAAACAGCATTATAATAGAGTAAAATAGAAGAGGATTAACAATCAAATAGAAAAATCAATGCCTTTTTTATTCTCAAAAACATAATGAGGGCAAATGAGAAATGAAAGTAGAAAAATTGATGACTTTGCATTTTGCAATCAGGACTTAATCCCCTAGCTCATGGCCTTACAAGACTAATTGGTCAGGAGTTTAGAGCTTGTAAAAGACTGAAATTAGCCACATTATATGTTAAAAAAAGTACAACAGAAAATGGGCACTTGCACAATAGTAAATTTTCATTTTTCTAGTTAAATAAACATCTTGACAGAGTCAACCTCCACCAAGTCCAGTATATTCACACAAGCAAAATATAGTTTCAAAGAAGGGAAAAGAGAAATTGCTCTTAAGCAAAAAAGGATAAGTTATGGGAATCCCACTTACAACTTGAACTTGAACGAGGTTGACCTGCTGAATGAGACCCTCCTGCATGATAACTGATAAGGGCCATGTGTCATAAAAACGAAACAATGAGGGTAAAGATGCTAAACTTACCATAGCATATGTTTTGTAATCTATAGAGTCCATGAGTCTAGGGTGTTTAATCAAGACAAGATATTAAGTGGGGAAAACAATATCTTTATTTATCCCCACTAATTGCTCCAGCGTTTAATAGTATTTTTGGGATTGGTATTTATGTCGGCAAGGTTCATTTATCAAGGAGATTGTTGGTACATCTAGCAATCTAAAACAGGACTAAAACAGAATATGATGATATATTATGATAATACAACACCAAAATAAAACATGAAAGTGATACTGCTTAAAATAACTATATAAATTTAATAAAACAAAAACAAATTTCATGTTTTCTTGTAATTTTCATATAAAACATAATATAAATACATGAATTATAGTATTTTACATGACACAAATATTAGAATCGCCAGTCAGTGAATTGTGGTTCATTAATCTTACAACGTTAGGTATAAACTAATTCACTATGTTCTTAGGAGCTTACCAAAAAATTTTTGGATATGTTATCGATTGGAAGGTGGCTCAAAAGTGGATGAGGATTGACATCCATATAACTGGATTGTGAGTTTTGAGAAGATTTTTAAACAAGAAATTGCTTCCGTTTGGTTTAAGTTTTACACAAAAAATCAAATTTTCTTCCAATTCATGAAAAAAAAAAGATTTGATGCTAATGGGTTGTGAGAAGCGAAGATCATAAAATCAAAGTTAACGGCGGAACAATCCATATCTCTTAATAAATTGAAACAATTCTAGGATAATGCCTTTGCAACGTACGGTACAACTCAAACACCAAAGGGGAGGGAAGAGCAAGGCCGCCAAACAGATAAAAAAAGCCGCTGCCGTTTGTTTTTACAATAATATATCTGGTATTACTAGGGTATATACACACACACGACAACACTAAATATGGGAGCGGCGTCGTTTCTTTTGCTTTTTAATGTTGGTTTTCCTAAATTGTAATTTTATTTTAATGATGATAAATAAGCACATGGCCCTCAACCCTAATGGGCCCTCAGCTCATAAAATTTTTCATAGTAATCAATTTATCGAAATTTGTTATTTCGTAAACGTTTTTTAGTTTTTTTTTTTATAATTTGTAAAGAAAAATTAAAAAAAAATATATATTAAAACCTATTACAATTAAGGTTGACAATTCAATCCGTCAATCCAATTCAATTTTATATATTTTTTTCATCAAATTTCAAATCAAATTAAATATTAAAAAAAATCAAATTTAAGTCATGTTTTATACAAACTTAATCGGGTATATATATAATTTTTAATTATTTATTTTCGTATTATATTTATATTTAAAAAATATTATTTTATATTAAAATTTTATAATATTTTATTAATTTTAAATCAATTATGAGTTTAAAAATATACTAATCAAATTAAATTTAAATATTAAATTTATATATTTGTATCGAATTCGAAACCCATCTTAATCTATTGTCATCCATACCTACAATCATTAATATTTTATCTCTGAATAAAAAATAATAATTATTTTGAAATGTAACATAAATGGTTGTCAATGGTGCTTTGTTTTATTGTTGGAACTTTTTTTTTTTTTGTAGTAACAAATTGTGTGCGTGAACTGTAAATAGCCTATCTTATTCACAGTCCATGGAGACATCAATAGAATCAATATATTTATACCAATAGCTATAAAACCTCCATTTATTGACTTCTGCAAATAATTATGAAGTCCATGAAGCTACAAATTTATGCTAGGCGACAATATTTTAAAATAATTAACTTCTTTATTATTTAACGTACATAACAATCTTCTTGGACAATTGAAAAATTGATAACCTATACGTTATACCTTATAATTTGTGTCTATGAATTTTACTAAAAAAATGTTTTTGCCTTTTCCATTGATCTTTAGAAAAAGTAAGACCTTCATTCATGTATATTTGGAGAAACTTTAAAAGTAATGGTTTTCTCAAAGTTTGGTGCAACGGGGGCTTGAGTCAAATGCCTAATGTTGTCAGCATTCTCTGGCTCATCTTTTCCTTGTTTATTTAATATTATGTTATTAATTTATTGGGTTTGAGAAAGGTCAAAGCATATCGAGATATATCGGTAGATACAAGTAATAAGAGATTATATATATGTTAAAGAAATATATGAAAATATTATTTTTTATAAAAATAAGTTACATAAAAAATTTAAAACTACAATCTAATATAATTTTTATTTTTAACCTTTCACATAATTGATCTTAGAATTATAAAATATATGACTTAATTTATTATTACTGGCATTATTTGATATAATTAGATTTTGACTAAACTATTAATAGTTAAAAAAAGTGGGGTTGGAATCAGCTATCAAGTTATCCTTTCTTCCTCAGTTCCTCTCAATAAAAAAAAAAATGAGAAATTTTATATACACTCTACTTCTAAATATATTCTAAATTCAAAACTCATTTTTTATTTTTACTAAAAACATTTCATCTTTTAATTTTTGTTTTCCATTATTATTATTTCTCTTTTCACTTTCTAAATTTGAGCTTATTGAAAATAAAATATCCGAGAAGTTTTGAATTATTTTAGAAATGGATATCCAAAAAATTTTAAGAATTATTGGATATCTATTTTCAAAAAACTTAATTTTATTTTTAATTACTAAAAATTTTAATCATGAGCTTATGAACTCATTTATTTGATCATGTATGTAAATAAAACTGAAATCGATATTCTCAATATATATGATATAAACTTATTATTTCTCTTGGGCATATAGAAAACCAATAAAACCATTTTTTGGTTTTCTAGTTTTGCATTGAGAATTAATATATTTTTTTCATTCACATATATGATCAAATAATAATAGTATACCAATGACTTATGTGTATACATACATATTACTTCAAACTTAAATACTCAACAAAACATTGACGTTGACAAATATCATTAGTAAATTATCAAATTCGACAGTATTTAATATTTTGACTATTAATTTTTATTGTCAGAGTTATTAGTTTATTGATGATATTTTTTAATGGTATAAATATTAGAGATCGTGATTTTTTTATTATCAAGAGTTTTAATTAAATATATATTTTAAATTTTATTTAAAAAATATATAATTTTTGAAAATTAAAATTCGAGAGTTATATTTTATTTTTTATAATTTATTTTTAAAAATTATAATATTTTTTAAAAAATAGATTTTTGAAAACAAATATAATTTTTAAAATTTATTTTTAAAAAATACGAGATAATTTTGGATGTATGAATTATTATGGATATTTTTATTATTTATTAAAAATTAAGATTAATATTTGATATATAAATTTTTTTGAAAGAAAATATTAAAGGTGTATAAAAAAAATTAGTGATTTATTTAGAACACTCTAAAAGGAAAAAAGAGCTCGGCTGAAATGGATGACTGTTCCCATCCTAAATAATTTCCAAATTAACACTGACACACGAAATTACTATTGGCTCCTCCAATTCCAAACAAGATAACCCCTTTTCGTCTTCTCAAAAACCCTGGTTGCTCTTTTGCTTAATTGTTTAACTCTTGACAGTGAAAAAAGTGGCTTCTCAAATGACGATCTTGACCCGAACCCGAGTACTACTCCGAGTAAACCAAACCAAATCCATTTCAACCTTCCCTTTCCTTTCTCAAGAACCCCAACTCACCGAGTCGGCTCACTCCACTGAAATTCAAACCACCCCTCTCCCTCCCAACCCAGCCTCCGGCAGCCCTCTCTACCATGAGAACTGGCGAAACCCAAACGCGGCCCGAAACCCAACCTCCATAGCTCAATCCCTTATTCCCTTCGGTTTCTTGCGTCAAACCCCCGCCCACCAGATTCAATATCTCTCCCAAACCCTCGACGCGCCTGCTTTAATGAACCATTGTGCCGATTTAATGACTCAGCAACTGTGGACTGAGGTGAAAGAGCTTTTCGAGTTCTGGGTTCGATCGCTGGATAAGAATGGGAAGCCCAATAAGCCCGATGTGAATCTTTATAATCATTATTTGAGAGCTAATTTGATGATCGGAGCATCAGTCAGGGATTTGCTTGATTTCGTGACGCAAATGGATGATTTTGCGCTTGTTCCCAATACAGCGTCGTTTAATTTGGTTTTAAAGGCTATGAATCAAGCCAAAGAAACTCAAGCTGCTGAGAAGTTGCTTGAACGGTTAGTTATAGTACTATACTTTATTCGCTTTCTCTCTTTTAAAGTCTTTTTTTTTTTGGGTGTTTTGGTGTAAATTAAGGATACCCTTTGCTTGAAAGTTCCATAAATATTTCGTTTTGAGTTTGTAAACGAAAAAGTAAATAAAAAGTTTATCATTTTCTGTTAAATTTTGTTGAATTGCATTTCGTATCAGTAAGCGTTAGGGGTGAGAAAAAAAATAACTAAGAAATCCGAAAACTCATTCGAAACCATAGTGTTGGTTCCGATCGGTTTTTTTTTTGTTAGGATCAAGTTCGAATATTAAATGTATATATTAAATTCGAATTCGATTTTAAACGGGAGATAAAAAATCGAAAACAATCAAATTTATATATATTTTTTAATTTTTATATATGTTTTAAACTTATATAAGACAAAAATAATAAATTTGTATGAAATCTACTTAAATATATTAAAATTTTATATTAAAATAATATGTAAAAATTAAAAAAATTAAAAATTAAAAACTCATATACCTAACCGAATTAATAAAATTCAATTTGGTTTGGATCGAATGAAAGTTCGGTTTAGATTCGGATCGGATTTTAAATTTTCATAATATTATGCAATATTCGAAAAAATCAAATTGAATCCGATCTGAATTGAACCATTATCAACCCTAGTGAGTGTGGATCGGGTTATAAGTTTTTTTTTTTTTTTTTAATTGCATTGAGAATTTGAGTCCTTGGTATTTGAATGTGATTATGTTCTGGAGAGAATTCTTTTGGCTACGGTCTCGTCTGTGATTTTACCATTTCTAAGACCTGCATGAAAATCACTATGGTTTTGTAGGAAACCATTAAAACTGTTGAAGTTAGCGATGATGAAAATCACTATGATATTATTACCCTTCACTTTATTTCTATCAGGATGTTGCAAGGTGGAACGGAATCTCTGCCTGATGATGAATCTTATGATTTGGTAATTGGAATGCTGTTGGAGACACAACAGATTGAAGCAGCCTTGAAATATATAGATATGGCCTTAAAATCTGGTTGTAAGTTGTCTATGAGAGTTTTTATAGAGTGTGTGGCAAGCTGTGTTAGCCGGGGCCGGCTTGACACTTTGGTTTCTGTCATTGAGAGGTGCAAGGTATATGACTCATTTTGTTGGCAATGATATTGTTTTGAGTAAGGAGGTTGCCTTTCGCTCAATGTTTGATTATTTAACTTTGTTCTATGGATCTTATCAGACAACAGATCAGAATAGAGCTCTTTATCCAAATTGGACTTTGTGCAACTATCTTGCAGAAGTTGCAATGCAAGCAGATAACAGCAAGTTAGCATTTTATGCCTTGGAATTTATGGGCAAATGGATTTCTCAGGGTGAAAATGCAAGGCCACCTCTCTTGCTTTCTGCAGGTGAAGGATTAATTGTATCAGCACTTGCAACTGCAGGTAGGACCTACAGTTCAAACCTTTTGGATTTGTCCTGGGCAATCCTACAGCGCTCATTGCGTCAAAAGAAGGTGCCTAGCCCTGAATCTTTCCTTGGGAAGATATATGCTCATGCATCATTGGGGAATCTACAGAAAGCTTTTGGTACACTGCACAAGTTTGAAGCTGTTCATGGGAATTCCATTCATGAAGCAGAAGATCTCTTCTCGCCTTTTACCTCGTTATATCCATTGGTTGTGGCTTGCTCCAAGAAGGGTTTTGAGACTTTAGATTCCGTATGTCCTTTCAAGTTGCATGCATTCTGATGTATTTTCTTTTGAATCAGCTATTATTTGATATTTTTGCTGATTGTGATATTTCTTGAGAAAACAAATTAGTATGAGAAATATCAACATGCATGCATGCCGCCTTTTCAAATTAGAAGGAATACAATTTTACAAATTAATAATAAATAAATATCAAAGAAATTCCATAAGCTGCTCCATTGGACCCTTATTGAGCATTTGAATGAAGTCTTTTAAATCACTTATCTTTGTGTTCTGAATTATGTAATATGTGGAAATACAAATAACTTTTACTCCATCGTTCTGTTCTTGCAATGTATGTATTGGTGTATACATGTCTTAGCAATTATATTAGAATGTAGGTCTTTTGGTCTCTATCAGTATTTAGCACTTATCTGTGTCCTTGTAATGACAATTTTGTGCAAGAAAAATGTTTTTTTTTTCTTTTGAAAAAATAAAGGCTGGTAAAGTTTGCACTTAGGGCATTCAATTCATCATTGCTCATTTAAATCATAAACCTAATCTTATATATTTTGCTCATTGAGGATGCTGTTGCTGATGTTGCAAAATTGAAATATTCTCCCCAGGTATATTATCAACTTGAGAATTTAAGCCGTGCAGACCCTCCGTGCAAATCTGTCGCTGCTCTGAATTGTATAATTTTGGGTTGTGGAAACATATGGGACATTGAGCGTGCCTACCAAACATTTGATGCAATAAGTTCTTCTTTTGGGTTGACCCCTGATATTCATTCATATAATGCTCTAATTTATGCATTTGGAAAGCTGAAGAAGGTATCTCTCTCTCTCTCATATGCTCATTCCATGAGTTCTATTGAGCTTGTAAAATGCATGTATCCAGGATATTGCTGGGAATGCCTAGCTTGATTTTTATTCTTATCTTTTCCTCTCTGGTGTCCATAGCATACTCTGCGACAGTCTAAATAACTCATGGAACCACCGCCTCCCCCAACCAAAAGCTGCTTTATTGGGATTTAAGCTTTGAATTTAAACCTAATTCTTCAAGTTAATGCATCCTTGTATGACAGACTTTTGAAGCTTCAAGGGTGTTTGAACACATGCTGAGCTTGGGTGTGAAACCCAATGCTAAGTCATATTCGTTGCTTGTCGATGCTCATCTCATCAATCGAGATCAAAAGGCTGCACTCTCTGCAATTGACAAGATGGTAACTCCATTTCCTTTCTGATTGTTAAAACGTCATGATATATCTGTAGAGAAAGATTAATGGCCGTTCAACAATTCTTTTGGCAGGTGACTTTTGGATTTATACCCTCCAAAGAAACACTAAAAAAGGTAAGAAGGCGATGTATACGAGAGATGGACTATGAGTGTGATGATCAAGTTGAATCCCTTGCGAAGAACTTCAGTATTCAAATGGGCACAGAAAACCGCAGGAGCATACTTTTTGATCTTGACTATGGCACTGAATATGCATCATAGGTAGGCTGTGCTGTCGTATGGTATAAATACTTGCATGAGGAGGTCCAGAAAGTTTTTTGCATATTTTCTTAGGATCTAGACAGAAGGTTCTTACAGTTATATTTCTACAATGTTCTTGTGATGTTTTGAAAACCTTGACTTTTTGCTATAAAAGTTCAGTGCCAGTTGTTTTTTAACTCGGAGTTAATCTCCCTCTGCAGATTCAGGTCTATCTTATGTTGGGAATTTCAACAGCTATGATTGGGGTTCGCCAAGTTCACATGTTGCAAGGTCCAATGAAGTATGAACCCATTTGTCTGTACATTATTTGATCTTTTTTTTTTAATTTTTTTATTTTGATCCTTGGCGGGACAAATGTCATGATTATGGCTTGTGAATTTTTTCCTACTTTCTTTATTTTCTCTCTCTCTTTTTCCCCCCTTGATATGCTTTCTGAGTTGTAGGAACACAAAAATATTGACAAATAAATGTAGAAACCATCCTAATTATTTAAGGAGCGAGGAGCATAAATTTCATATATTTTTTACACTTTTGTTGTGCGTAAGTCCAAACTACTATTTCTGCCTGAGACGCTTGTTGTTGCAGGTCAAAAGGGTGTTTCATGTTTGTTCTCTTGCCTTTCCGAGCCGGGTGGTGTCCTGCTTTGAGCAAGAAGACTAGCCTGATGGGCTAGCAAGGTTGAGCATACTGACTTACCAGAAGTGGCCGGTGATAATTATGAGGTGGTTTTGCAACAAAAAGAAAAACAAACCTTGGTTTAAAAAATTTATGGTATTTCCCATTTAGAATTATTGTCAAAGTCGTAACAATAAGATCATTATCCAATAAATTCATCTGAGAAGTTGAATCTTACTCTTTCCCATTCCTAATGTGTTTGTCAATGAATTATAAGCATCAACTTGCAAAAATTCCAATTTTTAGTTTCTTCTGCATTATTTAAGTTAGCAGACAGGGCTAGGTAGTCGAATCTTCAACTTTCTTAGGATGCAGGGCTTAAATCAGCCTTCTGAAAGGGTAGAAAATGGTATAGTCAGCAGTCCCAAACAAAGAAAAAAAAAAAAGAACAAAAAAAACTATGGTCTTAACTTGAGTCTTACTCTTTTGTTATTTGACTTTATAAGGGAGTAGATGGCAACTCCTGCAATGGCTATTGCAGTACCAACGCCCGTTTGGGTGGAGATCCTATTGCCTGCCATATTTTTGCAACCATCAGTAAAAAAAATTCAATCATGGTTCTCACTTGTCAGTTCCACTGAAACTAACTAGCATGACCAGTTTAGATTGCCATCTTGTCTTTCATCTTTTTAGGTGGTTTTCTTGATGGAATCCCCTCAATTCAGATCGTTTGACATGCTCATATTTGTTGCATAAACACATCGTTCATGAGAAAGAGCAGGATGACTTACCAAATACCACGATAGAGAAGCCAATAACAAAAACTCGCTTCAATACGTTTCCGAACTGCATGTGTAAGGGGTGCAACCCGTTCTAAGGTATTAGTGGCAAGCTGCATTTCTCAGCTCAAATGTCAGTTCGGTGAAGTAGGCTAATTTGTGGAAAGTTGGCTCCGCCGTCTCATACTCTGATTCCAACCAGTAAATGTCAAGGGCTTGGCAGTGAATAATCCTAAAGGAACCGAAGCCTTGTATTTGTCCCGTAAAGGTCAAAACTCCAGACATGAGGCTCTTGAAGAAGGTGATGATGGTGTCTTGAGTAAAAGACAACATGGCAAAACTTTTTTTGTCGATAAATATAGAGAAGAAACCCGAGAATTTGTGATCAATTGTGTATTCAAAAACCAAAGGGTATCGAAAAAGATTGTTCTTATTATAGTGTAAAGAGAGGCAGGACATTGAAAACAATGGACTAAAACTACGGGAAGCGGAGAAAACAGAGATAGAAACATAGTTTCATTGTTTTTTACTTTTTATGGTAATAATCATAAACAATTAAGCTTATATGGTAATTGTCAAAAGCTAAAAGCTAACCATTTCGAAACACCCAGAGGATTTAAAAAAGAGTCAAGGTAGGGAATTAATAAAAGAGAAGAATCCTTGAGCCTTGAGTCATCAATCATCATGAACAAAAATCATGAGTCAGAGGACGTTTTGATTCGTTTGTATTTTACCTAAAGAAGTTTTTCCCTCAAACTGGAGTTGATATCAAATTGTAGTTTATTTTCTGCACTTCCAACTATTACTGTTGATATCGATCTAATTTGAATCAAAATAGAATTATACATAATCAAATTTGCATCAATTTTGACGGTTTTTGTTGTATGATTTTATGAGTTATGGAATACTAATATATGTAAAATTGTGGTAATGCATTAGCATTTGTAAATGAAGCAGAAACTGGGATCTTTGTCAACGAACTGAAATTGAGGATGTTTTGCTATCTTAAAAGCATGAATTTTAGCTGCTTAAAAAAAACCCATTGTGAAACCATGCTTGCTCAATGAGACAAAACTTATCTTTTTCTTGATTGAAATGATATAAAGGAATAGAGTTTTTGATAAATTGATTTGTAACTATTATTTTTGTTTGTTTATATTCGTTTATTAAGTTTAATAAATAATTTTAAATAATACTTTTATGTTTATTTATTAAATAAATTAAATACAAATAAAAATTATTTAATTTGATTATATTTGTAAATAAATTTATTTTAAAATCATTTAAAATTCATTTATTTATATTCACTTAAGATTTGTTTATATTCATTTATTATTCAATAATAATAAAAATAAATTTATATTTTATTTTTTACTCTAATTTTGTTATGGTAACACTTTCATTCTTTCAACCTATTTTTTAACTCACTGCAAATAAATTATTTATTATTCATTTATTGTGTAATTTTATTTGTTAATAATTTATTTATTATTTATAAATATGTTTATTTATATAAAATCGTGAATATAATTGCTTAATATAAATGAATTCTTTTAATTTTAACGAATTAAATACAAACATAATGTAATTATCTTATTATTAAATGAATCAAACTCAAATTTAATAAATAATTTTTTTACTCAACACAAATTGATCTCAAACAACTTTAAATAAATGAATAAACTCCAAATATATATTAATTTATTCTTATTCGAATTGTTTATATTTCTATTTTATTATACATCTTTCCTAATAAAATTTTAAATTTAAACTTTTAATGAAATTAAAGTTTTAAAATTTGACATTGAAATTCAAAATTCACCGCTTTGTAACTCCTTCTTATATCTTTCTTTTCTATTTTTTTATTTTTTAAATAAAGAAAAAAGATTTTAATTTTAAAAATTTATTTTTTATTATTTAAAAAAAAAAGGAAAATTGTGGGTAAAGCTTATACGTACGTTAGCCCAAGGCTCTTTTATCAGGCCGAATAATGGGCCAACCCAGCAATGGAACAAACAAAACAAAAGTTGCATGAGAACTGCATTTTGGATCAAACACCAAATCCCTAACCAAAATCCAAAAAAACAGCAAATAGTTTCAATTTTAAGTTTAATCTGTAAAAATAGAGAAATTTTCCCGTAGTTTTTAAAAAAGTTATATTATAATTAAGAGGAGATGGAGGGTGTAGGTGGAAGAGAAAAAGAAGAGGAACAAGATGGCATTTCCGTACACTCCCCTTGCAAAGCTCCGCTTTCCTCCGCCTCCTCTGTCCCTAAGGTCTCTCTCTCTTCTTTTCTCTGTTTCGTAAAAATTATTAATATTTTTGTTGATTTTATTTTAGTTTTTGTTATTTTTTTTTTCAATTTAATAGGAGCAACAACAGGTAGAATTGGAGCTGAGGCTACTGCAAGCACTTGAAATTTATCCTCCCGTCAAATTACGAGGCACGTTTATCGCTTTTTTGCTTAATTTTCTTTATAGGGAAGAAATTCGTTTGTATTTACACTTAAATTTGCAAGGTTGCCATGAAAAGAATAAAGGCAGAACAAAAGAGATCATTAATTCTTTGAAATATATCCGTTGGCTATGGGTACGGAAATACGTATGATATAAAAATTCGGGGATGGAGATAGGTAATAATCTACCCACCTCATACCTTACTAATTGGCATGCCTAGTGCTAGTGAGGGAGGCTAAGACATTTTTGGTAGTTTAATCGGAGCATCTGATTTACCTTTTATCACGTTGCTCCAATGGTAATGGTGTGATCAATCTAAATGTTGGTTCCTTTGATTTCCCGCCGTGGAAATTAGTTAGGCAATCTTTTCTCCAAAACCCTTTAGAAATTATGTTTTGTGTGTTGGTCTTGACAGTGAATGATTAGCTTTTATTTCCATTTTTGACTTGACTGTCTGTTCATTCTGGTAGATTTAGAATCTAATGGTGTTTATCATGTTTATTGTTTAGGGATCTATCTTAAGTGTTGAATCACTAGAGCTAGTGAAAGTAACTTATATATAGTAAGGAAAGTGCTGCATCTCGTAGTTAATGCGCACGATTATGGTAAAACAACTAGGATTTGTTTGCTCTTTGGCAATTGGTTGCTACATGAATGCATAACTGTAAATCAAATTTGCTTCCCTGCAGGCATGCATCGCCACTTTGTCCTCTATGGTCTGATGGAATTCCTGCAGAGAAGGTTTGTTCTGCCTCCTCTTCTTTTTGCTTCATATCAATCCCCTCTTTTGATAAAAAGATTCTAGTGGGTCATTATTTTTTTTGTTACATTCTCTTATCATTTGCTAAATTTTGTCACAGATTTGACCGGCATTTTTCTCCAGATGAGGTTTTGCAGTTGCTAGATCGTTTCTACAACTTAGAAGTGCTGGTAACTACTTGTTCAATATTTAATTTTCGTGTCCATCAGTTAGTTTGGTATTCTGTTGAAGATGAGGTTTTGCATCGATTACTGTCTTGGACATTTCCATATCTGTATAAATTGACAAAATGATAAACGTGTAGTTTCAACCTTTGTTTTCACTCATTGTGGTTGTATAGAGATGGTTATAAGTCAAGTGTGGCTCACACGGTGGTAATGGACGTAAACAGAAAAAAATTGGGGCAAATCTATATATGGTTTCAACAAAAGCATTATAGCTGTGTTTAGATTCATAGATGAGGAAATTACCTTCTGAAACACTGAAATGCTAGTTAACTTTCTGTTGCTGATCAAAATTTTTAAAATTTAATTCTAAACCCTAATCCAAAGAAAAATTTTCACAACCCTTATTATTTCTTAATGGCTGATTTTATGTGCCTGCTTTGACATTTTGACTAGTGGTTTTGCTTTTGGTGATATCAAAAGGTAGGTGCTGCTCACCTATTGTTTCTTTTGTAAATTTCAGAAACCAGATGATGAAGAGATTGATATCCTAAATCATGAAGAAGACTTTTGCTTGCCACAAAGTTATTTTGTCAAGGAAGAATCTTAACTCAATTTTGGGGTATCCATTTTGTCCCCCACTTTGTTCTTTAGCTGATCTAATGCTTTTAACTGTTATGATCTTCCTAGATCATATTACAGAATATTATTGTAAAATCAGGTTGCAATTTTGATGGGATGTAATTATTGGCTCTAGCATCTTTTGAGAGCTTATTTCTGATGCAATCCTTTCATAATTTATAAAGCCTCCACCATTGAAGCTGTGACTCCAATGAAGCCAAAAAGCAGAAAAGAAAAAGACAAAGGGATAGGATGCAATATAAAGCAAAATTTAACAAAACATTCATAGTTTCAATAAATATTTTCAGAGTAGAGAACATTGAATAAAAGCAAACGCAACAAAAAACGGAAAATATGGTTGGATCAACTGATCAATTTCGTCATCTGGTTTTGGTTGTTCTGAAAACGATCGGTTTAGCATTGTAAAAGGGCCAAACTGGTTGATCCAATCCTCTTGTGAGAAGAGCTATAAGAAGCCAATTCTGTAGAGTATTAAAAACATTGAATTGCCCCATACAGGCTCCCTGGTTCCTCATCAATGATTCTGCAAAAACGAATTAAACTTTTTGATGCAAGGAAAAAGGGTAATTACGAAAATAAATTCCTAAAGAAGAAACCATGGCAAGCCCTTACCTCGCCTTTTACCTCAGCTTCGGCAGTAGGTTTAGCATCTTCACCTTTTACGCTATCTTCACCTGCGTTGATTCAAGTAAGATCCGAGACAGGACAACAAAGAGAATATCTAATACCCTGTCTATAATGTAATGTGACAATGGTTCCTGTATCACTGCTATCATTTACCCCGGTCTTTCCGCTCTTACAAACTGGTTAGCATCCAAGTTATTTACATCAAAACTATATACAATACCTCCATCTTCAGGCAAATCAGAAGTCCAAAGGGTGAGGTTGTCTCTCAGAAGCTGCATAATCAGGGTGCTATCCTTGTATGACTCCTCACTCAAAGTGTCCAACTCCGAGATTGCCTCATCAAAGGCTTGCTTAGCCAGATGACAGGCCCTGCAAGTTTCAAACAACCCAAAACATGTCATGAAAAGGTCAAGCAATTCAAACATTGAAAACGATTTAGATCCTTGAACTAATTACTATAAGAGATATAGAATTTATACCTCTCGGGAGAATTCATTATCTCATAATAAAAGACAGAGAAATTAAGGGCCAGGCCAAGACGAATCGGGTGGGTTGAAGGAAGATCTGTGTTTGCGGTGGCAGTAGCAGCCTGATAGGTGAAAATGCCAACAAAAATGGTATTGTCAACTGTGTCTGCAGAAGTGAAGAACACATTACTATTTGAGAAATAGTAACATACCTCATAACCCTTCAATGACTGCTCAGCAGCCTCTTTCCTCTCCTGATCTGTCTTGAACTCAGCAATGTACCGGTAGTAATCACCTTTCCTGAATCCAATCACAAAAAAACCATTAAATTTGGACCCAATACAATGGTAGAGATTCAGAACGTACCCACAATCCATGAGGGAAAAAAAGCTTACATCTTGTAGTAAAAAACAGTGGCTTCACCAGTGGCAGAAGAAGGAATGAGATGCTTGTCAATGATGCTCAAAATGTCAGTGCAAATCTTGGACAGCTCTTCCTCTACCTTTTGGCGATACCCTTTGATCAGCTTAACATTATCTTCATTTCCTTTGGATTCCTCCTTTTGTTCAATCGAAGACATGATCCGCCAAGAAGCCCTTCGTGCACCAATCACATTCTTGTATCCAACCGAAAGAAGGTTCCTTTCTTCCACTGTCAGCTCGCAATCAAGTTTCGCCACTTGTTTCATACTCTCCACCATTTCTGTTCCACCAACCAAATTCAAAAACCCTTTTTTCTTAGATCCCAAACAAACAAACGAATGAATAAATAATCAAATCAATGATATTCTTTTTTTTTTTGTTACCTTCGTAACGTTCAGCTTGTTCAGCGAGTTTGGCCAAGTAAACATTAGTCTCTCTCTCCTTTTCTGCATTAGACATTGTCGATATAGAGTTTCAAAGAAAGGATTAAAACCCAGAGTTGTTTGAAGGAAGGGAAAAGGAATGGGAGAGGAAAGGAGGAAAGGATTTTTATTTTATAGAGGAGAGTGAAATGAGGAGCAAAGTATGGAGGGGAGGCTTTGAAAGAAGGACCGCGCAATTCGTTATTCCTTTTGTTATTTCCTTCAACTTGGATTTGTTCAAATCCCTTTCTCTCGGATGGCTTTTTTTGGAATTTAATATTGCTCCATTATTTGTTTTATCAATTTCTATAATTTTATTCAAACTAATTTTTTCTATTTATTTGTTAATTAACCTTTGGTTAGTTTTTAAGTACATTGAATTTAAGTATAATTTTGTGTTGAACTTAGAATTTAATTTAATTGATTTATGTTATCCTTTTTAAAAAATAATATTTAAGAAATTTAGTATTCAAATTTAAATATTTATAATTTTTTTATTTTAAATTGTGACTTTTTGTACTAAAAAGTATGGTCTTATGTTAATATAAGATGTTAAATTACATCAAAACATTTAGTTTAACCTTAACAAGAGATGAAATGTAGATGATATTTTCGTATTTAAAAAAAAATTTATGTGAATAAGATATTTAATAAAAATAAGATTTATATGGAGTTTTTAATATGAAATTATGTTTTTATTGAAATTGTCAATGAAGTTTTGGAGGCATTGAAATTGAAATAAAATAAGGTGATTTGATATTGAATCACCTATTTTAACATTTTAAAATGCAAAAAAAAAAAAAAAATCCGATTTTATTTAGCTAAAGAATTATTAATAAATAATTTTATCTTAAAACCTTCAAGAAAAGGGGTTGTAGCTCAAATGGTAGAGCGCTCGCTTTGCATGCGAGAGGTACAGGGTTCGATCCCCTGCAACTCCAATCAATAACCTTTTGGGATGAATATGAAAACCTGATTCCTACTATCTAAAACTGTTTGACAAGAAGATTAAAAAACCCTTGTCCAATGATCCAATCAACCACCTCCATCTCCTAGCCACCGAGTCAACTCACCCTCAGCTCAGCAACCACCCTAACCCTCCCAACCCCAATCAACCAAAACCACTCTCCTCAGAGTCTGCACCATCCTATAGCAACAGCAAAACTCACCTGATCACGCCTCCACTCTTCCCTTTCTTCTTCCAATCCTAGTATCAAGTTTGCAACAATTTCCCTTACTCATCTACCGTTTCTTCCTCCCTCACCTTCAACAAAATATAGGATGTCATTGGAAAATCAGAAACATTGACCTTTTCTGGTAAGCCTGTCAATAAATGGGTAAACTTGGTTTGGTTAATGATAAGACAACCTTTAAAGACTCTAGCTTTATCCAGGGAGTTGAAGATATGCGTGGGGCAAGCTTTACCATTAGATGAATGGGTTTGGGGTTGGACTGCACTGTTGGAGACTTTAAATACTGTAGTGGAAAGGATATGTAAAGTCAGATAAGGTTGTGGAAGAGCAAAGTTCGTGACTACGAAGTTGAAAGAGTGGGCTAGGCCTAAAGGGTTACATATAAATGGTTGAGATGGAGGATTTGTGTTGTGGGTCATTTGACAGAGGCTTCACAATCACAGATTTGGAATTTGATGGTTTAGGAAGGGGATTTAGAGAGGGTGTGAGCCTATAATGCATACCTATATTATGTTTAAGCACAGTACAATCGAGCCCAAAAAAAAAAAAGGGCAGTACACAGAAACTACGATATACATTTGAGAGAGAGAGAGAGAGCTTGGTTGATCTATTTGTAATTATCACATTTCGTAGCCATTGCACACAGCAATGACGGTTCAATACAAGGAGGATTTCAATATCATATAATAAAGAAATAAAAAAAAAATCAAAATTAAGACAAGGGAAAAAATGGATGAATGAATTGCTACAAATGCCTTGACAAAAAAGAGTAAAAAGAAAAAGAAAAAGAATTGCGGCTTCTTTTGCAGCAAACCTCTTTTATAATCTACAGCCTCCACCATGCTCATTGTTCAGTCATTGATATCAAGCATGTTTTGACTCCAGAGCCTATCACATTGTGATGCTGCCGATAGCTCAGCCTCTGGCAAAATAACGACATCATCAGTTCTAAGACATTATACCTGGTATCTTTTGACAAATGCACTCTAACTACATGTGAGATGCGACTTCTTTAAGTGCCAATACCTAGGTTTTATATGTCTCAATTATCTTTGTATGTGGTAACAACCATCATGCATGCTTCTGTGGATTAATTAGAGGATTACCAGATCAAAAACAATTTTACACAGCCACAGTCTCGGGACCTGGTGCTAGATCAATCATTTCTTCAAAAATGGTTTCTGACAAACAAGTAGCCGCTGATCACTACCATTCTGAAGGTCGATCACCCTTGCATCCCACCGTATTTGTGTAGCATGAGCACGTGCCAAGTCTATAGCTCCTAATTTATCAGAGAGCACAACCCAACCCTGCAAACAAACAAAAGCTCATATTATGAATTCAATAACACCCAACAAACAGTTATTCAAGTAAGAAATAAATATTTCAGAAACTATTCATTAATACAACATATTCTAGGTCACATCAAATGAAATGGCATTATAGGGCATTGATTAAAAATATCAATTTTTTTCGAGGGAGGCTTGTTGTGGAGGATTAGGATGTTGAGTATAAAATAAAACATAAGCAAGACCAACAAAATGGTGGTTTTTCCTTTGAACAATCTAACAAATAGTTAAGAGCTGTCAGAGGCAATTCCTGCATAAAAATAGAATGAAAAAAAGGACACTGGATCGAATTTCAAGCACAAACCCAGAAAAGTGAGAATACCTCAGGACGCAGAATTCGATCCATCTCTATAAATAAGTCCATCAAACCGCACCTCTCTGAAATGAGATGTGTGAGGAGCCCATTTGCATGAATCATGTCATATGTTCGAGGATATGTTGGGAAGGGTTCACACCTGAACACCACCAGATATGTCAGATAAAAAAAAAATAGTTCCCAGCATTCAGTAGAATGATACATAGCTGCATGTCAGAAACGAGCAACCTTGAAGAAAAAAACATTTTTGAATGTTCAACTGAAGCACAAAGAAAGAAAACTGTACATACAGATTCCAAATGGAAATTTTATTAGCAGCCTACTACAGCTAACCATGTCTTTACTTGCCACCATGATTTGATAAAATAGGTCAAATATTGTTCAACAACTAAAGATTCAATTTTAAGAATGAATCTAAACTAAAGCAAACTATTTTAAAGAATCTTCATCATTCACAAACTTTAATACTCTCTTAATGTGGGAACAAAATGAGAACGTTCACTCCTAAAAACTTGTGAAGATATCTATACCTAAAACAAAATGTTAAAACTTAAACAAATTACTTTCATGAAGTCATAAAAAACTAACCAGTCATGCAAAACACCAGGAAAACCTCGGTCAAGAATGAGAGGAAGTGTGTTGCGGGCCCTAACAGGCACAACATTCATCACCCACACTGATTTCTTTTCCTCCAGGAATGCAGCATTTAAACCCCCATAATGAGCATTCATGTCCATCACATTGCGTACCATATTAAATGGAGGCAATGGATCTTCATCCCCTGGCCTCTTGGGATGGTCAGAGAAAATTAATGGTGTAAGCAGAGACCAATAATTGTTTAAAGCTAATTTCCAAACTTGCAGGTCTTCAAAGAAATCTTCTTGACTGACTCCTGCAAGGATTAATTTACATCAATATGCCAGCCAAATAAAGCCATTTACTACATAAACTGGGGATTGCGTGTTGCAGCCCAATAGCAAAATGAAAATGCAGGTGCAGGGAGGAAAAAAAAGAGGTGGGGGGGGGGGTTGGAACAATACTTTCCATGAACTTCTAGCTCCACAGAGCTCAATTGAGAGCTAGAGGACCTGTTCTGAATAGGAATCCAGTGTTTGCTGGAAGTTCCGGTGATACAAGGCATCAAGGTCTGATAATAGGCAGCATCGTGTCCTTCTTTGCAAAGGGGTACATCATTCTGCTTGCTATATTCAAGAAAACGGAGGTTAGAAAACACTAGTGCAGGTCTGACTGTTATAAATTAAGAGGAACTAATACAACTAATTCAAAGTAAAAGTGTAAGACAACCTAAAAACTGTTTTACTGAATTGAAAGCCTGTTTCATAATGCAATTGAATTAAGAGTTACTCAGAGAAGAGTGAAAATTATCAGTGTATACTCACCGAGAAGAATAGCAATGAACATCAGCAGTTTTCTGCCAGATAAAAGTCTCATCCTGCTGTGCAATAAGACTCCAACAAATTTTTTCAGTGAATTGTTCCAGTGGCATTAACATGTTTCTTTTCTTCGTAACTGTTGCACTTCCATGTGACTTACTTGTGGGTGAGGTTAAAACAAAATAACCTCCAGGCTTGAGTAACCGATCTGCTTCTATAAGAAACATCCCCTCTGTTTTACAAAGTCATAGTTAGACAGCAAAGCATATGTAACTTTACAATACAAGCTACACTTGCCTATTTATTAAATATTGATAAATACATGCAAAATGGATGAAGATCATACATACATACATACATCTAACAGTAACACTTTAGCTGATTCAGGCTACATACATTACACTTTTGTTTTATAAATATAGTCTTTTTCATCAAGGTCTGGAGGAGGAAGTTTTAGCACTCAAGTACATTTCATGGTTAGCAGTGTTAACTGTGTTGTTAATCTTAACAGAAAGCACTGTTAACAATGCACTATGCCACATCGGTACAAATCACTGCACTTTCAAGAAAACAACTCTATAATGAAACATGACATGGAGATTATCAATAAAAATAGAAGGATCAGAATAGTGGTATACCCACATATTTCCAAATTATTTTGTAACAATAAATAACAGAAAGGAAGCCTACTATTAAACTCTGAAAATACCTTTCTTGTCCCAAACAATACTGCACTGAGCACAATGAACCATGTCAAAGGACAATGATGGATATGGCAGTTGTCTTGATATGAAATTGCCAATCATTGCTGGAAGACCTCTCTCAAGAGCTAATTGAACTTGGCTTCCGGTTGCCTCATATGCAGCAATACAAAGAGCCATCAACTTTAGTGAAACTAAATGAGCTCCAAAACTTCCAAATCCACAACCAATATCAAGTACAGTGCGTACCTGTAATCAAAGTAGGAGTATTAAACACCATATACTGGTGATTATTTTACATACCCTTGAAGGCCATACATTATCTTTCTCATATTTGTAAACATCACATGCTAAAATATAAGAAAATATTTGATTCCAAACATACCAAACTCTCAGAGCTCATGCGACCCTAATGGGATAAAAGTAGTTATAAAACTAGTAAGAATATTATCATAAAACGAAATAAAGACTTACACCAGCTTGAAAAAATTCAAAGTCACTCCCCAGTCCCATCATCTCAGCAATCTGGCGAGAATAATCTTTGACACCATCAAAGATTAAGCCATCTTCAGAGTGAAAAGCAATTTGATTCTCTTCTAGCAACATCATTCTAGACAGTTTGTTAAAAGATTATGAAGGTAAATTAGAAAGCTGTTACTGATCACATAAAGAACAAGGAAAGAAGAATATATACGCTGTTACAAAGAACAGACACTTGCGAATTTGAAAAGGTAAAGCTTATAACCACAGGATATAAGCCTGATGCTTTCTCTACTTTTACAAAGCATACAAATGCATTTAATAAATACCTCTTTGTCATGCTTCCAGAAGAAAGGAATTGGTCTTTGGTTATCTTGACATTTCCACTCCATATCACATCCCTACCAGCTGGCCAACGGAGTGGAATCTTATAATCCTTTGGAGGGCGAACTAAACACCACTTTCTTTGCCTTGAAAATTCACAATGTCGATCAAACTCCTCTCCATCTTTAAACCCTAATAACAAGTTTGCTGTCACATTGTAACAAGGAACATAATTTTCTTTTTCTTTGCCACAAAGGCCAAACTCCCTTTGGCGACTAGCTCCCAACGGGAGAGTTCTCAGCTCAAAATAATCAACTGTCGCTTGCTCCTTTAGCCTTCTATAGTTTGTATAAATCTCAGGTACCAAAGTGGAAGTTACAGAGTCAAAGGAATTAGAAGATGATGATCCAAAGACAGAAATCAGTGCAAGCACACTGACAAAGCACAATAGCAACCAACTGACTGGCGGTCTGGGGCTGAAAATGACAGATAGTTTATTGAGCCAAGGGCTTCTCATGTCCAAAACTTTAAACAATTTAAGTTCGAAAAACCACTAAATAACCAACCCCTTCAACTTAAATCTCCAAGAACTGTGAAAACCATAACCTATCATCACATACAAGCTTCTGTATATGTTACCGTGAATCCGGATAAGCCCAACAAGCATTGAAACCACCTCCTCTACACTCCTTCCACACCGACCTTTATCCAACTATCACAAGCAATGGTTAACAAAATAGTCCAAAATCCAAAGTAAGTTCACTATAAATCCACCATAACCATTATAAAGAAAAACCAAGAAAACCAAGCTGAAGTTTAATTCCTTATTACAGATCAATACTTCCACCCAAAATCGAACTTCCTAAAGCGAATTACACCACTCCTAATCCAAAGCAAACCGATATTTACCGCAGTGTATATTTTTACCAGAATCCAAACAGAGCCGATCGAAACTAAATTTTGAGTAATGTTAATTCTTCAGTCTCCAGCAAGTGACCAATCGCATCAAGCTGCAAATATCTACCAAAATCAATATTCCAAGGGAAGGAAATTATGATTCTTTAACGGTCTGTTTGATGGATGAAACGAAAATTTGAATCTAAAACAGTAATTCTAAAGCTAAAACACAAATTTCAGAATTCCGATAAAAATGTAAAACTTTCCGGTTTTGGAATCCGCTAAAAGAAAGTCAGATCTCAAAAAGGAAACAACAACAGATCAAGATCATTGAAGAAGCAGAAAAAAAAAAAAACTAAATCGAAAACTGAAACAATTAAAAAAAAAAACCAATTAGGGTTCACGTGGAAGCGTACCTGTGGAGAATCAAAATCCGAAATTGACAAATGGAGAGAGCGACGAGCGAAAGAGAGGAGTTTTGATGAGTGAAATAAACGAAAGTTATTTTTTTATGGTTAATATATTTATATTAAAAAAAAAAAAAAAAGGAAAACAGACAAATAGGGAACCCAAATTGTTAAGTAAGGTCTATGGTTTATTAAAAACGCTACCTCTTGAAAGTGCTAAAATGACAGGTGGTGATGATGCAGTTACTAATTGGTCGGTCCGTGATCTGTCTTCTGTGGGAATTGACGATCCTAATTTAGACGTAAACGACAAAAACTGTTTTTCACTTCTTTAAAAATGATTGCCAAATGGAGGCTAGGCTACGGCTAAGCTTAATTAATCCAGGGATTAATTTAGCCCTTAATTAAAGTGTTAACCTTTATTACGAGGAAAGATGTTGGTTATAGTCTTGTTTTAATAGCCTAATCAAGTAAGATATTACTTAAATGTTTCTAACCTATAAATAAGGAGATAAGAAATAATGACACGTGCAAATAATATTAAAATTTTAATTTTTAAAATTTAATTCAATTTAATTATGTACTCACAATATGGCACTTGAAGATATAAATTTTAAATTTTTTTACTTTTAAATTATAATTTTTTTATAAAAATGTTAAATAATAAAAGAGCCCATCATTATGTTAGATTTTAGGCAACTGGTATTTGTTTTGTTGGTTCCTTCTTTTTAAGGTAACAATTATATTATGATTATGTTGAAAAGTTGTTTAATTACTATAATAGTTAGTACTAATTTTTACTGTAACTTCTTCTTAGAAGGTTAAAACTTGAAAGATTAAAAGTTACTATCCAACTTGCTCTGCAATTTGGAGGATTGATTTGGCTCAATGGTTCAGCATTTTTGGATTCCAGGGTGGCAGTAACAGAAAATGAGCTGTGCTTACTGCCATCCGGTCATCCCCCAGGAACCAGGTTGAATTCCCCCCATCCAAGGGCGGGGTTTAGCCCCACAGGTCGGCTCAAGATGTCCTTTTCTCTCAATAAATTCGTGTGTGGAAAGCAGGAACATCTCAGTTTTCAGGGGAAGACTTTCGGTGATCCCTGGTAAAAATTTATTGTTCCAATTAGCGGTTATGCATCCTGTTGCCCTGGGGCTAATAAACCAAATTCACATGTTTATTCCCAAGCTGTCATTGAAAAAACATTCAAAAGAAAAGTACCCGTGATGATGGGGATGATTCCAGGCTTGGGACACTTTTGATCGTTTCTGTGGGCTATATAATTCCAAGAGAATTACATGTAAGGTTCTATTGTCATCAGCTGTGGCAATTCCTCCACCGTACCGTGGGGAGGGAGAACCATCTGCTCAATTCTGCAATAATTGGTATTTGTTCAGCACCCTGGGACGGTAATGGCTGAGAACTTGATTCATCGTACCGACAAACGCTGCAACTAATCAGAAAATTCCAAAGTGTAAAAATAGAACCCCTTCAATTATAGATGCAAAAGACTAAGATGCTAAGAGTGTTGGGCTGAAATGATAAATATAATAATATGAAAGTAATATATAGTAATAAATTTATAATAATAGATAATAATTCAAAATTCAAAATGTAAAAAATATATATATATATTAAGATTTATGTAAAAAAATTTTTAATGTAGAGAAAAATAAATTACGAATTATAAAAAAATTTTACTATCAAATAATAGATATACAAATCTTTTTTTTAGCTAAAATTAGAGCACATCAATAATTAAAGAAATTTCATCAAATAAGTAACTCAACAAATATACCATAGATTTGTTCATAAAGAACTTCAAAATCAATCTTCATCGTTTAAAATGTAAAACATTGAATCTTGAACCTGCTAACAAATTTAGCTCAATTGAACCATGGATCGACTTCTATTTAATAAACTCCCATTTCTTCATTTTGTCTCTATCTATTTTGGCTTTTTTTTTTCTCTTAATTTTCAGTGCCACACCACTTACTTTTTCACGTCAAAATTGATCCCTACTATTTATTACATAAGGTAATAATTTTTCACATTAAGTCAAAAGTCTTTGGGCCTTTTAATTGGTGAAAAAATGATGGAATGGGGTGAATCCTGCATTCCTAATAATCTTCACCTCCAATTCTACTAGAAAAAGATTCATCACCATAGCGGTTTCATTTGAATCGTACTTTGGCCAAAGAATCCATTTCAATCAAGTTATTGTAAAGTTTAAATTTTTTCCTAAGAAGTGTCTTGGTCAACATATCTACTTTATTCTCATCAATATGAACTTTTTTCAACAGCATTTACTATTATTCACCAAACGTAACAAATGATATTTAACATTAACGTGTTTTGTTTTAGCATGATACATGATATTTTTACTCAAATCTAAAGCATTGTGGCTATCATAAAATATTACATACTTTTTCTGATTCAACCTTAATTCAAGAAAAAAAATGTTTCATTCAAAGTATTTTTTACTTGTTTCAATTGCTACAATATACTCAACCTCTATAATTGATAAAGTAACACATTTTTGTAACTTTGACTACCAAGACACAGCTTATCTTACAAAAGTGAATAAATATCCTGAAGTAGATTTTCTATTATTAAGATCACTTGTCATGTTAGCATCAGTAAATCCTTCTAGAATTAGTTTTGTAGTTTCATAACTTAAGTATATCTTTGAGGTGCCACTTAAATATTTGAAAATTCATTTCACTATTTTTCAATGAATATTTTTCGTATTAAAAAGAAATATATTCACTATACCAACTGCATAAGCAATGTTAAGCTATGTATAAATTATAAGATATATCAAAGAATCGATTGCAAAAAAATAAGAAATACTAGACATAGTTAGTTGCTCTTCTTTAGTCATCGGACAAGTTTTTTACTCAGATAAAAATAGTAAGTGTATTCACTATACCAACTGCATAAGCAATGTTAAGCTATGTATAAATTATAAGATATATCAAAGAATCGATTGCAAAAAAATAAGAAATACTAGACATAGTTAGTTGCTCTTCTTTAGTCATCGGACAAGTTTTTTACTCAGATAAAAATAGTTAGTAAGTGTATTGCTAACCAATTTAGCATGTTGCAATTGAATCTACTAAGCACTCATTCCACATATTTTTCATGTGATAACCACAGTTTTTTAGCTCTCTTATCCTGTATAATATCCATATTGAGAATTTACTTTGTTGGACTAAATCTTTCATTTCAAAAGAATTAGATAATTGTTCTTTTAACTTGCATACTATACCGGCATCTTGTCTTACAATCAACATATCATCAATATCTAATAAGAGAATAATAAAATTTTTATCAAAATTTTTTTTGACCTACACATAAGAATCTGTTACCGTTCTTTTATGGCGATAGCTTACCATAAAAAAATCAAATAATTTGTACCATTATCACGAAGCTTGTTTTAAGTCATACAAGTTTTTTTTTTAGTTTGTAAACTAAATACTCTTTTCCTTTTTCTTCAAAACCCTTAGACTGATCCATATAAATGTCTTCTATAAGTCACCATATAAGAATACAGTCTTAACATTAAGTTGCTCAAGCTCAAAATTCAAACTAGTTGCTCATTTAATTACCACTTGAATAAAGCTTATCTTCACAACTAGAGAGAAGATCTCATCAAAATCGATGCTAGGTTTTTGAGAAAAAATTTTCACTGTCATTCAAGCTTTGTACCTCATTAATTTGTCACTATCTTTTTTCATTTTAATATTTATTTATTATTCAATGACCTTTTTTTTTTCGAAAGTTTAACAAAATCATATATACCATTTTTTTTCAATGACTTTATCTCTTTTTTAATTGCTTTTAATCAGTACTTTTTATCTGAAATAGTCTATACATCTTGAAAGCCTTCTAGCTCACTTTTATTGGTAACTAAAATAAAATTTGAACTTGGATACTTAATGGATAGCCTGTGTTCTCCCATAGATTTCTTAGGTTGAGACTCTACATTACTTAATATTGAAGGTAGCTCTCTTGCTCAACATTATTTGGTGGAAACGACTACTCATCCTACTCTCAGATAAAGAGGATTGCTCTTCTTACTCAAAAAATGATTGTATCTAGCTTATCATTAATTATGGTTGGCTCATTCATATCCTTAAGTTTTATCTTTTGCCCATTTGTGGCTATTTTCGAAAGAACCTCATTGGTGTTGAAACATCACACTTAACAGTAACTCATATAGTCTTTTCATTTTTTTAAGGTTTGCTAAGGTTTGTTATAATTTCTTTTTCATGAAAGACCATATCTCTACTTCTTACTGTCTTTCTCTTTATTGGATCCCATACCCAATAGCTAAATTACTCATCATCAAATCTTATAAATATACACTGTGTAACTTTACTATCTACTTTTGACTTTTGCTCTTTTGGCACATGCATTAATGTTTTACCCCCGAAAATATTTAAGTTAGAATATAAAGTATTTTTTTTGTTCATACTTTTTTTGAAATGTCAAAGCCTAGAAGAACTGATGGTGATCTATTCAACAAATAAAAGATTATGTTGACTGTTTCACCCTAAAATGGCTTTGGTAATTTTGAAATTCTCAATATACATTTGATTTTTTTATAATGGTGTAGGTTCATCCTTTTAACTACATCATTATGTTGCGGTATTCCAAGTTTTCTCATCTTGTGCCTGATCTCATGCTTTGAACAATATTCTTCAAAGTTTTTGAATTTATATTCTCTATCATTATCAGCCTGAATACATTTTAAAGGTAACCTTGTCATCCTTTCCATTATGGTATAAAATTTTTTAAAAAATTACAATGCTTGATTTTTGTTTTTCAACATATACACCAAGTTTTACCTGAAATATCATCAATTAAAATAATAAAATACATACTACTACCTAATGACTTCACCTTAATAGGACCATATACAACAGAATGAATCAATTTCAATATTTTTTTTCTTTAAAAATGCTTACGAAAAGAAACTTTACGATATTTGTCAAACAAACAATGATCACATGAATCAATAGACATACTTTTGGTCAAGGTAATGAAAGACTGCCTTGTCAAAATCTGTAATCTCTTTTCGTTCATGTGTGCCAGCTTTTTGTGCTACATATTTGCTAAAGTATCATCTGTAATGGCATTTAGCTGGTTATGTTCAATTGCATCTGTGTCTTATACATTGTGCAATATAGTTTTCCTTTTGCAAGTACCAAATATCTTTTAAGAAGCTTTCACTACTCATTTTTTTGTCAACTTTCATAACTTTTCTTATCAGGGACATTAATAGCAAGCAAGTTCATTATCATATCTAGAATATATCTAACATCCCTTAAAGTTAACATACAATCCATAATAGTTTGCACAACAATATCACTAATCCAACAATTTACGACACTTTTGTTTCTCATCTTAGTGTAATCAAAATCTTCTGCTTTATAAGTTGTAAACAACTCTCTTTTAGAAACATAATGATATGTCACTATTGTGTTAACTATCCATTCAATATCAAGATCACTAACATGATTGTAGTGACGATGTGTACAAATTAAAGTAACTGAATCATTATCTAAATTCATAGCTACAATATTGCCATCATTTAAACTCTTACCTTTCTCATCTTTTTGCTATTGCTTCAAGATTTTGTAATATCATTTAATACGATCTGTTTTACCATAATGAAAGTACTTCATTTTATCTTTGAATTTAGATCTATGTTTAGACTTATTATAGCTTTTTAAGTTATGACTTCTATCGTTGTTTCTAACCTTATTCTCTGTGACAAGAGTTTGATTATTAAGATTTAAATATTTTCGCCTTGCTTCTCTATACTATCATTTATTATCTCCAATATCACCTTATAATCGAGAACTGAATTAAAAATAATCACAACTAGAGTATTTTAACTGTCTGACAATAAACCCAAAAGAAATGATGTCTTCATTTCATCATCCATTTTAAGTTCTATAGTAGTCATCCGATAAATATATCTTGAAAATCACTTAAATGCTTAATCAATCGTCCATTCCTGTACTATAAGGTTGTAAATATTTTAACAAGTATAACTTTATTCATGCTTATTTTTCTCTCATATAATACTGTCAATTTTTTTTAAATAGTGTACGCATCTGTCTCCTGCACTATATGATAGAATATGCTGATATTAACCTATTTTTTATTGTAGCCCGCGTCTTCTACTTAACTTCTTCTAGCTTTCATCTTTTACATTTGTTGGCTTAGTTGAATCACCTAATACTGGCTTATACAAATATTTGCAGTATAGATGATCTCATCATAAGCTTTCAAATTGAATAATTTGATGCTATCAATTTTATCATGAAACTTATATGACCTTTCATGATTTCAAACAAAATTTATTTCTATCTTAGGTTACTTTTGTATTGATATTTTAAAATAACTCTCGCTCTAATATCACTTATTGGGTCTGAAGTGACAAACACAACAATGCAAAAATAATATATTGTAATAAACTTATAGCAATAGATAATAATCAATAATCCAAAATGTAAGAAAAATAAAATACATCAAAATTTAAGTGAAAACCCTTAAGTGTAAAGAAAAAAAATCATGAATCATCAAAAAAATCTTTACTATCAAATAATAGATATAAAGTTTTATTCTAACTAAAATTATAATTAATCAACAACTAAAAAGATAATTAAAAAAATTTCACTAAATAAATGACTTAACAAATATACTTTAAATTTATTTTTAAAAAATTTTAAATTCGATCTCTATTATTCAAAATATAAAATACTAAATTTTGAATCTATTGATAAAATTTTAATTTAATTAAATTATAGATAGACTTTTATTCAATTGATTCTTTCTTCTTCATTTTCTCTCTATTTTTCTTATTATTTTTTTGCTTCTCTGAGTTGTCGGCACCATACCACTTACTTTTTAACACTAAAACTGCTCTCCACCATTTATTACGTAGGGCTCTATTTTATCACATTAAGTCAAAAGGCTTTGGGCCTTTTAATCGGTGAAAAAGTGAAAGAATGGGGCTGGACCCCACATTCTTAAAACAGAGTACATTATTGCTGTTTTGCTAACTAATTGGACACATAATCTTCCTTCGAAACAATTGACACCAAGCACATTAATTGATCCTGTAAAAGTAAATTGTTCTCGTCATGACTCTCAATGCCAAGTCTAAGAGATGGTACTTCTGAGAAAATAAGAGTAGAAAATACATTAGTAAACTTTGCATCAATGATCAAAGGTAAAAAATCCTAGCATATTACTCCTCTTTCAAGCAATAATTCCCAATTCTCTATTCAGACAGTCTACAAACATCCTTTTTGCACTGTCTGCATCGGAAGGTGGAGGTCGCCCACTCAAACTTGTTTGCGCCGTTAACTTGATGAAGATACGTCGTAGTCTACGTAGCTCTGGCAACCCAACTGATCTGGAAATATCGATGCATGGTAAACCTTGGCCAATAGAAATACTGGCAAGAGGTCCTCCAATGGCCTGGGATTGTGCTTCTACAACAGCATTGATCACCTCCTGTGTAGCTCTGTCCAATTCATACAAAGAATTGGCCTCTGAAAACCAAGTATTTTGTGTAGCAATGGTTGGCTGTAGGATTTCAACATCGCGTGATTTTGAGTCCACTCTTTTCGTCAAATAAGAAACCGTATCTGCAATGGCAATAGAAGATTTATCTACTCCATTATTATGAGGCCACAATTGCAACAATGGCGAATCCCAACGATTTCTTCTATCTGGTTTCTCAAACCTTCTAACTAAATCTTCAAAAATGCCATCCTTATGCGCAGCCTCTCCCTTCTCCCTACGTTCTTCATTCCATTTTCTACACTGCACTTCTCCAACATCACAATATAACACACGGTACCTTATCCCCGCAGCACAAGCCAAACACCATAACTCGTATCGATAACTCTTGACACTGTTCAAGGAATTAACTATAATGATATTATCTTTAGAGATAGATCTATCAACCTCGATTACATTATCATATACAACCTCGAAAGGAATCACTGAGAATATTTTCATCCAGATTATGAGCTGCAAAACCGATTAATGGTTTAGTAAATAAATAAGCCTTTCGAGGAACAATTTCAGCTAGAGGAGTTCAGTGTTGGTAGAGTATGTGACAAATAAACACTATCCTGTTCATCTGTTTTTTCTTCTTTCTCCATTGGCGAGCCGGAACAATCTCATATATCTTTCTTACAGCCTGTAAAATGCTCAACAACTAATGGTTTGTAAAAGAAACTGACAGTACCAAAAGCAAACTACTCATGATGAAGAAATCAATGGCATGCAATAATCAATATCACCTGCAAAGTATGTAGATGATCGGAGTTTTGAACACTTAAAACCCCTTTGCAGCGATAGACATCCATTCCATGCTTCTTATCCCAAAGAATCTCCTTAATCCATAAACGGATCTAAAAGAAAATTATAAATGAATTCAGCTATACGCTTGTCTAAGCTGTCTGCCTAACATATGAAGCATCGTGTTTGTAAGCATGAAACATGGCTTATATAAGCCCTCTGTCAAGTGCCAGCATCATTGTGACAAATGTACCAGACTTCTCAGGAACTGTAAAAGTAGACGTAGGTAGGAGCAGATTACATCAACTTGGAAGAGAATGAATCTAGTAAACTGTGTCAAGGAACTACCTTATGAAGATCAACAGCTTGTGTCTGATTAATGCATAATGTCCCCACACCACTATCATGAAGATCTCTGGAAGATATAGATTTGCTTTCTTCTAAGAGTGCTTCTAAATGAGTGGCATGCTAAAACCCAAGGAGGAACAAAAAAAGTAATATATCAGTTAAAATAGAGGATAGCATTCTTTAAGAATATGTATACTATGATGACTTGAGTTTTGTAAGACTAACTGTAGTGTCATATGCTTGCCGGTTCAGTATCTGAGACAAGTCTACTTGACACCGAACAGAACGAATGATATTGGCAAGGGAGTTTTTGCTATGTATCTCATTCTTCAGCTCTTCTAGAGCATCTTCAGACCTCTCAGGAGACACCAAATAAACCTTGTTAAGAACCTAGAAGAGACAACAAAACTTTTAGCAGATATAATTGCTGAACCCATAAAACTTTTTCTTGGTAAATAACCCGGCAAATATCAAATAATAAATGAAAGCGTGGTCTAGCCACTATTAAAAGGCTGCAGAGGTTGTTGCCATTGGATGTTATACGTAAGACGAGATTAAAACCACCGCAAATGCTATTTGAAGAAATGCTTCAGGAAATGAGGAGTCACGATGCCTGTTTAGCTGAAAATATAGGTTTTTGGCATCTACAACCTATTCAAGCAGCAAAAAGAAAGGCATTGAAGATATAGTGTTGGTTGATTCAAGTCATAAGACATACTACTCTAGGATAAAAAACATAAACAAAAGACTGCTGTAAATAGGTAATATGAAATGAAATGTACATAAGGACGTCAAATGCCTCAAAACTACTATGCAACAGATACTGCTTAGTTCATTTTAGGTTATTTAAATAATGTACTAAAACACAACCCCATTAATTTATTCAGTTCAAAACTATATAAGAGAAAAGCTACAGCAACAATAAGAGATGATTATACACTAATTTTTTCTTTCTTTTTCTGTCTCAACACACATACAAAAAAAAAAAAAAAAAGAAAGGGGTTACTACAAATTTTGGGGTTTAAGGATTTTCTTATTTTAACATATGGACCTTTGATTTTGGGGAAAATTGGGCCTTCAGACCTATAGCTAATCTTATTTCAACCTTCAAAGACTAAAGCTGTTTCCGATTGCCACATTTTATTTTGTTTTCAACCTGCAAATGTAAAAGGAACAAACAAGCATCAACTGCCACCTGCATCGAGAATGAAAGAGTATTACTTCTTGGTTTTGTGATTATTATTGCGAGATAGGAAAAGATTATCTTTAGCTGTATAATTCAACCATTAAAAAAGAAAAGAATTATAGACCCTCCACGAGTCCAGATACTTTGGATTCAAAGCAATGTCTGTAAACCATACCTTTTCTTTGTAATAATCATCAAGGTGACAGAGGATGTAATGGGTCTAAAAATGAAGCCAACCCATTTTTTGTCTTCACAATTCAAAGACAGGGAAGGGAGAGGATCCCTAGCTATTACCCTTGTTGCATCTATTGGCAACAAGGAATTAACATGGTCGGCAAATCGGATGGGTAAAACAAACACTACAAAACCAAAAAAAAAAAAAAAACTTCCTCGAACAAGAAAAAAGCAATGTACTTATATAGACACAAAACCAGAATAAAAGCAAAGAGGAAATTAAACAATTCTCTAGATGAACAGAAAGTTATGTAACTTAATTATTCTTACATAACTTAAAAGGACTTTGAAAACATGCATCTGGGGAAAGGCATTGCTTTGGCTATAGCATTGGTGGTTCTTGGAAGTCATGCAGCATTGTCAGAGATTAATAGAGCCAGTTTTCCAAAGGGCTTTGTTTTTGGAACTGCCTCTGCTGCATTCCAGGTTGGGTTTTTTTTTTTTTTTTTTCAATTTATTACCCTTTACAAGGCAAACTTTTCATGTGATTTGAGTCTTGTTAGTTTTTTTTAATTATGTAATTTTTTAAGAAAAAAATTCAATCTAATCACATAATTGAAAGTGAAATTAAATAATTAAGTAATTACATAAAAAATAATAATTTAATGTGATTCAACTCAATTAATTTACATTCACGAATAAAAAAAAATTCACTAATTGTAAAAAATTACAAACATACAATTTATATCAAGCACTCATAATTAATACCATAAATCTTCTTAATCTCTTCTAATCTTATAAAATATTCTTAACCTAAACAAACATATACTCATATGCACCCATGCTATATCTATATGAACTCTCTCAATCTCCTTTAGTTCACTCACAAACATTTTCATCCTCTAATTCACTCACAAGCATTTTTCAGTAGTCTTATAAAATATCTATCCATAAAATTTTATAACTCTTTTATATCTTTTTCTTATACTTAACTCTATATAAATTTTATCTATTTATAAATATACAAATTTACCTGTTAAAAATTTTTTCTTTTTAAAATTTTTTTCTTATAAGTTTTTTTATTTATCAAATAATATCTAATCAATTTCAAACAAATTTATTATGAAATTTGAGTTATTATTCATAACATAATTCACATTAAAAAAAAGACCACTGCAAGTTTTCCCTGGAATCCAATGAACACGGCTATGAATCAAATGTTCATTAATGGTTTCACAGTTCACACTGCATGTTTCGGTATTCATGTGATAATAGGTCTTTATTTTTAAAAGTAGTCTGATTTGAACCTGAAAAGGAAAAAAAAAACAATTGAAAGTTGAAACAGTATAAAATTCAACATATCGTTCTTTATGTCGAGCTGCCATCATTTTTCCAACAATGAAATATGAAAACTTGGAAAAAATTGTCTGCAGATGGTCAAGTCAATTATTTGTTATGCGAACAAATAGGATAAAATGGCCGCAAAGCAAGATTCTCCTTTGCAATTATACCCATTTATGGAAATTGTTTGCTGTTCTGTGCAAAAGTCAAACACGAAGAATGAAAATTATATATGACAGCTTTACTTGCCTTAACTTACTGGCTGAAACATAATGACTTTGGTTTATTAATTTTGTTTGTTTTTCTTTTCCAGTATGAGGGAGCAGTGAAGGAGGATGGAAGGGGACCATCTATTTGGGACACATTTTCACACTCTACAGGCAATACATTTATCATTTATTTACAATTAATAATTACATAATAACTATATTCTTAATATTTTCTTTTGCACCTTACCTTATTGTTTTCATGAAAGGGTTTGCTCAATTAATGTGTTTTATGTATATTCTAGCCCTATAACAACACAATTGACTTCTCTTGAAATATTCAACATTCTTATTTCCGCTATGCGATTGAAAGAAATCATTCCGAATTTTGTGATTCTAACAAGTTCCAATGGCGTTTATATCCATGTTAGAGTTAGACTATATACCCTGATATCAGTTCTGCTTACATGATTCAAATCCAAGTTGCAATGTCAAATTCCAGTAAGACAAGTACTATTTACACTGCCAAAATATCAATATTCCACATTCAAACAATGCTATACGGACAAACCTGTAGTTTCATGAAGAATCTTGAATTCTATGAAAGTTTGAGATAATTAGGAACTAAGGAGAAACCAGATTGTTTACAGTCTGATGTATCTGCCAATGAAGTCCGTGAAAGAACAAGATTGTCAGGCCAATTAACCACTTGACTTATATTATTTACAGGGTTAATAATTGATGGCAGTAATGCTGATGTTGCTGTGGATCAGTACCACCGCTATGTTGTAAGCCTACCCAATTGATGATTTGTATTATACGGCCATTGAAGCAAACAACATCTGCAATTCGCTCATCAAATATTCCTTTCCAATCATTTTGTGGTTTTGTTTTCTTAAAACAGGGAGATGTACAACTTATGAAGGACATGGGGATGGATGCTTATAGGTTTTCAATAGCTTGGTCTCGGATATTCCCTAGTAAGTTTGCATTTATCTTTTCTTTTTAATCTTTTGGATTGCAATTGGGGTTGCAACTCGAAACCTTCAGCCTGAAGCCGACTCCTGTACCACTGGTCATTGGTATTTGAGAAAGCTGGTCGTCAATTTTACTTGTGGTCAAGCTCTATTCTGTAAAAGATAAAATTGTGAAAATTCTAACAATTTTCCTTGGAACAGATGGTACGGGAGAAATCAATCAGGCAGGTGTTGATTATTACAATAATCTCATCAATGCTCTACTGGCTAAAGGTATTGTTTTTATAGTCATCATCATATTTCTAAACATACCAAAGGTCAGCCCCCCAAACCTCCCCCTGAAAAAAGAATCTGATATATGACCATCAACCAAAGAAAATAAATAAGCATTGTCAATTGTGTTGTGATGCAGGAATTGAACCTTATGTAACCCTTTATCACTGGGATCTCCCTCAAGCATTGGAGGACAAGTACACTGGATGGCTTGATCCCCAAATTATGTAAAGAATGTTCTTACACCTGGCGTGATCGTTGAAAATTATTTATCTTTGTATTCTGGTCTTTCATTTTATGAGCAATAAACATGACTTTGGTCATTTGCAGAGAGGACTTTGCAATCTATGCTGAGACATGCTTTGACAAATTTGGTGACAGGGTGAAGCACTGGATCACATTTAATGAACCTCATAATTTTGCCATACAAGGCTATTATTCAGGATTCGAAGCACCAGGCCGCTGCTCATCCATCTTGTGCCAGGCTGGAAACTCTACAACTGAGCCCTACATAGTTGCCCACAATGTTCTCCTTTCTCATGCAACAGTTGCAGATGTTTACAGGAAAAAGTACAAGGTGGAAATTGGGATACTTTCAGATTAGCTTTGTCAAATTAGAATAAGAAACAAAGTAAATAGTTTTTTAAGTTTGAACTTGAAAGATGACATAACAGTTTGGTTCACTTTGGAGCATGTCTATGCAGGCAACATCAGTAATTCACGTTATCTACAAAATGAGCTACAATCTAAGATCAATTCTGTCTATGCAGGATAAACAAAATGGATCAATTGGGATAACATTAGATGTTAAGTGGTACGAACCAGAAACGAATGCAACAGAAAATATTGAAGCAGCTCAAAGGGCCCAAGATTTTCAGCTTGGCTGGTAACTGCAATCATCTTCACTCTTTGACCATATTAAATTAGGGTCAGAATCCACTGAATTTTCTATAGGAGAATTGACAGCTATTGGTTATTGCGACTTCGGTTTCATTTTGTTATACTTCAGATAATTAGGCTTGCAAATTCTATCAGGTTTTCTTCATGTAGTTACCAAGTTATCTTTTACTGGCGTGATGTTACACTATAATTACTGCAGGTTTCTTGACCCATTGATCTTTGGAGATTATCCAAGCTCAATGCGAAGTAGAGTAGGAAGTCGGCTACCCAATTTTACTGAATCTGAGTCAGCTCTTCTTAAGGGATCATTGGATTTTGTTGGCATAAACCATTACACTACATATTATGCAAGGCAAAATAAAGCAAATTCAAATTTTGATTTACTTAACGACTGTGTAGCGGACGCTGATGCCTACACTCTACGTAAGTAAACTACATTCCTTCTACATAAATTCCTTGTTTTTCTTTCTTAATCTTGTTTTCTGATCTGGAATCTATTTCATAGAAAATTACAAGAATAAAGATACAGACATATTAAGTTCATTCATTCAAACTGATCATAGTTAGTGTTTTGCTGCTATGCTAGCCACTCACTGAAGATACTGCTTTGTTCTTAATGTATGCAGCTATCAAAGATGGGAATCCTATAGGAGATAGGGTATACAAGTCCAAACTTTTGTCGATTGTTTCCAAACAACTGATTCTGACAGATATTCTTCTTATTAACTTAATCTAATGTTTCATTTGCCATTAATTTCACAATATGATATCAAATAGAAATTAAATCTGATGTCATTCTTTTCACATTTTTCTAACTAATTATCTTGCTTTTGAACTTATGTCAAATTGCAGGCAAATTCTATGTGGTTATACATTGTACCCCGTGGTATGAGAAGCGTAATGCAATACATCAAGAAGAAGTATGGAAATCCTCTGGTTATTATCACAGAAAATGGTAATATTTTTAAATCCAAAGGGAAGTTCATAGGATGTTAATGTAACCATAAAGTTGACTTCTTCCATTGTTATTCAGCTATAAAAAACTTTTAACTCTTACATTTCCTTTACATAGAAGAGATAATTGCCCCACTTTTTGTGCTGTTAATACAGGCATGGATGACCCGAATGACCAATTTATTCCCATTGAAGAAGCTCTGAAGGATGAGAAAAGAATCAAATATCATACTGATTACTTAACTAACCTGCTAGCTGCTATTGAGTACGTGATTAACGATGCCCTTACGTACATATAACTTAGAATTTTAGGTGAATATTTGTTGAGGTGTGTAAAGCCAGAATCATGATTTTGTTGTGGCTAACATCATGCAGGGAAGATGGTTGCAATGTTAAGGGGTATTTTGCATGGTCTCTACTGGATAACTGGGAATGGAATTTTGGGTACACTTCAAGATTTGGTCTATATTTTGTGGACTACAATGACAACCTCAAAAGATACCCCAAGGACTCTGTTGCATGGTTCAAGAACTTCCTGGCATCTACTTAATTAAGTAATGGATAAACATTTTTTAATTAAATAAAGGATTTCTATTTTGACAAGGAAATAAATAAAAATTAAGTATGTTTTAGCTTAAATAGTTCATGTAGCCACTCTTAAAAGTGGTATCCAATAGATTTAAAGTTCACATCACAGCAGGTTTGAAGTATTAACTTTTTTTTTATATATAATTAATACTTAAATTCCTCCATAACAGATAACTCGAAAAGTTTGCTACACTGTTTTGCAATTCATTTTCGGTTTTATAAACAAAAAATAAATTGAAAACAAGAGATAAATAACAAAAAAAAAAAATCAATCAAACAGAAATTTCGGTTTTTTCACGAGTTAAATTCATAACAATATTATATAACAAGCCAAAGCTCATGATCTAGACAAGGAAAATAGGTGCCAATTGATCAGCTATAGCTCTACTCTTTGCCTTCCTTTTTTTGATCTGGATCATGACAAAATAAATATAAGAAATTGAAAGGAAATCCATTGGAAGAAGCCAAACTGAACTACTTGCCAACTTGATAATATTATTAAAATTTTTTCTTTGGATGTTTGGTTAAAACACCGCTTATAAAGTTAAAAAATTTCATTATCAATATATAACATAACGAGCACGTTATAAATGATGTTGATAAATTTGGCTTGCATTGCATTGCTTTAAAGTTTAAGCAATCTTTGCTTAGAAGGTAATTAGAAACACAAAAATCATTAGTTACTAGAATTTGGAAATATCTTAATATACGCCATAAACTTTCACTTTCAAGCCTAGCAATTTGCATGTAGGGGGCATCACAGTATACAATGTGAAATCAAAATCAAATAATCTTCCCCTCTAAACCATTTTTTATACAAAAAAAAATAAAAATACAACGTGAAAGAATCTTATTTTTTGAACATAAGAATCATACATCGAACAATGAATCAAATGTTGAGATGAATGCCTTCGTAATTTTAATTACACACGTATCAAACAAATATCCATAAATTAAATTTTCTTCTAACAATCATCTTGGAGAAAAAATAGTGTGTCAAAAAAGGAAGGCAACTCATCCTTTGTGTTCATAAATTCAAATACAAGAAAAGGAAATAATTGAATCCCTTAAGCATTTATTACTATCTTTTTTCAATTGCCAAAATTGCTTGGGCAGATTCTTACTTTCTCTGGTTGTGCCTTCTCAAATGATCATGAATCTAATTTTCTTCTATATGTGGATATACTTTTTAAAAAAGTTTTAAATATAGATTATATTATATGCAATGAGGACGGATATCGATTTTTTGTTTTATTTAAAAAAAAAAATTGAACTCATTTATTGAACAAAAATACTTACTCTTAAACCATTGAATCAAATACTTAAATGTGCAACTAAAGATATCGATTGTGTTGCTCTTTTCATATTTTTAAAACCCATTTTAAAAAATAGGAATATTTGATCAAATGGATTTAGGTTTTCTTATGGGACATGTACTTTTGTCACATGAAAATCGTTCTTTTCATATGAATGATGATGATAACTGAGAAAGGCCAAATACTCAAAGCATAGACGACGCAAGACAAACTTGCCACTAGCTAGATTCTTTTTCCAGCCCAGAAGGTGGAATTATCCAATGTCACAGCCGAAATTAACGTGTTGACCTGCATTAGGGAGCAATTGTCGGCATTCCAATTCCCTGCTTCACCTCTCTTCAACTCCACCAATCACTCGACAATTTTTGGCAATGTCTTTTTCTTTAATTAAATCGTTTCCCCTTCTATCAAGAGTAATCATTTTTAACTTAAAATTTAATGATTGATTCAATCATTTTTAAAAATGGTTTGAATCAGTTAAAACTTTTTTTAACCCATAAAAAAAATTGGAGCATCTATAAATCTTTTTATCCCTACCACTCTTTTTCTTATTTCAAATTACGTCCTCCTATATATATATATATATATATATATATATATATAACTAATCAATTAGCTCCACTCAAATCAAAGTAACCATTTGATTTTAGTCAAATGACAGTGGGATTGCAGCTAGTGTTAATTTATTGATTTTCGAAAGGCTAACGAAACAAAAGGGAATCAATCGTTTAGTGTGTTTTGTTAGTGAAATATTGGTTTCTTAATTTTAGTGATTAAATAAAATCTTGAATTTTTAATTTTAATGATTAAATTTTAAATATATTAAAAAAAATCAAACTCCGGATTTGTTATCTACATATCTTTAATATGCTGTTTTAATTACCTGACAAACAAGGTATTTGATGATTCAGTTTTATGTAACGACATCTATTAGGAAAGGAATAAAAAAGGACAATGAAGAAGGCAAATCTCACGAGTTAGGACACTTCAAAAACAAACTCCTTTGGTCATATTGTATGATTCAAGAATGGCATGGCGTTACTTGTAATGACTGCAAACAGAAGGAATTACCCATGAATGCGGATTTGCAGAAGGAATTTTGTTGAACTGACCAACAATCCAACTGTCAAAAATACCTTAACCAGCATTTTTTTTAAGACAGACCTAGATCTCTTTCTCACATGTTTTCTAGGTTGTCTATAATCGGACGTGTCCCTTTCTTTTATCTCATTGCTGAGCCTAAAACAATCTAACAAAATGAATTCAAGAGCAGCAATGAGGGAGTAGGATATGATGAGAATTGAGAAAAAAAACTGATATAAATCTTGTTAAATTGGCAAAGAAATTAATAATGTTGGCAATATGCATGGTCGGCCAAGGCAAACAGATGAGTAAAGTAAAACAAAACAAACACTACCCCACAGGCAAAATACAAAGCCACCCAGAACAAGAAAAAGCAATATATATATATATATATTTATATATATATGTATGTACATGCTTGGACAAAACCAAAACAAAAGCAAAAGAGGGAAATGAAGCAACAAAACTTGCCCATCATAATGTTATGAACAAAAAACGTGTGAACTTAGGACTTTGAATTTGCTGCAGGCGGCCACTACCACCACCACCACCACCATAATCATCATCTTATTATCTCCACCATTTCCATTTCCAGCTTTTTTTTTTTCTTTTCCTCAACAACCCATTTTTTTTTTCACAGTTTTCACACCTAATCTTTATCACATTTCCTTTTGTGAGCTTTTCTTTCCTTATAAAGAGAAATCCCAATCCAAAATCTTCCTACATATCTCTCCCCACCATCACTTTCTCTTTCTTTCCTTATTTCTTTCACTATATATTGCCTCACCCTGTTTCTCTTTCTTTGTTATAACACAGTATTCCATTGGTGAAAACATGCGGCCTAAGAAAGGAATTGCTTTGGCTATAACATTGGTGGTTTTGGGAATCCAAGCAAGCTTGTCACAGAATATCAGCAGAGCCAGTTTTCCAAAGGGCTTTGTCTTTGGAACCGCCTCTGCTTCTTTCCAGGTTTGGTTTTGTTTTTCTCTTTCTTCTCTCCTTTACCCTAGGCTACTTAGCAATTCTGTATTAACTCACAAACCGTAGAAAAAAAATTAAACCCATTGCACTAAGTTTCCACTCCAAAAAAGAAAAGCTATCAAACTATTCAACTATTAAGTCTGCATCCAAAGATAGAACAATCCATGAAAGTTTCAGTCTTTCACGTGATGTTACTTTTTTTTATTAGCTTTGTTTTTTTATCATTATCTGTTTCGGGTTTTCTACACCCCAGCCAGCCACAGCCCACGGATCTCCATAATTGAAATTGGCTGGGTTCCAATTGATTTTTTTTACATACATACATACATATATATATATATATATATATATATATTGAATCAAATTAAAAGTTTCTGAGATTGGTTCTCCTTTAGTTCAGTTATCCCATGAACTTCGTCGAAAACCTAGGTAAGTCATTCGACTTACCGTTACTCATCTCCTAATCCTAGGTGATTTATTATGCAAAGAAACCCCTCCTTTTACTATATTTTTTGGATAAACCCCTCTACTTTTCTTTACTTTTGGATTCTGGTCATCGACTTGTCAATTCTTCTTTTTCCTTTTTCTTTTCTTTATGAAATTATCAGAATTTGCTTTTTTTTTTTCGTTTTTAATTTGTTGTCATTGTCATTATTATTTCGGTATTAACCATGCAAGTTTTTTTCTAGATTAATATGTGATCTGGATCCAAAAACAGGAAAAGAAAAAGATATTGAAAAAGTTTTTTTTTATTATGTTGAGCTGGCATTCCTTTTCCAACAGTACTCAAATATGAAGAACCAATAAAAAGAAATTAGATGTGGACCTGGCCGATTCATGTCTCACTTTAGAAGTCATCATACGAATTTGAGTAAATTTTTTTAAAAAGAATTATAATCTGAAAATAAAAAAAAATTAAATATTGAAATTTGAATTTTTAAATTTGAATAAATTTCTTTACTTATATGAAAGGAATAAAATGAAGCGTGCCATAAAATAAAGATTTTTCTTTGCAATTATATCCTTATGGAAATGATTAAGCAAGTAGGAGAAATTGCTAGGAAGTTAACAGTAAACGACACAGTATTTGCTGTTGAAATTAATTAATGTCCAAACATATTAGATTCTCATGCAAATTAAAATTCTTCTGCCGTCCTATGATGACTGTGACAAATCTTAACTTACTGTTGATACCGTTGAGAAAATGTTTTTTTTTTTTTTGTCAGTTTGAAGGAGCAGTGAAGGAGGATGGAAGGGGACCAACTATTTGGGACACATTCTCGCATACTTTTGGTAATAATACTTCTTTTCATGAAGGGAGTTAACCAATCAATTTCACTCTTGCATATACTAACTCTACATATGAAAACATGATGAAAATTTTGAGTTCCAATGCCATTTATTCAAGTATCATTGAACAATGTTAATATCAATACTCTCGTGATCACTGCAGTATATATATGAAACAAGCCTGTAATTTCATTAATTACTGCAGTATATATATGAAACAAGCCTGTAATTTCATTAAGCACAGCTTGAATTCTAATGCAACTTCGGAACCAATTAGAGAAGAAATCCATGGTGTCAAATTGCGACAGTATAATATTTTATCTGCTGATGGTATATGTGAAAGAACAAGATTGCCAGGACAATTAACCATTTCACCTGGCGTTATGTTACAGGTAAGATACTTGATGGTAGTAATGCTGATGTTGCTGTGGATCAGTACCACCGATATCCTGTAAGTGATGATCTTCACAAATGATGCTTTTCCAATGTTCAGTTTCCTCATCAGATACTTCTTTTCCAAAGATTTTTGCATGTTCCTAAAATACGAATGATATGTGATTGATTTTGTTTTCTGGAAACAGGAAGATATAAAACTCATGAAGGACTTGGGGATGGATGCTTATAGGTTTTCATTTGCTTGGTCTCGGATATTCCCTAGTAAGTATTACATTGCTGACACTGTTATTTACTATCATCCTGTTCTTCAAGAAATATTGGTTTGTCATGAAATGTGAAAAAAATTTCTAACATTTTGCCTCGAAACAGATGGTTCAGGAGAAATAAATCAGGCAGGTGTTGATCATTACAATAATTTCATTAATGCTCTACTCGCAGCAGGTATATATGCTTAATTCTGGTTTATCTTCATGAGGTTCAACTCAGATTGAAATGCAGTTCTATAAATAACATGAACTGTATCCTTGACTGTATCTCAAATATGATTCATCAGCCAATATGAAATTAATCAAATTTTATGAATTTCGTACATCTATATTTGTTCATATGTAGAGGCAATTTAAATTGCACGTTAAACCTGCAGGAATTGAGCCATATGTGACCCTTTATCACTGGGATCTTCCTCAAGCGTTGGAGGACAAATACAATGGATGGCTAGATCCTCAAATTATGTAAATAGATTTCTCACACTTGAAGTGATTATAACAAAATATTATTATCTAAACGATTCTCTAGTCTTTCTTTTTGGGGTAGTGATAACAAATGACTTTGTTCATTTGCAGAAAGGACTTTGCAATGTATGCTGAGACATGCTTCAAGCTATTTGGTGACAGGGTGAAACACTGGACTACTTTTAATGAACCTGATGCATTTACAGTACAAGGTTATGATGTAGGTCTCCAACCACCAGGACGCTGCTCCATCATTCTTCATCTCTTCTGCAAGGCTGGAAACTCTGCAACCGAGCCTTACATAGTTGCCCACAATGTTCTCCTTTCTCATGCAACCGCTGTAGATATTTACAGGAAAAGGTACCAGGTAAAATTGAGGACACTATTACTTTTTTCAAATCGGAAAGAAACTAGGCAGAGTTGATAAATTTTGAACCTGAAAGATACACATGCAAGTATCATGAGGAATTCACATTATGTACAATATGAGCAATCATCTAATTAAGAGCAATTTGTGACTGTGCAGGCAAAACAACATGGATCAGTTGGGGTATCATTTAATGTTATCTGGTATGAACCAGAGAGTAATTCAACAGAAGACATTGAAGCAGCTCAAAGAGCCCAAGATTTTCAGCTTGGCTGGTAACTGCAAGTCTGCAATCATTTTGAACTTTTTTGCACTCTTTAGCTTAGAGTTAGAGTTCACAATATACGAGAATTGACAGCTACTAATCAGTTAGAACTTGGGTTTGATTTTGTTACACTTCTGAAACTGATTGTGTATCCTATACATCATGCTTTCCTCTCATAGTAATCAAGTTATCTTGTCCTATGGTGATGCAATGCTTGGATGTCTGCAGGTTTTTGGACCCATTGATCTTTGGAGATTATCCAAGCTCAATGATAACCAGAGTAGGAAGCCGATTGCCAAGGTTTACTAAAGCTGAGTCCGTTCTTCTTAAGGGGTCTTTGGATTTTGTAGGCATTAATCATTACACAACCTTTTATGCAAGAGAAAATAAAACTAATGCAATTGGCCTTATACTGAATGACACCGTAGCAGACTCTGGTGCCTTTACATCACGTAAGTAAACATCCTTCTAATATTTTTTTTCTTTTGTAATCTTGTTTTCTCATCTGGGTTTTATTGCATAGAAAATTAAAAGAATGGACATACAAAGATATTTGGTTCACCCTTTAGAATTGATTATTTGTTGTGTTGCTATGCCTATGCTAGCCACTAACTGAGGATACTGCTTTTTTTCTTAATGTATGCAGCTTTCAAAAATGGGAAGCCCATAGGAGACAAGGTAACAGACGCCAAATTTTTGCCTATTGTTTAGGAACAACTAATTCTGACAAATATATATTCTTCTTGTTGAATGAATATGATGCTTCATTTCCCCATTTGAGTAATCATGTGCTGCCAGATGGAAAATCTGATGACATATGTGAAATCATTGTCCTTATCGTTCAATGTCAAATTGCAGGCAAATTCTATATGGATATACATTGTACCCCGTGGTATGAGAAACGTAGTGAATTACGTCAAAGAGAAGTATGGAAACCCTCCGGTCATTATCACAGAAAATGGTAATGTTCTTAGATTTTAAAAGGAAGTTTAGAGGATGTTAATGTAATAATGTACTATGGAAGTTAAGTTCTTCCATGTCCGTTAAAGTTAATAGCAACTTTCATTTGTAGATCGCCTTTAACTAGAAGATGTCAAAAAAAATTACTTCTTTGTGTATTGTTATTACAGGTATGGATGACGCAAATAGCCCACTTATCACCATTAAAGATGCTCTGAAGGATGAGAAAAGAATCAAATTCCACAATGATTACTTAACTAACCTGCTAGCTGCTATCAAGTATGAAACAATGCCTTACCTACATCTATGGTCAAATGTTACATATTATATGATCATATCTTGAGGTTTAATTTCCAAATTTCTAATGACTAAATGCAGGCAAGATGGTTGCAATGTTAAAGGGTATTTTGTCTGGTCTCTACTAGACAACTGGGAGTGGGTAGCCGGGTACACCTCAAGATTCGGTCTATATTTCGTGGACTATAAGGACAACCTCAAGAGATACCCCAAGGATTCTGTCAAATGGTTCAAGAACTTCCTAGCGTCTGCTTAAAAATGGAGAAATCAATCTCAGCTGTAAGTTTCCAAGACAACTTGTAGTCACAAATTGCACTTTATAGAACAGTTGTCAAAGAAGCAGTTGTAAGACAATTGAAAGATGAAAATTCAATTCCAAAACTGTTCTGATTCTTATGGGGAAAACTTTTTGTGACAGCTTGAAAATTTTATTTCAGTCTGCATCAAATTACCATCATCACATATCAGAGTTTCAATTAGAATATCTGTGTTTTGGAAGGCTAGAATACTTTTCATAGTCATTCCAGAGAAGCAAGTTCACAGGAGGTGAATTTTTTAACAATTTCTTATCCTGGACAGTCAAAAAGTTGCATTTATTCATTATGTTACACATTTTAACAAGCTTATGTGCATGCGGTTATCAAAAGCAGTTATCATTGCCTTAACTTGGAAATTGCTTGCTCTCATAAACGCTACCAAATATCCAATCAGCTGGTGCAAAATGGATTGCACCATTTTACCATCACTAGTAGTCACTCGAAAAGACAAGCTTTGCCCGATGAACTCAGCTGCAGCTTGCCAATTCTGGCCCCAATTTCATGACATTTGAATCCATGTTGTGGCTGAATCACATTCTCCTCCGGCCCCAACATTGTACACTAACACCAGTATCATCGGTTTGCCTTAATTTCGAACTTAACACCACCAGATTTGACGTAAAGAACACGCTTATACAGGACAGGAACAATGCCAGCTTTATAAAGAGCAATTTTTCGGAACATTGGTTGGGATAGATCTAAGTGTTGCCTTAGTGGATTGTACCAATTTCTTTCAGGTTTGCTGTAGTTTGGAGGGCAAAAGTTTGTGGCAGTTGCAATGATGGTGTCGTTTAGGCACCATTGTACCAAGTCGTGGCACCGGATTTCATAGCAGCGTCCACAGGTTAGACCATTATTGAAGAGAGCTGTGCTTAAAGCTGTTGTTTCAAGGCGATAACCTTGTTTTCCTATATCACCATAGACACAAGCACCCTCTATATGCATACCATAAGAGATACTTTTAGTATTAGACATGAATTTGAGAATATAAGATTCTTACACAAAAGAAACTGGATTATAACTTATTCATGGTTTCAGTCCCTTGCATGTGCTATATTCCAATCCTGATGTGATTGTTACCCAGCAATCCTGACCAAGCACAAACCCAAGAGCATAACCACAAAAATAGAACCCCCACCGGTAGGGTTGGCAGCCCAACCTAGATCTGACGGATTCCGACCTGACTCGACTTAATAAAATCAAAATTTATTTTTTTAAGTAAGATTTTAGGTCGAGTCGAGTATTATTAAGAAAAAATTAATATTGGGTCGGATTCGAGTTTTAAACATATATTTATATATTTATATTTTAAAAAATAATATTTTATTAATTTCAGATCGGATCGAGTACGATTTATATAATATCGGATTTGGCTCAGGTTCGGAGTGAACAAAAACTCATCCCAACCCAACCCGTTGCCAACCCTACCCACCAGCCATGTTACCTCTCCAGCTTGTATTTGTAATTTACTGCTTGAATTGCTAAGGAAAAGCTGAAATTAAGTACTAATACAAGCAAATATTTGAGCAAATAATAACAGGGGGGAATCAAAAGTTATCAAACTTTTGCCAATTTTTTATTTGTTTAGTAAAAAATAGTTCAAATATCAAGTATTTGCTTGTTCTCTATCAAACCACCATAGCCAAATGGTTTTTACCAAATTGAAGAGATCAACTCAATTGTTAACTTGCATTAACATGGATAATTAATTATTCTATTAAATAACATGAAAACATAAATATTCTAATCATATATATATATATATATATTAAGATATGATCTCACTTATGAATTTTTACTTATTCAAAAGTATTTGTTTTCTCTTGTAATTAAAAACCATTTATTTCCTTTTTTTTTTCAAAATTTTTCACTTGTGTACTGATTGCTACAAAGGGTATTATTAAATGGAGGAAAAAATTACTAAAAAAATTATCAAATACATAGTAGTAGTTGAATAATTGATCTACAAAATGGAGGGGGAAAGACATCTTTTGAACTGAAAAAAAAGATGGAAAAGAAAGTAGATATTGGGCTGTGCTGGTTTGACAGCAGTTGGCCCAATTTATTTCATGGAAATTGGAAACCTCAAACCGTTAGGCCTGAAGACAGAAGCTTAACATTTTAGCAGCCAAGCCATGGCAACAGGCAAAACAGTGACAGACTTATGCCTCACGAATTCGTCAAGGCTCACGCTGCTCACCTCAAAGTTCTGGCCTCTCTCTCTCTCTCTCTCTCTCTTTTGTTGTTCCATTAACATATTTTGTCTAAATTTTGTGTTCCTTTTAAGACATTGTTGTCTTTTTGTTGCTTCACATGTCTTTTGGAAATTTATGTACAGATTAAATGGCATGTTATATTCATGGTTTCTAGTCCTTTTAAAACCTTAATTTCTTATAGACTGTTTTATATTTGAAGTTAACCTCTTTTGATGAAGTTGACTTACCTCATGTTTTTTCCATTGGGAATTGTGTAATTCACAAATGGAAACATACCCAATTTTGTGACTGTTTTATTATGTGTAATAACTTCGATTATGATGGTTTTATTGCATTGCTGTTTGATTGTTGCCAAATGCCAATGGTCCAAACTTACATGCAACTGTGATGTGTTTTTTTTTTTTTTGGATAGATTGATCAGCTTCCTCCATGGACTGATATATTGTCAAGACTGCTACCTATGACCCTGAATGATACTATGTCAGAGCTGGTTTGTGTATCATCCTGTGTATCAACATCAGTTTTTACATGTTGTTTTGTTTTCATCTCTTCTTGTGCTTATGTTTTTTGTCCCTTTAATTTGGGCACTCCAGCATCTATGGCAAGGAAAAGATGTACTTGAGACATGATCTTGGGTGTGTTGGTGCTTTTCGAAGGACATATGGTGAGAGCAAGAGGAACGGATGTTGCCCTCCCCGTTTTGGAGTAGTGGTGCTATTGCCCACCACATGCTTCAACAATTGCAGAATGTGAATATCCTTTTTCCTCTCGCTTTGCTAAGATATTTTTACTTTCCGCCCTGTTGTGTTTTATGAGAATGTTGACATTGGTGAGCTATGATCATGCGTATCCTTTCATTCAAAAATCATGTGATTCCTTGCCTTTTATATCATTGACCTGGACTTTGAGTAAGCCTTTGTAATTAGCCTCGAATCCACTGGCATAATAAGCAGCTTTGCCAACTTTGAACGCATGAAGAACTCTAGGCATCTAGCACATGCAGTTCGGCTTCCACAGCAAGGGAACCGAGCAACTTTATTATGTAGATTGTCTAGATGGATTTCCGTGCTTGGGATGTTAAATAATTCGCTTCAAATTTTGAGTATGATTCTGATCAATCTTAACCTTTTGTTCACATCCAATAGCCAGCGAGACCTTGATCAGGTTGTTGGGCGGATAGTTGTTGTCCTTGATCAATGAGTTCTTGGTGGTTCTACTATACAATGCAACAATTCTTATTGTTTGTCTGTTTCTAGATCCAGGTCGAATCACTGTAAACTATGGTTGATTTTATCTAATCAACAGCTTCAATAAAGTATTTCTTAGAAGTTTGGCCAGCATTCCTTAAAGTTTTATCATATTCCAACTTGGTTTAATTAAGAACATACGATTTCGACTTGAATTATTTGTTACTTAATTCTTGAGTGCAACTTCCAAAGCTAAATTACCTTAAGTTCCTCTTTTTTGGCATTATATACACAATTTTAAACCAAAATTTCGATTTCATCATTTTCTATTTCTTGGAATGAAGATGATGCCCCAACTTACAAACAAGAAGCATCATCATTGATGGTAGTTTCCAAATCAATTCCAAGGCCAGCTTGATCGTTGAATTCTTCATTGACCTGTCAAATTATTAAGTTGCTGATATATTGTTGACATCAAAAAATGATCATATATGTTAAATCACAGTGATCTCATTTTCTTGTATATTTCGATATGTTTTTTTAATACAAATGTCAGTTATCATGTACGTAAAATATGGTTGATTTGAATGTGCATCACTAATGGTTATGGATTAATTAAATTTGTAAAAATCGAATATTTGATATGACTTAAATTTGATTCTCATTATCAACAGTATATAATTTATAAATTTAATATGAAATTTTGTTTAATATAATCCTAAAATAAAATGTTTTTACCAAAAAATACGATTGTCCATCAATTCAACCCTTAAACTACTGAATCTTCATAAATCAAAATAAAATGATATATAAATTTGCAGATGAAGCTCCCTTTGAATCACATCAATTGCTAGAAAAGTGGTCCCTAAGATAGTAACCAACTTTAAACCAGGCAATTTCTCTGTCACACTCTCTCGTTTAATATTTAACAAAATCAACTTGTAGTGAGTTACATATCTGGCCTTGAAACAGCTTCTGAATACTCTGAATATTCCCACTTTTTTACTTTTTTGTATAAGAATATATAGGTCTATCTCAACCACCATAAACTATTCAGCTCATTTCCTTCTATTTGGAGTCTCTTAATTTTTTTTTCCTTTTTTTTTTCTCTTGTCTTCGATATCACTCCAACCCTCCATACCCATGTGGACTTCTTTTAACTATTTCATACAAATTTCCCTTTCAGTTTCTTTTTAGTAAAGATTAATAAAACCCATTTGTTTACTTATAAAGTTCAACTAACTCCCATAAATTATGGGTTTTTTTTAAGATGATCTAAATTTCATACAATAATACTTGCATTTTATGAAATAATATAATTACCATGCAATGCAAGCATCCAAAATTTACGACTAAATTATTAAAAGAATTTCTGAATTTTACTACTTTATGTATATAAATTGTTATTTATTTATTTATATTTACCTAGCTTTTTTAAGCTGTACAATGTACGAAATTTTTTATTATATTTTTAATAATTTTAAATTTATTTTTTAATTATTTATCTAATATCTAATAATGTATTTATAAATGTCAAGTTACATTAAAAGATAATTTATATATAATACATTATAAATGATATTGTTCATTTAAAAGAAGTTTAAACTTTTGTAAATTTTCAAGAATTATAAAAATCCTTTTTTTATTAAGAAATATTTTCTTCAATTTATTTGCTAAATACTAAAAATTTGGCTATCGCTTTTTTTTATTTAATAAAAAATTAAGAATCAATATTTAAATAGTTAAGATTAATAATTGTTTTTATTATAATGTTAATTAGGTGGTGTATATATATATATATATTTGATTAAACAACAAATCATAATTATTAATTTTGCTATAATTATTTGCTTTTTATTAATTCTTATTTTTGATATACTTTAAGTAATTATTACACAAATATATTGGACTAATAATTATTTCTATATAAGTCAACAAAATAAAGTTATTTTTTAGATAAAAAGGAAATAATAATTCTTTATGTTATGCTTAAAAACATTTTTTTGAAATATTTTTTATTTTTAATATAATTTCTAGTATTTTTTGCGAGTTAGATATGGTAGTGATCCTCATTCTTCTCATATCATCCATTATAGACAAAGAAATTCAATAATAAAAAAATATAGTAAAAGGAAATAAAAGATAAAATTTACATATTAATTTGTCAAAATTAAATATATACAATAACAAAAGCAAATATGTTAATAAATTAACAGAGAATAAAAACATTGAAAAAATGAATAAAACAAAAAATATATATAATATAAAAAGTTAATTATAATCAATCTAAGCAAAATTAAAAAAAAGTTATGGGCTAAAGAGAAATAAATAAATTAACCAAATAAATAATATAAAAATATTTGAATTAGAACATAAATAAAACATTTATTTGTTTTCAAAGCAAAAACATATTTTTATCTAATTTTTTATCAATATTTAAATATATCATATTTTTATATAAAGATATAAGCTTTTATTATTTTAAAAATACATGCTTTCTAGTCAATAATTCATTAACTTACCTAAAGCATTAAATTTAAATAATCTATTAAATAATTTTTAATTTTTGATAAATTTTTATTTGAATTTAAATAATTATCTAAAAATATTAAATTTAAATAATTTATTAAATAGAATTATTTGACTAAAAATAAAATTTTATTAAATATATATATTTAGAACCGTCATTAGATTTAAAAAGAAAAGATAAATTATGATTTAATATATTCGAATTCAAATCTTATACAAAAATTTCAATCTTAGATAGATATTGATTTTAATTTAAATATTATCCAAAATATTGAATTTAAATAATTTATTAAAAAATTTTATTTGATAAATGAAATAATGTGTCATTAAAAGAGATTATCCACCTAGGCATCCACATAAGTAATTTCAATCATGTAATCTTGTATGTTGTAATATAATATATATATATATATATTAGATTATACCTTTGTTTCAAATAAAAAATTTATTTATATTAAACATTTATTTAGATACAAATTAAAAGATAAAAACTTATTTGGATACAAATTAAAATTTACGAACTTATTTGGATGCAAAGTAAGGTTGAAAACTTATTTGAGTGTAATAAAAGTATAAAGATTTATCTAAATAAAATGATAAAATTAAAAGAATGTTTATTATTTTAATTTAAAATGATAATTATCTTGATAACAAAATATATATATTAAAAAAAAAAAAAACATGATCCTTCGGTTTAACAGATGCTTATAGCTGCTAAATAGGGATGGTTAAAAGGGTTTTGTAATCCAACGATTCTTTTCAAAGTTAGTTAACATGCTATTTATAGTAATATATTGGTATTTAAAATAATTAATGTGATTTTTTTAAAATTACAAGTATAAGTTATAATTATAATTAAATATTATATTCATAATTATTAAATAATCAAATAAATAAATTATTCAATAAATTAAAATATAATTAAACAAATTCAACGTAAAGTTGAAACAAAATCATACACAATAAAACTTGAATTTAAAACCTTGAAGTTTTAAAGCTTTCTCCTTACTGTTAAACCAATGCCTCTGCAACATGATCATTTTAACACAATAAAAAAAATAATTTTCTAATATTATAACTTTAAAAGGTGATGCTAGAACACTTTTGGATAAAATTTATTAATTCCATATAATATTTTTAAAGGGATAATATCATGAATGATTTTTAAGATATAGTAAATATTTAATGTAATTTGTTAATTAATATAGTACATTGAGAGCTATTTGGACATGTAGGAATGACAACTCAATCTATTTTTAATGGATTCTTCATAGGATTAATTTTTTTTTTAAATCGAATTTTGAGTTGGATCAAATAATAATAAAAAAATCAAAGTTAAATTTTAGACAAATCCGTTTTGTCTTGATCCAATATTTATAAAAATTAATTTTTAATTAATTAATTAATTATATATATATTATTTTTTATATTTATTTAATTTTATATTTATAAAAAATAAATATTTTATATTAAAAATAATATTTTATTAATTTTAAATTTAATCAATCAAGTATGATTTTATACAATATCGAATCGAATATAAAAAAATTTATCAAATAAGATCTATGAATATAAAATTAAGTTAAATTTGAGACGAATAAAAATTTTTTTTGTTCGAATCTGTTGATATTTTTAATCACATATCATCGTTTGAAATAAAATTATATTAAAAATAAATATCCTATTAATTAATAAATTTGTAATTTAAATATTATATTAAAAATTTTAAAATTTAAATGCTGCAAAATTTCATTATAACTAAAAAACTATTCCTAAACACTAATTAACTTACAAAAAAAATTCAACACCCAAAACTCAAAAGGAAATTAAAAGATTGACCACTTCTTTCCATGTGGGAACAAAACTGAACTTCGTGATTTTAACTGCAAAAGTAACCAGATCTGGGTTTTGTCATTATGTTAATTATTTTGCCTTTCCATTCAAAAAAACAAAAAAAGCTTTTTAACCCCTCCCCCCCCCTCTACACGTAGACACAGGGACACAAAAACAAAAGCTTTAACATACTTTGAATAATTAATTAATAAAATTGTTGGTAGTTAAGTGTTCGATTTTGATGGGTTAATGAAACAGAAAAAGTGTAGGAATATTGTTATAATTTATTTTTTATAAAAAAATGTGCAATGGGCCGTGGAACGGTAAAAGTACTTCCTTGGTTGGATCTTCGAGGTAAGTTAGGTGACTATATATACAGTGGAAAGGTCTTAGATCTCCTCGTTCTTCACCTCAAGATCTTTCCCATTTCCCTCCCTCTTCCTTTCTTCTTCTTCCTCACCCAGATTTTCTTTCTTTTCTTCCTTTTTTTTTTCTTTGATCTAACAGCTCAAGACCCAGAAAGGTAAATCTCCATTTTCTTCATTATTTTGGTTCTTACTTCATTTCTTTTTGGGTTTATGGTATTTGGGTTTTGTTAATTGGTGGATCTGTTGTTGGTACCATTGTTTTTTTGGTTAGATCTCATGGTTAAATGTGTTTACTGAAATTTTTGTTTGCTGTTAAAATGAATTACTTAATTGGCTGCATTTTTGTTCTAGTCTTTTAATGTTCTTTTTTTTTTTTTTTTCATTTGGGAAACCACAGATCTGATTTCTTTCACTATTTCATCAATATTTGGCTTGTATTTTGTTCTTTGAATTAAGCTTTAAAACGCCAACTTTTGTTTGTTAGAGAAATTCATTTTTGTTTGCATGAGAAATAGAGCTCAGATAAGCAACGTATGGCCGACACCATTATTTGCTAATTCCGACGTTTAATTCTTAAATTGGACGTTTTTATGTTGCAGGATATTGAAAATGGTGAAGATCTGTTGCATTGGAGCTGGATATGTCGGTGGGCCTACTATGGCTGTCATTGCACTGAAATGCCCTGAAATTGAAGTGGCTGTTGTGGATATTTCTGTGTCAAGAATTAATGCCTGGAATAGTGATGCGCTCCCAATCTACGAGCCGGGTCTAGACGAGGTGGTGAAGCAGTGCAGAGGAAAAAACCTTTTCTTTAGTACCGATGTGGAGAAGCATGTTTCCGAGGCTGATATAGTGTTTGTTTCGGTTAACACCCCAACCAAAACTCAAGGTCTTGGAGCTGGGAAAGCGGCTGATCTGACCTACTGGGAGAGTGCTGCTCGTATGATTGCTGATGTATCGAAATCTAACAAGATTGTGGTTGAGAAATCAACAGTTCCTGTTAAAACAGCCGAGGCAATAGAGAAAATTTTGACCCACAATAGCAAAGGCATCAACTTTCAGATTCTCTCGAACCCTGAATTCCTTGCTGAGGGAACTGCAATTCAGGACCTATTCAATCCTGACCGAGTTCTTATAGGAGGCAGGGAGACTCCAGAAGGTAAAAAGGCAGTAGAAGCATTGAGGGATGTTTATGCCCACTGGGTGCCTGTGGACCGGATCATATGCACCAACCTATGGTCCGCTGAGCTGTCAAAGCTTGCTGCCAATGCCTTCTTGGCACAGAGAATCTCTTCTGTTAATGCTATGTCAGCATTGTGTGAGGCGACTGGTGCTGATGTGAGCCAAGTGTCTCATGCAGTTGGGAAGGATACAAGAATAGGACCCAAGTTCTTGAATGCTAGTGTGGGTTTTGGTGGATCTTGTTTCCAAAAGGATATTCTGAACTTGGTCTATATCTGTGAGTGCAATGGCCTCCCAGATGTAGCAAATTACTGGAAACAAGTCATTAAGGTGAATGACTACCAGAAAACTCGTTTTGTGAACCGAATTGTTTCCTCAATGTTTAACACAGTTTCAGGGAAGAAGATTGCCATTCTTGGATTTGCTTTCAAGAAGGACACTGGTGACACAAGGGAGACCCCAGCAATCGATGTGTGCAAAGGGCTGTTAGGTGACAAGGCTAGACTGAGCATATACGACCCTCAAGTCAATGAAGAGCAGATTCAGAGGGATCTTTCAATGAAGAAGTTCGATTGGGACCATCCAGTTCATCTTCAGCCAATGAGCCCTACTTCTATCAAGCAAGTTAGTGTTGTTTGGGATGCCTATGAGGCAACTAAGGATGCTCATGGGATTTGCATTCTGACAGAGTGGGACGAGTTTAAAACCCTGGATTACCAAAGGATTTATGAGAACATGCAGAAGCCTGCGTTCGTCTTTGATGGCCGGAACATAGTGGACGTAGCTAAGCTGAGGGAAATTGGGTTTATTGTCTACTCCATTGGCAAGCCATTGGATCAATGGCTTAAGGACATGCCTGCTGTGGCATAGATCGAATTCTGAAGCAACTTGTGTGGGGTCGAGCTAGAACTGATAATTGAGAGACGTACAACCCCATGATATATCTTTTTTCCAATTACATTTTACTTCTAGTTTTAAGATTCCGCCATTTCCACATATACTGGGTTACTTGACACAGTAGTGTCTATTTGTCTTTAGCCGGTAGAATATCTGATTGGTTATTGGCTTAATGTAATAAGACCTTTACCAGTGATTTTATACCAGTTATCTTATGCACGAATCATGATACTTGTTCATTGAATTACACAGTTTCTGAAACTGATGTGAATTTTCTAATGATGTTGCTCGGAGATGTTAGATTATTCTTGGTCACGAGGTGTTGATTTGATGTTGCAACTATCCTCTGAATAAGATTAACTGAGCAAATACCAATTCATTAAAGTTCTAGGTTTGCTTACACGAAAAGTTGAAAGGTTTTGTTCTAATTGTTGCTTTAAAAAAAATGAACTGAAAAGGAATGACATTGAGCAAAAAAACAAAAAGCATTAATATTCATATCTTAATTAAGTCCGAAATAATGTACAGGTCTCTTAATGGGTGTTGAAGTTTTTGGCAAGTTAGGAATTCAATGCATGGTGTCAAGTACAGAGAGATGACCAAAATTACAGGTTGAAGCTTTCTTTCCACCCCATGGATTAAAGCCCAAAGCAATGGTAACAATTATTGGTTATTACTTATTAGTACTACGTTTTACCTAATTTAGGCAGCATGAGGGATTGGTAGCCAAAATTGCCTGGAATAAAGGGCGGCAGCAGCCAAAGGACTTCCTTTCGCTAGATTTTAATTAAGATTGACGTCAATAGAATCCTAACCCTATAAGCCCATTGGAAGCTCTGTTAATTACATCTAGGATAGCCGCATTTGACCTTTCATGCTTTGATGGGATGGTTTGAAATTTAAATTACATTATTGATTATTAATTGAATTTAAAATTAAATTAAATTAATCCGTACAATTATTTTTTTAAAAAATTATTAAGTTTAGATTTTAAATTTTAATATGTATAATTTTTTTATTTATTGTTGATTTATGATGTGAATTCTTAAATATTATTCAACCTTGTAATTTTTTTTTCTATTAATTTTTTTTACATGTGATGTTAAATAATATTTTTTTAAAAAATTTATTTAATAATAAAATAAAATTTGATTTATTTTATTAATAAAATGATATTATTTAATTTATTAATAATATATAAAATTTATATATCCACAATGCCTCAAATATAAATTCAATATAAATTCTAACCGTTAATGTAGCTTTTATGATTAAAAAAATCTCTTCAATAATTAAATCATTGCTTATGTTTTTAAGTAAAGCTGTGTTCAATATATATTTCCCTGATATATGATATGGATGGTAAATTGATTTTTTTTTTAGAAAAGAAAATTAGAAAATAAGATGTTATGATAATTTAAAATAATAATAATAATTAGGAAAAAATAGTAAAATATGATTATTTTAATTTATTATTCTATATTATATTTTTCTAAGGACCTTTAGGTATTTTCAATGAGAAGCGGACCGGTTTAGCTTAAATACGGTCCAAAAGATTTTGGTATCCATAATTAACCCAATCCGGTTTGCCTATTGGACCGCCTCCTATACAAAAAGCCCTAGAACCGTGCTCTCTCTTCTTCTTATCGCCTCTTAACCCCTTTTCTCGATCCCCAAATTAACCAGAAAATCTATCTCCGATTTTCTCATAATTTCTTTCTCTAATCTGTAAATCACGTAAATATCTTTTCAATTCTCGTTCTTCCCTCTCGATCGATCTCTCTTTCTTTTGCGGCCGTTGATTTTACGCTTTTCTAGGGTTAGGGTTCTTCGATCTCCTCGATCTAGCCCTTTTTGCTCCTTCATATCTGGTGGGTTTTAGTTTTCTCTTCGATTTATATTGATTTTCCATTTTGATTGGGTCTAATTTTTCAAGATCGTTCTCGATTCGTTTTCTTTTTAGGGTTTAGATCTGTCGGTTCGTTAGGGTTCGTATCTATCTGTGAATTCCTAGGGGCTTTTGGTGTCTTCAGTGCGGCGTGATTGCTTTGAGGAGTTTTGTGCAGCGACTTTATCGTTTCCTCGGCGAATTGGGAATTTAGGGTTAGGGTTTTCTAGTAAATTTGGGGCTTCTCCTGGTAGTCAAAGTAACTAGGGAAAACGCGTTTTTCTGTAGTGAAATCAATTTTAGTGCGTAATTAAGTGCTATCCTGGTCTCAATTGAGGCTTCTAGGAGGTTTTAATTAATCCCTTGTTTTTTTGAGCGCCACTTCTAGCAGCTTAAGATTTCTATTCAACACAATTTAGAGGTAATTGACTTCGCTAATTTATTATTATTATTTTTTTACCGTTGTTAAGTGGTTAATATGTTAATTCTTGCTTTTATCACTCATAATTTACTAATTGTCGATTTATTAACCCTTTTAGCTCACGATGCAGAATGAAATTATTTAATTATAAATGGCAAAATTCCTTTCTTTTTGGTTATGTTCTACTTGTACAGTGAAATGGCATTTGCATTGTAATTAATACTAATAGCATGGTGCTTTCAAGCACTGTTACATCGAAGTTTTCTTTAGTTAAAAACGAGTTTCAAGTTAATTGTATGTTTATTACTTGTATTAAGTATGTTGTGACATATGCTTAATCTTGAAGTACTCTTTTTTTTTTTTTTGGTTTGCTATTGCATGTGTTTTTTTTTGTCTTACATTGTGTCACTGAGCATTTGCTGTTAAACTCTGTGATTGATTTGCTTTCTATCTTTATTAAAATTATTATTATCTTACCTTCCCTTTATAATTAATTGTTTGTCCCACAGGTGGTAAATGGGATATAAGCGGCCTTTTGACAATGAGGAGCTGCAAGAGCTTCCTTTCAAGAATCCAAGACAGTTTGACTATAGCAACAAGCTGACTCAGTTTGCTGATACTATTCCCTGTAGTAATACTCCTCAGAAACCTAATATTTCAGGTAATGTGTTCTGTGACTGTTCTTTTTTTTTATGAATGATTCATATTCTGCTGCATGGGTTTAATATTGATGTGATCCTCCTCTGTGTGATACAGTAGTTGTTGAGGGTGGATTTTGTAAATACCAATGGGATGAAGCATTTGAATCCTATGCTCTTAATGATGTTACTCATTTGGTTGACAAGGATTTTGAGAGTGGTGCTCCCTTATCTTTGGTCACTCGCACTTCTAGTGAGGAAGATAGAGGTACTGAGGCAGCAGCTATTTTGCCTGTTTCTCCAGAATATTTTGACTTTGATTTCCCACGAAGAATGTTTACTCCTGTTGAGGATGCCTATTATTTACTCGTGGATCGGTCTCCTCGAAAACAAGTTCCGCTTGGGCCAAATCATCAAGCCTATGTTCCATCGTGGGACAGGCACATTAAGAAGGATAAGTTTGCTCAGAATGATACACTGGACACCACTGATAATGACAATGAAGAGATTGTGATGGGAACATGTGTCATTCCAATGCCTGACTCAGATTTATCCACAAACAACAGTGGCAAAGTTGGTGCTGGCAGAACTGACTGTAGCTGCCTGGATAGGGGCTCTTTGAGATGTGTGCAACAGCATGTCATGGAGGCACGGGAAAAACTACGAAAATCCCTTGGGCATGAAAAATTTGTGAAGCTGGGGTTTTATGACATGGGAGAGGATGTAGCATATAAATGGAGTGAAGAAGATGAAGAGATCTTTCGTGAGGTTGTTTACGCTAATCCTTTATCTTTGGGTAAGAAGTTTTGGAAGCACTTGACAGTGGTTTTCCCATCACGATCCAAGAGGGAGCTTGTCAGCTATTATTTCAATGTCTTTATCCTTCAGAGACGAGCTGTTCAGAACAGATCCAGTATTCTAGACATTGACAGTGATGATGATGAGTGGTATGGAAATCAACAGGCTTATGAAGTTCAAGCTTTAGAGGAAGATGAAGACTCTGCTATTGAGTCTCTTGCCGATCAGGAAGATCTGGCAAACCATGGAAGAAGTTGTCTTGATGGTGATGATGATGATGATGATGACAATGATGATGATAATGGTGACTCTAATGGTGATATTGATGTTGGAGATTATAGCAGTGCTGAAACCAGAGAGGATTATGGTGTAAATCTTTTGTTAAAAGGACATGTCGCAAAGTCATTTGATGGGAGCAGGTTTGATCCTATTTTTCAACAAACAGACAATGTTTCGGAGAGAGAGGAAGATTTCAATGTACAGGATGACTCATGCATGTCTTTTGAGTTTCAGCCAAACATGGGTGACTCTCATAGTCTGATCGACACAAAAGCCAATTTGCATGTTAGTGGAATGAAGACTGAGCTTAGCAAGTGTTTACAGAGTAAACTAGATGGGTCTAGTGAACTGGTGAGCCATGTGTATTTATTGGACACTTGTGATGCGAAAATCTGGGATGGTAGGTATCCTACGGCTTCAACAAAAGGGATTGATCTCCAGCCCACATGCAACATTATTGAAGAGATTTTTGGACAAGACGCATGGGACAACCAGAGAGAGAAATGAGTAATCATCAGATAGTGGCTCTTGAAAAGTCCCTAAGATTTTGGTTTTTATTTTTTCTTCTTTTCTATTTCCCGGCAAATTCATTTACCAAATGTATTTTGCTTCTGCATGTTAAAGTGGTCTTAATGGGATCTTTCTGCTTTTGTAAATGACACAGCAATACAGCCCTCTACCTTTCTCCGGAGTCCAAAAGCTGAGGGTAGTCCATTCTTGGATTCTTGAGCTCAAATTTGTTAGAATCTTTCTGTGGATAAAGTAACCGTGATTGAATGGCATTGACTTGTATAAAAGTATCGGTGTTGCCTTGTATATACCTAGCTCTTGTAGAGGCTTTCATCTTTTGCTATGTTCTATTATTTTTACAGAAGAAAATAAAGTTGAGGATGGTTCATCATTCATGTTTATCATGGTGATCTTTATTTCTTGATTGTGTTCATGCTTGGCCGTGCTTCTTCACGTATTCCTCATTCTAACTGGTTAGACTATAACTTCGAAGCAGTTGACATATGAGGTCAACATAAAAGGAAGTTCCAAGCTCTAGTTTTGGTTTACAGCTAAGTTTGGGACACAAGTGAGAGGAAGAGAAAAACCCTTCCCAGCCAGAATAAACCTGATAAGTTTTAGTTCTCAATCCTCTGTATTAGCATTGCGTGCTAAACGGGATACATATATGTCAAGTCATCTTAACCCATCAAAGTTATTAGTAGGAAACCAACTCAAATAGTCATTTTGCTTAGTCCTTTTCATAATCATCTTTCAGCACTCAACAGGCCAGTATGTATTTTAGTCGTGCCTTTCAAACTGACTTCACTTTATTGGCCTCATTATCAGTGGAAATCGTCTTCTTTATCTCCAAAGTCAAGCTTTCAAAGATGGTATTGACTTTCAAAACTTGGGAAAATTTTTACTCGGTTTTTTGGCCCCCTTTTGTTCAGCTCCAAATATGATATCTTTACTCCAAAGAATAAAATAAAGAAAAGAACCCAATGCCCTGTGTCACCTTGAATCCAACCCCAATTATCTAATGTCAAAGAAACCTACAACTTGGTAAAAAAAAATGTTGGATACTAAAACAAAAGCCAATTCTCCTCTCTTTTTTTCCCTTTTTTTTTTCACTCCACCTTTGAAAAACCTTAAAGGGTGGTTAAATATGACCCTTCCATGATCAACTTTTGCATTAGTTCCACTTTCTTGAGGAATTTATGGGGCAATAATTGTTGGTCCAGGGTGAAGTTATTAATCAAAAGTTAAGTCCTCCGACCTCAGTGCACACGTAAAAAATGAACCTAGTCAAGGAAGTTACATTGCACGACAGGCACGGGGGCAGAGAATACTAAATAAAGAAAAGATAAAGTGGGATTGGCACATCATATTCACATTTGAGATCAGCACAAGAAGGCCTTGACTTGATCTTGGATGAGATATATTTTAGGGTTCAAATTATGAATCATTTATATTTAGGCATATCATTTAGCTGTGACATTGCTGCTTGAATTTCAAGTGAACTATTGTTGTTTTTCAGTGTTTGGTGAGATGTGGCACAGCTGAGCATGGACAATAACACTATGCTTTTCCAAGTACATTATTCCCATTACTCCAAACTATGGATTATCAATTTTCTTTTTGGGTACATAACTTAGACAATCATTTTACCATCAAATTTCCTTTTTCTAGCAAATACCCTTTTTTATGAATGGGTTACAGTTTTTGGCATTTGGCTTAAGTTAGCCATTATAGATAATGGAAACCAATCAATAGTGATAGCCATGATTTAATGTCCAATGGCTCTCTAATATTAAAGATGCAGCCCATTTTTAATCCAAGATATACCCAAAAATAATTTTACAGGAATAACATAATTAAAAACTTAAATTTAATTGTACATTTTATTTATATTTAAAATTATCATGATTTTAACTCTAATAATTAAAACTATGAGTCTAGTACTCTGTAAATAGATCATACTACTATTGACAATTTAGCTATAATTTTCGTATGAAAAATATGTGAAAGTTTGACTGTTTGATTCTGTCAAAGGTAGCATGAACATAGAATTCCCAATATATGATTCTGTCAAAGGTAACATAGAATTGAACAAATGCAAGAAAAATATATTTAAAAAGAAAAAAAATTGAGAAGAGAGATAAAGAAAAATGGAAGGCCAACCATAATGTAACCTCTTTGCATATGCATGATCCCTTTTAGTGGAGGCAAATGCAGGAAGCTGAAAGCCAAATAACGGTTGGAGATTCTGACCTTTCACTTGTGTGAGCTTGCAAGAAAGACAAAGTTAAGGGATAGTTTGGATGTGGCTGCTGCTTCAGTTTGGTACTTGCCATATGTAAATGTTAAATCCATTTAATCTAGTACTCCTCACTCATTGGGATCTTCAACTCCCTCAAAGAACAGAAAGAAAAGCCCAGAAATCTTGGCCGTTCAATCCATCAACGAATGGTTCTCACTTGATTACACGTGCTGCCTATCTTTTCTTCCCCTTTTAATCTTTGGCTTCCATGCATGGAATTCTCCTCCAACTATAACACAAAAACAAAGGGGAGAGAGAAAGAGAAAGCGTCATGGTTTTTTTGCTTTGATTGTTCTTCTTATAGGCCTGTTCATCGCATCATTGGCGACCCATCTCCTTTCAAAATCTTTATTTTTCTCATTTAAAAAGCCATTAAAAGCTTTTTGTTTTTTGTTAAACCATTGGAAGGTGTTGAGGTTAAAAAAAAAAAAAGATTTAAAGAGTTTCTTTTTGTGGGTCGGATCTCTTTGTTGTACTTAAAACAAAGAACTGTCACATCTCAACTCCTGATTCTCGTCTGATCATCTCCACCCAAACAAAAGCAAGAAACTTTGTGATCTGTTTTCTCTGCTCTTTGATCTGGATTCTGATTCTTGTTTCCTATGCTTGCTTCTTCAGTCTTCACTATTAAAGGCGTCTTCTTGGTCACAACGAAGATCATGAAAAATGCAGTCTTTTGAAGATTTGAGGTAAGAAATGAGCTACTGATCCTGTTTCCTTTACTTGGTATTTTCTGTTTTTCAGTGATCACCTTCCATTGATTTTTAATGGAACAAAATCAAGAGAAGAAGTTTGTTTGCAAGTTTTGCAACAAGAGGTACCCATGTGGGAAGTCCTTAGGTGGTCACATAAGGACTCATATGAATAATGAGAATTCTGCTGAAGCAGAGGAAGGGGCAGCTGAACTCTCCATAAACAAGCTTCTTTCCAGCAGTAATGTAAGAAACACCAACAGAGTTGCTGAGGCTGAAGCTGGTGGCCAATCTGCTGCTTATGGTCTGAGGGAGAACCCCAAGAAAACCAAGAGGTTTTCTGATTCAGGCAACGCTTCTGTACTCAAAGAGATGATTTGTAAAGAATGTGGTAAGGGTTTCCAATCATTGAAAGCTCTTTGTGGTCACTTGGCTTGTCACTCAGAGAAAGAGAGGGTCTTTCAGAAGTTTGAGGATCATTCAGGTAATAGTGAAAAACAGAAGATGATAATGGATAGTCAGTCAGATACTGAAACATCGGCTCCAAGTAGGAGGAGGAGATCCAAAAGAATAAGGTACAAGCCAATGGGCGTTTACTCTAATAATTCAGTTTCTTTGGCAAATGGTTCTTCTTCTGTATCAGAGATAGAGCAAGAACAAGAAGAGGTGGCTATGTGTTTGATGATGCTGTCAAGGGATTCTAGTTGTAAGAAAGGATTGAATTCGATTGCTGACTCTTCAGATAACAATTCTGTCGTTTTGGAAGCTAAATCATCGTCTATTGATGTGAGGATTACTATTAAGAATGACATGAAATGTGTTTCTAACGGTGGTGAGTTTCTGAAGATGAAAAAACAAAGAGACAGCAAGTTGAAATCTGTTGAGTCCGGTCCTTCTTCTGAGAATACTGATTCTGGGTATTTTAGGAATGGGCACAAGAAGGTGGAATCAGATGTTTCTGTCGATGGGTTTCTCAAGAAAGTTGAATTTAAGAAACTTAAGGTGGAGTCTGGATCTGGGTTTGAGGACTTTGATGCAAAATTTGGGAAGGGATTGAGTAAACTCAAATGTGAGAAAACTGAATTTCCGAAGGATTTGGTTAGTGAAGTAGGAGATAATCGAGCAGATAGAGCTTTGACCAAGTATGATTTAAGAAGAAGTGCCAAGAATGATTATTCCAGTCCTGAATTTTTCTGCAACAGTTCTCCAAAGGGAAGCAAATATGAATGTTTGACCTGTAACAAGACCTTCGATTCCCACAGGGCTCTTGGAGGACACAGAGCAAGCCATACAAAGGTTAACGACTGCAGTGAGTCAATACATGAGAGTGGTGGAGAATGCTTAGCAAATTATTCTTTTCCTTTTCCAATGACTGATAGCAAAGTTACCAAGTCTTCATATGGAAAAAGCCAAAGTACTCCTCGTGGTTCATCTGGCAATGCTGAGAAAAGACTGGGATCAAAGAAAAACAAGGGGCATGAATGTCCATTCTGCTTCAGGGTTTTCAGGTCAGGCCAAGCTTTAGGAGGTCACAAAAGGTCCCATTTCGTTGGAGGTTCCGAGGACAGAACATTGGTGATCAAGCAAGACTCACCAGAGATGCCAGCTCTAATCGATCTTAACCTTCCAGCTCCTATTGAGGAAGATGCAATTGGGAATGCTGGGTTCATGCCATGGTAGATTGGAAGCACCAGAAGCATGACTCTTGCTGGTATAGCAAAGTGGGTTTTGATGTTCTAAATGAGAAAATTTTTGGGCATAGGTTCGTTCAACATGATGCAAGAGATTTTAGAGTGTATAGACAAGTAAATTTAATTTTTTGTGTTTTCCCTGGGCTTCAAATTCAAGTTGGTCTTTTGCTAAGGTAAATGTTCCTCATCTGTTGCTTTTGAACTGTGAAGAGCAGGTTCTCTTGCATTTGGAAGTTCTTTTCTTTTGATTTTATCTAATGTTCTTGGATTAAATCTTCATTCTTACAACTTTCATTTCTTTGTCCATCTATTTTATCTTGAAACATTATCAACTATGTTTCCTGTTTAGAACACCATTTTCCATGTTAAAGTACTTTCAGCTCTGGGTTGCTCCAAATCTGTCAGATAGGGTCTTTTAGGAAGCAAACTCAAGAGCCAGTGGCTTCTGTTTTTGAACTTATATGATAAAAGCTTTTACTTTAAACCTTTCACACAGGCAGGCAATTATATTTTGTCCTTGACATAACCAAACTCACTGTTGAAGTGTTGCTTTAAAAGAATCAAGGACCACCTGCTTTATGGGGAAACATTAAAGAAAGTGTCATTCCATGGAGTGGAAGAGAAGTTTCCTCTAAAATTTACATGCCCCAGGAACTGTACACGCACATTTAATTGCTTCACAAATATTTGTATCTGTTAAGACAATCCAAGATGTACCCTTTTGTTTGTTCCAACTCTCTTTGAAACATACTCTTAGGGAAATGCCATTAGATCATCTTTAATGCTCTCTTTTTTCTTTACAACAAAGGAAAGGTTCTCCTTCCACCCACATCATAATATGCTCAAATGACCTTGTTTATCACATTGTTCTCTCCCATTGAATATAATTCAAGAATTTAGGTCAGCCCCCATACCGGCGTGTAAAGTAGGCAGTTTCCATGAAAATTGTCCCTTGCTAAGCTATTGAGATGGCATTGAAAGAGGGGAATATATGGAGCGATTGTAATTACACTTGGGTTTGAAGACATGTTAGAAGATAATGAGGCTTTGGAATCATGAGGAATCAAAGCTGATCTTTCACTTTTTATTATTCAAGAAGGAATTGTGGCTCTCAAAGGTGGTTGAATTTGTCAACTACCATTAAACAAAATAAACCCCAATCTACATTGTTATGTTTCATATGCTTTCTTTTAATTTGACAGGGTGGTAGAATTTCTTATTCATCTTTATTCCAGCACACCATGTCCCTTGTGTTAGTTGCTTCCTATTATATTCTCTTATCCTTTGATTGTGTCTGCTTGAGTGAGTGAGAGAGAGAGAGAGAGCACTTTATGGTGTTTCTTTGCTTGGATTGGATGGACTTCAAATTTGATGGTATCTGGTTGAATCATGAAGCAAGTGATTGAGGCATTAAAATTTGGGTCATGATCCAATCATAGATGAGCCCATTAGGAAGTGATGGAAAATCAACATTGAGCTCAAATGTTAGTTGCTATCTTGATAAAAACTTGTTGGTTGGCCCAAACCATCAATATTCTTCCATTTGAAAAAAGATGAAGCATCTAATTATCAGGTGACCTTATGTTCCTGTTATGATATCTTCAACCCAAACATTACTTATCATGTGAATAGGCAAGTGAGATCCTACCATTCTCCATTACCGAAACTAACAAGCACTAACAAACATCAATTAGTCACCACTGTTAGCCGTACAAAATTTGTGAATCTTGCAGTTGAAAAATGAGCATAAATTTGAGCAGTGAACTCCTGTTGGCTTTTGCCATTAAGTTGAGTGAGTTACGAGTGGCTAAGGTTTGCCCTTTTTAGGGGATTAGAGATGGGGCCTCCCCTTAACTGCCTGTGCTTTGCCCTGTGATTGATGGTTCAGATTGTGGACCATAGAATCCAGCCCTAATCAATCAGCATGATTGTGATAATTTAATGGGCTTCTTTGCCTTCGGCTTTGTACACTGTTTGCTGTGGACCACTATTAGAGATGACAGCATATTGAAACGAGATGGATTTTTCTTGTCCTTTGATTTGATTTTATATTTATAATATTTGAATTTAATTTGATTTGATAATTTTTTTATATTTTAATACTCGAATCTAATTTAACTTGATATTATATAAAATCATATTTGATTCGACTCAAATTTAATAAAATATTATTTTTTAAAATATAAAATATTATTTTTAATGTAAATATAAAATTAATATATTAATTAAAAATAATTATATATCAGATTGAATTGAAATGAATTTATCTAAAATCAGATCTCGACTTTGTTTCATAATTATTTGACCCAAAACCTCATTTAAAAAAAAATCAATCTTAAAAAATCAGATAGAATCAAAACTCGTCGAAAATAAATTAAGTTACCATAGCTTACCACCATTGCTATGGTCATGACTCAAAAGTACTTTAAAGAATGAAGATTACTAATTTGCTATTCCCATCCCATAAGAAGAAATTAAGATATCCAAGGAACATAAGAGGTTAAATAAAATACCATTTTAACGATTCTTTTTTTTTTTTTGCTAAAATAAAGTGATATTTATATTATTAATAGTTATGTGATTTGTTGATTGAATATTAAATTTTTAATTTTAATGATCAAAATTTAAATATAAAAAGTATTTATGCTAAATTGAGAATAAATTTAAACTAAGAAATAGTTCTCAAATTATGCCTTCAACTAATTTTGATTAGTTTTTCATCTGTCCATTTGTTTGCCATAGAATGCATTTCCCTTTGAACAAATACAATGCATTTATACAATTAGATAGGTGCACTTAGAAAGAAACAAATACAAATCAAATCTGACTGACAAGACTGAGCATCGGCAAAGACCGTCATGGTTCATAATTAGCAGAAGAGAAGATAAGTCTTTATTCACCGCCTTTGGGTAACACAATAAAACAACGATCAGCAGTACTTAAAAGTAGCTTGACTCTAATTTAAGATTCGACACTACAAATGTCTCTCATCAATTAATTCCAAGCACTAAAAGTTATGCTCCATTTCATTGTAAATTTCATTTTATATATATATGTTAGATTTTGTTGTTAGATTTTTGTGTTTTAAAATTTGTACTTAAAAAACAAGTTTTTAATCCCGTTTTTACCATTAAAAAAAGGTTTATGCTCCAAAAGGTTAAAAATGCATAAGATTAACATTTTGAGGGCACCATCACTTGAGTTTTGCTTCAGTGATAAAGATTGGACAGAGTTTCGGTAAATATTTATAATTTATGAATTGTTTTGAAAAAAAATTTTGTTGAGCATCGATTTTAATTTAAAATCAATTATTCCTTGTAATTGAGATAAAATGGATTTTAAACTTAATTTTTGAGTAAAAAGCATATAATCTATCATTGAATGAAAATTTCAATGAAAGAAAATCTAATAAAATTAATAATTTTATTTCATAGACTACCAAAAGGAAAATTTTTGACTAATTTTTTTATTCTAAAATCGGGAGAAAGCTTACAGTTACAGCAAGTGGGGGAGAGAGGTCCACCGTATAGAAGTCCAACTTGTGCGAATGACGCATAACAAACTTCACCTAACTGCCTAACTGCCACACGAGGAATCGGCCAAAAAAAATAAAGGATCGCCGAGGAAATGAAAGGTCGGGAATCAACCCCCGAACGAAGCGGCGAATAAAGCGCCACTTCTTCTGCTACCGCCATACCGGATTATCGTACGATGATCAGTCTGCGGGGACAGGGAAATCAATACGACACGTGTACGGCTAAGACAGGTCAGTTAAAGTCCGAAAACTACACAACATGTTGACAAAGGATTGGGGAATAATTACGTTCACGCGCACACATTAAATTTTTGACAAGGACTGCCCACTCATGAATTTCTTACGTTATAAAAGAAAATTTCATAGGAAAATACCCTTCTCCGTTTGTATTTATTTGTTTTATATTAATTTTTATAGAATTTAAAAAATAATTTTAATATATTTATTCAAATTAAAATTTCATAATCTTTAATATTAAAAAATAAAAAATTTAAAAATTTAAAAAAATAAAAATTTTAAATGTTTAAAAAAATAATTTTAAGAGATTTCAAAAAATAAATAAATAGAGAAAATGTGACAGAAAGAATAAGAAAAGATAAGAGGGAACTCAATTATTTGTGAACAAGGTACATAAGTACTTGATATGTTAGGGCCTTTCACCGATCAACTTTCTACTTTACCTTCTTATCCTCCATGAACATCATCTTGATTTTTCTTTTTCATAGAATATGCATACGTATGTGATATTGATATCAAGTGTGATCATCAATCATAATTGTTGATAATTATATGGATTGTTGATAATATAACTCAAGTGATTATGGAATGAAATCCAAGTTTAATTCAAATGATTTATATATTTATCTTTAAAAAATTACATTCAGTAAGTTTAGAATTTTTATAGTAGTAACTTCTTTCCTCTTCCCAAAACTACAACTTTCCTATTAAAAAAAATTATACGAAGGATGAAATTTGTATAGAAGTTCTAAGTTCCAGTTGTGATGAGTAATGCATATATGTTAACACTTTAACAGAATCAATTAATTTATTTGCATAAAGGTATTGTATTAAAAACTAGAGAAGATTGTTCAACATAATTATCCAAAAAAATTGAAAATTTCTAAAGAATGAGAAACTTTAATATAGTAGGTAAATTATGCCTGCTTTAAATAAATGAGAAATAGTAGTATACATTTTGTAAGGCTGTGGTTAAATGATTTTTACAACTAATAAGAATACTCGTAAAGCAAGAGCAACCTCTCTAACAATGGATATATTATATTATTATATGAAATCATAGGAATGAAAATGAAAAATGCTTTAGCTATTGGAGTTAAGTGGCTAGACGGACAAAGAGGATATATACCTTAGATTAGATGATAAATATAGTGGCTGACCACTGTACTGTTATATTCCAAGATGAATCATTGAAATTAATAAAGCCAACAATTAATCGTTAATTGCACTTTGGGGTTATGGTAAACACAAGGAGCTCATCATCTCCCACAACTAACGTAACCCTAAAAGACAAAGGATTAAAAAATTTGGTGAAAAAAAAAGGAGCCAAGTAAAGCAATAAAGGTTAAAAAGTAGGGGCCTAGGGGGGAGGGGGTTTAAAAAAGCAATGTCGGCTGACTGCCTAACTCTGAAGCAACATTGAAAACCACGCAACTGAGCCATAAAAACAAGTGGACCAATTTACAGCTCCTTTCTTTTGCTATTGATATTATCGATTCCTGCAGTTCACAGTCACGTACGAACCATGAAGAGCTTTACAAAGAGTGACCGCCCAACAGCATAAAAAAAAAAGAAAAAAAAAGAGCAGAATAGATCCAAGATCCGGTTCTTTTCACATTTTCTTTAAATATTCTTATATACTTAATTATAAGAAAAATACCAAGTACTACTAATATGAATTTTTTTCGGCTAAGAAATTAATACTATGAACTGCAGTAATGATCTCCAGCTCAAACAGGAATTTCAATATTCACATGCATATATATATATATATATATATTAGAATTGAAGGGCTGAGGTTAGATAAATCTTCCCAAGGGAGAATGAACTCATGTGAGCAATACCTGATTTGTGTAACTAAATATTATGATATTAAGGAACTGTGTTTTCAGGTAAAGGACTCACTTCCATCTTGGAAAAATTTGCCTTGAATTGGTTCTTCTGATATCCGGAGCTGGTCATCAGGAGAAGGATAACTTTCAGTTTATATATACCAATCGCATATATGCCTGTACATACAAACCAAGAAAGGGTTACTATTATTTTCTAAAAAAAATGTACATAAAAAGAAAACAGAAAAACCTAGCTATACTCTAAATTCTAAGGCATATTACCATATAGTTGGATTCTCGTCTTGATTTATGCTTTGTTCGAAAACCGACAGGCATGATACCCTATAAGGCTAACACTTCAAAGTTCAACCAGATTTTATATATCCCTTGACGTGGCAAGAAAAGTTATCATTTATTTTTGCTTTCCTTCATCTTTTCATCACCATCACAACTGTTGAACAAAGACCTAAACTTGCTTTTTGCTTTTCTTTTGTTGACAAACAGGCATGTGTTTTTTTTCCCACATGATATAAACCGAAAGTTTTTACATTTTCTCCTATAATGATCGGTTAGCATAATCATTTGATGATGACGGCATATAAAAGAAAACCGTCCCTTTCCAGACTAAGCATGGTAACTAATAATTATAGTACTGGTGCAATCTAGAAAGACCCAGAATCAGGCAATCCTTATAAACTAGACTTAGATCCAATAAAACATCTTACCACACCACGGTAAAGTAATCATTTGCAATTCTCATGAAGTTGTGATGTAAAATGACTTGAAGAGTAAATGAAACCAATTTCTTAGTCAAACTCAAGCAACTCTTGAATCTTCTTCAACTTCAGTAATTACTTAAACCAATCTTAACCATATATAAAACCAACTTCCTAAATCTATTGCCGCTGGATACAGTTGGGTACATTAGAACGTTTATCACATGTACTTTATTGATAAACCTGGAGGCTCAACTTGGGTATAACTTTACCAAAAGAACATCTAAAACGTCAATCCAAAAGATTCTACTGATGTTAAAAGTCTTTTCACTAGTACTAAAGTTGCAATCTATCAAGCCTATGTCTAGAAAAGCCTTTCAGAATCCCTGATGAGCACCATAAAGCGGGCAACATCAAGAGATAATAAGGCAGTCCACAAACACTAAATCTGAAGAAATAGTAGCCAATAAAAACTACGCACATGACGTTGGTCGTGATTTATTAATGCGAGGAAGCAAGTAAAGAAATCAAAAGGACTGTGGCCTACCATATCACCATGCAATTCAGTATATCCATCAACATTCAGGGTCGCAGTCGGTCCTATATATTAGTGCTCCGATACATTCAATTTTTCCAAGATAGATTAGGACTGGTCAATAAAGAAGCGTGCTATATCTCATGCTTGTTGGGTTAAATGTCAAATATTAATATCAGTGGTCCACTAGCTAGTAACTAAGCTGTATTCTGGTGAAGGCCTTATGGCTGTGTAAGGTTGAATTACTTATCTATAACTAAGCTGAAGCCGTAACTAGTAAAATGCTAACTACTAAAGCTTTTTCATACTCAGCCCACTTACTTCAAGAGAAAAAGGCACATCTTCCTAATGCCTTCATAATTGACCATTGGTTCCAACCTATTTAAGTACTAATTGTTCCTCTTTGATTTAAAGAAAATAAAAAATGATAGTGTAGTCCTTTCTCCCAACCCTCCTCCGCCCTCACTCGACAGTTAACATACAAGAAGCACACATATACAGAATAAAAATAAGCGCACATAGAAAAGTGAGCAAAGACGCTTGAAATTCGGGCAGATCCAGTGTGTCAAGGAGTCGTAGTACGACGACGTGAGTGTGACAGTAAAAGCTATGCATACCATATTTTCTTTCTCATCTGTTACGCATTCCAGGAGGCACAATATCCCCAAGTAATCCTTCATCTGTGGGAAGCTGTGAGGTGGGTTCTGGCACCGCATGAGATTCTCTTACGTCACTGGGTACTTGGTGTGATTGTGTCATGCTTGGAGCAAGTTCACTATGTAACGGTACCCCAGGATAATAAAATTGTGAGACTGCCGGAGTCAGTCGACCAGCAAAGGCAGCTTCATGGCTGATGAGTCCACCACGGGGGAATCCGACGCTATGATGACAATGTTGACCTTCATATGTAGTGATGACAATGGAGGGATCTTCAGAGGAGCGTTCTACCCTCTTCTTCACCGTGCATTTGCTATTTGTGCACCGATAGTAGCTCCTGTGAAATATGTGGGTCAGATTTTGCACACCATTCTGAAAATTTTCCTTCCATTAATGATTTTGAGCATGAAGTCATAATTTTGACTACCCTCAAACCTAATGAGCCCTATTAAGGGTTTTAACTACTATACATGGAAAAATTTAAGTCACGACCCTTTTTTGTTTAAAACTGATTTTCCTATTACTACGTGCTTTATAAATTTGACTTAAGATAATGCATTGATATGTGCATTCTCACATAAAATATGAGAGAAGAAAAATATTTTTGTAGTTGAAAATTAAGATTAGTGGTTTAAGAAAATAGAGAATCAAATAAAAAGGAGTGGACCTAACATTCAGAGGAAGTGGTAATCTGCCATAAAAGTCCTAGCAATCATCTAGTCATGAACGGATGGAATCTTCCCCTATAACAATAGTGGTTTGATAATCATTATTTAACTTTGTTGAAGAAAGGTATCATTAACTCTAGTTTATAATCCTTTGATTTCGGGTATCTTTGTCAATGAACTGATGAAATCTCCCCCTATAACAAAGAGCAAAGAAGGTAAAACTGATCAATACACGAACTTCTGGAAAAAAATTTCATTATAATATTGGAAAGTGATCTGGTTTACAATGTTTCACCTTAAAGTATATTTTATTTAACAGGAAACAGGCACTGAATCTATTCAAAAAGTGGGTAATATGTCAGTTTTCTCCTAATCATAATAGAGAAATAGCAACGGACCTTGGAAATGGACTATTTTTAACAGCTTTTTGTCCATATTTCCGCCATCGGTAGCCATCTTCAAGATGATCAACTTCACTCTTGGTCATAAATGCAAAACGTGGCTGCCGAATTCGCTTTTGCCCCTTCTTCCTGACCTTACTCCTACAAAAAGATTCCACCTACAATTATCAAAATGGAAAACGAATTCCTAAATATTAAAAGATTTTGTTTGGAAAAAGTTAATGCATATGTTTCAATTTGCAACAAAGTTTCAAAAAAAAACAAGAAAGAAAAAAGAATACATGGAGACAGTTCCTACGAAGAAATTAGAAGTATTGATGTTTAATTGAGTACTTGCAAAATGTTAATGAAGACGTTACTTGTTATTTTATCATAATGTTTCTGTTTCTCCAAAACAGAAGGATTGAAGGAAGTACCCAAGTTTCCTCACTCCAAGTTAACAAATTGTAGTTAATTTTAGAAAACCAAAGAAAAAGGAAGCTGTAACCAATTATTTTTCAGGAACTAGTCAAACAATTTCATTGTATGCACTAAAAGAGATTCAAAAGTGAAGAACTAAGAAATCTCCAACTACTAAGGTACATATCTTCAATGTAATGAAGAAAATACTTGAATATTGTATATTCCATACAGCGTAACCATTAATGATGTGATGAAACCAAGTTTCCTTAGTCATTCCACTAGCACATGCTAAGTAATACAAAGAACCTTTTTAGAACATGAAATGCATTAATATGGAAGAAATGATCCATGATTTCATGGGATCCATATGCCTGATGAATGCCCATTTAAAGCAAACAGCATTTTATGAATTTAAAAGCAAACAGCATTTTATTAATTTAAATGCTCTTAGATCTTCATCAGAAAGGCCTTTTAAAGTATAAAGCTCATAAACAAAGGTATAGTTTTTTCAAGACTGCACTTCAAAAGCCAGTAAGTAAAACCATGAAGTGCATTTCCAAACTCCTAAACGATTGAAAAACCCACCTCAGAAATAACACTAAAATCCCATATAATTAACTAATCACAGCCATTTCGCTGCTTTATCTGAGGGGATGAATTTAGAACAAAAAACAGACTTAATAAAAAAAATGGAAGAAAGCACTAGTAAGTAGCAGTATCTAAGATATATGTTACCAAAAGAGGGCTTTTTCCCAGCTATATTCCCGCCTTTTGCCTTTGTATTAACGTAATTAAAACGTAAAAATAAGAACCGAAAGGGTTAATAGGGTAGTAAAAGAAAATGATTCCTCAAAGCACGCCATTTCCGCCGCAATAACGGCGGTTTGAATGCCACTTCGTTAATAGCTAAAAAGCCTCTTTTAATTTTCACCCCTATATTCCCTTAATTGCACCTATTATGTCACTAAAATTACGAAACTACCTTACCCCCTCCCGCAACTTGCATGAAACAAAGGCTGTTTTCTTTTTGACAGTTTCAGTGTACGGACACCGAAAATTGCACTCTCTCTGTCTCTCTCTCCCTACTGAAGACTCTGTGTTCAAGCGTGACTTTTGGTGGCCTTTTTATTACAATATAGGTAATTTTGCCCACCGAAATTGTACTTAATTACGATTCTGTCCCCCAAAGAAAAGGAAAGATAAAGAATTTTTATTTTTAGATTTTTAAAAAAATATTTTTCATTTTCATCATTGGTGATGGATGTGTGTTCACTACTACTCACGGTATCTCAGGCGGTTTCCCGCCGGAGCCCGTAGATTTCTCCGGCGGATCCTCGCTGGAGCTCGACGAGACAGACGGATTAGATGTCGACACGTCAGCTGCCCCGCCCGGATTCAACCCCGTCCCTGAACCCGAACCACCAGCACCACCAGCAACTTCACCACAGCTCTGTGAGACACTAAAGTTTCCCGCCAAATCAGGCCTGGTGTCGGTCCGATCGAGTTCACCGAACCTCTCAATCTCTTCGGCATGGTCCGGTTGTAGATTCCACCCGAACTCACTCAGAATATTGCTTTCCCTATCGAGAAAGTAATTAACGCTGTCGGAGACTGAGTCAGGTTCTCCAGCAAGTATCCAGCTCGAATCGGATGTAAACTCAGTCCCTGGATCGGCCCCCTCTTTATCTTCCATCCTTTAAAAGCTTGAGCAAAACGAAAGACAAGAAAAGAAAAGAAAATCAAAAGGATTCAAAGCATCCAAACAAAATCTAAAAGAGACGCGGAGAGAGAAAAGAAATAAAGAAAAAGGAAGGAACGAGAGAGAGCTAGGGTTTTGGTGTTGGGAAGGGACGCGTAGTTTTTGAAAGCTTTTTTTTTTTTTTTGTACCGTCAATTCAAAGAAAAAGAGAGAGTAAAAAAAAATATTAAAAAGAACGCGCGAGTAAGAGAGAGAGAGAGAGAGAGAGAGAGAGAAGGGGAATAGAGAAAAGATAAGTTAGAAAAATCGGCGTCAACCAAAAATAGTCGCGGGAGGTTGATATTTAAGCAATGGGAGGAAGAGGAAGGGAGGGCCGACGAGGGGACGAGAGTTGTGTGGGGCCCACGCGCATGAATAAAAATAGAGCGAGATACTTTCCGACACGAGGGAGCACCATGTTTTTTTCCACTCCAGTGAAGCGTTTTGTTAGGGCTTTTTATTAGGGAATTTTCTCCTTTTTTTTTTTCATTATTTTTGTTTTTTATTTAATCTTTAATCTATCTTTGTGTAAATTCACTAAAAAATATCAGGCATTTAAAATTTTTTTAAATCCATAATTTTCAATAAAGAAATGATCACATACATTAACAATAAAATTTTTTATTTTACAAATAAAATTAAAATAATGATACATGTTTTTTAATATATATTTTAAAAAAATCAATTTAAAAGATAAATGGAACATGTGTTATTTTATTCTTGTTTGTATAATTAAAAAAATTGTATTTTTTTTTTTTGGGTTTCAAAGGAGGCAAAGCCCTATTAAATAATTTTTTTAATATATTATCTTAGTTAGCATCGGATTTTTTTTTACATGTAATCAAGACTATTAAATTAGTTATTTTTGAAAAAAATTATTGCATTAACTATTTTCTAGCTATATTTTGAATTTTCCAAAGATTTTTTGTGCCAAGTACTTTGAGTCTAATTAATTAGTCACCATGCCTTCTCTACCTAATTAGGAGGCTCTTTGGTTTTTCAGTCCATGGAAAACTACTCCTATCAACTTTCTTCATAAAATTAAGATTCTTAAATAGAATATTAGAATTGGTTAAGGCATTCATTCCTTAATTTTCAAACTAGTTCATCATTATTTTTTGATAAAAAATGAAGAGAGTGATTTGGTTTTATTAATCTATTTTTATATTTTAAATGATTTTTTCCTCAATTTTTTTTTGTTTCTTTTGCCATTTTTATTTAGTTGATGCAAAAGCATAAATGCATAAAAAATTATTTAATTAATGAACTTCTCTTAATTCTTGTATTTTTTTGAGCATACAAAATATTTTAGAAGGTAAAAGAAAGTTTTGAATTCAATGTTAGCTATTTTCCATTTTCTCTATGTTAATTAAATTCACTACAATTAATAGCAAGGTTTCTACTATATTGTTCACTCTTTTTCTTTTTCTCTACAAATTTGTTCCTTCCTATTTAACCTTTATTTATTAAAATTTAATATGGTAAGTCGATACGAGAATATGTACCCTTAAAATCATCTGACAAGGAGATTAAGTTCAAATAAGTTTTTAAAATACCCTTGATTGTATACATTATAAAAAAAAATAATTCTAGAGGAAATTGAATATCTAATTCAATAAAATTAAGGAGTAACAATCATTAAGTTTGGGTTAAAGTAATTAATTAAAAAAAAGTATAGATTTAAGTTCGAAATTAAAGAATATATGAAGCTTTTAAATTTCTTTTCAATTGATAACTAGAAAGCGTTTATTAAAATATTTTTTCTCTTCAGAAACCTAAAAATTCTTCATTTACTTTATTTTTAAATAAACATTTAATAGTTAGAAGATTTTAGGTAAATTTTGACAAAAGTTTAGATTTATAGAATGAGACCAAGTTTATACAAAATCTAATTATTTTCAAATATTATTTAATTTTATTTGTACAAAAATGATTGGAGCCTGAAAATAAATGAAAAAAATTATTATTCGTACTGAAATTTGAATGTTAAAATAATTATTTGATATTAAACTAATAAGAGATATTTTAGTTTAAAGAGAAGATCTTTTGCACAAAGGGCTGCAAGTGGCATGAACCAGACACAATTGTTTTTTTTTTTAATTTTTTCTCTTTTTTTTCATAGAATGTTATAATAACAAGTGGGGCTGATTTTGCCATAACTAATTATGCCTTGGCTATTGACTAGAAACCAAGGAAAACTTTGTTCACAGAATTGAAAACATTCTCGGGCACATGCCCTTATTAAGGGCCATGGCCAAACTCCTTCGAGCAAATGTCTTACCCGTACAGCTTTCTAATTAACCCCTTGGCTAGGCCACACAATATTTTTCTTTTTTTTAATATTTGGGTTTCGAGGAAGAATCCGTATCACTTTGAAAACTTTGAATAAAATCAACAAAAAGCCTTTTTGGTTGGACCGACTAGCCCTTGTACGAGAACCATAGAAATTGGATGTGCGAAATTGATCTTCATCTCTCTTACTAATATATACATGTCATCACAATCGAACAAAAATTTCCCATACAAATAAAAGAATCAAAATTTAGTAACTTCTACTGGATTCCATCGAATAAACTTTATTTCTTTCATCTTAGAATTTGAATTTAAAACTTTGAAATTCGCGATGCTAAACCTTAGTTATTCGAATATTTCTTTGAGAACAAAGTTATAACCTCTTAATAATTAACATTACTATATTTCTACATTTCTATAATTTGTTAAAGGAAGTTTAAGATCTTGAATTTTTTTTTTTTTTTAAATATATAGTATGAATTTGTTCAATGTAAAATATCTTACATAATGTTGATATATCAGAGAAGGGGTTAGATTCGGACAAAGCTAGAAAATAATTTAACCATTTTACCATAAAAAAATACCATCCATGGTTCAAATACAAATTGTATATATATATATATATTTTTTACCAAGACCTCCTTCATAATCATTTGGGTTGTGGATAAAAATGACATGTATGGATAAACTATGAGTTAAACCTTTTTTTTTTTTTTTTGGTTTTTGAAATTCTTAATTTATCTTTGAATTTTTTATCCAAGTATTTATTTGTTTGACAATGACATTATATGTATAAACTTTTTTTTGAATTTATAATTTTTAAATATTTAATTTTAATTATATATCAACTATTCAAAAAACAATCGTTAAATTTAAATCCAGAGAAAGAGAAAAGATAGAGGAAAAGCTTATTCCCCTAATTAAAAGAAGAAAACGATGCATCCTAACATAGGTGTGCACACATGTGGTCAGGAATTAGAAACCACAGCAGTACTTGGGCTATGTTATAATTATATCGGTATCATTAATTTGTGAATGAGTTTGAGTTTTAGGTCGTGGCCCACAAATCATAGAAGCAATTTAATGTAGATAACGAAACTTGAAATTTTTTTTGAAATCATGAATTAATTATTTGAATTGGTCTAGTTAATAAGGTAACCTTTTACTTACAAAGGCTAATGTTATAATTTCATTAATTAGAATATTTCAATTTTTTAAATTTGTTTATACAACCATCCATAACATTTATATGCTTAAATTTCAATTTTAATAATTATAAATTTTATTTTTATTCTCATATTACGATTAAAATCAATTTATTATTACTTATTACTTTATTTGTGACCATGTCTAAATAATCTAAATAAATGGTCCTATGAAAAATATCTTATTAAATACATACTTGCATCTAATTAAGGCTGTGAAGGAAAATCAAGTTAAAAACTCAATTTCTTTTATATATATATATATATATATATAAATATAAAGAAGAAAAGTCAAAATCTAAAATATGGAAAGAAAAATTGTTATAGGTATTGAAAATTGAATTCAAATTTGATAAAAATTCATTTTTTAAACAAATAAATGAATTATTTAAGTTAAATTTTAAATTCTCTTCATTTTAAAAAATTATATATACAATTAAAAGTACAATAACACATATTCAAATAATCCTAAACGCACAGATCATAGCTATAACATTTAAGGATAAAGAATCAATTAACAATCAAATAAACCAATAAACCAATTTAATTATACTTACAAAATTAAGTCTACTACAATATAAAATAATATATTAAACTCACATATAATAAAATTAACATTTAAAGTTTAAAATTTTGAAAATGTATATTCACAAATTGAGACGAACCCGACTCTTTTTTTTTTTTTTTTCACAATTAAACCCCCATACCTATTAATTGGACCGTCTCATTTATGTACTTGTGCCATAAGTATGAATTGGCTATTGGTACTTCTTTTTTACCCATCTTTCATATAATAAATATTTTTAAAAAATATTGGATGAGAAAATTTTCAAATATAATTTAATAAAATATTAAATTATAAAATGGTCATAATTGATAAAATTTAATTGTAAAAAAAATCAAATCAAACATAATTTATATGGTGGTGGGAATATTATTATGCTAGTAAGATGAAGATCGTGATGACAAATTGGCATAAGCTGGCTGATGGTGATGGATAGAACGGAAAAGCACACGTGTATTTATGAGATGATGAGGGCCCACGATCGATCACAAGGGGTCACCTCATGGAATCTTCTAGATTTGAACCCACTATTGGCCTTTAGGAAAAAAAACTATCAAATAAAATCAGATTATCAAATTCAAAATCAGAAATTAAAAATGGTTGCTGCAATGCAATGCAAGCAAACCCACAAAAATATTTGTGGCTTTAAGTGCTTTTCATGGGACCTTCCCATTTTCTTAATTATAAAAAAATAAAGCATATGGACCGGATTAAATTATATGAATTAAAATTTAATTATTGACATAGATCATTTAAATTATATAAATTAAAATCTAAAACCAGGTTAATTTCAGAAAATTTAATTATTTTTGGTACCTTAGCATAACTTAAAATTTATGATTTTATCGATGTCGGCAAATTAAATTTTCTTTTTCAAAATTTAAGGGTAATTCTTTTTAATTTACAAAATCTAAAATTGAAGGTGACATTTGAATTGATGCCCCTTTAAAGTAAACTTTTTTTTTTCTTGTCACCTTTTTTTTAATGAAAAATAAATAAAAACAATAATGATGGTATCATATTGATCAAAGCATAGATATCTTTATATGATCGTTCATTTGATAGGCCAAGTTGATTCGGTTGCGGTTTCATCTTCAGCATACAAAAGTGGTCCCTCAACATCTAATTAGTTTGGCTCCCACTTATTTCAATTCTATTATTTGGTTCAGATTTTACCATTTTTAAAAGCAATATATATTGAAATGTTCATGGCCCTTGATCATTAGAAGCGAAGTCAACAAAATCATAAAAGAAAATCGAAATAGTGAATCAAGTAGGAAAGGGAATGTTGAGTTTTATATTAAGAGATTCGAGTTTTATACTATAATATTATCGAAAATTATTTTGAGGGCCATGGTCTTTACCCCTAGATTTGCCTCTACTTGTCATAATCATCTTTATTATTAATTAATCGGTCATTAGTTGATTAGTGATTAAAAAATGAACATCACGAGCAGCTCAGAAATCTTGATCAATTTACTTCGATAAAATATGGTGTTGTCAATTTGGAAGAGATGGGTCCAAATCTACCATGCTTCCAGCCTAGCCTTGGGTCAAGGCATTTTTGCAAGCAAGGCAATTTGAATATACGTCTGAAAAAAAGATTAAAAAATGTTAATTTCATTGATATTTTGATGAATCAAATCAAACATATATGCTCTTTGCCTGTATGATAATTGATCTTGGACCAATTTGATTCTGTGAAAATTTTCTAATTTGTCATTAATTGATAAATTGATGAACCCTAGTTTTGTTTTGGAGTGAATATAGCTAGCCATCAATTTGTTAAGTCAAATATTTTCTGTTTCCATCTGCTAAGAACAAAGAACAATAATATTTTTAATATACAAAGCTGAAGAGGTGATGTTTAATTGTTACGTACAGATATAACAAGTACTAAAATACCGAGCATTTTGACAAAAAATTAGATGATGTTGAGATTTTTTGTGACCCTTGGCAATGGTAGGGCATAAGGTTTGGTATGGTTTTGATATATAAACAACAACTTCATGTGTAGAAGAGATTTGAGGAAAAAGAAAAAGAAAAAAACTGAGAGATTTTGGAATCAAACACGAACCTCACGTTATTGAAAGGGATTTGTGTTTTTTAATTATCATTTGATCTTCAACGCAATAATGATTGCATTTAGGAACTCTTTGATTAGTACTTTAATATAATAGTCAATGGGCTATACACATGATTTCCACAGATGGTTGATGTTTTCTTCATTTTTGCAACTATTTGGTACTCCACCTTTTACAAACTGCGGCTTCAAAGTTCCAACTTGAACCCTTTCCAGGAAGCAATTCTATACCTTCTGTGGATGAAATATAAGCTTCTGTTGTTAAACCAATTGTTATTAACTTTAATATATGATTAATCAACACCGACACGCGTTGAATTGATATGTAATGCCATCATAATCCCGCGTTAATACGCGTCATTGTGCATATCAGATGTCTTATTATATGATACTGAGGGATTGCACTAGTTGCCCCCATTCATGCGTTCATGATCAGGTCATATATTTCATATCAATCATATTCTGAAAGCCTCTAGTTGCTGCCAATATACAAGCAAATTGATTCCTCGCCAATATACGTGTTATAAGCAATAATAATTAAGTTTCTGAAGTACTTTGAGAACAAAATTTGGAGGAAGTTACTCTAAAAAGATTCAAAAGTTGGTTCGTGTAATTTTGTTGGATTTTCTATAAAATTAACTTTCCAGAGAAGTGAAATCAGGCAGATGCAGCAGTCATATGATGATGAACTAGTTATGAAATTTGTAACCAAATATTTCAATGTTGAATTAGAATTATGGTAATTTATATATTTAAAAATATTAATGTTAAACTAATTGCACCTATAGGAGATGACAATGACCCAAATTGAATTTCCAGGCGCCCCTTGAAGTTTTCTGTCAATTAATGCCTGACAAAACCAGAAATTCACCCTGGTTCTGAGAAAAAAATATTATTGAAATTACAGACATGAATCCAGGATATATACATATATATATATATATATACACACACACACACATAATCTTGCTGGTAGATTTAAAGTGGAAACATGTCAGAGTTTGAAGGAAGTCTGATTAAGCCAGGCACCTCCCATCACATTCAGGGTTTGAGGACCACATTTATCTCTTTTATTATCTCATTCTCCTAGTTGCCAATCAGGTTGCAGAATGGCCAGTGGATTTTTAAGACCTGATGAGCTGATCGGAAATATTTTCAAGTAATATATATGTATATATATATATATATATATATATGAGTGGACCAATCCCCCTTTCCTTTCCTCTTTTTGGTTTACCTTCGCTTTCATGAAATGACAGGCGTCACAACCCTAATCCTATTGCAGATGCTTTGCTTCCATATATTCCTGCCTACATAATAAAGCAGTTTATGTGCCGACAATCTTACTAATAATAATGCTAATGTGGGATTTAAAGCATTAAACCTGAGATTTGGGTTCTGTTCCTTATATAAATTAATGAAAAAGTATTCTTATTTTACTAAAATATTCCACTTTTATGAGTCAATTTTGCATGTTTACACACAAAAAGTTGGGGACATTATTTCAATTTACATGTATTCAATTTAATTTACCGACATTCGATTCTCAAATAATTGTTACATAATTTAAGGTTTGAGGACTCAGTTAAAATTTTTTTATGAGGATTTTTCATTAAAACAATGTATATTATACAACATTTCTAAGAAAATATTTAAAATCTTAATTAGTTCGAGATAATAAGAATGTGGCTTAAAGATTGTATCTGTAAATTTTAATTCCTTAATTTTTTTTTACTCTGTTTTTTTTATCTAATAAAAATTGCACCATTAGGTTATTGATCACTTGATTGTTGGTATTGATTAAAATTTGTTAAATGTTTTGTAGAAAAGATTTTTATAGATACAAAAGGAAGTAATAACATGGAAGAATGAAGAAATTGTAGCCGACACCAACTTGAATGAATTTGAGTAATTACTATATATATGATACGATGAAGCAAAAGTGGGCCATGAGGTATTATACCATAAACCAGAAGCATTGAATCTGAATAAAAAGCACAATCTTTAATATTTTCTCTTATTAGTAAATCATAATCATAATCATTATTATTACAGATAGTGGTGGCAAAATGGCAATGCCATGATTCTTGAAACAACCATGACTATGTATATGAGAGAAAAAGGAAAAAAAGCCCTTGAGTACACATGAAAGTGACATTCACTGCACCCCATTTTGCTGCAAAAATACAAAAGAGTGTCATTCCACAGAATCTCAACTGCTCACACTAAGGCGAGTCGCCAAAAGATATTCGAATTTAGAGTTTAATTTAGATAGTTTAGGTAATAATTTAAATTTAATTAAACTTTAATATCTATAATTTTTTTCTCTATTTTAAAATTTGCAAGTACTACTGATAAATATTCTGCATAGAAACATATATATATATATATATATGTAGTGCATGAACCAAAATGAATGCTTGCTTTGCAAGCGACTGTTCAGTGAACCTTTTTTTAACTTTAGCTTTGCATTATTATATCTTGAATCGATCTTAGTTAGATAGGTCGATCGTCGCTTTACTATATGATAATAATAATAACAATAATAATGATATTATATGTACAGGGTTAATGAAGATGGGTCACTTGTCAACATCTTTGTGGCGTTTTGTGATAAGGGATAAGCTCCCATTGGCGTTTTGTTTGCCAGTTACATGGAATAGTACTGTCTCTTGCATTCCAAGCAAAGAGCCTTGATTAAACTGGTTCAATCCCGTTGGTGGTGTTGCTTGAACACCCTCTATTAATAAAAAGACCAAGATATTTTTTATGTTGAGAGGCCTGTATGAATAAAAGGTAATCGACTCTATTCCATAGATGAATGAAATTTTCTTTCACTTTCAAGTTGCACCTACATCAATGACACTTCTGCAATTGCAGGGAACTTGTTTTTCTCTTTGATTTTGTCCATGGGTAGTGAAAACTTAGGTAATTAAACGTTTCTAGAATTCTTGAGGTTTCACTTTTGATTTTTCAAATGCAAAGTGTAATTACCTAATCCTTCATCCATAATTATATGTATATATAATTTTATGATCAAATGTGAAAAAGAAAAAGCTCAAATTGACCAGAATTAGTCATAGCTTGATGAGTGGAATCAAGAGCTCAAATTGCACGCACTAGTTTAAGGTCAAACTCTTCTCAAACTTGAGATTCTGAAAGGCCTAAAAACAGTTCCATCACTGAAGTAGATGCAATCATTATATCACCATGTCTCCCTTGACTTTACGTTCTGCATGCCTAATTTCTTTGGAGTGGAAACGGACCGAATTCGGGGTCATACCTAACTTTAACTTAAGTGAAAAGGAGAGAGAGGAAATATTTTGGAACTAAGCAATCTGCACTTTTTATCCGCTAAAAAATGGTGTTAGTTGCGTTGCCAAGGCTTCTAGTTCTAGAGACTCTAGGTCGCAGGTGACTTAATTATTCATATCAATTTGACATTGAGAAGATGAGCTCCAAAGCAACTTTTCAAAAGGAGTTATTCCAAAGTATTTCCTTATGTATAAGTGGTGTTATTCTATGTCAGCTAAGTGCTGAGTCTTGATTGTCTGTGGTTTTATATTAATCTATTCAATAGAGAAATGAAATTAAAGTAAAATGTTTTTAATTGCTGAATTGTTTGGATGAGGAGATTGGTTGGTATCTAATGAGCGGAGCCTTTAGGAAAGAATTGGGTTGATGATGGTATTCTCATCGTCTGATGGTGACTAAAGATGTAGCTGATGTGCCATGAGATTAAGTCATTAATTAGCAAAGGGAAATTGGCAAGGGTCTGAAAGCTCTCAGTGATCAGGTACATTGATAGAGTCACAGCATTTATTTGCTTCTAAAATAACTAAGAACAAGCTCAGGGTCTGTAATGGAGTCATGTTGCCCTAAAACCATGCCCATAGTACTTATTTGTTTCGTTATTTCATCAAATTTTTTGAAGGGGGATGAGGGGGTGGGGTGGCAATTGTTTTCAAACACTGCGAACTGCATGAAGACCTTCTATAAATAGGGTAGGCTAAATTATATATACAGAACCACGTACCAGAGAACAGTACCAATGATATTTGTCTGCCGGCCAGATCGAAGTTTCCTTGAATTTGACCTTCGAGATCTTCAGATTTTGAACAATATATATTCTTGGGATAATATTTGTAGCTTAAACAACTCATGGGTTTTACTTAGTTTAGCTGCTAAAAGTTAAGGTACTAGCAAAGATCACAAGGCATATTTATTATTGAACCTTGATAAGAATCTTGCTCGCTGAAAATCACAGGAATAGACTGTCTGCATTTATCTTGACAGATCTCAATTTCTGGCTTTCCAACTCTGGTTCCTAAATAGTGGTCATTTCATCCTATATAACTGATTATTAGGTATAATGTCGGTCATCGGCGCTATAATAGTACTTAATTCTACACATGATCCAAAAGGGAGAAATTAAGGAGGATATATATGAGCTAAACCTGCTTTCACCAGTGTAGAACAAATTAATAGTAATCATGGCAGCACAACAGGATCAATCCTCCAGATGTCCCTAGAATATTCATGAACAGTACGGTCACTGCTGAACTTGTATGAGCCAGCTGTGTTCAAAATCGACATTTTTTTCCATCTCTGTTAAACAATGAATTAAATCAGGACTGATAGCAATACAAGTATAATGAATTGATGATGGAGGTTATCAAATAAAAAAAAATTATCATAGCAAATATGCATTTTAGAACTCACCTATGATCCAGAATATTGTTACTACATATTTTTGGAAAGAGAATGTGGATAATTCCTACAATAAATCTTATAGATCAAGGTCAAATGTTATTTTATAAGAGGCTATATTTGAATTGAAAAAGTTATGTTTGTGTTTGAATGCAAATTTCAGAAAAGGGGAAAAATAATTTCCGAATTTCAAGTTAGCTAGGGTTATTGTCAAAACTGTGAAAGATTTGGAACTGTTGATGTAGATTAATATCGCTCATATATATAGATTAATATCAAGGCTCAAACAGATCATATTAGGCAATAATTGAACTAGCTTGGAGACTTCAGGACTGAATTATTAGCTTAGACATGTAGGGTACTGATGTTATGTGAGGCTACAAAAAAGTGAGCGCATGATTTCTTGCCAACATGTGCGCGCAATTCTACATTATCTATGTTACTCACCTTTTGGTCTCTATATGCCTCATCAACCTTCTCTTGGCACTCAATGTAACTGGGAAAATCTTTTCCCACAAGGAAATAATCGGCACGACCATAACCTTCATTTCCTTCCAAGGATCCCATCAGTTCTTCATAGTTGTAGAGACCAAAAACACCACTTCTGACATATACCTTCACTTCTTCAAACCTTGGGTCTGGAACATACTGTGATAACAGATATCAAACAAAATAAGAAAAAGTCATTGCTATAACCTTCACTGCTGTTTTCGCGAATTTAGTTTTAGATTCTTTGTTACCGTGTTCTTATCTTTGCAGAAGACAAAATCAAGGGAACAGGGAAATATATAGGGCTCACCTTTCCCTCGGCTCTTTCTCTCCTCAGTCCAGCTATTTCATGAGCCTGTGCACCAAAGAGGAAGAAATTATCTTCTCCAACCTCTTGCCTTATTTCAACATTAGCTCCATCTAACGTTCCGATTAGGATGCAACCATTCATTGCAAACTTCATATTGCTGGTTCCACTAGCCTCCATTCCAGCCGTACTAAACAATTGAAATAATATTTGTGTGATAGAGAGCAGCATTAGTCAGTACCAACCTATTGGTTTCCTGATGTATATTGCAAATTAAACAACCTGGAGGGACTTATGCTTTGACAATATCCAAAAAGTAAGAACCTCCCATAACCAATTTTAACGGGTTTACTTGAAGTTATAAGTTTTTTAAAGCACTTTGGCATGCAGTTTCCAAGTTCAATTGCTTGGTTCTTGTGCTATTTCTTTTTGAAGATGTTGTATGAAATCAAACACCAAGGAAGAAGAAGAAAGGAATCAATCAGAATACCTTATATGCTGAGACAGATCACTGCCGGGAATAAGCATTTCGGCCACACTTTCATTGTAGTCAGGAACAAACACAACCTGACATAAACAAAAAACAAGATGATGATTCCATACAAAACAAGGATAATTTCCAACACCAGGCAAGCATAAGAGCAATTTTTTAAGGCTTTTTGTGATACTTTAGCTTTCTTGAATGAAATTGGATTCATTTAACATAAAAAGAAGAAAAGCAATAACTTTGTTATCGATCCAATCATAGCAACTGACGGATAGGCCTTCACCATTTAAAGCTCATGGGTATGAACACCTAGTTACAACAACATGGCCAAAATACCAAATGAGTTCCTGAACTCACTTCCAAAGTAATTTCAATTATCCTAAAAGTTCATAGAGAAACATGAAAGAATGAGAAAACCTTGAATTCGCCTTTTTCTATTCTTCCAACTCTATCTTCATCTTTATTTATTTGGCATCCATTGGCGAATCATGACAATCACCAAACATGTATTAAGTTGGGGTTTCATGCTAACAAATATGATAATTCAATTGACTCATCCAATTAGGAGATAAATAGTAAATCATAGGGAAATTCTCTGCCTATGTGTCAGAAAAAAAGACTGTCATCTTTCTTGGTCACAATAAATTTCTCTTAATTACATCAGTAACCATACCTTTAGAAGATCTCCTATTTCAGGATCATGGTTTACAGTAGCTCCAACATCTGTGATGAACTTTACTATCCTCTTGGCTTGGATGTATGTAGCAAATGCCTTTCCTCCAAATATGCATACCGAGGAACAAAGCATACTTTTCTATCCTCATGGCTCATTTCTTTCATTTTCTTATAACGGTAAACTATTCCCATAATGTTCAATAACTGCCGCTTGTATTCATGGATGCGCTTTACCTGCAATTACACCCATTAGGTCTACTATAACTTATAGCTCAAGAAGATAAGCTGCAAAAGTTGTTGGGATCAGTTCTTTTTCATTATTAATGAGTTGTGTGAGCAACGCTTAGGTACAACAACAAGGTTGCTTGACTTCCTTTCAGCCTGCTACTGACTACTCTAGAATATTAACTGAGGATAGTAGTAACGGTACAATTCGAGTGGTTTGCAATATGAAAATGAAAATAAATTCTGGGAATTAGTATTACGTAGGAAGAAATAACCTGCACATCGAACATTGCAACGGGATTGACAATATATCCCGTTTTTTCTCTGAGGAAAGATGCAACCTTAACCTTGTTTTTTCTTTTTGCTTCCCTCCATTCAGATTGAAGATCCTCATTATCGGCAAACTGTGGACAATTCTCATCAGTTCTTTTACAATATGTATAAAGCCAATATAACTTTTAATGAAAATAATATATATTCTTTCCTCAACTATATGAACGTAAATATTAATAATTAACTGTCTGAGAGTAATGTGTCTTCAGAACATACAGGAAGAAAACCATGACCAGGGAACTTGAAAGAAGAAATTCAAACCTAAACTAATCAGCTCTTGGTCTAAAACCAATATCCTATTTGTTTGTAAATATGTCATAGAAATTGAATTTCAATTAGACTATCAGCTCAGGACAATGGGAAATTCCTGCTCTAGTAACTGAGATAACATAACTGAGGAAAGTGAAACTTTATACTCATATTTCAGATGACTAGGGATGCAAAGCAGATAATATACTTTCAACTGATAGACAGGATTGTTAATGAATGAAATGTGACTTCCAGTAAATAAAATAAGATGAATCAACACCATTTTTGAGATCCTTCTCTATGTCTGCATACGACTAGTTTACGGACAGCATAAGGATTTGATCGGAAATATGCTATCCGCCTATCAAAATCATTTGCGACAAGAACATAAGAAAATATGAATGCACATTGTTTCCCTTTGTAGGATGGAAATTTCTGGTAAAGAAACTATATTTGTTGGAAAACAGTTGACCAATTAAAACGTTTAATAAACTTCAAGTTTGGATGTGCCAGTCAGCCGGTATACTTTACAAAGTATCATCAATTTCTCAGTATTTACAACCCAGTCTTCTGATCCAGTCCATTTGGTAATGATTTTGCTCAAATCTGGATTGCAAAAGCGAATCCATCTTCTTGGTGTAACTCCATTTGTTTTATTTTGAAATTTCTCAGGCCACAACTGCCAAAAAACAACATATACAAAATATGTTAAGTACTAGTATAAAACCAGTGCTTTGGTTTGTGAAAATAATTGAATGGGAGCAGAAAAGTTTATGCATTGGGATGTCTACCTTATAGAATTCATTGAAGACTTCATTTTTCACTATTTCACTATGAATCTCAGCAACACCATTTACTGCATACCCACCAGCAACGCATAGGTTAGCCATTCGTACCAACTTGGGAAGTTTTAGATCTGGCTCAATTGATGTCACCTCATTTTTCTTTTCCATGTCCTCTTCCTCAAGTTGGTCTTCCTCATCAGTAGGTTCAGTTTCCTCATCAGAAATATCGTCTTCTTCAGTTGAATCAACAACAGAACTTTTTTCTGATTTAACAAACAATTCAGCCACTGACTCAGGCAACTCAATGTTTTCTGGAATTCTCATTTGTTTCAGCTTTTCTTGCAACAGGTCCAGGTTCTCAGTTCCATACTCATTAATAATAGTTTGGATCAGCTGATACGCATAATAACAAGATCAGATGTCAGATTGTATGGAAAAGAATATATGATCTTAAAGAAACAGTAGAATTTTAGTTTAATTCATATGTAGATTTATGTCTTAGATTGAGGATAACTGATGCTAAATTCTTGATTGAACCAAAAATCACCATATTGCCTATAAAGTTACCTCCTTATCAATCATTCTGATGATCTCAACATGTCGAGGAAGCAATTCCTGCATGAGCTCCAGGCTCCATTTCTCCAGGGCCTGAGGTAGAATTGTGTGGTTTGTGTATGCAACAGTTCTGGCGGAAAGCTCACCGTCAATATAAATACAATCTATTATATAACCAGAAGCCAATTTATAGTAACAATTCATAGGCATATCTTTCTAGATAGTTTTCATATGACGGATAGCATGAGCATAGTGCAAACTTATGGAAACACCAATCAATAAATAGCAGAGGAGCAGCATAACGATGTGTAATATGTATGTAAGCTCCTGAGAGTAAGTACCTCTGTGTGATATTCCAGGCTTGTTCCCAGCTCAAACCCTTCACATCCATCAATATTCGTATCAACTCTGGAATGCAAAGTGTTGGATGAGTATCATTCATCTGAACTGCAACCTTGTCAGGGAAATTTTCCCAATTTACAGTCTCTCCTGATCTCTTTTCATAGCGTGCAATAATATCTTGGAGAGAAGCTGAGCATAATGTATATTGTTGCTTCAGTCTAAGAGTCTTCCCCTCAAGTGACTTATCACCAGGGTATAGTATGTAGCAAATCTAGTAATAACAATTTGCAATAATGACTGGATCAATTATGAAGAAAAAAAAAATCCAGACTACTACTGGTAGTGTAAACATGTCATGCAAAGCACTCAAATTCAATACAATTGTCCTGTTTCTGCCACCAACAAGAAATTCTTGGCTTTCAAGTGCTCTATAAGGTTTAAGGAATAATTCGGAAAAAATGCAGTAAAACTAATTTCCAAATGATTATGAATTCAAACCTTTTCAGTATTCTTCATTGCTAAATATGCTTTGGCATGATCTCCAGCATTGAAAGCACGTAAATCAAACATTTCTGGTGCAACTTTAGTAGACCATAGTCGGAGGTTAATTGTAGTTTTAGTTTTATATCCAGGTATTGGGACATCATAAGCAACAGCCATTATATCCTCCAACCCATTGTTTAATTCCATTGGGGCCTGAAGTGACTTCACCATAGAATTTTAAAGGGTAGGACACATCATTTCTCACAATTTCCCATGGATTTCCCATCTGCAATGAGATAATCAAGAAATGATATTTGACATTGATTCAGACCTTGATAACCACTGTGTTATTACTAAGAAAACAAGGAAATGTCCTAATCTAAGTTCATTATATGGATATGCGTATATCTGAAATTGTTTTGACTAATGACCAAGATGTCATAAATGATATTCGTTGTAACAAAAGATACCTCAAGCCAATTTTCTGCAACTTCCTCCTGAGCATCTTTTGTAATATGCTGTTTGAACAGTCCATACTTGTACCTAAGTCCATATCCCCAAGCAGGGTAATTTAGTGTTGCAAGGGAGTCCAGAAAGCAGGAAGCTAGACGTCCTAAGCCCCCGTTTCCAAGTGCAGCATCTGGTTCCTAGTCAGTAATCAACTGAAAATTTTAGAAACTAAAATCAAGAAAATATAAACACATTGTGGAATTTGCTTAAAAGGAATGCCCAAATATATAGCACACAGGTATATGTGGCTTAATGGAAATTCGAAAGTGGAAATGTAAAGATATTGATTCCCTTTACCGATTAGAGTTGCCAGGCTTTCTTGGATGCTTAAATTATAAGTCCTGAAAAAGATTGATACATAATTTCCCATTTCAAGCAAGTTCATTACTTTTCTGCCTTCCAGGCTTAAGCTTTTGTCTTGGCCAAGGAAAAGCCGAGATGTAATGAACTAATAAGTAATAGACAAGAATCCTTATATGATAGAAGAATCGTGAAGGTGTCTAACCTCCCTAGCTACGTCCTCTAAATTGTGCCCCAGCTTCCTCAAAGCTTCTGCATAAGCTCCTGTAAGCTCTAGATTACCAATCGCATTCAGCAAAGCTCTACCCTGCATAATTGATGACAGAAAACATTTCCACAATCTATGTAGGTAAGTAATTTTGATTCCGAAAAGCAATTTCATTAGCAGGAAGCAGTAGAAATGTAATGTCAAATTAACCTGTAGATACTCCATGGAAAGATAATATGCCTGCTTTACATTAATTTTCTCATAGTAGTCATAAGTAGCATTCCAAATGATAATAAGCGAATCAAGAACACTTTCAGCTGTTGCATAGAATGCCTTGGGGAGCTCAAAATGGTCCGGAGAGAAAGATGGTGTGAACTCAGCATGGTGTTTAATTCTTGACGCAATGGACGCAGAATCTGGAACAAAGGTATCTAGACAAGCTGCAAATAAAAGCAACATAACACATGAAGATAAAATTGACAGAAAAAAAATCAATAATATGTCAGATATTCAACATATCAGGGATATTGGGATCCAATTGTGGAAATAATTGAAAAACAAAGAACAAAAAGGGCATCCATTTAAGCCACTTAGCATTATAAACTCTACAACTCTACAAGAGAAAAACTATTCTTGCAACCTTCACCTAACAGTTTAGCCTTTCAGATAAATCTTTAGCCAAGTACTTCTAATAAGCAGTAGCAGTATTATCTTGGATTCAACTCCTTGTATAGAGAAAAACATGGGTTTCAAAGTTCAACCAACAAAGTAACTACTATGAAAGAAGCAGCAGTTATTAAAAGTAGACTAACCGTCTTCAGTGACTTGAGCAGCATCTTGGAGATCTTGCTTTTGGTCGCTAGCAACACTTTTGATGAAAAAAATTTTCCTCAAGAAAGTAAAACGAGACTTTTTGATGAAGAAAAGGTTTGAGTTCCTTCCTCTATGGTTAAAACCAAAGAAGGTTGAGTGAGAACAGGTTGCAGAAAAATGTAGAGATGCCATTTTTTTGGTTTATCAGTTCTCACCGGTCACCACTACCCCTCCCTTCAGTTGTAGAGAGGGTGATAAAAAAGAGAGAAAATGAGTGAAAGAGAGAGTGTTGCTTTTGTCATCTTTATCTTCGTTTTTGCTTATACTGTTCCATTCCATCCATCTCAATTACCATGTTCTAAACGAGGGAAATTTGTAACCATGCCTCATTTCCTGTTGTTGTCGATTGGATTAACTGTTAGTTTGTTATTAATTTCTCTGGAATCAAACGTTAATCAACCGAATTTGGATGCCAATATACCACATCTGCTTGTCATTGGGTGCTTTAATTCTTGTTAAGTAACGACAGTTTTTGCTTTATTTGACATTGCAAGAATCCTGTTACCGTCGTGCCTATTTGACTGGTACTTGCAACTTTACAGGGTCAGATTTTTCTGACAAAAACAAAGATTGAGTGGAGTTGGCGTAAGCCAATTGACATGGACCGTCCATCGGAAGAGGCCGTACAAAGGGCTGCCAAAAGATTTTGGTCACGTGGAGCAGTTGAAGATATATTGTTGTTCAAAGGCCAAAGGGGGGACCATGTCAAATGCCAATCCAGTGGGCTTGTCCTAATACAGATATTTCACAAGAAAAAAGTGATGCCTCTAAGGAGAAACTATCAAACATCTGTCTTTATTCATTTAAATCTTTGATTTTCTTTTCTTGTTATTTTATTTTTTTCAATAAAAATAAATAAGAAAATGCGAAAGATGTATGTTAAGCGTTACGAAGGTTTGGACATTGAAAAATATAGTATTATTTTATATAAACAAAATCCACAAAATTTACGTAATTATTTTATATAATTAAACAATTATTAGTGACGGCCCAAAGCAAAACCCAATTTTTGTCTAGTGCTTGGGCTTGGAACCCCGAACAAAATCTAAAATTACAAAGCTCATAAAAGAACTTTTTTTTTTTTTTAAAGAAGGGGAAAATGCGAAAGTAGTTCAAACTCCAACGGTCTAAAAAAATGAGACCTCCTGCAGTTTTGGAGGTTATTGCCAATGGGCCTCGCTCTCCTTTTCCGAGGGCTCCTCCCATCTGTGATCAAAGATAGAGAAGATAAAAAGACAACAAATAGATAATAATAATAATAAAAAAAGAAATTTCCTCTCTCTTTACACGCAAACCCAATTTCTTTTTTGGTTTTCCTTCTTGGGTTTGCGTATCAATTTTTTTTTCTCTTCATTTTTTGTTCAATTTCAAGTTTTTTCAAGTACCCTTTTGTTTAATTTGCTTGTATTTGTATTTTTCTTTTACTTGAATTTCTTTAAATGTGATATAGTTGAGTTATGGGCCCTCTTTGTTGTATAATCTTATTCTTTGTAAATGGAAATGAGTAGCAAAGATTTCACTCTATCTTTTTGCTTTCTATGAAACAATTGCTTGTTTCTTAGGAACCATTTGTTGAAGAATCAACTTTCAAGGTGTTCTTGTCATTTTCCTTTCTTGGCTTTTAGATTCTCAAACAGAATTTTTATAAAATATTTGGATTTATGAGACTTAGGCAGAAGTCAGTGGACCCACCAACTGCTTCTGGTTCTGGTTCCAGCCCATATGATTCATACACTGAATGTAACAAGAACAGCACTATTAACCTTGTAGAAGGACTTCCTCTGAGCCTGTGCTCTTAATCCCAGATTTGAATGATGATGACCAGGGAAGACGAAAGCAAACTTCTGCATCCGCTAGGCCATCACCTGCAAGAGATAGAGATAGATACAAGAATGATTTCCGTGACCTGGAGAATTATGCTGTCTACAAGGCTGAGGAGAATACAAATAGTGTTAATAACTGCTTGAAGATTGCTGAGAACATCAGAGAGGATGCTGCAAGGACACTTGATATTTTACATGAGCAAGGACAGCAAACTGAAAGGACCCACATGATGGCTGTTGACATAGATAAGGATTTGAATAAGGATTTCCGTTATAGCAGATAATTTTGTGTATTTGATGACATGATGAAGGAACTGTGGTATCATCTGATCGTAATAGGACTTTAAGTTAATGAAATTGTCTGAGACTCGCAAATAGAATATCTATGGCTTAAGCATGTGGTTATGTACGGGAAAGTGTATACTTTTGATGCTTATAAGCTACTCATACATATGTACAAGGCTTTAGGTAAACATGTTTCTTATCTCTTGGTTGATGTGTGGTCCAAAAATTATAAAAAAGACAACAAAAAAAAAGTGAATCAATTTAGACATATTTCCATGTTATAATCTTCTGGTCTTTTTTGAACGTGTAATGTTATTTGATTTTCTTATACAGAAAGGCAATCCACTGCTAGGTGCAATCAGATGATCAAAGGAGCCAAGTTTTTGTGATTTTCTTGTCTGTTCTGATTATTTATTGAAAATAATTCGTTATTGTCATTTAGAAATAGACCAGCACTTTATGATCTAAGAACTATCTTCATTTTAGCTCTCAAACCCCATTTAGAATTCATATTGTTGTTCTTGTGTTCCAAATTCCTTCTAACTGGATTCTATAACTTCGCAAATATCAGGGTGAGAAGCTTTTGAATGGTCTAGGCGGCATGTTTTCTAAGCCTTGGAAGCCAAAGAAGACCCGAGAAATCAAAGGGCCTGTGATCACCTCAGGTTTTCTTCTAATACAATTTATTCACTCCCTCAGCGCATTAACTTATTCAAACACTTTCCATTTAGACTTCAATATTAAGGATTTAACCGCAATATGAAAATGTTTAAAAATGTAATTGTATTTTGGTATGATTGATTGTTTATTGTATTGGTTTGGTAGATAGTTCATCCAACAAAAGCAAAAACCAGAAGGAGCAGAGAGAAAAGTTGGGTCTGGCACCTGTGCCTAAAGCTCAGCCAGGAAGTAAGACACCTCCTCCTGAACCAACCGACGCCATACAGAGAGTTGAGGTTAGCATTATGATGTGTATACGAAACTTCGTAAAATTCTGCTATTGCGCTGAGATTAATTGGTTATCTAACTCCAGCTTGGGAAGACAAAGCAAGATGATGCACTGTCAGATCTAAGTAAAATCTTGGGTGATCTAAAGGGCATGGCTGTTGACATGGGATCTGATCTTGAAAGGTCCGTTATCGAGCACTTATCATGTCCAAGTGCTAGTAATCTTCTGCACTGCTTTAAAATGTCTGAAATGCCTTTCGCACTGCTTGAAAATCTGCATTTGTTAGTGACTTTTTTCTTGGCTGAAGCATGAAGGTTTAGCAGTGTTATCAAATAGAATTGCCATTGGCACCATAAGGGGCTTCCCTGTAGATTTAGCAATATTTTCATATTGTCATACAAGTTTTTGTGGTAAAGCTAGTGATTTTTCTTTCTTGGTTTCATGAATGTGTTTCTTTAGTAAAGTTACACCGCATACCAGATCCAGATGTTTGGCAATATTAACCAACAGATCTATGTTGTTTACATCTTTCTTAATCTTTTTATGTACCTTGTCTCATATTGTTGTTAAATGATTTGGTGAGTACAGACAAACCAAAGCTCTTGATCACCTCCATGATGATGTGGATGAACTCAACTCTCGAGTGAAAGGTGCCAATCAATGTGCACGTCATTTACTTGCCAAGTGAAAAGTTGCAGAGCTTACCAAATTTGCTTCACATTCCTTTATTTAAAAGTTTTAACATTCCTTTTCGACCAAACATTTGTCATTATTGATTTACTCCATTGGTTTAAGTGGAATAAATACAATGTTTTCCTTCACATATAATCTTTCATGTTGTGTTGCAGCAAAAACTTGGGCATTTGCATTTTTTGAGTTGGAATGATTAAGTGGGGTCTAAAATCAGGGCATAAAATGCTAAATACATGTATATGCCATTTGATCTGAATAGTACATAATACAAGATTTGAACATTGACTCAACAGAGAGTTATTCTAGTTAAAATCATACGCCTTTGACTCCAAGTTTGCAATCAACTAAAGTATATTTTGGTAAAAATTAAACAACCATCCGAATGCAATAGTTGGTTCCTGGTGAGACATACATATCAGGCACAAATTATTCATATTATTTATGTATAATTCGTGCCTGATATATGAGATAAGCAAAATTTGCACCTTAATTCATACATGTTAAAATGGTGTGAAATATGTCATCGACTGCTTTGATTCACAGCTATAGAGGAAAATGTATAATTCATGCCTGATATGAAATCAAGTATACATACAAATTTGTCATTAATTTGACACAACACTAAAATATCATATATGTTACAATAGAGTGAAGCATGTCATAAAATGCTTTACTTCAGAACCACGTGCGAAAAATTGAATATTTTACAAAGGTTTAAAGATGCACCATACCCTGTATCCAGCTTCTTATCCGCGTCAAAATAGCATGAGAGCACGAAGCACCATTATGGACCGCATAACTATGTGTTACAGCAAATAGGTTTGAAATTTTGAAGCACACGCTACAGCTTTAGCTTTCTTCATGTCTCCTCAGTTTTCACGTTTGTCCAGCCCCTTCCTAAGGCAGCTCGTTTCCTTGCATGTGAAACAAAACCAAGAACATAGCCAACAAAACCCCCAAGCACCAAGACACTACCACCCCAGACATAATGTGAAAGTGAGGACTGCATCACCTCATCCTTATGGACCACACCAACTTTACCACTGTCATCATCACCGCCATTAAGAACTTGCCCAGATGCCAAAATCTCAACCATGTCATGCACCTCCCCATCATGGTTTCCTACAAAAGAAAGTATAAGCTTCTCTTTTGTAGCAACTAATCTAGTGTACCCAAACTCACCCGTGCGGTACAAAGACCTCTTTGGTTGTGGGTAGATTGGGTCATTTGGATGGTCAGGTCTAGGTTCCCATTTTGGTTGCCAGTCTTGTCCTCCCATGCCAATCACAACATGAACCGGTAATGCTTCCCAGCCCTCCTCCTTTAGCCCCATGCTTCCACATGTGAAGTTCTTCAGTGGACAAAACCTCTCATAACGGTGGACATGGCCCCATAGCGCAAGGGTCACATTGTTTTTCACAAACAAAGGTTCCAAGTGCTGAAGCATTCTCTCTCTCAATGGAGCATCTATAACTTCATAGCTCGTAGTGTACATTGGTCTATGCCCTTGAACTACAACAAAAGGGGTCTTTGTCCGATCAACTGACTGTAGATCATGCTTCAGAAAATTATATTGCCTGCTTCCAAGAAGGAAATTTGTTTCAGTTGAAAGGTACACGAAATGAACTGGCCCCATATCAAATGAGTAGTAAAGGTTTCGGGTAGCTGGAGCATGGGTTCCAGTTGGTTCTGAAGAGTTGCCAGGCATATTGAATCTAAGGCTGTAGGGCACCCCACATTCACCACCCCCATCTGTTCCATAAATTGAATTGGACCACTCAGGTCTCCAAGGCTGTGAAGGCCAATCATATTCATGATTACCAATGCACACATGATATGGCACCTTGGAGGCCACAGGCTCAATTAGGTTGAAAAATTCATCCCACAACCATGAGTAGCCTCTTGCATAGCTGATATCCCCAATATGGGAAACAAAAGCAGGCTTGTCTCCAAGAGCTTCAATGTCACGTAGGATCCACTTAATGGTTGATATGCTTTCATCTTGTGTACGACTAAAGGTTAAGTATGGTGTAGCAGTTCCCATGTCTCCAAATAGGAAGGCTATTGTTTCATTTGAACTTGTGTCCAATGACACAAAGCTGCGTGTTGTGCTCCAACCTTTAGACTCACTTCCAACCTATCAAAAACAGAGTAGAGCAAGTTATCATCTAAATTAACTAGTAAAGTTGAATTGGCAGTGCATCATGTCTTCAAGGAAAAAATGATTTTCCACTTTTGCTTATTCCTAACAAGTAACAAGGATACAACATACTAGAATTATCAGGATAAATATATGAATCACACTCAACATTGACATATGAATTAACTTGAATGGATACTGTCAAAGGATATTATAGCCAACCACTTCCAGACTCGGTGGTATCCAGCCATATACTAAAAGCACTAGATAGATCACAGGTTCAAACTTCAAACCTAGGCATTCCTACCCTCTCCTTCCTCATGATCAAAAGTAAATTCACCAACACAAGGAGCTGGGCATTTTGAATTTTCCCACAATCATTTTAAATAAGATGTTTAGCTATTGAAAAATGAACCCTTTTTAGTTAGAACATAATCTAGTTGAACAATGAACATTTCCAAATTTTGCAAGCAAAAATGTCTGCTTTGTTAATGTTACCCAAAGTAAAAGAAACGTAATCAATTATCAATGCTATAATCAACAAGAAAATATAGTAACCAAGCAAAACCAGATTCCACCTTGATCCTTGTTAATCCTTGATAGAAAGAACAACATAAAAACAAAGTGTAAAAAATCACAAATAATTACAAAATTTACCTGATAATAATATTTGACACCACCCTTTAAACCCGTCATAACCACATCAAATATCCAACCAGGATCCCTCCATCCAACGCTCTCATTAGCTGGGGCATGACACATGTCTTCCCTCTCATACCTCCCGGCACGTGCCACCGCCACGTTACCTTCCCAATCTCCTTCCTTCTCCCCATACCTCACGTGCCTTTCCTCCGGATCCTCCGCAACGAACATCACCCGCATCTCCCCTTCCCGACCCGTCAATGCCAAGTGAATCTGCTCTGGCCCACGGCCCGGCTCGAACCCCACCCTCTCCGACTCCGCCAACAAATGATTCGTACCCGGCAGGGGATTATGATCGTGGTCGTGGAGATCAGGTTTCACCTCGGATTCAGTCCATCGGAAGATTCGGAAGGAGTAGTTAGAGCGAAGGGAGGTGAGGGGTAGAGAAATAGAGCCCGACCCTGACTCCCAAGTGGGGGAAGAGGAAAGGAACTTGTAACCAATGAAGTTGTCGTGGGATGAATCGGGGGGCGAGTAGAGGCCGAGCCAGTCGAGTTTGGACGGTGAGTCGATGCCGGACCATTGGATGAGAACCGAATCGCCCGACTTAGTCAGGGTTTTCGGAGTTACAATGAGGATGGGTTTGGATTGGGAATGGGAGAGAAGAGAAAGGAAGAAGAAGAAAAGCAAGATCATGGCAGATAGACACGATGAGGATTGCTGGATAGCTGTCGGAAAGAATGAAAAAAAGCTATGGCCGTTGAGCATGTTAAGGATCGCATTTTTTTTTTTTTAGAATATTCTTTTTTTAATCATTTTGGAGAAAATTCTCTTCTTTTTTTTTTTTTCGGATTACGTGAGACTAGCGCAAAGATTTAATTGTCAGTGAAAAAAAAAATATAGTATTAGTTTTAAGATGCACGGTGTTAATTCTGTATAATTTTAACAAATAAATTTTATATAAGAATTTTGGTAAAAAACAAACAGAAAACTTTACATCATAATAAAATTTTAATATAAAAAAATAAATATTGGACAGCGATTTGTAGCCATTAGAAGATAGGTTTCAATAATGCTCATTCAATAATAGTATTTAAAGAAAATAAATAATTTCTTTAATTTTAAATAATTAAAATTTACTTTACTTAAAATTAATCTCATATATAAAATTTTTCGTGAAAGATTTTTCTATAACTTATTGAAATAAAAATGGTGTAATTAATTATAGTGTTTCTAATTATCTTTGAAGAGTATATTTTGATGACTAAATTTTAAATATGCTAATGAAGCACTTGTGAATGATAAAGTTAAAAAATTTTTTTATTTATTTTAAATGAACAAATAGGTTATAATTAAAAAAATATAATTTATTATTCAAATTTAAAATCGAAATTTGATAAACATCTATTAATTTATAAAGTAAAGTAAAATAAACTAAACAATATTAAAAAATTAATTTATTAAAATAGAAAAAGTTAATATTAGTTAATTATGCAATCTATCTAGCTTTTGCTAAAAAAAGTGCTAAATTAAAAAATTAAATGAATATAATATATATATATATATATATAGTAATTAGTCAAATGCGTTGACAATGCTTAGATGCCAAACTTTTCCCTATTTAAAACCTTGAATTGACGCTTAAAATTAGAAATTAAATCAACCTTTTTATATATTTGGAATGATGAGACATTGAAAAATGAACTGCATTTGTTGAATTTAAATATTATATAATAATGAGATCTGGATTTAGAAACAAAGGAAGAAGTTTTAAAATTTTAAAATTTTATGTTTTAGTTTTATTGCGTATAGATTTAATTGTTTAATTATATTTTAATTTATTGATTTATTATTTAATATTGTATTATATATGAATATAATTATTAATCATGATTGTAAGTTTTCTTCTATTTATAATGTAAAAAAAAAAAATTGTACTAAACCCTTGAATGAAAATAATGTAATATTATTTCTAAATTTTTTAGATAAAATATAATTTTAAAACTTTAAATAGAAAATAATATAATTTTTTGTTTTTTAGAATAAAAATGAAACTATATTGTTTTAGACATTAAGCAAGTGATAAATTAAAAAGATTTGGCAATGAAAACAAGAATAATTTTTTGGTCAATGGTGTTTGTTAGATTTGTTCATCAAATCTCCAGTTTTGTTTTAAGACATTTTATTTTATTAATTTAAAATTATTTTTTATTTAATTTTAATTTTAAATATAAAAAATAAAATTTTTATACTTTCATGCCGGACTCTGGGATGTAAGAAGCCAGGCCCACAATCCATCATCTCACCAATCACAAAATTACAAAATAAAATAAAATAATCTAAGTTTCCAAGTCCGCGTCTTCCGACCAAACTTAACCAAACCCACACACTTTCTGCAAAAAAATCTGTGAACTTAGGTTACCAATTTTTTTTAGCTTTCCATTTTAATCCTTAACCATGATCTCCTTCTTCAATCTCTAATTCTCATAATATATTTTTTTTAAATTCGGAAAAAATGGCTCGTTTATTGACTCTGCTCTTCATTTTCTCTCTGTTTCTCAACCTTTCCTATTCCAAAACTCTCAAACGCGACGGTAAATTTTCCTGATTTCTTAATCAGTTTTTTTCCTTTTTTTTTTAATTTTTAATTTTTTGTTTGGTTTTGATAGTTAAAGCATTGAATGAAATAAAGGCGTCATTAGGGTGGAGAGTGGTGTACGCTTGGGTCGGTGACGATCCCTGCGGTGACGGAAGCCTGCCGCCATGGTCTGGCGTCACCTGTTCCCTCCTGGGTGACTATAGAGTTGTCACCGAGCTGTAATTTCAATTTTCCTCACTCTTTTTCTAATTTAATTACGTTCATTTTCATTTGTTCGTTTTATATAATTTGGTTCGTTGAATTTGCAGGGAAGTTTATGCAGTGTCAATCGTGGGGCCATTTCCTGTTGCAGTGACAAATTTGCTTGATCTTACACGACTGTATGATTAAATTATAATAATCGTATTTTCAAAAATAATTTCCTTTTTTTCATTAAATTAATGAAATTCAAAGTTATTAACAATCTTTCTATGATTGTTGCATCTGATAGTGATCTGCATAATAACAAGCTAACTGGACCGATTCCACCTCAAATTGGACGGCTCAAACGTCTCAAAATACTGTATGTTACCTTATTTTCTCTTAGTTTTAATCAACATTGTGTGTTCTTCAGCTTCATAGCTAGAATCTTAGATTATGGAATAAAGGGTAATTTTTGTTAGGTTTTGTTAACTTTGGTTTGATGTCATTTCTTGAACTTTCTGTTTCTGGTTTAGTAATTTGAGGTGGAATAAGCTACAAGATGTTCTTCCTGCTGAAATTGGCGAACTGAAGAGTCTAACACATTTGTAAGTATTACATGCTTTATTAGGTAGAGATATTCTTTTTTCATATTATTATCTCTGATCTGATAGATGGTGTAAAATCACTAACTGGAACTTGTTTAGGTATCTGAGCTTTAATAATTTGAAAGGGGAAATCCCCAAGGAGCTTGCAACTCTACCAGAGCTTCGCTACCTACATCTACATCAAAACCGTTTTTCAGGGCGTATTCCAGCAGAGCTGGGCACTTTGGAGAAACTTCAGCACTTGTAAGATTACTTTTCTCCTTAAATCTATAATGTTCAAGAGTGAGCTTTGATATGATGATATCTGTTGGGTTGCATATCCAATTCTAATACCATATGTTTTTAGGGATGTTGGGAACAATCATTTGGTAGGCACTATAAAACAACTCATAAGCATTGATGGTTGCTTCCCTTCACTTCGGAACCTGTAAGTTCATTCCAGTTGGTGCATTAACAATGACTTTGTTGAGTTTTTCAAGGCCTGGTTATTTTGAATGAATGGCTAATTGCAGCTGACTTTTGTTTGAAACATCGGCCTAGGTACCTAAATAATAATTACTTAACAGGAGGAATTCCAGCACAGCTAGCAAGCTTGACCAACTTGGAAATCTTGTAAGTATAGTGATTTAAACTTTGGGGATATGGAATGGAGGACTACATATTTTTGTACGCCACCTTTGTAACTATGTTACAGAACTCTTGTTAAATCTGATTATCATTAATTGCTCTATTGGTTACAGGTACCTATCCTATAACAAACTGTCTGGAGTAATACCATCTGAAGTTGCTCATCTCCCTCGGTTGACTTCGTTGTAAGTTTCTTTTTTCACATTTGTGATACTTTTTTATTTCTTCTGGATCTTTCATCTGTCTCTGATTTTTAGTTGCAATTTGCATGAAACAAGCGGCCTGGAGTACAGTTTCATTGTATTAAACCAAAAAGTTCATTAATTTGCTTGATTGCTTGATAATAGATTGAACTTAAACATTTTTCGGCTTTTGCCACACTGCTCATGTTCTTTAATAAGCTAGCCATATTATGGAAGGTAAGTAATATTTTTACGTACTTAATACTTAAAATGGCCTGCTGGATTATGAACAAATGCATTCTATATGGCACTATGTGCTGTATCTGCAGTCCTGTATGCACAATTGCATGTGGGATTATGAACTTGTTTGCATACATGTTCTTATATTTGCTCGTATTGGAACTGCAGGCATTTAGATCACAATCAATTTGCAGGAAGAATTCCTGAAGCACTCTATAAACATCCCTTCTTGAAAGAAATGCAAGTTTTCTTCAACACTCTGTTCCCTCAACCTTACAACTCTTATAAAGTCTGTTAATTGACAATTTCTTGAACTTTCTTTACAGGTACATTGAAGGAAATTCATTCCGGGCAGGAGTAAACCCAATCGGTGTCCACAAAGTCCTGGAACTTACCGACTCAGAGTTCCTAGTTTAGTCAAAGCAGCAATATAGTATTCTTTATTGTTATATCAATTTTGGAAATTTTGATTATATTTGCCAAGACAGTGATTCATCCAATTCTCTGGCAATGGAAATCTTAAGTTTTACCCACTTCTTGTCATGTATTTACTGAATGATGGCTTTGAGAATAAGATTAATGAGCTAATTGTAAATATTTACGTTATTTACAGATTACACAATTAAAAAATGGACAGGAACTGAAAAACATAAAAATGTAGAATTGGGAACAGTAACAGGTGCTGCAACACTAACGGATTAGCCTCAATTTGTACTGTTAATCAGCCGAATATATTTCCCCTGCATAATCCAATTGCTTGTCTAACTTGTCCAATATCAAGTGTATTTCCTCCATTTGAAGGTGACTTTTCTCCCCAGCAATAAACTCATGAACTATCCCATTGATCTTGACAGAACTGCAACCTGGTGCCTTATTCACCCCTCGGCTTCTCATCATCTGTTTTATTCTTTTGGCATCATAATGTTTCCCTGACGCTGCATACAGGTTTGAGAGCAAAACATATGCACCACTATGATCTTCTAGCTCCATAAGCTTCTCAGCAGCGACCTCACCCAGTTTGGTTTGTCCGTAACTATAGCAGGAACTCAGCAGTGCTCTCCAGGCAATGGCTTCGTTGGAGGGATTGCTCGAATCGGGCATTCTTTGAATTATTTGACTTGCTTCTTCAAAGAGCCCACCTCGGCTAAGTAGGTCAATTATACACCCAAAATGCTCACTTTTAGGCTCAATTTTGTACACATTACACATTATATCCAATATCCTTAGACCTTCAAACACCATGCCAGAATAACTACAAGCACTAAAAACAGCAATAAAAGTAACGTCATCAGGCCTGACTCCATCATTCTCCATTTGCCTAAACAGTTCAAGTGCACTTTCTCCATATCCATGCATTGCCATCCCAGAAACCATTACATTCCAGCTTACAACATCTCTTTGCCGCATTTCATCAAACAGCTTTTTAGCCATATCCAAATTCCCACATTTCGCATACATATCCACAAGACAAGTACTCAAACGAAGACTCAACGGGAACTTTTGTTTATCCAGATATTTATGAATCCAAATTCCAGTATCTAAAGCACCTAAATGAGCACAGGCACAAAGAATGCTGACAAATATAGCCTCATCAGGCTCTATATCATTCATTTGCATTAGCCTGAACAGATAAAGACCCTCTTTAAAACAATTATTTTTTACATATCCAGAAATCACAGCACCCCAAATTCCTCTATCCTTCACCGGAGCCTCATCAAAAAGCAATCTTGCAGTGTCAATATCACCCATTTGCCCATACCCAGAAATCATAACTGTCCATGAAACAACATCTAGCTTAGGAATCTCATCAAAAATGGACCTTGCTACTTTCAAATTATCAAATCCACAATACATAGCAATCAAAGCATTACCCACAAAAATATCAAACACAAAACCCAATTTCAAGCAATGACCGTAAACCAATTCTCCAAAGCAAAAATATTGCAACTTTGCACAAGCTTTTAACACATAAGGCAAAGTATAATTATCAGGGTACATGCCATTATTCAACATGTTAGTGTACAAACGAATCGTTTTAAAGATTTCGCCTTTGACAAAGAAAGCTTTGATCATGGTGTTGCAGATACAAATTGTGGGGTTTTGAATGTGTTGGAAGAGGTTCCAGGCATGGGTAAGGCTTCCATGATTTGGGTTTGCACAGAAAGCTAAGAGCCTGCTTAAAGCAAAATTGTTGGTGCCAAGGCCACATGTGATTGCTTGTGCATGAGCTTGGTTTAGTTGGTTCATGTTCTTGCATCGCTCCAGTAGTTTTAAGCATCTCTTGCTACTGCTTGACATGAGTTTGATGAGCAGCTTAGTTTTGTCTACTAGAAAAGTAAAAGCTTAGATTTTTGGATAGAGTAATAAACATTATATCATTAAGAACATACTCACTTGGCAACTTTTTTATTTTTTAACAGTGGTGGGAAAGATGTGTCTCCTACCTTTGCTGATGGCTCTTGGTAAATTTTTTTTAGCTCCAAACAGGTGTTTAGACCAACTGCGGATGACATCAACCTACAATTACAAGGTCTTTTGCAGACAAGCTTTCATTGGTATAAATCATGCTTTCCCTAATACTACAATGTTTATTCCCAATCCAGATTGTTATGGTTAGTATCCTAAAATCTTCTTCTTACCCTTATTTTTCTATAGCTTTTAACATTTCATCAGCTTATTTGTTGCATTTCTGCCAGTGCAGTTTATGACATCGGCTTAAGAAAGTATTATACTGACTCAAAGGTACTAATCCAAATTTGCGTGCATATGCTAATTGTGCAAAGAAAAAGATATGCTAACTTCGAAAAAAAAAAAATCTTTTCCTCTCCACTATATTTACATTTTCTTATTAAAAAAAATTAGATCACTTCTATTTTTTTATTGCATAGTCTGCGATTTCTCTAATTTTGATATCTTGTCAAAATGATGAAAATCTGTATATTGTTAGACGAAATTTAGAATTTAGAGGTTATAAGAATAAAGAAACTACATTTTTCATAAAAAAAAAAGGATGTGTTATTATACTTATTTAGTCTTGAGAATCTTTCTTTTGAGCTGATAATATCTGTACGAACTAAAAGAAAAACAAAAAGCTATCAGACCAAAACAAGATTGTTCTCAAACCTTTTGGGAAAAGATACCTTGTTGAAGATGTTTGAAGGATCAAATAATATAATATAAATCTTACAATTTAAAACACAAAGAATGAAGGGAAAGAATACGTTTCTTGACTGATTGCACATGAAGAATATCCAAACCAACCTTTGCATGCAAAGCATATAACCAAAGCTTGCATGCTGGTGTTTGCCTATGACCAACCATAGCAATTCATCCTTTCTCTAGACAGGTTTATATTATCCTTTAAATGAAAGCATCCATCTCTCGTGCCAACCAATTCATCGCTTAAAAAGTTGAGATTTCTTTCAGGGAAGTGTCATTTGAAACAATGGAAAATTTGATGAGGCAGATGAGGTAATTGTTTTATTTATTTATTTTATTTTATAGAGGAAATTGGAATTTCATTAAACAGCAATCAGATTACAGAGGTAATTCTATTATCTCGGGCAACATAAAAATACAAATACATTTTTTCCTTCATATTTTATCCAAATGCTTGTTTTAGGATCTAACGTTCACCTGATTAAGATGCATTTTTTCCTTTTCCTTTCGTTTCGGACATAGCAATAGGAAGAATTTATCTGTGTAGATAGACTTGTGCAAGAGAAAATTAAAAATATATATGTTCGGCAACTTTTATTTCACTGTGTAGAAGATGTTGATGTCCTTTAGGGATCTGCTGCCATTTGACTGATCGCTTGTGCCAGGGGAAGATTTTCCGGTGCTGGAAAAGGAAAAACGGAAGAGTCAAGCAGTAGTAGAAACCAAAGGATACCACCACAAAAAACTCAATCTTTTAAAGGAGGTAATAGGAAGTTAGTAACAATTTGACATAAACTGAACATTAGGAACATTAAGATCACATCCCTCTTTGTACCAAAAAGTACATTCCTCCTGCATCATCATTTTACAGAGACATAAAATTGAAGCAACAATAACAAACCTTAATTTTGGATTTTGCAGAGAAGAGAACCCAGAACTGGTTTCAAAAACAATGTTCTGAGAAAATGATGAATTGGAATCATGATTCAAACCATACAGCAGAGCAAGTAGTTGCAGTTGCAGCTGCTGCATATGTCATTTACTCGATTGCAGAAACAAGCATCCGAGATAAAAAAAAGACCAGTGTGGATCTTGAACGCTCTCTGATCAAGGATAAGAGCAGAAAGGAGGATTCAACATTTCCAATATTAAAACCTGGCACTGTATCCGAACCATTCTCAGGTAAAGATACAAAGCGTGAGAAATAAATCCAGATATCCATGTAACAGTGTATTAAGAATCTCTACTTGTTGCCACTGCTTAACAGGTGAAGGTTTGACAAAGAGTTCAGAAAGTGCTAAGAGCAAAGTGCCAGTATCTGATGAAAAGGCAACTAGACGTGCTCCATCATTTAAAAAACCTCTTAGTTTTGCTGATCACTTGGGCAGCACTAGCAGTACAAAACCCACAAGTGCCCCTAAACCTGATATGCTTTCCCGTGAACTAGAAAGTGCAGCATCAAAACCTGATCTCCCTGATGTAAAACCTGAAAGTACAGCGCCAAAACCTGATCTCCCCACCATAAAACCTGTAAGCACAGCACCAAAACCTGATCATCCTGCCATTAAACCTGGAGCTGCAGCAAGAAGACCTGAAGAGCCTCCTACAATTAAGCCTGTGGCTCCAGGGATAGAAGCCAAAAGACAGAGTGCAGCAAGGCCAGGGACAAAGCAGATAAAGGCAGACGCTTGGGAGAAGGCTGAGATGACCAAGATCAAAGAACGGTAATCATTCATTGCCAGTTTATTAATTACTATCCTATAGCACTAACCAGTTAGTAGCAATAGATTAAAGCCAGAAAGCCACTCAACTACATTGAAACAACAAATGCAAGGCCAACATAAAAAAGTCCATCTTCAATTCAAAAAGCAATTAGTATTATATCATTTTATTTACTAACAGATAAATTACAGGCATGTTAAGTTAAATAGCACGATACTTGCCTGGGAAGAAAAGAAAAAGAAGAAAGCAAGAAACAGGCTGGACAAAGCAGAGGTTAGACTTGTTTTCCTTTTCTTAATTCAAACAAATTCTTAGAAACCAACAGCTTATCTCTTGGAGCAGAAGAGTGAATCGGAGAAAAAGAGAGCACGAGCCTTAATAAAATTCAGGAATGAAATGGAGTACATCAAACAAGTTGCAGATGAAGCAAGAGCACAGGCAGAGGCAAGGCAAAGAAAAGATATGCTTAAAGCAAAGGAGAAGGCAAATATAATTAGAACAACAGGAGAGGTTCCAAGGACATGCTTCTGCTGCTGAATGTAACTAATAATGTAGCATCATGAGTTTGAAGTCACATGTGCGAAGATCATTTTCACAATGCTATGACTAACTCAAAGATGCCAATCACAAGTAAAGACACCATCATTTGATTGATTTAACACTTGTTCAATGAGAAGTTACTTAAAGAACCTTGAGTAGTTTTATTAAATATTTCTGACAACCGATGTTTAGTATGAACATATATGAAGCCATATAGCAGTTGATGAGGGAAAAATTTACCCCATTGTCTTTGTACAAGACTCTTTTACTCAATCCAATTATAAATTTACAATGCTAGGAAAATGGGGATCAATTGCAGAGTTCCTTTTGTCTTATTGTTTGTGAAGGAAGTTGAATACTCTCAAAGCATGACTATAATCCAAAATTTAATTGCTGCAGAAGCATGAATGAAAATCCAATCTTTCGTTGAATTCACATATAGCACAAGTAACTATACAAAGGAAATTATAAACCTAAAAGTCAAAGAAATGGACAAGAGTAAAGAAGCTTATTAAATTTTCCACACTTACTGCCATCTGAGCAACTCCCATCATCACTAATGAATAACACGAAAGTATTAGCTTGGAACTGCAAAATATCAAAGGATCAAAAGATCATGCTGAGAATTTGAAACCTAGTCAACTGTACTAAGTCCTTTTGTGTAGATTACAAAATATAAATGTCACACAAAGATAAACTACTACTGGAGCCTCCATGCTAAATTTGAACCATAATGTTTCTATGTTAAACTTTTCTTTTTGGTAAATGAAAAGATCTTCACGTGATGAACAAATAAAAAAATGACTAACATTGCAACCCGAGGCCGAGCTATAACAATTATTCACCTCCAGATAACATAGTCAACTTTCTACATGATAACAGAATAGACGTAATCTAGAAGGTTAATACAGCAAGGATTACTGTGACCAAAAAAAAAAAAAATACAGCAAAGGATTACTAAATTCTCAGAGTCGTCTTCCTATCTGAGGCTAGCTAAATGCACTTATGAACAATATTATCTGATCAAATTTGTAGCTTTTTCCATAAAAAGCACCAAGCATCTACTCTGATTGTCAAGGAAACCATAATGAAACCAACTGGTGGCCTATTTGTGACTAAGCATTGCCAACTGTAGCCTTGATAGAAAATCTCTAAAAATTCTTAAGAACAAGAATTATCTATTGACCTCTTAAATAACAAAGTTCATCACTAAATACCAGGCCAGGATCCAATGCAGAAAACTCACCTTTTCCCCCTCTTTTATTCCATAAGACATTAGGCACATTCTCAACAATGTTGAAAGATTCCCAGCAAATCGGACATACCAACCCTTTGTCTCCACTTCCATTCGAGCAGACATCATTGTCTAAACACTCCAAACAAGCTCGACTCCCCTCTTTTGAATTCTTTGCTTGCAATGGCATTGGAAGCAAAATTCTACATCGTGACAGAACAATAAAAAATTAATAATAAAAATTAAGAACTGTTGTAACTAACTCTTTACTAGTTAGAAAGGAAAAGCAGGGGAATTTTCCAACTGTACCAAATCGGAAAAACCCAAAAAAAAAAATTCAATGGAAGGAAGCCAATCGTTCAAATTTAGCATAATTATGCAAAAATTATATTCATAACATACGAATTAAATCCCAGGAAATGTGAAAAAAAATAATTAAAAAAAGACAGCGATTGGAATCTGGAAGACAATGGGAAACAGATGAAAAGAACAGAAGTGGAAATTGTAAAAACATGGAATCATGAATTTAGAGATCCATAAGGTTGAGAAAAGAAGAAAATTTACCAACAAAGTTGGCTGATTTTGAAGAGAAACGAAAGGTGGAATCGTTGGAAAAAGAGAATAGATCGAAAACAGAAAGCAAAGAATGGATTTTGGATTTATTTACCGCAAACGAATACGACGTCGTTTGACTTTGAGAATCTTTTATAATAATAAAATCGTTTCCTTGGCGACCGAAAAAAAAGCTTGTTTCATTTTTCTCCCATCTCCCAGGCCCCAGCGCCACACTGGAACATCCACCGACCCTTTCCTGCCTTCCTGAGTTCCTCAAGGTAAGATTTTCAGTTTCTTCTTGTCTTCCACTCTTGCTCACGACTATGAGTTTTAGCTTTCGTTTTAAGATTTGGGACCGTAATGTATGCTGATATTGATAATGCTCACGTCTTGGCTTTCGTAATGCTGTCGTCTGCTCGCTGTCCGATTGCTTTGCTTTAATCCAAATTCTATGTTTTGAGAATATATTAATGGGTATTGCATATATTATATGGTTAACAAAAATCAGATAGTATTTGGGTATTTTTCTGGTTCGGGTACATGTGGTAAATAATAGTAATTTCTTTCTTTTATGTATTGAAGTATGGATTCGATGAAAGTAAGCAGTTACAAGCCTCCACCAGAATTTGAGGAAGATTCGTCGGAGCAACTTGTCGATCTTACTGTGTCAGACTCCACGGAGCTTTTCCTTTTTCAATGGCCTTTTCATCAAGTACCAGTTTTATGTGCTTTCTTTTTTGCATTATTATTATTGTGGTTTTCTTCTTCTTCTTGTTGTCGTTTGATTTGAACTAATGTTAGAGAATTTAATATTTTTACTTTGTTTTGTTATCACTATTGCAGCATCCTGAAATTAATGGCAAAGAATATACTCTTCAGCTTGGTCCTGACGGAAAGTTGGGCAGTTTTATAGATTCTAATGGTATTTATTTATATGTACCTTGATGCAATTTTATTTAGGCTGAAGCTGGACTAGAATTTTATATATTTTCAGTTTAATTTTATATGAATGTTTTGAAGTAGTACTACTTTGTTTATATACTGTTCTTAATATGGCAGGAAAAGCATATGATCTTGTTTGCAGTGTATCACAGGAGCCAGATGCAAGAGTTATCTTATCCTCTGTTTTGGAGTCTAAATCGGTACTAAATTTTGCATATCTTTTATGCCGTATCATTTACACACCTTTATTTGAGTTCAAACCAAATAATGCTTATATAGTGATTCTAAAAATAAATAAAAGAATCAAAGAATGAAATGTGGCTTGGACCTTCTAAACCAACAATGCCATTGATTATAATTCTTAAGCATAGGTGTGTTATTTCTTCTTTTATGTTTCTGTATCATCTAGACACTTAATTGGCTGTTCCTTTGGATTGACACTTGCACTGGAGTTCTAGATTCTAATGAAACCACTCGTGAATGTCTCTTAGGATTGACCAAATTTGTATTCCTATTATTAGCTATCAAACTGGTATTTTAATGTATCCAGACCTTGTTACACATCTAGGTGGTTGTATTCACTCTATTTTACGAGGCTTTTAATGAAACTTTTTTATGTAACTAGAGGCTTCAGTTTGAGAATGGTATTATATATTTTTTGCGTCGATCTTGCATGTGTTTGTAATATGTATATTCTTTAGGGTAATTTATTACTCAGTTAATTAACGGTCTTAAAGTAAGTTATCGTTATTCATCTCTAGACCATTGCTCAGAGTCACAAAATAGACCTCTACCACATAGGTCTAGTGTGCTTTTTGTGTGGTCTTTTTTGTCTATGAATTAGAAATTTTGAGCATTTGGTTGAGCACAATTTGCCATTCATCTTTAATGTTGTTTGTGTTTTGGTCATTGTGTGGTTCTTGTGATTGTGACAATTAAACTGTTTTGAGTTTAGTTTTGCATTCTAAGTAAATTTATGCATTTCCCTGATATAAGATTTCTGTCTTGATAGTTGGGAAGATTTCACGACGATTTTCCCTTGTCCATTACATGGAGCCTGAAGAATATGAAACACTCAGTTCTAACAAGAGACTTGTGTATCAGAAATCCTCTGGAACCTTGATGACTAATTCTTCCAATCCTTTTGTAACTCCTATGCAAAGTAAGGGGGCAAAAAAATTCAGTCTTGGGGGCGTACTGTCAGCACACATGATAGTAGATATAAAAGTACTTTCTCTGGAATCAATGAACTATCTAAGCCTTCAAAAAGAAGGCATGATCTTGAATCTACAGGATCCTTGAACCAGTCAGCATAGTCATGGGACAATTCCATTTTCAGGCTAGTCAGAGCATAAAAATGCCCATGAATCAACTGGGTCCATGGACCAGTCTACAATAGTTTCAGGAAGAGGTGATGCATCTACTATTTCAGGGCCCTCGAAGCGCACTCACATAGGTAAATCAAGGAAGAAGGCAAAAACTAAGAGTAATATGCTTGACATTTTCCCTCTTGTTACCCCGAAAATTCTACTTTCATTATTTGTGGTTGAATTGATTATTTGTTGAGCAAGTTCGAGAAGCATTACCAGATGAAAATCCTGAGCTTGATTTCATTCTCGACAGGAGGTGTTTATAACAGTTTTCTTTTTGCTCAAATTTCTCGCAAGGTTTCCCATGAAAAGCAAAAATTCTTAACTCAAGACGAGGTAAAAGATACCAAGTTCGCAAAAAGAGGACTTGACCTTGCTCCTCAAGGAAATTTATGGATTTGGCCCAAAAAGAAGGATGGTTTAGGTTATGACTAAGATTAAATCCAGATTCATTTGTAACAGCCTTATAATTAGTAAGGAAGGTTCTAATCAGAGTGAAATTTACCAGAGAAATTTAACACGATCAATCGACACGGTCCAACGATCTCTTTTGAATCTCCAAGTTCCAACCACCAACATCATCTGATGCACTGGATCCAAAGTCAACAGGCAGGGCAACACATGTTGATGAAAAGGAAAATCATCATTCTTTAGAAATCCTCTGGATCAATAACAAATTGACAATACTCCATTGCAATTAAACAAAATAAATTGGGTTATAATATTCACTTAAGATTATTGCAGCAGATAACAGATTAGCAGAATTCTAAATATCTGCATATTACACATTAATTTGCATAAAACATACAGCAAAGAAGAAATCAAGGAAAACCAATCACAACAGCTCGCTCTACCACAGGTTAATTAATGTTTCTTCAAGAAACCTTGAGCCATCTTTATGTAATCCCCATAGCCACCACTTCCAGAATCATGGCCATGATCACCACCGCTGGCATGTGACCCCGAGTGTTTCTCAGGTTTGGTAGAGTGATCAGAATGAGTGGTGGTGGGGGTTGAATGGGAAGACTGGTATTGGTGCAAGTAATTCTCTGCCTTTTCAACATACATGCCAACGCCCTTCTCCTGATCCAACTTGCCATAGTGGGAGGCAGCACATAAGAGATCAGCGGCCGCACCAGCAACCATTCCCTTGTCAACCTTGTCGCTTTCATGGTGCAGTGTGTTCTTCGCTGCCTCGGTCACCAACTTGGCACTAGCGAGTAGCTCTGAGGAAGATTTGGCGTGCTTCCCGTGGTGAGAGCTAGGTTTATTTTGAGTAGTTGACTCCATGGAAGAATAGCTTAAACAACAGGGTATAGCAATAATTCAGAAAAAGCGGATGAGATAACACCTCCTTTTCTCCAAGTGGATATATAGATGGCTGTGACTTCAGGATTAGAAAATGGGAAAAGGATATATACATGCATAAATACATACATACATATATACACGATTTTGTTGACCCTTACCTTTCGGTGTCGGCCACGCGTTCCTGCCCGGATCAAGTAGCGGCTTTGGAAATTGATACGAATCTCTATGTTTCGATATATGAAATAAAATTTTAATCAATTTTATTTGGTTTCAATAACTAAATGGCTTTTGCTTATATGTTTTGGTTTTTCTTTGTTTGGTCGTTGTTTTTGTTCCTTGATTTCGAATTTGTCAAAAAAAAAAAATTAAAAAAAAAACATTTAAAAAATTAAAAAAACAAAAACTATATAGTATTTGGGAATTGGGAATGAATTCAACCTCTGATTATGTCTGAATTCATTCATGACTATAAGTTAACCATAAAGATTTTTGTCACAGAGATTTTTTTTTTGGAGAAAATATTATAGTGCCTTCGCTTAATTAACATGATCTCTTGATATGTTTTCAACTTGGACCAAGTCAAAAGGCAGTTGGCCAATTGTTAATCACTTGAGATTATTGCAGCAGGCGCGACATTTAGCAGAATTCTGAATATTAAATTAGTGATTTATTGCCGCATACGATACAGATTTGCGTTAAGCCATAGACCACGCATAGGAGAAAGAAAAATTAAACCAACATAAAAGCTTAAGTAGTACAAGATTAATCAGTTTTATTTGCCCAAGAACCCTTGAGCCATCTTCAAGTAATCCCCAACACCACCACCGCTTGCATGTGACTCTGGTTGTGCCTCAGCTTTGGCAGAGGTTGGTTGGCCTACGGAAGTATTCTCGTATTGGTGCAGGTAATTCTCTGCCTTTCCAACATATTGGCCAACACCCTTCTCCTTATCCAGCTTGCCATAGTCTTGGGCAGCACCTAAAAGATCAGCAGCTGCACCAGCAACCTTCCCCTTGTCAACCTTGTCGCTTTCATTGTTGAAAGTGGATTTAGCCGCCTCGGCCACCAACTTAGCACTAGAGAATAGTTCGGAGGAGGTTGGCTTGGGGTCTTTCTCTGAAGCCATTGTTAGTATGGAGAACTCTAGGAAAAACTGTAGCTACCAACTGAGATACAGAAGATGTGGTAATATCTCGTCTTCCAAGTGGATTTATAGATGCTTGTGAGTTGTGACTTGAGGATAGACTATATGGACCCTCTTAACTCTTCAGTGTCGGCAATACGTGTTCATATTAATTGGTTTCAGTCCATCCATATGGCTAATTAAAGATTTGGCCACACACTTTCCTTTGCCATTGTCAGTTTTCAGAGTCTTGATTGGCCTCACTCTTGATATTTTCTTGGCGATAAAAGCAGACGTGTTTTGGCTTTAGCCTGATATATATCCAACCATTGTGGTTGATACTTGATAAAGCAATATCAGCCTATAGTCGCCTTTCTGAATTGGAACTTAAGCTTGATATTTTCACGTAATCTGTCAATTCTTTCCATTAAATTTTCTTTCTCTCCACTGTTCCCTGTGACTTGTGTCTATCCCGCGTAAGCTGCTGAATAACAAGGCCCCATGAAATGGAGCAAAAAGTCTAACGAGTTCGACAGGCATTTAATTGGAAGCTTGGTGCTATTCTCTAGACTCGAGCCACATCTAACTACAATACAACCTCAAACAACGGGAGGCTAATCACATTTATAGGTTGACCGATCGCCATTTAAACAAATCATGGGCTTAATTAGGCATGTTTTGGCCAATTTATTCTTGATATTTTCTTCATGATCGAGACTAATCAAACCATGGCAAAGGGCAATCCATTCTAAATTCTCAACACCAAAGCCTGCCTGCAGCCACGATGGTTTACCCCGAGGGGTTGCCACCTAAGAACACAGGTGATTTGGCCACCTAGCTAGGCCTTACCAAGCTGATATGTAGAAGATCAGGGCCGAATGCTATAATGCAGCAAGCCAGCAACAGCTTGTGTTCTCAGGTCACCCCTTGAAGAACATCTATCTTCGCCTGTTTCTCAAGCCATTTATATTGCAGCAAAGCTAATTGCTACATTTTGCAAGGTGAGGGCTCAAATCAGCTTAGAACTTCATGTTTCTACTGGAATTTAAAAAAAAAAAAAAAAAGACGTGATACGAACGTTTGGTTTAATATTGAGAATGAGAACATATATCTTCGTACAAAGAATTAAATTTAAAATTCTCTTTTTCTAAATTAAAAAAAAAAAACTCAGTCATTTTTCATGATGAAAACACTGATTTTTATATACATCTAGTATTAATTTGCTAAAATTGTGATATGAAAAAGTATTTGCTTAGAAAAGGAGTGATATCTCATTCTTGTTTTATCCATTTTGACAGTTTATGCAAGTTGGAGCGTATGAACAACATTTTTGTTTTGTTTTTTAGTTTGTTTCAAATAAAACCAGTACTGTAATTTACCACTTTCTGAAAATAGAAAATTTTTTTAACTAATTTGAATTTTCTAAAGTTCTTTTTTTCTAAAAAAATGGAACTGAATTGTAAATTGCTATTAATTCATGCCAAAAAAAAAAAAAAAACCAGAGGCTTAAAAATTTCTATGATCATTACACGCCCTTTCTCTCCTCTGCTAAATTCGACTCATCTCTCGTTTCCACCTCCCTTAGTTACAGAGTTCAAGGTTGAATTTTACTGTACTTTTAACATAATACGATTAAATTTATTTATCATCATTTTAATTTAAATATTAATTTTAATAAAATTTATTTAATATAAATTTATTATTATTATTTTTAATCATAATAACAATAATTTTTTTAATCGTACTTATAATAATAATAATTATTATTTTTAATATCATCGAAATCATCGGAGCCGAATCCTCTTGATTGCTCAAAGTGCCGATTCCACTGACCCACAACTTATCTCTCCTATCCCGTCTTCGCTATCTCCACCTCTCATTTGTCATCTCTGATGTGGCCCTGATTTCCTCTCTCATTGCAGTCACCCAAAGTCTACGTCTCCCTAACTACTTTCTCTTCATAACATCACCCAGAATGTTAACCCTTCTAGCACACTTTTCTTCCATTGTTGTGTCCAAACTGTTGATGGTTATTTTCAGTTTGGTGATATGATTGATATTCCCGGCATTGATCCACCAATACCAAGATCATCACTTCCTCCATCACGGCATTCAAACAGTCTTTTAGCAAAAATTTTCTTAGAAGATAGCCTAATCTCACGAAACTCAATGGGGTGCTGATTAACAAATTTGAAGGTCTATAAAAACAATGTCTAGAGATGCAAGAATGGGGTGCCGATTGCCTCCAATGTATGCTGTTGGACCTCTTTTACCCGGGGAGTTTGAGGGGAAAGAGTCCATTGAAGAGGAATGAGGACCAAAAAGAAAGGTGAGTAGTATATGTTTGCTTTTGCAGTAAGACAGCCTCGTCAAATGAGCTACTATGAGAGGTTAGGGAAAGGGCTAGTATTGAGTGGATACAAAATATTCTTGTGGGTGGTGAGGACTAAATTAAATAGTTGACAAATTAAGAGGAAGAAGAGGGTTTGGATGAGTACCAAGAATGGTTTGCCTTGTGCGCAGATACAGTGAAACAAACATGTGAGGAGGAAAAATCAACTTGATCATTACAAGATGTTGAATGGTAGGAATAGGAATAGGATTTAATTATAAAGTGCAACATAGAAAAAGTAAGAGAGTTAAAAACTGTTGTTGGAAAATGAATGGGACCAATAAATAGAGTATTAAATAGATAATCTTACCAGAACCAAGTTTAGAGGAAGAAGTTCAGTGAATGCTTTATAGTCTTTTGTCTTGGGATCCATCCCCATATGAAGGTTTTGAAAGCGCATTGGCCAATGCTAAACGTCCAAGACCAAAACTCAGCGGAGCTTCTCTCTAGCACAATTCAGTTCCTCGCTTGAAACCAAATATGCAGGCGTACTTAACTTGGTACTTCCTCCAGTAGAATACATTCATACCATACATAACCATGTGTAGAACAATCAATCGAACAAACTGCAAGGGGGTTATCACAATTTGTTAAACATAAGTATTGGGATCATGTCTATGCTTGAATTGTTAAGCACTATGCACTGCGAAACTTGAAGAACAAAGAATTAAAAGTACCTGTAAAGTGGAAACATGGTTCCCATGTATTTGGTCCTCCCCTGCCTGTCCATAATTTTAAGGGCACGTATGATCATAACAAGGGCTAGAAGAAGAGAGGCCACACAGCCAACAAAAAAACTTCAAAATTTTTAAAAAACATAACAATGTTGAATAGATCCAAGACTGGAGAAAAATCATTTTCTACGCCCTCAACTAGAAGTTCCAAAAGGGTCTGTAACAGAAATCGTACCAGTTGAAAAAGTAATCCTATGCCTTTCTTTTTTGGCTTTTGGTCTTAACATGTTCATTCCCTTGGCACGGTTTGCATTTGAAAAGTGCTTAATGAATGTAGCTTCAACCTTCTCCATGAGCTTTGTAACCTATGAAGAAAGGTGTGAGATTAGGCCAGTCGTAAAATAAGGCATTGTACGGAGTGGCTACTGATTGCCTTCATAAGAAGAAGCGAAGCAGAATTGAAATGGGTAATCTGAGCTAATGAAACTTACCTCATCAGAGCTATCAAGTAGGAGTTATCCACCATTTTCATGTAAGATTTTGATGCACTTCTGGCAGTGATCTTATCAGGCCATCGTATTAGAAAGCTGTTAATTCGAGGAGAGAAGGATCAGTAAAATCTGAAGAAAACAAAGACTATAGACCAAATGAAAGTATTACTGGCAACAGATACCATAAAGTCCAAAGCCCCATCTGAGATGAATGATTCTCAAATTGCTGCAGTTCTGCTGGATTTAATATCGTTTCCATTTTAACCTGAAACTGTAATAATGTCTTGAGATCCACAAGAAACATATATGCAAAAACACAATAGAAACTACACTTACAGGTGCCTGTTTTAGAAGCCAAAAGTAGAGTTAATACCAGTACTTAATTAGTAAACATGCATGCTGGTCAAGGAATAAAGAGATACTGTCAGCTCAACTGAGTGCAGGGAAAATGGTTAAGGCAATCGAAACTGTCTGTTTTGATATGAGTGAGTTCCAAGTCACCATTGTAGTCAAAGAAGACTTCAACAACAATTTGCAACTAGGTACCCAAAATTCTAACAAAAGCTTAGAGTTTTCAAATGCACAAAAAAAGTTGGTACTACAGAAACCCAGTACTTTGATGAGCTTTTCAACAAACATATCGATACCAAAAGATAAACATTTGCAGGGTCAAAAACTCACAATCAGTGGAAATGCAGCTCTTAGTGGTGCCAGTCTACTTTCACTGCCATATATGTCCATAGAAGCAATCGTAAATCTGAGTTTCTTTAATCAAAACCCAATGCTTTCCTTTGGTGTCAGAGGACACAACCCTTGTTGTCTCCTCTCCTCAAACACTATTTCTTTCTCTCTCCACCAAGGGTATGCATACCTGAAGGGAAAAAGATAGCTATTGTCACGTCCCGAGATCAAGACGTAACACAGTTATATTACCTTGAAGAAAATCTCAAAGTAATACGAAGCCTTCTTTTTTAAACATTTTAAAATTCTTCAATAAAATAATCTATCAAGTAAAATTCATATATTTAATCCAACTGATGATACATCTTTATATGTGCAAATACAAACCATATAAAATACAAACTATCTCTTAAGATCTTATTGGTCAACATATTCTCCGACGACTAAGTAATCTTTCCCATTTCATCTTCTAGCTTCACACAAGACGAACTAAACTTATCACTTAGTCATCTATAAAGAAAAAGTAAAAAGAGAATGAGCAAATCACAGCTTAGTAAGTATAGGCTCACACCTTACCAGATCAAGCATCGTTTTCTTACACATCATATAGATCATTCAAAACATTCATCAAATCATAATCTCAAAACATTTCAAGATCATCGTTTTGTCAAATATTTCATAAATTCATAAATCAATATCAAAATATGTCACTCCATAAATCATTGTAAAATATGCTATCATTCAAATATCATAATCAAACCAAATCATGGATCAATCATTAAAAATCATCGTAAATTATCATTATCATTCAAATCGTTAGCTACGATCACTGCTATAACCCATGACATTGGCCATATCGACAATTTCATTCTCATGATCATTGCTAACTATTATAACACGTTAGTCAGGGCTTATGCTAACTACTATTACCCGTTAGCCAGGGTCGTATGATCATGTCTTTGCTAACTACTATTACCTGTTAGCCAGGATCGTAGAACTAAGTTCTGGTGTCGATAATCTCACTTCTCAGGGATATAAAAACGTAGCCATCATAAAATCATTCTTTAAACATAAATCATTTTCTCATTTCATTCATAAGCATGATCCATCATTTATATAGCGAAAACACAAAATAATCATATGCTTGATCCCATTTTCATATATCGAAAATAAAGAAACAAAACATTCGTTCATTTAGAAACATATATATACATAGATTTGAAAAACAAGCAAAGTGTGTGAGATTCTACTTACCTCCATTCGATTCTACCACTTAGTTTTTCCCCCCAAAATAATTAATGGCCTATCCAAGATCATTTCAACAGATTAGAATTTAATCAACCCTTTTTGAGATCATTTATAAAAAAATCAACTATGTTACACAAAGGGTTAACTTAACTAATTAATACTGGTAGCCTGACCTCTTTTCATTAAAATAGTCATATCTCAATATATCCAAATCGGAATTATGATCTCTTTAATGCGTTAGAAACTAGACTTAATAAGCTTTTGATGCTACCAACGAAAAAGATTCAATTTGAGTGAGTATTTCATTAGCCATTACAGAGATTATCCTCTCATGAGAGTATAAGTACTTTACTCCCTCCTAAAAGGGACAGAGCTCGGGTATAAAGCTCATGTAATGCAAATGCATACGATAGTATGTGTGTAAAGGAACATAAAATTTTCAACCCCATAAATCAAATGAGACAAAAAAGAAAAAATGTTAGTAAACAAACAAATAACATAATCATTACACTTTACAACCATTAGACCAAAGGATAGGATAAACTAAAAATTGTTATGGCCTGACTCTCTATAGCCTCCCTAACGGAGTTGCCAAACTGTCATAACATATAGATCTGAAAATCTATAGCTAGACTTAACAAATGGAGTCACCATTGATCTTTTTTTATTATGTGATTGACCACCTAATGAATTTATTCTTTTAAGGAGCTCTTAAGTTTGACTAAGGGTCTCTAAAAGAATAGATTCGAGTCTACTAATTAGAATAGGATTCAAGAATTCGATTACATGTGAATAAGGTTATAGTACCCTCATATGCCCATCCACAGGATGGTATCCATTTTATTTTAAATTTATCCTAAAGTCTGGACTCTAATGGTTTTAATTTTTATATTAAATAATGTAAATAATTCATAAGATTCTTTCATCAATATTGTAAAATTTCTAAAAATATTTTCTCACCTCAAGAGTATTCAAGAATCTCATTTGTTTTCTTGAAAAGGCTCTATCGTCGAAAAAAAATTTTAATTTTTTATTTGAAAATACACCTAATTATTCCACCATTTACGTCAAATTAGAAATATTTTCTCCTTTCGAAATTTCAAAATTCTACACAATTCGATCCTATGTAGAAATTCTCCTTTTTTATTTTTTTCCCTTTTAGAAAGAAAATAATTTTTTTTTTGAAATTTCATTTAAATTCTTCTACAATTTGAGACAAATTTAAAAAATTTCTCACCTATAGATTTTTTAGAAAATTTACCATTTGAAATTTCTAAGATTCCCGTCCTTGGATAATTGTCAAATATTTTCAACCAAAATTTTTATTTGAAAAAAATACAATTACTTTCATTGAAATTTCATCTAAATTATTCCATCATTTGAGACAAATTTAAAGAAATTTTCACCTAAAGATTTTTTAAGAAATTTACCATTTGAAATTTTTAAAAATCTCATCATTGGGTAATTTGTATTTAATTTCAAAATTTTTATTAATATTTTTTTTTGTTTTGAAAATAAATATTAATTATTGTTATTAAAATTTTATCTAAATTATTTTACCATTTGAGATAAATATAAAGAAAATTTCTCACCTAAGAATTTTATAAAAATTTACCATTTTAAATTTTTAAAATTTTCATAATTAGATAATTAATATTTAATTTAAAATTTTTTATATTTTTTAATTATTTTCCCTAAACTTAATCATACAAAAAAAAAAACCCCTAAAAAACATATAAATAAAATACTAAATAAAATAAAATAAATACCAAAAAAAAAAGAAACAGCTTAGCTTGGCTTGGCGACTACGACGCGAATTAGCTTGAGGAAGAAAACCAAGAACGACTCAGGATGATGGCTCGGCTCGGCTTAGCTTAAGTCAAAGGCTGATCGCGGGTCACATGCAGGTTGACGCTACGGGTCAGGTCAACAAAATGAAAAACGCACTAATCTTAAGGCTTCTTAAGGCGAAAACGACATCGTTTTGGGACTAATATAAAAGCCCAAATTCAATCTTCTTTCGTCATATCTCCTCTACTCCCTCTCTCTCTACTTCCCTTTTTCTCTCCCTCTCTCTCTAAAATCCCCAAGAACACCGATTGAATCTTCACCGAATTTTAAGATTTTTGTCGAAATCTAGGTTGGATCATCGGAATCTGGTCCAAAGTTCAACGATTTCTAGAAAATGGACGTCAGAAGTTGGAAACCTGCCAAAAACTGGGGATGTCGCCAGAATCTCACTAGAAAATTTAAACGGGGCATAAAAATTTAACCAGGTTATGAAAATTTTCCCAAAAATTTTCAAAAAAAATTCTTTTTTTAAAAAGTCCCCTAAAATTATCACTCTTTGGATGCCTTTGCGGATGGCTTTTGCTAATTTATCCGCTTTTTCTGTGTGTGATCTGCCTGATCTTTGTATTCTGTGTTTCTAATTTGTATCTTTTCTCTGTTCTTGTTCTCTGTGTACATGTATTTATAGGGTTCTGAGTTTGAGAACCCAAAACAAGAAAAGAGTTTAGATTTTTTTCAAATTCGAACTCCAAATCCTAAATTTATCCTAAATTTGATAACTCTAGAGAAATAACCCTAAACCAATCCAACCACCTTAAAATTTTCTTGAGTTTTCGTTTATTTATTTATTTTTAATTATCAGAAACAAGTAAAACCCAAACAGATTAGGCTCTCTACACATTTATCATTTTGTCAATTTATAGAGCTATGGACATGCCCAAGACAATAATTGATGCAAAACCTCATCTTCAACGGAAAACCAAACTAATTGACGGATATGAAAATTAAGTATTAAACAAGTAGTTACCGGCAATTCTAAGTTGTAGAAACGATCTAGCAACTGCAAAACTTTATCGAGAGAAAAATGCCGCTCAAGCCTGTGACAAAATTTAGCAAATGATAAGAGAACGTAACAAAAAAATCACAACCAACAAGAATCTTTGTATCAAAAGAGGGGATTGATATGGAACACAAAGAACATGAGGCAGAACAAACCTTTTCCGTAGGAATTTCAACAGACCATAGAAGACAAAGAGGCAATGCACGCCTACAGGGAAGCAACTTTGATTTACAGTTATGCATTCATATAGCGACCAATTGGTAAAGAGAAAATAAATCCTACTTGTTTTACCACAATCGTGTGCAGTAACTAGGAGATGCAACACTTTCTTTACTATATATAAGTTATTTTCACTAGCTCTAGTGATTCAACGCTTACGATTGATCCCTAAACAATAAACATGAAAAGCACCATTAGATTCTAAGTCTACCAGAATGAATAGAAAGTCAAGTCAAAAATGGAATAAAGCTAATCATTCACTGCCAGGACCAACACAAAACATAGTTTAATAAAGGGTTTCGGAGCTTAATTTCCACAGCGGCAAATCAAAGGAACCAACATTTAGATTGATCACACCATTACCATTACAGCAACATGATAAAAGGCGAATTCAATGCTCTGATTAAACTACCAAAAATGCCTTAGCCTCCCCTACTAACACGTTATAGTAGTTCAAAATTTGAATTATATAGACAAATTTCCATAATATTTCACTTTTAGAATTAATTCCAAAGAATTAATGATCTCTTTTGCTCTGCCTTTATTCTTTTCAGGGCAAACTTGCAAATCTAAGTGTAAATACAAACGAATTTCTTCCTTATAAAGAAAATTAACAAACAAAACTAAAAAAGAAGCGATAAACTTACCTCGTAATTTGAGGGAGGATAAATTTCAAGTGCTTGCAATAGCCTCAGCTCCAATTGTACTTGTTGTTGCTCTTATTAAATTGAAAAAAAAAAATAATAAAATAAAATAAAATAAATATTAATAATTTTTATAATACGGAGAGAGAGACCTTAGGATAGAAGAGGCGGAGGAAGGCAGAGCTTTGCAAGGTGAATGTACGGAAACGCCATATTGTTCCTCTTCGTTTTCTCTTCCAACTCCACCTCCCATTCCTCTTAATTATAATATTACTTTTCCACTCACAAAAAACTAAAGTGGAAATTTATCTATTTTTCCATATTAAACTTAAAATTGAAACAATTTGTTGTTTCTTTGTATTTTGGTTAGGGATTTGGTGTTTGATCCAAAATACACTGTTGCAAAATTTTGTTTTATTTGTTCCAGGTGACCCATTATTCGCCCTGCTAAAAGACCCTTAGGCTATCTTACGTATAAGCTTTACCTGTAATTTTCTTTTTTTTTTTTTTTGGAGTAATAAAAAAAAATTTTAACTAAAAATCTTTTCTCTTTTCTTTAAAAAAAAAATAAAAAAAAACTTAAAAGAAAGACGATAAAAGAAATTAAAAGTATTAAAATTTTAATTTTAAACATGTTAAATATCATATCTTAAAAATTATTTAACTTTAATTTTCATTAAAAACTTAAATTTAAAATCAACTGAATTAATAATATAATAATAATAAACAATGAAAAGATGAGCTAGAAAAAAGATGCAAATCACAGCAGCCATTTAATTCAAGCCCCCATCATACTAAACTTCGATAAAACTATTACTTTTATATTTTACTGCAAATATACAAGAATGAAGGTTTTCTTTTTTAATGTATTCCGCAGTTGAGATTATCAAATGCAACTTACTCAAAGTTTGGTAAAAAATTCCAGAAGCAAGTATCTCGACTGCTACTGAAACTATTTTTCCAAAACTCATTTTTTGTTGGACTGAAAGAAAGAGAAGGTGGAATGGGAGGTTTCTGTTAGAAGGTAAGAAAGAATTGCAGAAATGTTAAAAAATTGCAGAAATATTGGAGCTCGTTTCTTTTGCTTTTCAGTCGATTTTCATAAATTACAAATTTATTTATTATAATAAATAAGCACGTACAAGGACCTCGACCCGTAAAAATTTTTCATGCCAATCAATTTTTCAAAATTTGTTATTTTGTAATTTTTTTTGTTTTTTTTATGATTTGTAAAGAAAATTAACAATATATATATTAAAACTTCCTTCAGTCACTAATATTTTATCTCTAAATAAAAAATAATAATTATATTTAAAAATAACATAAACGGTTGTCAACGGTGCTTTGTTTCTTAATTGTTGAAATTTTTTTTATTTTTTGTAATAATAAACTGGGTGTGAACTGCAAATGGACGATCTTATTCACAGTCCATGCAGACATCAACAGAACCAATATATCTATATCGATAACTATAGAGCCTCCATTTTTTGACTTCTGCAAGTAGGTATGAATTCTATGAAGCTACAAACTTATGCTACGGGATAATATTTTGAAATCATTAACTTTCTTATTACTTAACATGCATGCATGACAATCTTTTTAAGTAATTTGAGAATTTAATACCCTACACATTATACCTTATATATGTGTCCATAAATTTTACTAAAAAAATATTTTACATTTTCATTAAAAACTTAAATTTAAAATCAACTGAATTAATAATATAATAATAAACAATGAAAAGATGAGCTAGAAAAAAGATGCAGATCACAGCAACCATTTGATTCAAGCCCCCATCATACTAAACTTCGATAAAACTATTACTTTTATATTTTACTGCAAATATACAAGAATGAAGGTTTTCCTTTTTCTAAAGATGAATTGAAAATGTAAAATATTTTCTTAGTAAAATTTATGGACACATATATAACGTATAATGTATAGGTTATTAAATTCTCAAATTCCCAAAAAGATTGCCATGCATGCATGCTAAATAATAAGAAAGTTAATAATTTCAAAATATTATCCCGCAACACAAGTTTGTAGCTTCATGGAATTCATACCTACTTGCAGAAGTCAAAAAATAGAGGCTCTATAGTTATCGATATAGATATATTGGTTCTATTGATGTCTGCATGGACTATGAATAAGATCGCCCATTTGCAGTTCACACCCAATTTATTATTACAAAAAATAAAAAATAAAAAATAAAAAAATGTTCCAACAATTAAGAAACAAAGCATCGTTGACAACCATTTATGTTATTTTTAAAATAATTATTATTTTTTATTTAAAGATAAAAATTAGTAACTGAAAGAAAGTTTTAATATATATTTTTTTAATTTTCTTTACAAATCATAAAAAAAACAAAAAAATTACAAAATAACAAATTTTGAAAAATTGATTGGCATGAAAAATTTTTACGGGTCGAGGCCCTCGTACGTGCTTATTTATTATAATAAGTAAATTTGTAATTTACGAAAATCGACTGAAAAGCAAAAGAAACGAGCTCCAATATTTCTGCAATTTCTTAACATTTCTGCAATTCTTTTTTACCTTCTAACAGAAACCTCCCATTCCACCTTCTCCTTCTTTCAGTCCAACAAAAAATGAATTTTGAAAAAATAATTTCAGTAGTGGTCGAGATACTTGCTTCTGGAACTTCTTACCAAACTTTGAGTAAGTTGCATCTGATAATCTCAACTGCGGAATACATTGGAATAACAAGGGTTTTCTCTACGGTGCTTAACAGAAGTCGGAGAGAAATGCAATCCGCTAAGCTCGGTGGAAAGCACCAACCTGATTACTTAGGTTCTTTACAAGTTGAACGACGTTGAGAAGGAGATGATTTCTATATAAAGGATGAAATGAAAGCTATTAAAGAAATGCTGGATGAGATGGTGAGAAAAGAGGAAAAGAAATTAAGAGGAACAGAGATGAGTAGAAAGTTTTTAGTTATATGCATTTGTTTAGCTTTAGGTTTATCCTGATGTTTTTTAGTTATTTTAGATATGGTGGGTTATACGGGTTTCTATTTATACATTTCCTACAGGTTTTTCTGTATAGGTTTTTAAGGCAACTAGTTGATAGTTGATACACTTAGGTTTTTGATTACATTATAACTGATGTTTTTATGACAGTATGATTGATGTGTTGAGATTTTGCATAGACGATTGCTACAATTTCCTTGCAGTTTGCTATCTGTTTTATAAATTTTTGTTTCCATTTTTTATGACTCTAAATCTGATCAATGTGTGGTTATTTTCATACAATCTTTTTTGGAAAGAATATTCCCTAAAATTTCATTAAATAGATGGTTAATGATAATTAGCTATTTATGAAGTGATAAATTGGTCATAATGTTTACCGTATTTTCTTTTTACTCCAATCTATCATAGTTTCTAGTTTAATCAGAAGAATTCTATGAAAAAGCAATATTCATTTCATTTTTATATTTTTTTAGTTAATTTCTATTGACTGGTTGGTTGAATTGATGTGTTTAGTTAATTTCTATTGGCATCTAGATATTGTGCTGATGCAAGTATATGAATGTGGGAAGTGATACTCAGCTCCGCCAGCATTTTTATGGTGGGATTCTTAACAGGTATGAATTGTATATTTTGTGTAAAAGAACACTAGTTCCCTATCAATAGTTGATCAATGCAAAGCATTGAAATTTAGGCATTATATTGAATATAAGTAGGCGAGATACATTTGATAATTTCCTAAATCAGAAAGACAGTTAATATCCTAAATTGCATTTCTGATTTCAAATTTCTTTCTGTCAAGTCCTTTCAAACTGTTGTTGCTGATTGCATGGGGGCAGCACAAGAAATGCAGAACTTGATGTTTCTTATGAATATTCATTTCTTATAATTTATTGAAGTGTTTATACCATCAACAAATCAACCATCACTCTTCATTATCCAAAAGATGTGTGTTGTTGTTGTTGTTGGGGGTACACACATATATACAGAGTGTGTTGAAAATTTTGAAAGTAAAGTTTCCAAAAATTAACTTGATTATTACTTGATACAGAAAGGATTCAAATGTAAGTCTTCTTGAAGGAAACTTTCAAAGATCCTAATGTCAATAAAGTGATTGAAGAAGGCAAAAAGGCTCCCACTAAGTATTGTAGTATTAAGCTGTGTAGCCTTGGTGTTAAGCTCCCTGCTGAGATTTACACTCCCAAAATGATACGAACATTGCCTTTTCATAGGATTCTTCTGCTTATACTAGAAACTATGATAGATTGGAGCAGAAAGAAAAAAATAATAAAAATTATGGATAATTTATCAATTCATAAATAACTAATTCTCATTACCCATCTACGTAATGAAATTTCAGAGAATATTCTTCACATAAAAAATGGTATGAAAATAATCAAACATTGATCAGATTTAGAGTCATAAAAAATGAAAAAAAAAATTCATAAAACAGATAGCAAACTGCAAAAAATTGTAGCAATCCTCCATGCAAAATCTCAACACGTTAGTCGTACTGTCATAAAAACATCAGTCATAAAGTCATAAAAAACTTATAGGAATTGTGTCAACTATCAACTAGTTAACTCAAAAACCTATACAGAAAAACCAATAGGAAATGCATCAATGTAGGAGACTGTAAATAAAAACATATATAACCCACCATATCTAAAATAACTAAAAAAAACTAGTACAAACATAAAGCTAAAACAAATGCATATAACTAAAAACTTCCTTCTGTTCCTCTTCATTTCTTTTCCTCTTTTCTCATCATCTTATCCAGCATTTTTTAATAGCTTTCACTTCATCCTTTATAGAAATCATCTCCTTCTCAACGTCGTTCAACTTTTAAAAAACCCGAGTAACTAAATTGGTGGTTTCCACCGAGCTCAGCGGATTGAACTTCTCTATGACTCCTTTGGATGCATAGAGAAAATCCCCTGTTATTCCAACATATTCCACCGTTGAGATTATCAGACCCAACTTACTTAAAGTTTGGTAAAAAATTCCAAAAGCAATCATCTCGACTGCCACTAGAATTATTTTTCTAAAACTCATTTTTTGTTGGACTGAAATAAATGTGAGGTTTCTACTGGGAAGGCAAAGGAATTGCAGAAATGTTGCAGGTCATTGCTTTTGCTTTTAAGTGAATTTTCGTAAATTGTAAATTTATTTATTATAATAAATAAGCACGTGGTCCTCCACCCATAAAAATTTTTCGTGCCAATCAATTTTTCAAAATTTATTTTTTTGTAAATAGTTTTTAGTTGTTTATTTGTTATTTTTACAATTTGTAAAGAGAAATTTTAAAAAAAGAATTATATTAAAATCTACATACAATCACTAATATTTTATCCCTAAATAAAAAACAATGATTGTTTTGATAAGTAACATAAAAGGTTGTCAATTGTTCCATTCATTATAAAAGAACAGATTAATATAATATATTAATAATATAATAACTAATTAATATAATATGTTATTAATAAAATATATAATATATTATACAATAAATAATATATTAACAAATATTATATAAATAATATATTAATATATTAATAATAAAATTATATTAATATAAATAATGTATTAATAAATAATATATTATTAAATAAAAAATATAATATATAATATATTAACAAATTTTATATTAATAATATATTAATATATTATTAATACATTAATATATTAATAAATATTATATTATATCAAAATATTAAATTAATAATAAATAATGTAATAAATGTTATGTTAATATATTATTAATAATGCATTATATTAATTTCAATAATATGTTAATAAATATTATATTAATAATATATTAATATTATAAATAATATATTGTTAATAATTAGATTAATAAATAATATATTATATTAATAATTTGTTATTAATATCATCTATTATTTATTAATATAATATTATTTATATAATAAATATAATAATACTTATCAATATATTATTTAAATAATAAAAATATTATTTTATTAATATTTTATTTGTAGAATCATTATAACGGATTAATTGTAATTCTACAAACGGTGCCCGTGTGGTAATGGTACCAAATTGTTTCAAAAAAACAGAAAACACCATTTTTCTGTTTACTATAATTTTCAAAACTTTCCAAAACATTGTTTTCAATTCTCAAAAACAGAAAACAAAAACAACCTATCAAACGTATATTTGTTTTCAATTTTCAAAAAATCTAAAAATGAAATTAAAAAACAGAAAACAGAAATAAAAACAAACACCCCTTCAATTATTAGGTTTTTGCATTAAATTAACAAAAAATCAAATTACACTTAAAATTAAATTTAAAAACTGATCAAATTTATTTCTATAGTTGATCAATAAATCAACCTAATTTAATTTGACCGGTTAATTTAATTTTAATTGAATTTCAAACGTCTTTATTTTGATTAATATTGGAAGGTGCTTGTGTATGCTACATGTTTGAGTATATTGAAGTGAATGCTAAAAGATTATTGGATATGGAAAGAATGAGAAATCCTCAACTTCTTTTTCTTATACTACTATAGTTTGAAATAATTTTCTTTTATTTTATTTTGAAATCATAAACATGAACCAAATAATTAACTGCAAAATTAGACAAATTTTGAAGATAAAATATTAGATTAACTATGTTGAAGGCAATTTAGTTTGGGGTATAAGAAAACAAAAAAGAATGAGATTTAAGTATTGTTTGCTAATAATTTTTTTCTTTGAAAATTTTGCAAAAATTAATCATTTTTAACTACTAAAAATTAAAGAATTTTATTATCGATGTTAGAGTTAATAGTATATGAATTACATAATTATTATGAGTCTTGTTTTAAATTTATTAAAAAATATTTAAAATTAATTGAATGAAATTGAATTTTATATTCTTAATTAAAAAAATATATTAAATATTAAATTAAACACTTAGTTAAAAAAATGGAGAGCAAGAAAAAAAAATCCTTCGATTCCAAAAGATAATATCTTGATATTGAAATAAAAAGATCATTTTCTATGTACCCCAAGCAATTAGAATAGTGTTATATATATATATATATATATAAAGATTAACTACAATATGAGAGGGAAAGTGACAGAGAATACCAATAGATGTAATCATTAAGCACAAAACTCCTTCAACTCTTTCATAAGATCATCGCAGTAAAAAGGCCTTGTCTTTGTCTTCAGTATGTTTCCTGACACACTGCATTATTCACAAAAAAAAAAAAAAAAAGAGATCACTTTTCCCGGTGGCCACAGTAAAAAATCTTAAAACATTTAATTTTGGTCCAAAAATAACAATGACATAATGCATGGCATTTATGATCATAAAGTGACCTAACTTGGATGTCATAAACTTGGGCAAGTTCTAAACACTTATCTGTTAGTCTGGTAGCTTGCCCACATTTGCATACAAACTATTAAAGAACCAACACATATGCATCTCTTAAATCGAACAAAAAAAGACAGATGAAAACAAGCACACATCTATAAAAGAACAGATTTTCCGAAAAAATATTTTACACAAAACCTTTCTCACCGTAAAGAAATATTTTTATAAAATTAATCATAATATCTGGCACCACCTAAATCCAATTTCACTCTAATTTTACTACTTGCACTTTGCAGAATCATAAACATTCTTCAACAAATGAGAGTTTCACCAAGTTCATTGCAGTAAGAGATACATACTACATTCTTAAACATTTAATTTCACTCTAATTTACTTCAAGTTTTATGGAGTTTTAAGTACTACTCAATGGGGCACATATAGGGTTTTTCTTCTGATACACAAAATCAAACCAAACTATATACCAAACATTCAGTTTTTAACCAGAGATCAGATAACAAATAACTCATAGAAGCTCGTACTGCGAAATATAGCATACAAACAACACGTTAGTTCAGAGTGACTTTACCATATCATATGTTCATTTGAGTGCAAAACAATAACCTTTCTCCAATTCATTTGTCCACCAATCACTCCAGGAGGGCTTAAATTTAGCTGTTAAAAACATGAAAAAAAAAAAAAAAAAGACAGTGAGATTGCATTAAAAATGCAAAAAGGAAAATTTATGCGACATTGATAAATCGGTCCTTCTAGCACCAAAGCCTCATCTTATATATATATATTTGGTTGATTGCAGGAATTCATCAAAACAATGACATAAAAAGAGTCATACATATATCATCAACGGGAACAGAGTAAAGAAGCTAACAAATTCATACCATGGGACCTGCTTGACATCCATCACTTGCTTAAGTTCACTGATAATTATTATTTGATTTAACAAAACATATGGAAATTCCATGAAACCTTACATATCATGCTAACCAATTCATACCATGGGACCTGCTAATTAATACTTGGGACAATAATTACAAGGCAAACAGGAAATAAATTATTGTAAAAAATATTATTGACATCCATCACTTGCTTAGGTTCACTGATAATTATTATTTGATTTAACCAAACATATGGAAATTCCATGAAACCTTACATATTATACAAGCCTTTAAATTAATAACAATCTTCAAGAAGGAATCCATGGAAAGTAGGGGAAGTAGGACACATAACAAATTAAATAACATACCACAGTCTTTTTCAAGATCTTGTAGGTAAGATTGGCAAAATGGATTTTCTTTCCCTCCTTTTTCCTTATAACCTCTTGTACACTGCTTTGTATACCAAAAAATAGTCAGCTCAATAAACAAAGAAATTTTGGCAAACTTTTGTTACATTTCAAAGCAAACAATAGCCATAAAAACCACTCCATGGCTACAAAACACCAATTCATCAAAAGAAAATACAGAGAACTTATAAATGTTTCTGATGTAGTGGACCATTATTCTCCTTCGCAGCAATAGACCCTTGATCATAAAATAAATTTAGTATCCTCAAGATTAAAAGCTTGATCATTATACACCCCCAAGGCCCCAAATTTAATTTGTCTTAGAAAAAGAAAGCAAAGATCAACTTCATTGTTTTCTTTCTTTCTTATAAGCCAAATCAAACCATACTTCATAACAATATTTTAGCTTTAGACAAGAGATCAATTAACAAAAACTCCTAGATGTTCCTGGAGGGTAATAGCCTAATGACCATATTTTACTCAAGAAGCAACATTACCATTTCAAAAATTGAGACAAGTATCTTGCAATGCTTCACATCATCTGCTGAATATGCAGACCACAGTGACTTCGGTGAATTGGCAGTGACTGCAGCATTCCTTATTAGGTCATCAGCTATAGCAGGAAATGCACAAAAATAAGGAAAACAGCATTATAATAGAGTAAAATGGAAGAGGATTAACAATCGAAGAGAAAAACCAATGCCTTTTTTATTCTCAAAAACATAATGAGGGAAAATGAGAAATGAAAGTAGAAAAAATAATGACTTTGCATTTTGCAATCAGGACTTAATCCCCTAGCTCATGGATTTACAAGACTAATTGGCTAGGAGTTTAGAGCTTGTAAAAGGCTGAGATTAGCCACATTATATGTTAAAAACAAGTAAAACAGAAAATGAGCATATACACGGTAGTTAAATTTCGTTTTTCTACACCTTTACAGAGCCAGCTACCCCCCAAGTCCAGTACATTCACACCAGCAAAATATAGTTTTAAAGAAGGGAAAAGAGAAATTGCTCTTAAGCCAAAAAGGATAAGTTATGGGAATCCTACTCACAACTTGAACTTGAACTTGAACGAGGTTGAGAAGTTGAATGAAACCCTCCTGCATGATAATTGATAAAGGCCATGTGTCACAAAAACAAAAGAATGGGGGTAAAGATGCTAAACGTACAATAGCATATGTTTTGTAATCCATAGAGTCCATGAGTCTAGGGTGTTAAAACAAGAAAAAATATTAAGTCGGGAAAAACAATACCTTTATTTATCCACTAACTGCTTCAGCGTTTAATAGTATTTTTGGGGTTGGTATTTGTGTGGGCAGGGTTCATTTATCAATGAGATTGTGGGGGTGAAATGTGGTTCATTAGTTTTACAACGTTAGGTAGAAGCTAATTCAGTATGTTCTTAGGAGCTTATGATGTTCAAAGAATTTTTGGATATGTTATCGATTGAAAGGTCGCTCCAAAGTGGATGGGGATCGCCATCCATATAACTGGATTGTGAGTTTTGGTAAGATTTTGAACAAAAAATTGATTCCGGTTAGTTTAGGATAACACAAGAAATCAAATTTTCTTCTAATTCATGAGTGGAAAAAAAAAATTTATGCTAATGGGTTGAAGAATGGAAGAACATAAAATCAAAGTTTAAGGGCTGAACAATCCATATCTCTTAATACATTGAAACAATTCTAGGATAACATCAACAACCCAAAGAAGGAACAAATTAAAAAAGTTAAGAATTACGGCTTTACTGACCTCCGCCAACGCCGCCAGCGCCGCGAACGCCACGAAAACCCATGCCTTTTCAACGTACGGTACAACTCAAAACATCAAAGGAAAGGGAAGAGAAGGGAAGAGCAAAACCACCAAACAAACAGATTAGAAAAAGCCGCTGCCTTCTGCTTTTATAATAGCGTCTAGTACTACTAGGGCATATGTACACAGACACGGCTACACGAAATATAGGGGCGGCGTCGTTTCTTTGGTGTAAATTACAAATTTATTTTATTATAATAAAAAAACACGTGACCTTCCATCCAAATTGATGAACAATTAGATTTAATAATATATTTATATTATTTTTTATATAAAAATTATATATTATAATTTATATTAATATAAAAATATAAAATATAATTTTTTAATTTTATTAAATTAATTTATAATTTTTAAAATTTTAAATTATATTATTTTCGTTTTTTTTATTTATTTTATTTTTATATTATGTTTTAAATTATCAGATTTATTTTTAACCAATAAAAATTTTTAATGACAATCAAATTTTCAAAAATTTTTATTTTGTTTTTTTTTTTTTCAATTTGTAAAAAAAAATTTAAAAAAAGAATTATATTAAAACCTACCTACAATCACTTATATTTTATCTCTAAAATGAAAAACAAAGATTGTTTTGAAATATAATATAAATGGTTATCAACTATACTCCCATTCATTATAAAAGACTAAATTCATAAGCCCATACCATAAACCATTGTCAATAGTGCTTCGTTTTTTCATTGTTGGAACTTTTTTTTTTAATTTTTAATTTTTTTGGTGTTAACAAATTGTATGTTTAACTTGTAAATAGCCTATCTTATTTACAGCCTATGGAAACATAACTAATAAATCTATACCAATAAATGGGTTTGTGCTACATTGCAACGTACTTTTCCGTTTGCTTTCATTATAGCATCCTCAGTTATGTGTAAAAAGTTTTGACTGGAAGCTCTAATGTATTGATTGTTGGAATGCCAATGTACTTAACATGCACGGTAATCTTCTTGGGCAATTGAGAGCCTATACTTAATACCTTATATATGTTCATGAATTTTATTAAAGAAATATTTTTGCTCTTTCAATTTGATCTTTAGGAAAAGAAAGACCTTTATTTTTATATATTTGCAGGAAACTATAAAAATAATGATTTTTTTTAAAGTTAGATGCAATGGGGGCTTGAATCAGATACGTGCTGCGGTCTGCATCCTTTCTCTAGCTCATGTTTTCCTTGTTTATTCAATATTATGTTATTAATCCAGCTGATTGAGCACTTTTAGATCTGTGACAACTGATAGGGTAACTGTCGATAGACTTTTAATTCTCACTTTGGTTGTTCCCCAGTTTGATAAGACATCATTCTGGGCAGGTCCTAGGTATGTTTATCATTCTGGAAAGGTTGTTTTCTTCTTTCACCGCTGCTTTAAAAGTCTTTGACTCCTGATCTGTTTTTGCAGTGATTTTGAGGACGCTTTTGATGTGAGACATTTCATTCCAATTTCAAAAGGCTACAAAGAGGTTCAGTAGGAAATATGGGTCTCAAGCTTTTCGGATGCCTCCTGTTAGTTGGTCAAATGAAAAATACTACTTAGAACAGGTTTGTAGTTCCAATTGGTAATTCTTTCTATGGATGGATGAACGTGTTTGTCTGTTCCCTTTTCTTTTTTAATTATGCAGTAGAATCTAATGCCTTTGACATTATTTTACAGATTCACCCCTCTTCAGTGTGTTTAACGCAGTACACTTCAATAGAACAGATACACAACTGGCAAATAATGGGATTCGGCTGGATCTTAAGAAACTCAGGTGGCACGTCAATTTCCAAGGATTGAAACTTACTACTCTGATTGAGACTATGGGGTACAAACTGGTTCACATTTTTCAAGAAACGAGACCCTTCGTGGCTTTGGATCTAAGATATGAGATGGACATGTTAACTTTCCCAGGTTGGATGCATGGCTGCGCTTTGGAAGAAGCTGAGGAGCTAAAATGATTGAGGTGTGTAATGTTTGAAGGTGATATATTCCAGTCAAAACACTCAAGGAGTGGCGTGCCCTCTGTTTAGGAGACACACACTAGTCACCTGCATCCACACCACAAAACAAAAATAGTAGAGCCGTATGCTGCAACCTAAATAAGAGCTCTTTTTCTAATGTCGGGTAGGGAAGGACAATAAAGCTAAGATGCCGTCCACTGTTGTTAGTCATCAATAACCAAATTGTGTTAGTTTTCGGGCAATATGATCATGGTGTATCCCTGTTGGTTTGAGTTGAACTAGTGATGACAAGATTTAAGATCTAAACTTGATCTATAATGAGTTGCATCAATAAAACTTAAAAGTTAGTATAAAATCTTGTGATCTCAATATTATCAATAACGAATAAGAGGACATGAAGATATAAACATGTAACTAGATAGCAATCTTTTCCTTTCAGCTATGCATACCCTTGGTGGAGAGAGAAAAAAATAGTGTTTGTAGAAAGAAAGCAACAAGGGCTGTGTCCTCTGACACCTAAGGAAGGCATTCGGTTTTGATTAAGGAGACTCAGATTTACAATTGCTTCTACGGAGATATATGGCAGTGAAAGTAGATTGGCACCACCAAGAGCTGTATTTCCTCTGATTGTGAGTTTTTGAGCCTGTAAATGTTTATCTTTTGGTATTGATATGTTTATTGAAAAGCGCATCAAAGTACTGGGTTTCTGTATTACCAACGTTTTTTGTGCATTTGAAAACTCTGAGCTTTTGTTAGAATTTTGGGAACCTAGTTGCAAATTGTCGTTGAAGTCTTCTTTGACTACAATGGTGACGTGGAACTCACTAGTTTCGATTGCATTATCCATTTTCCCTGCACTTAGTTGAGCTGACAGGATCTCTTTAATCCTTGACCAGCAGCATGTTTACTAATTAAGTACTGGTATTAGCTCTACTTCTGGCTTCTAAAACAGGTACCTGTAACTGTAGTTTCTATTGTGTTTTTCCATATATGTTTCTTGTGGATCTCAAGACATTATTACAATTTCAGGTTAAAATGGAAAAACTATTAGAACCAGCAGAACTGCAGCAATTTCAGAACCATTCATCTCAGATGGCAGGTTTGCACTTTATGGTATCTATTGCCAACAATACTTTCATTCCCATATATGATGGGAACATTGTGAAAATAGAAAAAGGTCATCGAAGGTATGTATATCGCTGAATTATGTAACAAGGGTGGGGGGAGACTATTTTCATAGTTTTAACAAGCTTTTGTTCAGGTATCTTTGGTTCAAAAAAAGTATCCTGCCAGATCGAAAGAAACTTGTGGAATAGCTGGATTTGCATCAAAATGGGACACTTCCATGGAATGACTTTGCACTATCTGTAAGGCCAGCCAGCGCATGAAAAATGGATGGGATGGCCCTTCCGTAGCTGGGTTATTCCAGACAAACCAAAGGAGGAAGATTATTTCCATGGAAAATGTGAAGACTTACTAGGCCTTGGTAACTCAAGTACGTTACAATGACTGTGGGCGATCAGATCAGAATTCGGCTGAGATGGTTTTTGCACAACTGTTTGAAAATGGTGTGGGTGATAATCTAGTCAGTTTCTGGACAGATTTCCATTAACGACCAATGTATACATGCTCTTAAAAGAGTTTTGTAAGAAACGGCAGCAGAAAGACCTCTAGCTCCCATCTGGACACCCAACCAAAATCGCACTTGCCAAACCCAGCACACATTTTGGTGAATATTTTTAAAACGGAATGGCTATCAGAGTTATGAAACTAAATTTCTGATGTCCTTGGATGAAGGGTAGAGCTTGAGCTGGTGTATTTTAGAAGGCTTAATGAAGAGTTCGATAAAATGGTCAGATTTTGTAGGGTTAAAGTGCATGAGGTGAAGAAAGAAGCAGACCTATTGAACAAGCAAATGTATGCTTTGATTGCTTTCAGGATAAAAGGTGAGAATCCTCCAGGTCAGTGACTCAGTGGAGATGACTCGCCTTGGTTCAGACATTGCAGCTTCTACTGCTGGATTATCAGCTGCTACTCCATCTGGGGCTAGATCAGCAAGCAGTTAGTTTCTCCTCTCTCCAACCTTTTACTTTCTGGTTTATCACTTATCAGTCATTGCTTACTCTGAGGAAAAGTCCCCTCATATTAATTTCCTGTTTGATGTGTAGAAAGAGCTCCTCACCAGGAAAAAGCACCCATGGACAAGCTGATGATGATGATGATGATGGAAAAGAGAGAATACACCGATTTAAGAAGCCAAACCACCGAAACCCGAAATCAAGGGGATCAGACCTGCTCCACTTGAAGTGCTTGACCGGGTGAAAAATGAACAACACTCTTGAAACTCCTCGTTCTACCATTAAAGTTGTCCTCAAGGTTCAAAACCATACAGAGCTGAGTTTTGGCAGGGAAAATATGAGAAAGGTTGAAGGAGAATTGAGCGGGCTTTTGTTGAATTCTGCCATAAGCTTCGCCTGCATAAAAGTTACAGGTAATGACTGCTTGCATATCTAAATAATTATTGCTTCATTTGGTCTATAGTCTGTGTTTTCTTCAGATTTTACTGATCCATCTTTCCTCGAATTAACAACTTTCTAAATATGATGGCTTTTTCCAAAATAATCAAGAAGTATGATAAGATCACTTGCAGAAGTGCATCAAAAGCTTGCATGAAAATGGTGGATAACTCCTACTTTGGTAGCTCTGATGACCATTTTCAATTTTGCTTCGCTTCTTCTTATGAAGGCGACCGGTACCACTTTGTACAATGCCTTATTTTACCAGTGGCCTAATCTCACACCTTTCATCGCAGGTTAAAAAGCTCATGGAGAGGGTTGAAGCTGCATTTGCCAAGCACTCTTCAAATGCAAACTGTGCCAAGGGAATGAACATGTTAAGACCAAAAGCAAAAAAAGAAAGGCATAGGATTACTTTTTCAACTGGTAAGATTTCTGTTACAGACCCTTTCGGAACTTCTAGTTGAGGCGTAAAAAATGATTTTTCTCCATTCTTGGATCTATTTAATGTTGTAATGTTTTTTAATATTTTCAAGTTTTTTTCCTGCCCGTGCGGCCTCTCTTCTTCTAGTTCTTATTATGATCATACGTGCCCTTAAAATTATGGACAGTCGAGGGAGGACCAAATACGTGGGAACCATGTTTCCTCTTTACAGGTACTTTTAATTCTTTGTTCTTCAAGTTTAGCAGTGCATAACACTTAACAGTTCAAGTATAGACATGATCCCAATATTTATGTTTAACAAATTGTGATAACCCCCATGCAGTTTGTTCGATTCATTGTTCTACACATGGTTATGTATGCTTTCAATGTATTCTACTGGAGGAAGTACCAAGTCAAGTACACCTTCATATTTGGTTTCAAGCCAGGAACTGAATCATGCTACGGAGAAGTTCTGCTGAGTTTTGGTTTTGGAGCATTAGCATTGGCCAGTGTATTCTCAAAACCTTGATATGGGGATGGATCCCAAAACAAAAGACTATAAAGCATTCACTGAACTTCTTCCTCTAAACTTGGTTCTGGTAGGATTATCTATTTAATACTCTATTTATTGGTCCCATTCATTTTCCAACGACAGTTTTTAACTCTCATCCTTTTTGTACGTTGCACTTTATACTTAAAATCCGACAACTGATTTTCTCAGGTTGCACGCATGGCTGCAGTTTGGAAGAAGCTGAGCAGTTGGAAGAAGCTGAGCAGCTAAAACGATTGAGGTGTGCAACGTTTGAAGCTGATATATTCCAGTCAAAACACTCAAATTAACTTGGCACGGAGTGACGTGCCCTCTGTTTAGGAGACACACACTAGTCAATTTGTTTTGAAGATCTTATTCAATATAGAATCCAGATTTTTTGAAAGCTTGATTCACGGTTACAAAAATCTAAATTCAGTAATTTCATTTGTTAACATTCCATCAATACTTGGGCTACAAAATAGCATAGTCCTCCATCTTTTCCCTACACTTCATCATTTCATCCAAATAAACTCGCTACCACTAAAGTTTTGTCATTTGTAAGCCATCATTATCTGTAAGCCTGTAAAAATATTCTTTACAAAATGATTTTACAGAAATAACCACACATTGATCAAATTTAGAATCATCAAAAATAAAAACAAAAATTCATAAAAACAGATCATAATTTTAAAGAGAACAAATTGCAAAGAAATTATAATAATCCTTTATGCAAAAATCATCAGTTATAATGTCATCAAAAACCTATAGGAATTGTATCAACTTCAGTCATACTGTCATAAAAAACTATTGTCATCAAAAACCTATACAGCAAAAAAAATTTATCGACCATATAGCAAATGAAATGTATCAAATATACAGCCAAGAAAATATATAAAATATACAGCTAAATAAATGTATCAACTAGTTTCCACTGCTCAAAACACATCAGTCATAATGTCATAAAAAACTAATGTCAAGATAGACCCAACAGCTAAAATAAAAGCATATAACTAAAAAAAGTAAAACAGTTTTATCTCTCAGTTCTTCTTCATTTCTTTTCCTCTTTTGTCACTATCATCCAGCATTTGCTTAATGGCTTTCACTTCATCTTTTATAGAAATCAACTCCTTCTTAATGCAATCTAACTGGTAAATAACTTTAGAAACAAGATTTCTGGTTTCCACCGAACTCAGATAATTGCATTTGTCTCTAATTTCTTTGGTTGCTTCCTTCAGTCCCTTCAATAAAAAATTACACTGTTTCATAAGAAGTTCCACAAGCAAACATTACTCAAAGTAAAGTTTCATAAGAAGTTTCGCAAACAACAAACAAACATCTTAACTGCTACTGGAATTATTTTTCTGAAACTCATTGGAAGTTCCAAATAACCTTGCTGTCACTAAAGTTTTGTCATTTGTAAGCCATCATTATCTGTAAGCTTGTAGAAATATTCTTTACAAAATGATTTTACAGAAATAACCACACATTGATCAGATTTAGAGTCATAAAAAATGAAAACAAAAATTTATAATAACAGATCATAATTTTAAAGAGAACAAAGTGCAAAGAAATTATAATAATCATTTATGCAAAAATCATTGGTTATAATTTCATCAAAAACCTATAGGAATTGTATCAACTTCAGTCATACTGTCATAAAAAACTAATGTCATCAAAAACCTATACAGCAAAGGAAATGTATCGCAAAGGATATTTATCAAATATACAGCCAAGAAACTATATCAAATATACAACTAAATAAATGTATCAACTAATTTCCACTAGTCAAAGCACATCAGTCTAATGTGAAGATAAACCCTAAAGCTAAAATAAAATCATATAACTAAAAAAAAATAAAACAGTTTTATCTCTCAGTTCATCTTCATTTCTTTTCCTCTTTTGTCACTATCACCTTCTTAACGTAATCTAACTAATAAATAATTATAGAAACACGATTTCCGGTTCCCACTGGACTCAGAGAATTGCATTTGTCTCTAATTTTTTTGGTTGCTTCCTTCAGTCCCTTCAATAAAAAAAATCTCCTGTTATTCTAATATATTCTACTGTTTTATACGAAGTTCCACAAGCAAACATTACTCAAAATAAAGTTTCATAAGAAGTTTCACAAACATCTTAACCGCTACTGGAATTATTTTTCTGAAACTCACTTAAACTATTTTTCTGAAACTCTTTTTTGTTGGACTGAAAGAGAAGATGGCTAAAGTGGAGAACATTTTGCTGGGAGGGAAAAGAAATTACAGAAAGGTGTAATTGCTTAACATTAAAAAAAATTACAGAAAGGTGTAACTGCCTAACATTAAAAAAATACTAAAAATTATACAGTTCAATTCTTACGGAATTTGAAAGAGAGATAACATTGTAGTGTCAATCATTATTAAACTTTGGCCATGATTAAAATATTCAGATTTAGCCTAGGTCTGTTCTCTACTAACAAAGGCCTGAGAGCTAAAAACCCCAAACCGGTCTTGTCACAATTCATATAATAGGTTTCATTAAGAGAAAAAAAAAGCATGTAATTATTTAACATTGAGAAAATATGACATAAAATATACTGGAAAATTTTTTTTCAAAATGTAAAAGAAATAACTCAACATGCACAATAGATAGAGACACTTAGAAAATACTCATCTATGATTAAGTATCTTTAACCAAATTAAGTACATAACATAGGTTCCATTTTACCCATATTCATAGTTTAATCTAATACGTTAAACAAAAGATATCTGGCAAATCCTTACATAGAAGAAGATTAAATACAACCTTCTAATAGATATATATATTTATACAGATTAACTAAATTTGGGAGGGAAAGTGGTAGAGAATAGCAACAGATGTTAATCATTTAGCACAAAACCCCTTCAACTCTCTCATAAGATCAATGCAGAAAGTATTGGCTTCAGTATATTTACTGACACACTGCATTATTCACAAAAGAAAAATGAGATCATAGGTACACATTCTTTTGGTCAAGTACAATTTATAAATAGTAGAGTCTAAAATCTTACAACATTTAATATGGGTCCAAAAATACCAATGACATAATGGTTGGCATTTATGATCTTAATGTGACCTAACTTGGATGTCATAATCTTGGGCAAGTTCTAAGCACTCTTTCCTTAGTCTGGGAGCTTGCCCACATTTGCATACAAACTATTTAAGAACCAACACACATGCATCTCTTAAATCGAAAAAAAAAAAAAAGATATAAACAAACAAACATACATAAGATAATAGATTTTCTGAAAAAATATTTTACAAAAGACCTTCTTCACAGTAAAAAAATATTTTTATAAAATTAATCATAATATCTTGCACCACCTAAATCCAATTTCAATCTAATTTCACTAATTGAATTCAAATCATAAAACAATCTTCAAAAAATGAAGGTTTCACTAAGTTCATTGTAGTAAGAGATGCATTCTTAAAAATTTAATTTCACTCTAATTTACTTCAAGTTAATGATGTTTTAAGTGCCACTCAAAGAGGCATATAAGGTTTTTCTTCTGATAAACAAAATCAACCAGAGATCAGAAAACAAATAACTTATAGCAATTTTTGCTGCGAAATATAGCATACAAAAGAACACATTAGTTGAGAGTGACTTTACAAAATCATATGTTCGTTCGATTGCATAACAATGATCTTTCTTCAAGTCATTTGTCCACCAATCACTCCAAGAGGGCTTAAATTTAGCTGTTAAAAACATGGAAAAAAAAAACAGTGAGATTAAATTAAAAATGCAAAAAGGAAACTTTATGTGGCATTAATAAATCAGGCCTTCTAGTCATAAAGCCTCTTCTTATCTACCTATCTATCTATCTATCTATCTATACATACAAATATATATATATATATATATATCTTTACAATTTATTTGGATGATTGCAGGAATTCATCAAAACAATGACATAAAAGGAGTCATACAATACATCCAAGACCATGGTTATTTCCTTACATATATCATCAGCAGGGCCACAGTAAAGAAGCTAAGAAATTCATACCGTGGGGCCTGCCAATTAGTACTTAGGACAACAATAACTTCGCATACATGAAATAAATTATTGTAAAAAATATTCTTGACATCCATCACTTGCTAAGGTTAACTGATAAATGATAATTATTATTTGATTTAACAAAACATATGGAAATTCAAAGAGACCTTAAATATCATACAAGCCTTTAAATTAATAACAATCTTCAAGAAGGAATCCGTGGGAAGTAGGATGCATAATAAATTAAATAACATACCACAGTCCCTTTCAATATCTTGTAGGAAAGATTGGCAAAACGGATTTTCTTTCCCTCCTTCTTCCTTATAACTTCTTGCACACTACTTTGTATACCCAAAAAATGGTCAGCTCAACGAACAAAGAAATTTGGCACACTTTTGTAAAACTTCAAAGCAAACAATAACCATAAAAAAACCACTCCATAGCTACAAAACACCAATTCATCTAAAGAAAATACAGAAAACTTATAAATATTTCTAATTTAACGGACCACTTATTCTCCTTCACAGCAATAGACCTTTAATCATAAAGTAAATTTAGTATCCTCAAGATTAAAAACTTGATCATTATACACCCCCAAGGCCCCAAATTTAATTTGTCTTAGAAAAAGAAAGCAAGGATCAACTGCACTGTTTTCTTTCTTTCTTATAAGCCAAATCAAACCATATTTCATAACAATATTTTAGCTTTTGACAAGAGATCAGTTAATAAAACACTCCTAGATGTTCTTGGTAGGTAATAGCCTAATGACCATATTTTACTTGGGGAGCAACATTACCATTTCAAACCACGAGACAAGTCTCTTGCAATGATTCAAATCATCTGTCGAATCTGCTAACCACAATGATTTCTGTGAATTGGCGGTGACTGCAGTATTCCTTACTAGGTTATCAGCTATTGCAAGAAATGCACAAAAATAAGGAAAACAGCATTATAATAGAGTAAAATGGAAGAGGATTAAGAGAAAAACCAATGCCTTTTTATTCTCAAAAACATAATGAGGGCAAATGAGAAATGAAAGTAGAAAAAAATTATGACTTTGCATTTTGCAATCAGGACTTAATCCCCTAGCTCAAGGCTTTACAAGACTAATTGGTTAGGAGCTTAGAGTTTGTAAAAGACTGAAATTAGTCACATTATATGTTGAAAATAAGTACAACAGAAAATGGGCACATACACAATGGTAAATTTTCGTTTTTCTAGTTAAATAAACATCTGGACAGAGTCAACCACCCTCCAAGTCCAGTATATTCACACCAGCAAAATATAATTTCAAAGAAGGGAAAAGAGAAATTGCTCTTAAGCAAAAAAGGATAAGTTATGGGAATCCCACTCACAACTTGAACGAGGTTGAGAAGCTGAATGAAACCCTCGTGCATGATAATTGATAAAGGTCATGTGTCATAAAAACGAAAGAATGGAGGTAAAGATGCTAAACTTACCATAGCATATGTTTTGTAATCCATAGAGTCCATAAGTCTTGGGTGTTTAATCAAGACAAGATATTAAGTGGGGAAAACAATACCTTTATTTATCCCCACTAGCTGCTTCAGCGTTTAATAGCATTTTTGGGGTTGTTATTTGTGTGGGCAGGGTTCATTTACCAAGGAGATTGTGGGAATATTTTCGGATATGTTATCGATTGAAAGGTGGCTCAAAAGTGGATGGGGATCATATAACTGATTGTGAGTTTTGGGAAGAAATTTTAACAAAAAATTGATTCCGTTTGGTGTAAGTTTTACACAAGAAATCAAATTTTCTTCTAATTCATGAAAAAAAAAAAAGATATGATGCTAATGGGTTGAAGAATGGAAGAACATAAAATCAAAGTTAAGGGCTGAACAATCCATATCCCCTAATACATTGAAACAATTCTAGGATAATATCAACAACCCAAAGAAGGAAAAAAAACTAAAAAAATTAAGAATCAGGACTTTACTGACCCCCGCCACCGCCGAGAACGCCACGAAAACCCATGCTTTTTCAACGTACGGTACGACTCACAGACACCAAAGGAAAGGGAAGAGCAAGCCCACCACAGTTCAGAGAACGCCGCTGCCTTCATAATAATATCTTGTATTACTAGGGTATACATGCACATACACACGACCACACGAAATATAAGAGCGGCGTCGTTTCTTTTGTTTTAAGTAGATTTTCGTAAATTGAAAATTTATTTTATTATAATAAATAGGCACGTGATCTTCAACCCTTTTTTATGCCATTCAAATTTTAAATTTTGTTATTTCGTAAATTTTTTTTAGTTTTTTTTTTTTAATTTTTTAAAAAATTTACATTAAAACCTACCTACAATCAGTAATAAATAAAAAAACAATGATTTTTTTGAACGATAACATAAATGATTATTAAAAATGCTTTGTTTCTTGATTGTTGAAACATTTTTTTTATTATTTTTTTATGATAATTTTTTTGAGTAATTTAAAATTTTGATAAGCTATACATTATACTTGATATAAGCGTCCATAATTTATATTAAAAAAATGTTTTTTTACCTTTTCGATTAATCTTTTAAAAAAATAAGACCTTCATTATTGTGTATTCGCAGGAAACTATAACAATAATGATTTTCTCAAAGTTTGGCACAATGAAGGCTTCAATCAAATGCTTGCTGCTGTCTGCATTTTTTCTCTAGCTCATATTTTCCTTGTTATTACTCCAGCTGATCGGACACTTTTAGATCTGTGACATGGTAACTATTGACAGACTTTTAAATCTCACTTTGGTTGTTCCGAGCTTGATAAGACATCATTCTGGGCAGATCCTAGGTATGTTTGTCATTCTGGAAAGGTTGTTTTCTTCTTTCACCGCTGCTTTTAAAGTCTTTGACTCATTATCTGTTTTTGCAGTGATTTTGAGGACGCTTTTGATGTGAGACATTTCATTCCATTGTCAAAAGGCTGCCAAGAGATTCAGTAGGAAATATGGGTTTCAAGCTTTTCGGATGCCTCCTGTTAGCTGGTCAAATGAAAACTACTACTTAGAACAGGTTTGTCGCTGATTATTAATTACTATTTTTTTGCTTGGAAAATGAGTTTCTCTCTCTTTTATAGTTCCAATTGGTAATTCTTTCTATGGATGGATGGACGTGTTTGTCTCTTCTCTTTTCCTTTTTGATTATGCAGTAGAATCTAATGCCTTTGACATTATTTTACATATTCACCCCTTTTCAGTATGTTCAAGGTAGTACACTTCAATAGAACAGATACACGACTGGCAAAATGGAATTTCGGCTGGATCTTCAGAATCTCAGGTGGCACGTTAATTTCCAAGGATTGAAATTTACTCCGATCCGATTGAGACTTTGGGGTACAAATTGGTTCACATTCTTGAAGAAAATTAAATAATATATATACTCACTTATTCAAGACTTAAGACATACCTGCACGCGGCACCCATCAGAACTGTAAATTTTTGGATCATGACGATATGTACTATGAATGCGACGCAGCAGGTCAGTACCTTCACCTGTAATTTTATAAAAATTCACCAACAAAAAGCAGCATGCTTCTGAATTCATCACTATTTTATCTACCTGAGGCATATAACATAAATGTCAAGGGAGTCAAGATTAACTTAAGCAAATACTAAAAAGATCAAACATTTCTATGATGAGCACATTCCTGCCATACAAGCTGCAGAAAACTATTAACAATCAAAGATAAAAGGATCTATTGCTATGACCTGGATACATATTATTTCTTACAACCTAGCTTGGAGGACAAAAGAAATTGCTGATGACAAATGAAAATCTTCAAGCGTTTCAGATTTTGCTTTACCTTTTTACAAGTGGAACTGGTGGTTTCTCTTCACCAGGTTGAGGATGCCACTCAAGAAGAACTCGTCTCTATTCGATAGCTTCACGGATATGAGAGTACATGTTCATTGCAGTCCTTGAATGGAAATCTCCACCAGCTTTGAAGGCACCCAACATGCTTTTACAATCAGCCAGATGTGCAAGAATCCTAAGTTCCAGCTGTAATATGAATTTATATTCCAATCAGTACATAAAATAACATGAAAAAAGAAGACAGTTGAATTAACTTGCCTGCACATAAGCTGCAGCAACCAGGGAATTTCCGGGGCAGCTATAAAGGCCTGACGTATCTTATACCGGTCCTTCTCTAGAGCAGGTTGATTCTGATTTAAAATTACAAAAAAATACGTTAAAAATCATAAAGTTCCCATCCCAATCTGGCAGGAAAGAGATGATATGCAGAGAAATAACAAAATTATCTTTTTATTTTCTTCATGCCCTATTATGACAACTATGCGGAGGAGATGACCATGCTTACATGGTAGAAAAGTAGAACTAACTATTATGTGATATGGATATTCAGGCTATGGATATTGAAATTAGAAGCTTCCATGCAAAGAGGTCTTTAATGCCATATTCTATCTAAATAAAAACATGGTCCACTGCATTTCATCTCAAGAAAATTCTGGTCTTGGCTGTCAGAGTGATACAGAAGTTATAGGCATGTATAGAACCTTAAGGTTCTAATTATAAAAGCTTGCTAAATTAATGGCAGAGAACAAAGTGAAAGAAAAATGAACCTGCAAATTTGGTCTCATGGCAGATAATCGCCCAGTCTCCATATTGATATTCAATGAACAATGAACACGTCCACTCTTACCTGACACATTACTCCCCTGCGGTAAAGGGATCATTCTCATTATAAACCATTCCAAGAATTTTAAGGTACAAAATTAATCAAGAGCAAGGAAATAATGGCTGAAGTTAAGGAAGCAATTATAGCAATGCCTTGTTCATTTTCATAACCTATTCAAACAAAGAGAGGAATTGCTCTACAAAGACAAAAGCTTTTAAACAAACTTCTTCTTTTCTTTTAGCCAAACAAATATTCACACTCTCATTACTTTACCCCAAATCATGTGTGGCATTTTTTTTTTTTTTTTTACACTTTTTTAGACCATTTTCTTTCTAAAAAATTATCTCTCAGTGTGGAGGGTGATCCTTGGGATAAGGTTCTTTTAGAAAAAAAAATCATAACAGGCTCAAAAAGTAACAATGAATGGTTTTTCAAATGGTAAAAAAAGATGGCCACTTTTCATCTCCAATGTGAATGCTTTCCTTGAACATCATCTATTGAACAAAAATAAGCTCATGAATCTTTATAAAAAACTATACATATTCAAGATATATTTATTTTACATCTATTAGTAGCTAGCTTCTTTTGTTCAAATAGTCTCTATAGATTAATGTAAATGAGTTCTCAAAATTAAATCATAAAATTATTGTTATCATTGTCTAAAAATTCATCATTTAGAATTCAAAAATGGGAATGAAAAATTATGAAAAGTGACAAAGCATGGAACAGTGGTTAAATGAATGAGAAAATGTAATGAAATGCATTAACTTGCCTTTTATTAAAATGATAGCAAATGAAATCTTATTGCCTAAAAGAAATCCTAATATTACTCTAAAAGAAATCCTAAAATGACAAAAAACTTCCAATCAGCCTTATTTTTATTCTCTAAAATTGTACCCATGTGTAATCAGGTGAATGATCTTTATTGATATCTTGCCCCTCGATTCATTGCGACTCTTCAAGCCTTTTCTGATCAACGTGTTCTTAATTTTCACTCAGAGCATTGACATTGTGATTAGGCAATGGATTGCTACAACATTAGGTGTTGTTACTTCTTTTTAATCAAAACTTATCATCCCATCCTTGATTAACCGTTACACTTTATGTTTTAAAGCAATGTAATTTTCAGTGGAATGACCAGCAATTTCATAGTGGTAGTCACAGTGGGCTGTACGATCTTTCTGGTTTATGATATCAATAAAGGTTTTTCTAGCACAAAATATGCTACTGCAAATCTTTATTTTCCTAATATTTGCAAAATCAGATTGGCATTGAATGAATGGATTATGCATACCAATAGAATTATTTCATGTATGGCTGTGAGCATGTTAGGCAAATTTGAAAATTATTGGAATGATGTGCATGGTATAATGGGTGTTGTCCAATTTTAGATCCAAGATACAAAACAGAGTTGTTGGAGTATTACTTTGAAAAGATTTATGGAGAAAATGCTGAATTTGAAATTGAAAGGATTGTACAAATATGTCAGGATTTGCTTAAGGAGTATGAGGAGAAATTGACTTTGAAAAAGGAAGAAGGACCTTCTAGTTCAAGCTTTTCATTCTTAGATGGTGTTGATGCTACTGAATTAGAAAATTTGAGAGACTATGATGATTTTGTTTCAAGAAAAAAAAAAGAAAAAATCAAAAGTAAAATCAGAGTTAGATCGTTATTTGGATAAAGAAGTCATACCAAGAAAAGGAGATTTTGATATATTGAATTGGTGGAAACTAACTGGATCTCAATTTTCAACCTTACAACTTATTGTTAGAGATATTTATGTCATACCGGTTTCTACTGTTACTTCAGAGTCTACTTTTAGTATTGGAGGAAGATTGATGAGTGCGTAACGTAATAAACTTCATCCATCAACTATAGAAGCTTTAACATGTTGTCAAAATTGGTTATGGGCTGAAAAAGAAGGTACAATAATGCATATTATGTAATTTTATTTTTTATTTTAGCATATTGTTAGTTATTATATTTTGTTGTTATATATTATTTGTTAATATTTTATTATTTTATTTGTAGGGTCAATTTCATTAGAAGAAAAGTATTTTTACGAAGATGTTGACGAGAGTGAGATTGAGGAAAAGATAACTAGTTTGGTAAATAATATTATCTTTTTTAATTAATTCATTTTTTATATTATTATTTTTAAATATATTATTTTATGAGATTTATTTATTCATCTTATTGTTTTATTTTATAGGACTAATGTGGCTAGAGGAGAATGATGATATGGAGCTTAATGATGATGGAATGATTTATTGTGATCTTGAAAGATTTTTATCATGTTGGATGAAAGGATGTTCAAACAATTTAGCTTTTTATTGTGATGATTTAAGCTTTTGATGTTCATCTTGTATCATGTATTATATTTAAATTTAATTATTAATTTATACTTGTTTGATATTTGAATTTTAGTTTACTAAGTTTTATATATTTCATAATTC